AACTTTAATTTTATATATTTTTTTTACTAATTTATATAAGGCTATTAATATTTTATGCTTTATTAATTTAAATAATAAAATTAATTATATTCTTATTAGCTTTATTTTATATAAATTATTATATATAAATTAAGACTTTAGTATTATTAAGATTTATTATAATAAAAATAATTAAATTAATTGCTTAATTATTATTTATGCTTAAAAAGCTAAGTTTAGCAACTCTTTAATTATTATTAGCTAAGATATTATGCATAATTATATAGCCGGCTTGGTTAATTACATTAAGATTTATAATGTAATAAAGTATTATATATTAATTAATAATAAGGTTAATTTAATTGCTATTAATATTGCTAATAACGCAATTAATGCAATTTAGAAAATTATTAATAATAGCCATGGTAATAATAATGCTATTAATATTAATTAAGTAAAACTAAATGCTAAAGATCCTATAATTATATAATTATACTTATATTTTATTATAATAAGAATTAAGAAGAAATAATATTATTTTTATTTTACTTTATTTTAAAAAAGTTTATTATAAATAAAAATAGCTTAGGTTTTTTTTTTTAATAATTAATATATTAATTAGTTTATAAATTAATGATTTTATATTAATATAAAGGAATATTATGAAAATAAAATATGCTAATAATTATAATGTTTATATATATAATTTAATCCATTTTATGAGCATATAATTATATTTATTACTTTATTTATTTTATTTTAAGGATAATGCTTAATAAATTTATAATGAATTTATAGTAAATTTATAATAATAATTAAAACTTTTATTATAATGTTATAAAAATAAATTAAACTTAAAACCTTATTGCATTTAATTATTACGTTCTTTATATTATAACGTTACTTATATATATCTTTAGCTTAATCGCTTTATTATTAATTGCTTTAATAAATTCGCCTTACGTAATTTACTTTGCTATTATTAAATATAATAAAAATAAATTAAGTTTTATTAATATATTAAATTAAAGTATACTTTGCTATTTACTTAGGAATGGAAGTTAGCTTATTATATTATTTATAGAAAAAACCCTTTAGCATTATTATTAATTGCTTTTATTATATTAAATATTTTAATTAAATTATAAATATATTTATATAGTTATTTCTCTTTAATATTTAAAATTTATAATAATAGCTAAGATACCTTATTAAGGACTTTTATATTTTCTTTATTGCTTTTTATTATTATTAAGGCGGCTTTTAAGGTTTAAATTCTTTATTTACCGCTATTTTTTAAATTTACCTAAGTTTAAATTACTTATTAATATTATAAAAAGATTATGCTTAAAAGTAAATTATTTATAAGGGGGAATTTAATATAATATGGATGGATTATGGTGAATTTGCGGTGAATTCGCTATAAATTCATAAGTACTTATGAATTTATAGTATTTTTATAATAAATTTATTACAAATATATGGTTTTATAATAAATTTATTATATATATATTTAGATAGAGAAATTCCCTATAAATTTACCTTGAATTCATGGGGGATATTAAATTTCAGACCTTTGTTCTTATTATTAATTTATGTTAATTAAGCTAAATTTATTATAATATAATTAAAATTTAATTAATTAAACTCTTTTTTATCTTTTTTATAAGTTCTTGCATTATGCTTAATTTTATTATAATTATTATAATATCTTTTAATTAATTTATTATAAACTGCTTTTTTAATATTATTACTTATTTTATTAGCTAGCTGCTTTCTTTTTTATTTCTCTTAAATAAAAGCTTAAGATTTCTTAATTATAAGTGCTTTTTTAAGCTATACTTAGGTTTTTTTAGCCCTTTAATATTTAATAAATGCTGTATTAATATCCTAAAGCATATAAATTTGCTTATTCATTATAGTAAGTAAATGCGCCATTACTTATATACCCTTTGCTAATTAATTAATAGCCTTTATAATTAATATAGGAAAGCTTTTTTAATAAGTAGAAATCTTATTTTTAATAAAACTTAATTACTAAATAGTTTATTAAGCATTTAATAATATTTAAAACTTTTATTTTTAAAGAAAAATAAAGAGGGATTATATTAAAGTTTATAAGCAAATATTAAGCTTAGAAATTATAAAATTAGGGTTTTAAAAAGAAATTTCGGCTCTTTTAAATATAAACTTAATATTTTTTATTATAAAAGTTTTATTATAAATTACCTTAAATGCAAGAAAGAACTTAAATTTAATAATATAATTAATAAAGGCTTAAATAAAGAAATTAATTTTATTACTATATATATGCTTTAAAGGTAAATATAATATAATATTTAATAGCTAAAGCAAGTAAGATAAATGCAGCGGTATATTAATAATAATAATTTTATTATCCTTATAATATTAATTAAACTTAATTAATATATAGGTTTTATAGCTATTTATAATTAATATTTAATAATTAATATTTCTCTTTAACTTAATATATTTATTAAAGTATTAAATCTATTTTAAATTAATTTTATTATTTATCTATTTATTAAAAGTAAGCTTAATAACTTAGTTATTTAAAAAACCTAATTTTATTGCTTAGCTAATAAGAAAGTAAGTACCTTAAATAATTATAAATAATAGGATTTATAACCTATTTATATTAATGTATTTAATAATAATTATTTATTTTTAATTATTAAGTTAAATTAATTTAGCCTTTTTATGTTTATTAATGCGTATAATAATTATTAATAAGGTAATTATATTTATTATAAAGCTGGTTTTATTAAAGTTATAATGCAGTATACCCCTGAAGCCTAGCGTGGTAGGCTTATTATGCCCTTAATAAGCCTGTAAAAGAGCCCTTTAAGCAACTAATGGGTCCCTTTCCTTTTTAACATAGCGAAAGATTTTGCAATTACATTAAATAATAGCTATAATTATTTATTTATATTAAATAAGTAAGATTGCGCCTAGGAAGCTTTTGCATAAAGGAAAGCGCTATGCATTAATAGTATAAAGGCTATGGGTTTAATTTCCGCATGTTTTAAGCTTAATTTAACGTAAAAAAGACCTAGCCATAGGGAGGCCTATAATAAAATATAAGCTATAAGAGCAACCCTTTAAAAGGCGCGCTATATAGCTTAGCTATAAATAGCTTTTTAATTACTTTATAAGGGGCATTTAATGCAGCATGCCCTTAAAGCTTAGCGTAATAGGCTTATTATGCCCTTAATAAGCCTATAAAAGAGCCCCTTGGGTAACCAGTAAGTCCCTTTCCCTTTTGGCGCAGCGGAAGATTTCGCGATTGCATTAAGTTATAAAGGTTGTTATTAATAATTTAATATTTAGCTATTATATTATAAAGGAGCTTAAATTAATTTTTAATAATCTTTAGATTTTTATAAAGGGCCTTTTAATAATTATAAAAATAATTAAATTTAGTTTTAAGGTTTAATTATATATTTATAAAATGTTAAGCTTAGTATTTATTAATAGGTTTAGCATTATATAATATTAATAAAAGGTTAATTATATTTTTTATATTAAAGAGTTGTAAGGGAAATCCTTTAGTATTTTGCTTAATAATATATTAAATAAGTATTTACTCTTTAATTTAATTAAGTTTATATATATTAATATGTAATTCCTTGCGAAAGCATTATTAATTTATTTTACGTTAAAGGGTTGTTTAAAAAATATTAAAGATATGTATAGCTGTTGTTATTTTTAAGGGTTTTTAATTAGCTTTTTTTAAAGTTATAAATAGCTTGGATAGCTAAAAGGATTTTATCTTTTTTAAATAAAAAATATATATTATAATTATTAATTTTTAGCGTATTAAATATTTAAATAGGTAAATTGGAATGAGATTAATGTAAAAAATTAAGATGCAATTAGCATTAAAAAGAAGCCAATTTATATAAATTTTAATAACTCTTAATTATATTATATTTATGCTAACCCCTTTAAATTAATGAAATTAATTAAAACTAGGGAATTAAATGTAGTTGGCATTAATTAGTGCTAATTTTTAATAGATTAAATGCATTAAGCGGGTGCTAGTATTAACAAAAGTTGGTAGATATTGCAAAAAGTGCCTACTTACTAATACTGCCCACTTATTGGCAAACCACGTTATTAAATATTTCTTAATAAATATTCCTTTCATATAATTAAACTTAATATGGAAAAATAAAGGGCATTTTTAGCTATTTAATGCTTCTTTTTATATAAATTTTAAAGTTTTAATTATGCTATAATTTATATTATAAATATAATTTTAAGTAATGATATAATTAAATTTAATTTATTTTTAATTAAAGCATTATAAGTTTAACTTTAATTTAACACACTTAATATTAAAAGATAAAAAGCATTCCTAGCTATTAAATGCTTCTTTTCTTTTATTTAATTTAAATATTTAATTATAAAGTTATTTATATTAAAAGTATAATTTTAAATAATATTTATTATTTCCTTAAAAATATAAGGATAATATTTTTAATAATTTTATTAAAAATACTTTATTTATATTAAGGAGTTATATTATTTATACTTCCCTTAAAATGTTAAGTTAATGCCATTATTTTAAGTTTAACTTTAAATATAAATTTCTTTTTAATTATAACTTTAAATTTAATGTAAAAAAAAATTAAATAATTAAGAATGCTCTTTATTATTTACTACATTCTTTTAATATATTAAAGTTAAAATGGTTAAATTGGTTGTATATATATACAAAAAAGGCGAGCGTTAACATGGCGGCGTCATTTTTTAACTTTTTTTTTTTTTGGCGGTGTGGAATGCAAATGAGTGTATTTAGGTTTGGCGCCCGAGTCGGGGCTCTTTGTCATCGGCTTAGATATGCTTTCGGGGCGGCAAGGGATCCTAGCGGCGATGATCACATCATCAACCACATGTGCATTAATCAGCCTCTACTGCATGTTGCGCTCTTATATCTCCGTCCACGGCACGTTCTTTTGCACAATCTTCTTTGTACACTACCTTCAGTATACACCATGTCGACCCGACGCCCAATCCTCATTTCCGGCGCAGGCCTTGCCTCCCTACTCCTTGCCCAGTCCCTTCGCCGTAGCGCCATCCCTTTCCGCGTCTACGAGCGTGATGCTTCTCTTGCATTCCGCGGCCAGGGCTACCGGCTGCGTCTTTCCAACGAGGGCCTAGATGCCATCGAATCCGTGCTGGGCCCCGAGGACTTTGCACGCTTCTACGACAAGTGCGGAAAGACGGGGGGCGCCGGGTTTACTGGCCTCGATGCTATCACTGGGGAGCAAACTGACGGCGTTGTAGGCGGGCCCCGGGAGCAGCTAGTAAGCCGGGGTGGAAAGACGGTAGGCATCGCAAGAGGGGAGATGCGTCAGCTCTTCTTCGAAGGATTGGAGGACCACGTCGAGTTTCAGAAGCACGTCACGGCCTATGAGCTTGTCGACGGGGGTGTCCGAGCGGTGTTCGCGGACGGGACCAAGTCGGAGGTAGGTGAGATGCTGGTTGGCGGGGAAGGCATCAAGTCTAGAGTGGCGAAGCAAGTCTCTGGCGGACGACTCGTGGTCTACGATACCGGCGCACGAGGCATTCACGGTCAGGCGCCGATAAGCGCTTTCAAGGGTCTAGGCGAGGGTGTCTTTCGCATTTCAGACCAGTCGAAAGGGAAAGACTCTCGTGTGAGCATTATCACAAATGTGCGTCCGAACGATGGAGACAACCCTGCTACCGAGTTTGGCTGGACCATGGGGGGACCCCCAGGTGTAATCAGGGCGCCCAATGACGACTACAGCATCGTGGGAAGCACAGCAGCAGACTTGGCCAAGAACCTCACAGCAGACTGGCACGAGAAATTCCGGCCGTTGTTTGAACAAATGAACACCAAGGAAGCCGCGTTCTGGAAGATCACCTGCTCGACTCCTTCAGGGGTCCCAGAATGGCCAAATGAGCCTCGCGTGACGGTCATTGGAGACGCGGCGCATTCGATGACACCAGCCGGCGGTATTGGGGCCAACACTGCCGTACAAGACTCGGCGCTGCTGGGACGCTTGCTGAAGGAAGCAAATGGATGGAAGGGGGGAATCACCGCTGAATATGAGAAGCGTATGCGAGTATATGGCAGTGAGGCTGTTGCAAAGAGCTACGGGATGGCTACCGACGGCTTTCAGATTAAGATTGTGCCGGGAGAGACTCCCACAGTAATATGAGAACTTTCATAGGTTGCCAATAGATCTGATAGAATACATCGAGGATTCCTATGCATATGTCATGGCCCAAACTCCAGCTATAGTAGGGTCTTGACTCATAAATTTAATCTTAGCAGAGGTAATAAGGATTATTCAGTTACTACACACACATGTATTGACCTAGATAAGCTAAACGCCGTTCATGATGCAAATTCTCTCGTAGCCTGGATTACCGTCCAATTTTAGGTGTTACATGGTAGGCAGCGCTTCATCTTCGCCAATTCGGAGAACTAAGCCCCGTGCACTCTCCAATTTTGTCCCACCATTGACAGATAGGTTTCAATCAAACGATGTCAACCGGTCGACCTCTTCTGAAACCACCGTGTTCTCCCTTCCATGTTTTCTTCCTGTGCCAGGAACTGATGTCATGGCCTAGAAGACCCGGTCGTGGTGGCGAATCAATTGGAGCCGGACGCTGGGCAGGGAGATGTGTTCTCAGGGTCAAAGACCTCGTCTCCAGGAAACACAGGCCACATCTCGTTGATAACATAAGTCGTGGAGTTTTGTTCTGTCCCAGTGACAACGATCGACCACGTGTTTGACCGTGGAGGAGCTCCGTCTCTGGGATTGATCAGAGGCACGAATGTAAAGTTCCCAGTCGCGCCGCATATCCTGCCGACCTCCAAGTGCGCATAATCGTCGCCAATGACCCCAGCAACGTTGTAGTCGGTGATGAAGTCGTCATCGGGAGACAGTATGTATAGCCCGCTGAGTGTCTCATAGTCGTTGAATAGCAGTGAGAAGCTGCCGCCGTCATCATAGGGGTTATATTCTTTCTCTTCGGTTGTGTTGATGTCACCGTCTGTGTAACGTCCAAAGCCACCAAAATTGTGCTGCGGCCACGGGTTCAGCTTCTGAGCCACTGCCGAAACGGCGAGTAGGATTGCCGTGCAAGCTGAGGTGTGGAGGAACATGGTGGTGAGGACGATGAGAACGAAGATGAAGAAGGAGTCATGAGTTGAGACGCGGCAGCACGGCGATGAGAAAGAGGAAAGGACTGGCTTAAATAAGCCCCTGGAAAATCACCCCATCTTTGCACCTCACCGGTGAGGTTTTTTCCCGCGAAAATTCAAATAGGCAGAAGCGTAGACTGTGGAGCCCCTGAATGTTGTGCCTGCATTTAGTCTAGTTTAATGCAGGCTAATGCTAATGAATCCTCAAATGCTACGCCTAAAGCAGGCTGCAATTTCTAAGGGGCACTGCTGAATAAGCTCAAGGATGTCACCAGCCTGTTGCGGGAAGAAATATCTTTTACTAACTTCTCAGCGTTTGTAAAGCCATTTTTGGTGTCCCTCGTTTCAACTGAGTCCTTTCAGACTTTTGGTTTGAAAGTCTCTCACAGGCCATTGTAATTGTTGCACACTAGGGAGAATCATTACTTGGTAGCGTGGCAGGTAGGATTGAATTTGCCATTAAACCAGCAGTCTGCTTTCACCGTTAATGGTGCTAATAGAAGTTGGAAGACACATATCAAGGTTGGCTCATCTACTCAAGGGACAAAGTTTGTGGGCAGCAGAACATATACTGAATAATACTTAATTACTTGTACCATGTCTCAGCAGCTGACTTTTTGGGAATTTAGTTTAATGCTAATAATAACGTGGTTTACCAGGAAGTGGCGGATATTAGGAAGTGGCGGATTTTTGCAACTTTAGCCAACTTTAGCCAGTTATAGCACCCACCTAATGCAGACAATTTAATTAAATTTAGCACTAATTAATGCTAATTATTTTAATAACCTTATTTTTAATTAATTTAATTAATTTAAAGGGATTAATATAATTATATTTAAGTTTAAAATAATTAACTTTTAATAAAGGGGATTTATTTTAATATAAATTACGTTTTAGTTTTTTATGTTAATCTTGCTTTAATCCGCTTAGTTAAATATTTAATATATTAAAAATTAATAACTATTAATATATTCTTTATTTAAAGAAGATAAAATCCTTTTAACTATATAAGTAATTAAAAACTTAAAAAAAAATAATGTGAAATTTATGCTTATAATTTAAGTTATTAATATCTTTAATATTTTTAAAATTATATTGCATTATAAAATAAATTAATAATGCTTATATAAAGAATTATACATTAATAAGCATAAATTTAATTAAATTAAAGAGTAAATGCTTATTTAATATATTATTAATTAAGATATTTAAGGATTTCCTTTGCAACTTTTTAATATAAAGGATATAGCTAATCTTTTGTTAATATTGTAAAATGCTAAACTTATTAATAAGTATTAAGCTTAATGCTTTATAAATTAATAACTTAGCTTTAAGATTAAGTTTAATTATCCTTATAATTATTAAAGGGCTTTTTATAAAGATTTAGAGATTATTAGGAATTAATTTAAATTACTTTATAATATAATGACTAAGTATTAAATTATTAATAATAATCTTTATAACTTTAATAAGATTGGCTTTATAATAAGTATAATTATTATATTAATAATTATTATATATATTAATAAATATGGAAAGGCTAAATTAATTTAGCTTAGTAATTAGGAATAGGTAATTATTATTAAATATATTAATATAAGCAGGTTATAAATCTTATTATTTATAATTATTTAAGGTGCTTATTATTTTGCTAGCTAGGCAATAAAGTTAAGTTTTTTAAATAATTAAGTTATTAAGCTTATTTTTAATAAATAAATAAATAATAAGATTGGTTTAAAATAAATTTAGCATTTTAATAAATATATTAAATTAAAAAAAGATATTAATTATTAAATATTAATTATAAATAATTATAAAAGCTATATATTAGCTAAGTTTAATTAATATTATAAAGATAATAAAATTATTATTATTAATATATTACTATATTTATTTTACTTGCTTTAGCTATTAAATATTGCGTTATATTTGCCTTTAAAGTACGCATATAGTAATTAAATTAATCTTTTTATTTAAGCTTTTATTAACTATATTATTAAATTTAAGTTCTTTCTTATATTTAAGATAGCTTATAATAAGATTTTTATAATAAAAAATATTAAGTTTGCATTTAAAGAAGTTGGAATTTCCCCTTAAAACCTTAATTTTATAATTTCTAAGCTTAATATTTACTTGCAAACTCCTATATAGTTTTTTTTTATTTCCCCTTAAAAATAAAAGTCTTAAATATTATTAAATGCTTAATAAACTATTTAGTAATTAAGTTTTATTAAGGGTAGGATTTCTGCTTATTAAAAAAGCTTTCTTATATTAATTATAAATATTATTAACTAATTAATAAAGGGTATATAAGTAATAATGCATTTACTTATTATAATAAGTAAGTAAATTTATATACTTTAGGAGGTTAATATAATGCTTATAAAATGCTAAAGGGCTAAAAGAACTTAAGTATAGCTTAAAGGAGTACTTATTATTAAAGAATCTTATGCTTTTATTTAAGAAAAATAAAAGGGGAAGTGGCTAGCTAATAAAATTAATAATAATATTAAGGAGTTGATTTATAATAAATTAATTAAAAGATAATATAGTAATTATAATAAAACTAGGTATAATGCAAGAATTTATAAAAAAGATAAAAAAGGATTTATTTAATTAAATTTTAATTATATTATAGTAAATTTAGCTTAATTAGCATTAATTAATATAAATATATAGGTATTGGTAATTTGCAATGAATTAACTTTTTAAGGGTATAGTTAACATTAAATAATGCTAAATATATATTTCTTATTAAAAGTTAATTAGTTTAGATTAGCATTGTAATTATGTTAATGCCTTTAAATTAATGAAATTAATTAGAAATAAGGGTTTAATTATAATTAGTATTAATTAATGCTAAATCTTATAAATCTTTTTACATTAAGTGGGTGTTATGGCTAGCTAAAGTTAGCTAAAGTTATAAAAATCCGCCACTTCCTAATATCCGCCACTTCTTAGTAAACCACGTTATATTAAGTGGAGAAGGTAAACATTGCATCTATATAGTTGGATCTAATACAAGTACTCAGCCACCCTTGCTCTACTTCAGCAACTTCTTACGCGCCTGATATAAGTTTCCTCTCGGTGAGTTTCACCTTCAGCGGGTCTTTCACCCAGACAACCAGGACGCGGCCATCGTCCATCCAGTCCTCCTGCCCAGGCGCGAGCTCCACGTCAAAGCGGAATAGCAAGCGCGAGATAACCACCCTGAGCTCAGACAAAGCTAAATTCTTGCCCACGCAATCTCTAATGCCGAAGCTGAAAGGGTCTGTTCACGAGTTGTCCCAGTCAGCAAGTGTCTCTATGGGGCGTCGGGAGGGCCCCTCCGGAAGGAGAGAGCACAGGGCCGGACAGGGAGGCAGAGAGCGGGCGGCAGGATCGCGGGTATGGTGGTCAAGGAGAAGGGAATGTGTCTGCTACTTACGGAAGCATTGCTTGTTGTCGTTGGAAAAGACGGGCTCATAAAGTTCGTGGTTCGCGGGCAACCATCGCTCCGGCCGGAAGTTATCTGGGTCATGGAAATTGTCTGCATTGTGGTATGTCGCCCACTGGAAGATAGTGACAACGGTCTGCGCATGCACACGGTACGGGTCAGTTCTCAAAATTGCCTTGTCAAGGTGTGAGGAAGAACATGTAGAAAGTGCAAGAAAGAACAGTGTAAATGGCGGTCTAGGGTAGTAGATGGAAAGTCGAGGATGAGAAGCGTTGCTTATTACTCACCCCCTTGGGAATGTGCTCTCCTTCAAGTTCCGCGCCGGGGCTGACCCGCGGAGGGGTCTGCGCTGCAGGCGGGTACATCCTGAGGATCTCATCAATCGTGGCCATAAGGTATGGCAGACGAGCAGTGGATTTCATATCGATTTCTGCCTCACTGGCGAATGCGCCCCGGATCTCGGTGACCAACCTGTGGTAATGGTGGCGGAATTTCGCCTGTCCAAGGTGCCATGTCAGTCCTGATAGTGCAGTTGCCGTTGTCTCGCTGCCAGCTGAGATAATCAGGGGCGTGTTAGTAACGAGGTCGCTATCCTGGAAGCCCGGCTGGCCGTCGCGGTTCTTCCTGAGCATATACGTCATGAAGTCCCTACGGCCCCCGGGGCTTTCGCCTTGAGCCTTTCTCGCCAGGGCCTTCTCAGTGGCGAACTTGCGGCCCTCGGCTTCCAGCTTGATAGATTTGGCTGAACTTCCGAGTGACTTCATGAGCGGACGAAGCCAGGGGAATTGCTGGCTAAAACGGTAGAAGCCGCTGGCGACGACGGTCTCGAAAATGGCCGACACCCAGGGATGATAGCCGCCTTTTTTGATGCATCCAAAACTCTCGGCAAACACGAGATCGCCGATGATATCAAATGTCAGGAAGTTAAACCAAGGGATTATGTCGAAAGTCTCGCCGCTCTTCTTGCTCAGCTGAGAGAGCCAAAGGTCAACGTACTTCTGTACAATTGGCTCTTGCTCGTACATGCTTTCGGTACTGAAAGCATGGTTAAGCTGGCGCCGCAGCCGCTTGTGGTTCTCGTGGGTCCCGCCGACTGGTACGTGTTAATCATCTGCTATGGGTCCAAAAGTGATAATATCTGGAACAATTCCCAAGCGCAAAGATCGCGGAACTGTGGCTAGGGAAGACAGATACTGACTTAGGCTAGTCTCGTCACCTGGATGGTAGAAACCGCGTTGTTTAGGCCATTCAATCTTGCCGGGCCGGTGTTGGAATACTTGTGGCCAGGCGATAGAGCCGTCTACTGAAAGATGGTCTGGCGCCACGCGTACAATAGGCCCGTATTTATCGTACAAAGTTTTGGATTCGAGTGTGAGTGTGCCAGATACATTGGACTTCCATTGAAAAGGTATGTTGGATGCTGCGTATAGCTTCGGACCCGGGTATTTGGCCAAGGGATGAAAGAATAGACGATAGACGACAAGCCCGACGCGCCACAGGACAAGCAGCTGAAATGGAATTCTTTGGTTAGCCGTGGCACGGACGCAACCACGTCAAGTTCGTGTTTGTTGACGAGTTTCAGGTGACTTACTGTGCCTACTGCGACGCCCAGGGCCGGTAGATTTCCGGTTGAGGTCGTGCCATCGCCAATGCTACTTGGCAAGACCGTCTTTAGTGAAGGTGGCATGGTTGTTGAGGTGGTCTATGCGGTGCTGTAGAACTTCTCCAGCGTCTTTCTGTGAAGTAGGGTGAGGAGGAAGGGGCAATCATGAGAATACAACGGTAAAGAAAGCGGAAACTGCCATATACTTTATCGTCCGAAAGCAAGATCACAATCATGTGAAAAGTTCTTTCTCGGTTGAGTGAAAGACCGAGATGACAAGCCGTCAACGATGATTGACGTAGTTCATCACAAATACATGTACCTGTCACAGAGTTGAACCGGTGTCTTGATCGGCCCCGAGCAAGGAAGCAAGCGGGTCCTTGACTCTTCTCTCCCTTTCTGCTCTGCAAACATCAAAGCCACTCGCATCTACCCCACTCCTCAAACGCCCAGCATGCCACAGACCTGCGGTTCCTCCCGCAGCTATCAATCAGATTAAAACCCCTCTTCACCTTGAAGGTAGCCACAGACCGCAGTCTAGGCCGTCTACTTCTTGTTGTGTATGCATGTCTGACTCTAATAGCGGTGAAAAGACATACAATGTGGTACATGCCTACCTGTATGGTACCCCTTGGTGAAAAACGTCTTCCCCGCACGTTTTACTTGATGCTCCGTTGTTACGTTACAACTGTAGGATTTGAAACTACGACTGTAAAAACTGTAGATGCTCACAACTAGGTACTTGCAATTTAGTCTGTTGTTAGTCTAAGTCAGCTTCCTGCCATGATAAATCAACAGCAAAGAATCTAATCACTAACACGACAAAGACGATATGTCTTGCATGTTTCTTCTGCCTCCAACAAAACAATCTGGCTGCAGTATGAAGCGACTATCCAAGCTGTGGCGAGTGCCCGGTGAACGAAAGCACCCGACCACCCGAGATTTTAAATCAAAACCCTGCATTATCTTGCAGAATGATACCAAGCAATCTCGAATACAACCCAGGGGCAAAAGTCAGGCCATATTTCGCAATCTAGCCCAGTCACTCGCGGTCGTCCAAGCCAGAGCCGCAGATCCGTGGGACGGCCCGCGCGGCACCGATTCGGGGCCGTGCTTCCTCGGTAGGGCTGGCGAATGGGCGGGCGTTTTGGTGTCGCACCATCCCGCTCCACTACCCGCTCCACCAGCAACTTCTTTTCGCTTGCGCTCTTCGCGTCTTGTGTGGTCTGGTGGGGCGTGGCGGGTTCAATGGCACCGGAGGCCCTTTGCCACACTGACGTGGAGATGATATGTAATGCTGTTTGTCGACAACTTGGCGGGCGAGCCGTGATTTCACAGTCTTATCTCCCCCCATTTCTGTCATCAAGAACTCCGCGATTCGCTGCTGCAGGATGAGGCTTGTGTGGACCGGAATCGTCCGGGAGACGTTGATGGGTTACGCGTTCTGTTCGAGCAGTTGGCCGCATGTCGCCTAGCGTCTTCGTGTTGTTGTCCTCATCGATGACATCATGCACTACGAGCGCGAGGAATTCGACGAGGACATGGAACGCGTGATTATAATCGTCTTGCAGACATCCGCCGACAACAGCACCAGATCCGCGTCTAAAACTTTCATCGCTACTCCTGCGACACCTGCGGATGTATGAAAGTCATTCACCGGCCGTCTCATTTTGTCGATGGACTGAAGAGCTCAGTCAAGCGCAGCGGCGAGCACCTCGAGGTTGAGGAAAAATTGTAAGCTGAGCTGAAATTGTTGTGACAGTGTCATTCACCTGGATAAGATATGTGCTCTTCCGGTGTTGTATATGGTGTCGTGGGGGCCGGTGGGATGCAAAGCTAGGCGGCAGCGGACGGAGTCGACAACTGGCGGCTGCTGTGCAACTGAGACTTGTGTGGCATATTCTGCCGCTCATCGTGGATCCTTGGATCCCTCAGGAACGATAAGCAGAATCGAAAGAATATCCGGTTCGTCTAGAACGTACATTGTATTTTAATCTGCATGCCTAGCTTCTTACATAAATAGTCCTGGCTGAATTCTCTCGAGAAAGGGTGGAAGTACATACGCTTCTGGGACAGGCGCACCTGTGCCCACGTCTGTCCACAGACATTGTTAAGAATACATGAGGGTCTGCATAGTCCTTCTAGACGCAGCCGATAAGAAGCGTTATTCACATTTTATATGTAACTTCAGAGATGTGAAGGCCGAATTCCGGGCTCGGGGTGGGCTGGAAATGTATCCTGCTGTCCACCCGTTCAGAGGCTACAGACGTACACTGCCAGTGCAGTGTAACTATTTAATTTCGATGAGACTGCTACATATGGTACACTGGTTTCCAGAAGGCGTTCCGGAAAGATCTGACTTTTTTGGTGTGTCTGGCTACAGCGTAGCGGTTGCAATGTACTGTCTCAATATCAATAAGAAACAAAGGGCCTGTAGGAGCGGCTGCAAGCTTGGAATCTGCCTTCGAAAAACGTTCAGACCAATGTACACAGTGTACATCAATCAGCAGTTTCCGAGTAAATCAGTCCCCGTTGTAGGTGCACAACCGGAGAATCGCCAGCAAAGCCAGGGAAACGAAACTGAGATGCCTTTTCTTTTTTTGCTAATGGAGGTTAAAGACACGTAGCACAAGCAAGAGCATTGGGTTCGTCCGGTGTCGAGTATCCGCAGTAATTCCCGGAGGCAACCCCCGCTACCTGGCCCGAGGCTCCGCGCTTGTTGTCATCTAGCCATTTGATATTGTATTGGTGGGAGTACAAGCGCGGGGAGAATCCGGGGTACGGGGAAAGTTATGGAGAAGAGAGGGGGAAACCAGGGACGGCCCGCTCCCTCGGTTAGTTTAATGGGATCGACAAACACCAGCCCTGAGACGTGGTGATCTGGCACAACGCATCAGCGGAGCACCCTGGCAATTTGACCTAAGCAACCTTTTCGTCTGATTGTCCTGCTGCTGTATGAAAAGTCCCACGACGTACCGGATCTTCTATGAAAGTAGCCGCAACTGGTAATTATCACTAGGTAGTGCAGCAAAGACTGGCAATGCATTAAGCACATTGATGAGAATCGTAATCTAAGGATTGGCGTATCCGTTTCCACATATCCCTTTGCGTGCGGTAATATGCCAGAAACGCTGGACTTCCACTTAAAACATCAATAAAAACAGTCTTGTTAAGAAGCGCTTCGCAATCTTGAAAGTTTGCTAAAGCTTTTTAAGACTATGTTAGTGGTGGTACCCTATTTGAGACGTTTCTGGCGTATTGGAACCTTGAAGGGATGATGAATATAGATGTGCGTATAAATGAATATGAATGTGCATATGATTGTTGAAGGCATGTCTTCTTGTCTTAACACTCATGCACTTGAGCGGTGACATCGGTAAGGTAAAATCATGCCACGCCAAGCCTTCAGGCGGCAATGATCTTCGTTTAAAATGAGACTGCAGAACATCAAACTTGACAGGTTCGAAAGAATACGATAGATGAGTGGATAGTGGCGCCAACATCCATTCGACGGAGCGGATCAAGGGCCGGGCTTTTGTCCTAGCGGATGCCATGAGTGACGAATGCTCCTCAAGCAGGTTGCAGGCTTCGCAAATGAAAGGGGGAGGCTCTCAATACGACCTGCGCGCTAGGTTTCTCAGCAATAAAGTCATGCACTGCTGAGATATCGTATTCTTTACATTCTTTTTTGCCTAGTAAAATCAGCATAACCTTACTACCTTTCTAACATTGCCTGAAATAACGCAATGGTACGGATTGCCGTCCTTTCTATCTTGGTGGCCGGCGCGACAGGCTTTGTCCATCCGGGCCTTCTTCATACCGAGGATGACTTTACCAGAGTCAAGGAGTATGTCAATGAAGGCAAGGAGCCGTGGCTCACGGCTTGGAACCTGCTCACGACAAATTCACACGCCTCCCCTACGTACGAGCCTCGCGCAGTGGAGACAGTATACCGCGGCTCCGACGGGGAACACGCAAAGAACTATCCGCAGTTGTACAATGATGCCCACGCTGCTTACCAGCTAGCTCTTCGCTGAAAGATCAGCGGGTCTTCTGAGTTTGCGGTCGCAGCGACCCGGATACTAGATGCCTGGTCGTCAACTATGAAGGCCATCGGAGGAAGCAGCGACGGCTTCCTTGCAGCACGTCTCTACGGGTATCAGTTGGCAAACGCCGGAGAGATCATGCGGGATTACAGCGAATGACCGGAGGCGAATCGCACGCGCCTCGGCGATCTCCTCGAGACTGTGTTCTACAAGGATAGTTACAGATTTTTAAGGACACACAACGATGCATCTCAGTACCATTATGTAAGTTATCATGACAAACGTCAAGTTTCGACGCGGTAATGCTAAAAGTTGAATGCAGTGGGCAAATTGGAATCTCTGCAGTATTTCCGCCATCCAAGCCATTGGCGTTTTCACTGACAACCAGACGATGTATGACTACGCCGTGAACTACTTTATCGGCGGCGATGGCATGGGCGCCATGCCAAATTTCATAATCGCCAATCATACCGAAGATGGGTCGGGCAAAATTCTGGCCCAGAGTCGAGAGGCTGGGCGAGACCAGGGACACGCGACGCTTGATATCGCTCTTTTGGGGGTGGTCCTTCAGCAAGGATACAACCAAGGGAACGATCTCTTCGAGATCATGTCGAACAGTGGTCTAGCGGCGTGAGTATTCTCTACGTTTCATCCCATGAGCTGCGTTTCCTTTCGTGGTGTCTATGCATCAACGACGCATATGTTGTCAGGTCGGAGTATGTCGCGAAGTACAATGTGAATGAAGACGTGCCCTTCACAGAGTACGACAATCCTGATCAGGGTACCATGACCGAGATCTCCTCAGCGTCTCGAGGCAACGTGCGAGCCGGGTTCGAACTCCTGTACCAGACATTACAATGACCTTCGAGGCCTCGACTCATCCTGGACGAAAGCATATGTCGACTACGCCAACAACGGAACCGGTGTGGTTGAGGGAGGCGGTGGCAACTACGGGAGCAACAGTGGTGGATATGATTACCTTGGTTTCGGAACTCTCATGTATCGTCTGACCTCTTAGCCACGATTATTGCTTTGCAGATTAGGGACACCAATTGTTGGCATTACTGTCGCTTCCACCGGATCTGATCAGAGAACAATGGCAATTCAAGATATGATCGGTCAAGAAAGATATCTGCGCCTCGTATATCCCTTTGGCATGGCCCCTCCTTCCAACCTTTGCAAGACTTCCATCTCGTCAAGTTGTCCCCACCTACAGAAGCAGAGATCATCGATGACCATTGAAAGAGGTTAGAGATGGACTCTAACCGCTGCTTGGTCCGTACTGGACTGAGTGACCGCCGGGAAGCTCGGTGAGCCCTAGACAGAGCGCAGTAGGTCAGCAGCTGCCATCATGTCAGAAACAGTGGATTACGCAACGTACATCCATCAATATTCTCATCTACCACGGCCGCCTGCTTGCACTGATTCATGGCGGCGGTGGACTGGCTCTTTGCCCCCGCACAGTTCACCACGCAGGGCGTGTCCAGGATCTTCTGCAGGGCGTCGCCCTTCCAGCCAAAGACGTAGTCGGCATGGTTCCCGTACCCGGTGGCGTCCCCAAACGACCACACGAAGGGCTGGCTGCCGTCCGCGGGCCAGTCGGCCTTGTTGTTGAACTTGCTCGTGTCCCAGACGACCTCGAAGAGGACCTGCGCCATGCGCACGGGGTGGCTGGCCGGACAGGGCCCGCCGCTCTCGAAGGTGCCGCTCTCCGGGTAGGCCATGTGCGCCATGTGGTCCGGGGAGTCCAGGTTCACGCCGTCCCAGCATGTCGGGAACCGCGCGTTGACCATGATCCCGGCGGGACAGGGCTTGGTCGGCATGCCTTGGTGTTTGTGTGTGTTAGTACCAGTGTCCATATCTGTCGAACCCACGCTCAGGGTGAAAGGGGGGCTGGGTCGGACGTACCAAGTGTCTCGGGTGCTCGTGTCCCTGAGTTCTCCATGCAGGTGTAGGTCAGCTGTCGGAATTTGAGGACTTGCTCTCTGCTGCGTGCGTTGACATCTCCGATAAACATGCGGAAGCCCTGATGGTCTCGTCAGACTGGATAAAGTCACGATATAGAGGCAGCTGAGTCCTATCCTTTTGACCTACCGGCTTGAACGACGTGACTTTGGACTTCTGGGCCGTGTCGTAGAGTGCATCCTGCATATAGTAGACGGTGATGCCGCCCTGGGCCCCATTGATCTGTGACGTCTGCGGGACGCGTTTGAACGTCCCGTTGCGTGCGCGGAAGTACAGCACCGCCGTCCAGTAGTTGGAAAAGTCCTCGCTGAAGGAGCAGGTGGTACATGTTGATTCACCAGGCAGGTCTCTTGAGGGATCCATCGAGGCATTGAATGCATTCTGTGTGTATTCTCATTAGAGAGGCAGCATTATCTCAACGCGAGAGCATCAACGTACACCACCGACGATCTGGTGAACATGGGCTGACGGAACCTGCCCAGGGTTCACCAACGGGTCGAGTCTTTGGACTACCAGTTGCGAGCATTGGAAGCGGATAAGCGCGCTGCTCAGAGTGAACAGCGCCACAAGGAAGAGTATACGACGATACATTATGTTTTTGGTGTCTTGTGCTTTTGGTTGAGCTTCAGCGAGGAACAGTTAGTATTGACGAGGCATGAGATATCAGCTACATACTCTGAGTGGACTTCTTAAATCGAAAGAGTTCCTCAAGTAACTCTGTTCTTGGAGGGTGAATGATTTTCCGGGGGCGATGGGTAATGGGTCAATGTGGTTCCTGCCTACCTTCCCCTCTAGAAGAGACCAGTGATAGCTAGCGAAGGGTGGAACAGGTGATGCTCGGAATTGTCCTATCAGTGCCAAGTAGGATGACCCGATGGACAGTATCAATTACCGTTACAACACCCATTGGTGAATCAACTACATTTGAGTGACGTGGTACAGGAATATCAATGGGTGTGGTGAACAAGAAGCTCTCATGGGGAACGAAGGGTAATTCTCCGTTTCCGTTTATAGTAAAGTGGTATGAGACAAGTCATATAAGTCGTTTATCGAGCTCTTTGCGGATCTTCACGTGCCGATCCGTAATGCTTATGGCATAAGGCCTGTTCTCATGGTACTGACGGTGAGCCAAGAATTTATTTATCGTCCAGAGTGTGATTGTAGACCACACATGAGACTGAAAGTTACGGCCCGGGAGTACTGTTGTCGATCATTTAGACCATGCATTGCAGCAATATAATACCCTTCAGAGAACTGGTACTTCTTTCGGTATCTCTTTATTCCATTTCTTTCCCCCCTTCGCTTGAGAAAATGAGCTAAAGGTCCGTGCAAGACACAATACAAAAGTCAAGCGCTGTTTTTCAACTTTATCTACCGTTCACCTGTCAGTTGAATGAGCACTATAAAGTAGATGAGCCAAGCCCATGATGAGTGGGTTGTCCAATAAAATGAAGATTCATCGACAGTAGCTGTCAAAGTAACCCTACTCTGGATCATATCTTCTAGTGCCCAACTGCCGAAAGGGGGCGCACCACCCTCCGCACCGAGGCATTTAGCCATAACTTACTACCAACGTTCCGCGCATATCTGTGTTACGGTTGATGCCAGTAGTAGCCTTGAATAAGTCCTAAATATGAGATCCCCGTGCTTCCGTTCTGCCAGGACATCAGGTCACCCTGCTTGCAACCCAGCTCAATAACAATGCGAATCCAAACTAGTCTCCTTCTTGTTTTCATCTCGTCCGCCCTGTCGGACGGCCCCTGCGACGTCAATAGCGATTCTTGCAGGTCGGTCATCAACGCCAGTGCCTGCTTCAACGAGTTCATGTCTTTTGGAAACAAGAACCAGATGCTGAATTGTCTTGCTGGTACGGATGGGACCGCTACGCCCCAACAGAAGGTAAGATAAAGGATCCAATGACTGCACATGCATTTACTAAGTTTACCTCGCAGATGTGCGCGTGCACCGGCTGCCTCGGACCGGCCATGATAAATTGGATCAATAAAAATCAGGTCTGCCCTTGAGCGATAGTGAAGCTGCTGGGGAAAGGGAGCATGATGTGTGGGTTGGACTTCATAGGAGACGAGGTATCTGTGGCAGGGTCGAATGGGACTGGCAAAGTGTGCGATGTTTGTATTCGAAGTGGGCGCGATGGCTAGAATTTGACCAATCTAATCTGCTAAGACTCCAGTATCACCAGACCATACCACAGTTCAGTATCATCGCTACTACTGTCATGAGTGAATCTTACCCTAAGACTACTCTTGTCATCGAAAACAGTGGAGAAATAGGTGAGGAAATACCGGGGATCGAATATGACTATTAATTTTTGTCCTCAGTGAGAATCAAGTAAGCTGCCCACGAGTTGGAATGAATACAATGAGCTGCAAGTCTCCGAGGAATTCATGCTCCGTCTACGTCAGAGAAACGTGAAATTTGAAATCAAGTAAGGAAGCAATATTGCGAGTACTCTGCAGAAAAGACTTGCCTGTTTCGGGATATATCTTCCAACCCTGGTTACACTACATCTCCCTGGGTGGTTAGCGTAATTCCGCCCAGCAGGCTCCAGCGGTCTATTTCAGACTGCATGTTCTAGCATCTCCTCGTACTAAATTCCATAAACCTGCTTCGTCCGCCATCTCTACTGACTCCATCCGGCCATATTTACACATCAGCACCGAGGTATTCGTTGACCGGTAGGAGTGATGGGAAATCACAACAGGGAGAGGTTCGACCTTATGAGGCTCGCCCCCGAGCTCCAGGTCAAAGTGTTCGAGGCGCTCCCCACGCCCTGGGCGGTAGTAGGCCTCCGGCTCACCTGTCGGGACCTCAACGCCCTCTTCCTCGCATATAGGACGCAGATCGAGACCGCCACCAGGGACAACCTCGTGGCCCCGTTCTACGACTACTACCGCTTCCTGGGCAGACTGCACATCCCCGAGTCCGACATCAAGCACCCGCCCGCTGAGGGCTGGCCAAACATCACGGTCGAGAACTGCTCCGGGTTTCGGGAAGTCGGCCTTTGTCGTCGATGTCTTGCGCCACCTGCCGTACATCGCCGACCATGGCGAGTTCGAGAGGAACATCAGCAACACCGACTTCAAATCCAACGTCATCGACTACTCCAAAACCACACGCAAAGACTTTGGAGGCGGCTCTATCAAGTCTGGAGAGATAACGCACGAAGCCGAAGGCCCGGTCAGCAGGCACAAGGTGGTCATCGCCGAGGGTTACGAGAGCGGCGGGATCGACCTGATCCTTGACACGAGGACTGGGGAGATCTTCGAAGAGATCATCAGGATCGGCCCTGGTGAGAACCTGCCCGTTCGGGAGTACTTCGAACTGAAGATGAAGCAGTGCAGGGAGCTAAAGACGGTGTTCGCCCCGGGGGAGGATGCCCACTGGGGAGGGTTCGGGAACGAAGAAGGGCCATATGACGCCGCGGCGATGGAGGAGGCTGGAGAGCCAAGCTGTCCTGACGATTACTTTGCTTTGGAGGGACAAATTCAAGATCTGAAATGGGTGTGCCATCTCTATAGAAAGTACGGTTGGCCTGGAGAGGGCTGGCGGAAAGAAGAAGGCTTGAAAGCGATCGCGGAGTACGTGGCAAGAAGAACCGCCGAAGAAAGAGTAAGGCACGAAGAAGTGGACAGAAGGAAACGCGAAGAGGAAAGAAGAAACGCTGAGGCGAATCTATGATTGCCTGGTCGATGGCTTTTGGTTTCCCGTCGACTATAACCCCTCAAGATGCGATAACGAGGGACTCAGGATTAGACTGATAGGACGTATAATGTGAAAAACTTCTTGACCTCACGGCCTGTACTCGCTCGTCGGCCTGAGCCCCAAGCCAGACTTCTCATAAATCATATCCAACGCCCTCATCTGCCCGATGCTGTTCTCATTCTCGATGAAGTCCCCATTACCTTCACGACCCCGGATCCGGTTCACAAACTGCTCCAGCTCGTGGCGGTACGTCAACCAGTAGGTCTCGCCCGGCTCGTCGACGCCCATCTCCTTGAACGTGTACGCCTTCTTGGTCTCCTTCTTGGTATACTTGCGCACCACCTCGCCGGAGCCCTTCTTCGTTACGACGAAGTCATCCTCGATTTCGATACGGTGGTAGACGGGCGCGAACATGAAGTTGACAAAGACAACCTTGCGCGTCCGCCTGGCCTCATTGCCCTCCTCGGAGCCCGCCTCGACCACAGCCCGGTGTTGCACCGTGACGGTCGGCCACGACAGGCTGAAGTTCGACCCGCGCAGCCCTCCCTCGATCTCGCCGATGACGTCCCCGGGGAACTGAAACTGCGCCCGGAAAGTGTCGTCGCACCTCTCACGCGGCGGCGGCCTGCGCTTCAGGTCCGCCTCCACACAGGCCTCGGGCTCCACGCCGAGCGTCTTGCGCAGGGCCATGACGGTGTACGTGCCGACGTCCATGGCCGACCCGCCGGCGAGGTCGTAGTCGAAGCGGATGTCGTCGTCCTTGGCGACGAACGACGGAATAACGGCGCGGGCGCGGACGTGGGCCACGCTGGGGCGGTCGACGGCGGACAGGAACAGCCGCCAGGCCGGGACGAAGAAGGCGTGGAAGGCCTCCATCAGCACGGGGGCTGGACGGCCCTGCTGCTGTGGGTTCAGGAGCAGGGGCGAGTGGAAGAGAAGCTCGGCCTCCTCGGCGTTGGAGGTGCTGGGCTTCTCGAGCAGGACGTGCTTGCCTGCGGCCAGGGCCTTGAGCGCCCACTCGAAGTGCAACCCATTGGGAGTGGGGATGTAGACCGCATCGATGGCTGGGTCGTCCAGGATTGCTGGGGTGGTGTCAGCATATGGAATCTGAGTGGGTGGGCAAGGGAGAATGGGAGCTCCTTCAACCTTGGTAGCTGTCCCTGACCTCAGGGATGCCGTGGCTCTTGGCGTAGGCGACGGCCCTCGCCTTGTCCCGGGCCGCAACAGCGTAGACGATCACCTCGGGATGGCTCTTGGCCGGGGTAATGAAGCCCATGTCTGCGATGTTGGCCGCCCCCAGGATGCCAAACTTGATGGCATCGTCCTGCTTGGGTGCCACGGGTGGCCTGAAGATGAGCCAGTTGCGGCGCAGAGCACCCAGGAATGAGGCCATTTGAACCAGGATGTGCCGGCTGCAGGCGGTGGGGGTGCCTGCAGTGAAAGGCTTATGAGTTTCGATGAGATGAACGTGAAAAGAGGCGATCAGTCTCAGTTGGTGAGTTCCATATGTCGAGGGGTAGACGTCCCAGGGCGGAATGTCCGTGCTGAAGTACATGCATGTTACGTGCGGCACACCACCTCATCATGACCCCCTTGCTGCGGCAGCGGCCCATCCGGTTCCTCCGCATTCAGACTGCCCGGATTCCGGATTTTGTGACCAACCCATTTATATCCTATCTCCATGCAGATGAACTGCTGATCGTCTCGGGTTGACCCGACGCCGTGTGAGCAGAGTCTTATCTACACTGGTCGTTGTTTGCTGGGCCACAGCTGACGAGGATACATGTGACAGTGTACATGCACGAGGAAGGTGCGACTTTGGTGGGGCCAAGGGAGAGAGACTGGGCAGTTGCATGTGGTACAAGGCGTTTCGACGACAACAGCTCACAACATATAAACGGGTATTACAAAATCTATACACGCCAATCTTGTTACAGCGACTATTTCGTCTGGCCAAGCCAGCACTGGTACAGCCCTGGGACCGCAGCTTCGCTCAGCTGTCGACCCAGCACTTACTTGGTGGGAATGGTGCCCGCCTTACCACCCGACGCCTCAAAATTATTAACAATGGCCTCATCCTTGACCAGCTGCCACACATCCTCAATGGCCTTAACAACCTCAGGCTTGAGCGGGCCCCTCCTGATCCCCTCGACCGTCTGCGTGATCTGCTCAGGCTTGCTCGCCCCAACGATAACAACATCGCCCAGGTCCTGCTTCAGCGCCGAGTGGTAGTACACCCAGCGGTACGCCACCTCGGCCCGCGGCACGCCCTGCAGCTCCGCGATCCCCTCCCAGCGGCCCAGGCCCTCGAGCAGCTTGGGCTTGTTGTACATGTCGTGGTACATCTTGACGACAGAGCTCCCGCCTTCAGTCCGGAACCGCCCGCCCGCGGTGCCCTGCTCCAGCGCGGCCTTCGTCTTGGTCAGGAACCCGCCCGCCACGGGCGAGTACGCGTAGAAGGCGATGCCCAGCTCGCGCAGCACGGGGAACAGCGTGGTGTCGATGTGCCGCGACACCGCGTTGTAGTTGCCCTGGTACACGGTGGGGAGCACGAACCCCTTTGCTTTCGCGTACGAGTGCAGCGCCCGCGTCTCCTCTGGCGTGAAGTTGCTCACGCCGAGCCGCCTGAACTTGCCCTCCTTGTGCAGCGCGTCGACCTGCGGCACCCACTCGTCCAGGGGCAGCTCGCGGTCCGGGCCGTGGATGTACAGGATGCCCACCTGCTTGGTCTTGAGCTTGTCGAGCGAGGCGTTGAAGCGGCTGGTGATCTCCTTCAGGGACCCTGGCCGCCAGCCGCCGGGGTTCTTGGTCGAGATGATGAAGCTGTCGGCGGCGCCCACGGAGCCCAGGTCGACCTCGTTGTTGCCGTACATCTCGGCCGTGTCGATCTCCTTGATGCCCGCCGCCTTGGTCGCGTCAAGGGCGGTCTGCAGCTTCTCGGCGCCGGGGAAGGCGGCGGTTCCGATGGCAAGCTTCAGGTCGGAGCCGGACATGGTGACTGACGATGTGTGTTGTGTGGGTGTGTGATGTGTTGAAGCGGTTGGAGAGGGGCGAGATGTTTCAATGTTGTGTGGGTGGGATTATTCTACTGTCGTGCCTTTTGGGGTGCAGAGGTCTGTGGCAGATGTTCTACTTCAGTCTTGGGGAGGAACGAGGAAGACGGAGCTACTTTATACTCCTGCCAATCAACAAGGAGCAGTGGGCTGAAGCAACTGGCTAATAACCACGATCGCCTGTGGATTCCATCAAGGTCGAGATCCGTTTATTAAGCAGGTAAGCACATGCGTCCAACGGCCACCCCACCAGCCAGTCTTTGGCCCGGCGGAGACGCTCAGACGGAGCAGCACGTCACCACACAGTGTTTGAGGTGATGCACCCATGCACCCCTGCGGCCGCCTACGAGAGACGCGTCTGGTTCAGAGTATGTCCCGACTGTTTTAAGACGGAAATGGAAACAGCCGATCTCCTCCTAGCAAAAGGACAAGCAAAAGGGCAACAGGCACTGTCTCATGGTGCTTGATCGTGCATGCAGTTGGTTACGACTAACCTGGATGATGAATTCCACCCTCCCCGGTAAAGAAAATCTCTGGCGTATCCCATAATGACTAGCAATCCCACTGCTAAGAAATTAATATTTCTAAATAACTTTATTACTCTTAAAATAAAGATTTACTTTAAGTTGGCAATTAAATTTTAAAAAGGTTAATTAAGGTAAGAATAAATGATATTAATAAGCACCGCTAAGCATTACTTAAGGCCCAACCCAATATTCTTTATATTTCTTAAAAATAAGCGAGATGTGTTTTTTTGGAGATGATTTTAAAGTTAAAGGAGCTAAGACTTCTGAGTGGGACCGCTAGCCGTTCTGGGATACGCTAGCAGATTCTCTTTACCTGTCACGACTCACGAGAGGGAATACAGAGACAAGGCAGCTGTCCTTAATACGTCAATTCAAAGCAAGACGGCGCTACCTTCTATGTAAGGAAGAGGGTTGGTGGAAATTGTAGGCAAGGGGTTTTATGCCTAAGGGGTGTGGGGCCTAGAGCCTCAGTGAATGCTAGCAGTCAATGGGGCCCAGTCACACACATACTCACATTACCGGGGAGGGTGGAATTCATCATTCCGACGACTAACACGGCAGATAGGCTGCAGCTTACAAATTCACATTTCGGTGCCGACGCCGCCTCCGTCCTGCGACAGACACCCGGCTGATCAAAGCCCCAGGCTACCTGCGGGGGAGAGGGGGGGGGGGGGGAGTTCCCCATTGCCAAGGATCAAATGTGGCCGACCGGTGCATCAGACGTGCCGTCAATTGGTATGCGACATATGGGATCTCCCGGAAGGACAAGGAAGGCGGGAGAGATGCGACATCGTGGGAGTGACAAAAACTGAAAAGAGCACATGCACAGATAGGTACGACCACACACTGCCTCAATTGGTAAGTCATCAACATTTTACATACGCGATATCAGCTGACGGCGCGCTGGATGGACCGGCCGGTCTGAGCTGCATTCTTGTGCTCCCTGTAATTGGTAAGTGGAGCAACATCATGATTCACTCGGCGTACGGACCAGCAGACCGGGTCTCAAGCAACAAACAATCTTCGTCATGCTCGTCATCTTTGATTTCTTACGAGAAAAGCCTAGCACAAAACAGAAATACTGCAAAAACGCTGCCCTGCCTCCAACATCCCTGTTCGCGAGAGGCCAGCCATTCTAACGCCACAGACGCCCATGCCGGTGCCATTCGGTGCCAGTCCAACAGACAATAGACGAACCTCCTTCCTGTTGCACTGGGCACACCCTCATGATCGTAAATAAGCAACCCTCTGCTGACATTAAGCCCTCTCCTGATGTATCGTGGCCTTGCGATAGAGACTCGACTTCAAGCCCTTCACACGGCCAAAGTGCAGCTCCCGGCCAAACCTTGAGGGTTTCTCAGTCGGAACCTCTTGATTCGGTCCCGTATCAACTCCTGCAGGTCGGTGGACAACCGGTACCTGGTGGAAGGACGCTAGTCCTCGGCTGGCTCCTCCGCCGCCTCAGCTGGCTTCTCTGCGCTCTCGGCCTTCGGGGACGCTGCCTTAACCTCCGTCGCGGCATCATCCGTCTTCTCCACTGGTTTGGCCGGAGACGCTGGCTTCTCTGCAGGCTCCTGGGGCTCAGCCGCTGCGGCTGGCGACTTGGACTTGGCAGCATCCTGTGCCTCCGCGGCAGGCGGTTCTACGGGCTCGTCGGTCTTGGCCGGCTCATCTGCAGCCTTTTCGCTTGGTTCCGCGTCGGTGGTGGCCGGGTCTGCGCCTGCCGCTGATGGCTGGGCCTCCGCCTCTTCCTGCTTGATAGCCGGAGTCTCGGTGGGCTCAACGGCCTCAGACACAGGAGGAGCAGCCGTGGCCTCAGGCTCGGCCATGTCGACGTCGCCATCTTCGTCCACCTGCATCGTTGCCTCTGCAGCTGGTGGTGCCGGCTCGGGCTCGGCCTCCTTCACCGCCACTGGCTCCTCCAGCTCTGGGGCTGCCGCTTCCGCTTCGGCCTCGACGTCTTCCATGGTCTCGTCGCCCTCGGCGTTTTCCGCCTCGTCTGCTGTTGGAGGCGCGGGTGATGCTGCCCTGGAGACGACAGGAGACGGCTGGCGGCTTTCGTCCTCGGGGGCGTGGGGGTTCTTGTAATCCATGATACCCTTGCGCTTGCCATTCGTCTGGTATACGCCGTTGGCCTCGGCCATTTCCTCGTCATCACTCTCCTCGAATTCGTCGTCGCGAGTGATTTTCTGCTCCCACCGTCGTTGAGTCATACGCACGTCCTTGTTGCGGTCCTCGTCCAAGTCGTCGAGCTCGGCGTCATCCTCGTCCGTCATGCCACCGAGACTCTGGCGGGGAACATCTTGCATTTGGACGGACGGCGCACCGGTCTTCTTGAGGTTTTCGATGACGGCATTCTTGATCTTCTCAAGGTACTCGGTGCTGTTGGCATTCTCCATGTTCGATGGGCGCACATTAAGTTCATAATCAGGACCGTAATACTGAACCCAAAGTTAGCACGTGAGATCTAGGCGGCATGATTGTGGCATTCGGACTTACTTCGTAGTATTCATTGTACGGCAGGACCGGGTCCATCTCCACTCCCACCAATCGACCAGTCTCGTATGCCCAGGTCCTGGCCACATTGCGCATCGTGTAGCCACCGCCACCAAGGACGAGAGTAGGCAGGTTGAAGCTGCGGACAAAGTTCACGCAGTTAGCGTGGCCACGCATGCTCAGGTTGAAACATCCCAGGCGATCGCCCGAGAGACTGTCTCCGCCACACTGTAGGACTACGGCTTCAGGCTGGTAGTAGTCCATCACGGCCTGGATGACGGGTTGGAAAATGGTCTTGTACGTGTCGTCGGTAATTCCATCGCGCAGCGGGAAGTTAACTGCGTAGTTCTTGCCGACACCTATGCCGACATCCCGTAGCTCGCCGGTCCCGGGGAAGTACTCTCCGTACTTGTGGAAAGAACAGGTCATAACACGGTCGGTAGTGTAGAAAGCCTCCTCAACACCGTCGCCGTGGTGGACATCAATGTCGATGTACAGAACACGCTTCTTGTATCGAAGGAGTTCGAGAATCGCAAGGACAATATCTGCAATAGACCCACTTAGTACAAAAAAGTCATTGCCTCCCGTGTCTAGGGACACAACACATACCGTTGACGTAACAAAACCCACTGGCTTCGCTCTTTTTTGCGTGGTGCAATCCACCAGCCCAATTGATGGCAATGTCGCACTTTTGACGGTTGAGACGAGCTGCGCCCTCCATTGAACCGCCAGCGCTGATACCACAGAACTCGAACAGGCCGTCAAACACAGGGCAATCATCACCGACGTTGTACTTAGTCTGCTCGCGCATGTAGCTGTCCATGTTGTCTGGGGTGACTCGCCGGAGGAAATCGATGTACTCGTCTGTGTGGAACTGGGTCATCTCGTTCACCACGGCTGGCTTGGCCCGCTGCACGAAAATCGCATCAGTCTTCTATTCTCAAGAGGGACACTTCAATTCCAGGGTTATGGGTCAGGGGAGCAGAGAGCCGGCGACTGACATAGACTTCCAAATACTTGTAGACATTGTAGTTCATAACCAGGCTGTGTGCCAATCGAATTCTGTGTGGCTTCATGGGGTGCCCAGTGACATATGCATAGTTGCCAATATCCGAGTCGTAAAAGTAGGCAACCTTCTTCTTGCTGGTGTTCAGCTTGGAGAACAGGGGCCGCGACCGATCGACTCCAGCTGGGTCGGTCGCCATACGGGAGCAGCAGGACGGACCGCTCTGCGCGATCCAGGAACTGTGGGTGTTGTGGAATATTTTGTACGGCTTCTCGAAATAGTCGAATTAGATTGACGTCAATTAGGGAGACCAACAGCTGGATTACTGACGAGTCCCCAGGGAGGCTTGCGAATGGTTGGTGGGTGTTACAAGGAGGGAGAGTTTAGAACCGGGATAAGAAAAGGCGATGGCTGCCACGAAGTGACGAAGTTGGGAGAGCTTCCTTCCTTCCTTTTTGCCTGCCGTGCAGCTGCTTCGACACTTCGGGCAAGGGACCTTGCGTCGGCAGCGAAGCTCGGACCCCTGTCAATGATGATGTACTAGCCGTCGCGATCGCCATCTGATTGGTGAGTCGGGCGAGAATGGGCCAACCGCCGACAGACGTCCCACGAAATGGCAGCTGGCGCCGGCTGGCGGGATTGTTGAGTCTACTGCGGTGAGGGATCTGGGTACTTGGGTACCTCGGTACCTAGGTACCCATGGGTGGATGGAGCTGCTGCTCGGGCTCCAGGCTGCTCGAGCTGTCGTCAACTTGAATCAGATCCGTCCATCGCAAACCACCTCCCACCCCCAAGCCGCATCTCGGGTTGTTGACTTCTCTCCCAACACAGCAGCACGTCATTCCCACCGTTTCCACGCGAATCACCCTTTCTGCAACACGCTCCCGCCTTGTTCTCGACATTAACCCTCAATACCCGATCTCGCAAGCAGTATGGACCAGTTCAGAGGACTGTTGAGTGGCGCCCGCGGCCAGCTGGGCGGCGCTCAGCCCGGATCGGTACGTCGCCCAGGACTCGTCTTCTTGAGAGATGCCATTCCACATAACCTCGCTCGCGATTCATCTGCTGACTGGACGCCTCTCCGGTAGGACAACTCTACCCTGATCGATAACTCCGAGACCGTCTACATTTCCTCCCTCGCCCTCCTGAAGATGCTGCGACATGGCCGGGCAGGTGTACCGATGGAAGTCATGGGTCTGATGCTGGGAGAGTTCGTCGACGACTTCACTGTCCGCGTCGTGGATGTGTTTGCCATGCCACAAAGCGGTACAGGCGTCAGCGTCGAGGCCGTCGACCCTGTGTTCCAGATGAAGATGATGGAGATGCTGCGGCAAACAGGAAGGTAGGCAGCGAAGCCTTGTCGCGTTTGTGCCGTGTTCGAGAGCTAGGATGCTGATGACAATCTTTCACATAGGCCAGAGTCCGTCGTTGGATGGTACCACTCCCATCCTGGTTTCGGCTGCTGGCTGTCCAGCGTCGACATCAACACCCAACAGAGCTTCGAGCAGCTTACCCCACGAGCCGTCGCCGTCGTCGTCGATCCCATCCAGTCCGTCAAGGGCAAAGTCGTCATTGACGCATTCCGGCTGATCAACCCTCAGTCGCTCATGCTCGGCCAGGAGCCCCGCCAGAGCACATCGAACTTGGGTCACCTGAACAAGCCCTCTATCCAAGCGCTTATTCACGGCCTAAACCGACACTACTACTCTATCGGCATCAACTACCGCAAGACCGCGCTCGAGGAGAACATGCTGATGAACCTACACAAGCACCCTTGGACCGAGGCGCTGCAGATGGATGACTTCCGGATAGAGGCGGACCACAACAAGGAGAGGTTGGAGAGGCTGGTCAGCCTGGCGGACGGCTACGAGAAGCGCGTTAAGGAGGAGACGGAACTCACGAAAGACCAGCTCAAGACCCGTTATGTCGGCAAGCTGGACCCCAAGAAGCACTTGGAGGATGTCGGCCAGCAGCTCATCGAGGACAACATTGTTGCTGTATCCAAGCAGATGATCGACAAGGAAGCAACCATGCCCAAGAAGGACAGCGCAGGCGGCTCGAAAGATGCTGCGAACGGCGGGGAGATGGATATTGACAGCTGATCGCCAAGCCCTAGGGCGCTGGAATGACACGATTCATGGTATACCATAATGGCATTGTACGACTATCTATGGCGTTAGACTTGGCATCCGGCTTGGAGGGGGCACAAGGTAGATAGGTAGACGTGTATTTCAAAATCGTCTGGCCCAACTTGCGTCCCGCAAGTCCGCAACCCTCGCCTTCAGTTCTGACAGTCCGCACCTGACTTATACGATCGCTTGTTGGCAGTTAAACAGGCGGACTCCTGTAAGCTCATCATCCTGTCGCAGTTCCCCTTCGTGTGTTGATTTGTCTCTAGTGTTGCTGTTCCTTCGGCCACGGAGCGTCTGGCTTGTCTCACTGTCTTTGTGACTAACAAAGACGTGTGCCGTGGTTTCCAAAGAGTCAGAAAGCTTCACTGTGTGACATGTGGACAATTCCCTTCTCCCCCAGCCGACGAGTCTGTTTCCTTTTTGTCTCTGAGCCGTAGTCACGGCGAAACAATGTCGGGCTCCGAAACAACACCATTGTTCTGAGCAAGGCTCTTATGATCCTCACCCGCGTTCCTTTCTGCTGAGGATATCATGGACTTCAACATCTCTCGCTCTTAAAACAGGTTCACATTCCCCCATGTCTCGAATGATACTCTCTGCAATCATTGACACATCACTCCTCGCTTCCACACAGTATAGCCAAAGCAAGCCAAGAAGGGCCGGACCCAAGAAAGGCCTTGCTGTTCGGTTATCCCAAAAATATTCTTTAAAAAAGAAGTGCAAAGGAAGAAATGGAGGATTGTCCCACCAAATTTGTTGATTTCCTCGACTGCTGCCTCGGCCGCCGAAAGAAAGAAGAGACCATCGAACTAACACCGCAGAGCAACACATACGGGCAAAAGCTGATGGAGACTCTGGACAACAAAGGGAGACGGAACGGGGCGAAGCCAGCGAAGGCCGACATCTCTAAGCCTCTACCCATGAACCCACCAGGTAGGGCCTCTCTTGACTTGGGCAAAGCCCGCCGCCCATCTGCAGACCTGAGTGACCTTGTAGGAAGCGACGGCGAAGACACACCCGCCCCACACAACTACGACCGCGCCTGGTACGAAATGCTGAGCAGCCTCCACAGTGCGCTCAAGCACACGCGGTACTCGATCAGCGGCAGGATGGGCATGTCGGTCTGGGGCTGTGCCAACGGCGCCAAGACCGGCCTGTCCGTCGTGTGCCCCATCGAGTCCCGCGAGGCCGTCAGGATCTGGTGCATCAGCACGAGCGGCCGCTTCAGCATCACCGAGGCCGAGCCCGACATCCTCACCTTCCAGTCGCCCGGCACCCCCCAGAGCCCGTCCCGCACCTGGCGAATTAGGATACGCTGGCTGCGCGAGGCGACGTTCGAGGCCATGCCCAAGGTCGAGATGGCGCTGCGGTACGACGACGGCAACCCCTACGCGGGCGAGCAGGTCGCCGAGGTCAACGTGCTGACGCTGCCGGCCCTGCTGGACAACTGCGCGGGCGCGTGGGCCGACCACCTGCGCAGGCACGGCGAGGACGACAGCCGCCTCCGGGGAATCGAGGACGACGTCTTCTCTATTCTTGAGCGCATCATGGACCTTAACTTCGCCGAGGAGGGGACCGGCCCGTTGACAGAGTATGAGTGCAGGCACGTCACCAGGACTGCCTTCTGGACTCCATTCACGAAGAAGCACCCAGACTCCCCCGCCATGTTCGCCCTGTGCGGCCTTCCGATGCCGCAGCCGAAGCCGATCGCGACAACCCAGCCTGGCCCCAACGCAGACATGGTCTACTCGGCCGACGGCCGCTTCACAAACCCCCGCCCCGCTCCTCCTCCTCCGGTCCCACCCAAGGACAATGGCCGCGACCTCACCTCCAACGTGAAGCGCAAGCCTGAGGCGGAGGCTGAGCCTGCGCCCCGCCGCCGCGTCTCGTTCATGGACCTGTTCAATTCTCCCGGTCGCAAGGATGCCAAGGCAGCGCACGCGGAGCGCGAGAGGCGGCACACCGAGGACGCGAGGAGGCTCGAGGAGGAGGTGCGCCGCGGAGCGCGCAGGCTGGACGAGAGGGAGAGCGAGCGGAGGAGTCGCAGGGAGGGGCAGACGACCTCCCGTCACGGGAAGGGGAAGGAGAGCGAGAGCCGCCGGCGAGAGGGTGGGAGTAGCAAAGACAGCCCGCGTCTGAAGGAGGCGCCGTCCAGGCCCAAGGAGCACCGGGACCGGGACCACCACCGCAGGGACAGCACCCCGCGGTCGTCGGTGTCCTCTTCTTCTCGGCGGCCCAGCTCCAGGTCCAGCAGTGCTCGTGACGGCACCAAGGTGAGTGCCTTCGACCCGTCGGCCCTGGAGCGGACTGCCTCCGGCAATGGGCGTATTCCCCGGCGCGGGCACTTCGCTGATCTGTTTATTGAAGACGATGGGGAAGCTTTGTAAAGAGATGGTGCTGAGGTGCGGAAAATTGCTTGATACAACAGCACAATTTGTTGCTGTTCACAGTGGGGCATAGCTGCCTCCCCTACCTTTTCCTTTGTCTTTTTTTCGGTCGTCCATTCCGGACTAAATAAATAGGTAAGTGGGTAATTTGTAACGGTTTCCTCTCACATGACTCTTATTATAGTGTGCGTGGCGCCGTTTTTGACATTCAAGTATCCTCTTTGAATGGTTTCCGTCGGCTGCTCAAGCGAGCGAGCGTCTCTATAGAGAATGTACTAATTTATATTACTTCACCCTTGTGACCATCCCCGTCCCCAGGCCACTTTTGGTCCATGTGTCTCCATGTGTCCAGACCATCGAGGAAGTGCGTCGCCGTATGTTTATGAACACTCCTGAGCTTGTTCTTCCTTCGGAACTCCTCTGCGGCTCTTTCTGCAATCACCAGCCAATTCTGTCTTATATCAATCTTAGATGTCTGAGAAAAATAGAAAACATCAGTCCGGAACTTACCAAGGAGATAAATCCTGGCTGCCCTCTGATCTTCTCTTTTCCTTCTTCTCCTTCCGCAACTGCTTCATGCTTTTTTGAGAGTCCGTCTTAGGCTTGGGCGCCTTGGCCTTCTTCTTCTGATTTTTGCTGTCGTCGTCGTCCTCCTCCTCCTCTTTCGTTTTCTGCGCGGCAGCACGCTCCTCCTTCTCCTGTCTCTGCTTGGCATGGGCACACTTGACACACCCCGTGAGGGCCGAGTGAAAGCTTCCGGGGTGGATGTCGCAGTCGACGTAGTGTCCGGCAGCAATGCAGTGCTTGTTGCCGACACGGCCGCACTTGGGGCTGGCGGGATAGATTCAGCATGGTGTTCGAGCTTTCCAGGAAGATGAATCCGTCCCAAGGCTTACCAATGATGAGACGAAAAGGCAGGCATTTTAATCGCTTCGATGATTCTTGCAGAGAACTTCTAGAAGACGTGGTTTTGATATGGCGAACAAGTCTTCTCAAGGGGGCTGTTGACTGTTTGATTGATTGACGTTGCTTTGAGACTTGAATGTAGTGACCAGGAATGTCAGAGGGTGTAGAACTGTAATGGTTTGGGTAGACCAGACGTACTTGGTTGGTGTAGAGGAAGAAGGTTCCAGACCGCCGCAGCTGGGGTGTCCCAGACTTTTATTTGTGGACGAGTGACACTCTTCACAGAGATCATTCACTGTCAATTCGCTTTTGAGTAAAGCAGGTGGTTATGGGCGTTTGTTGGAAGTGATTGGTACGTGCGACTGTGCCAGTGAGTCTTGAGGGTGGCAGGCACTTCAAGTGAAGTGTGCCGGAGGCCAATCTCCTGGAGGGGAACGAGTTCCCACCTCTGCATTGCACTGGATTTTACGTAGTCGGTTTACTTAGGGCCGTTTGGATTGACGATAATCACAGTGGGCGTCGACGTTTGCGTTCAGAGTTGTCGAGCTTATTCACTCTATTCGTTGGCTCGACGAAGCACCATGTGCACTAGCACACGGGTATTCATTTAATTTCTATGCGTTCAGCATATCTCTACATGAACTGTTCTCATGTCGACCGCGTTCGTGATGGACAATCAAACAATTGTAAGCTGCGTGAGTATTGTTATGGCAGTGTTGAGACTTCAGGGAGATGCGATGCTAACCATCAAGGAGCCTCTACAGCCAAACTCAACACCCTTGCGGGTCCATGAACCTGTTACCAACGCCGGACGTTGCATAATTTTAGGCGTGATGCGTTTGAGCCCAATATCAGTGCATCTCTTGCGCTTTCAGAGCTACTAGTACAGTGTTTGCTTGGATGGTCATATTGACGACCTTTGAAACCCCTATCGTATCTGCCGTTGGTGAACAGCTTCTGGCACATACGTTCTTCACTTGGTACGTTAGAATTGGCGTGGCACTGACATGTGGACATTCCCTCGACCTTTTAATGTTCGTCCTGTTCAGACGCAGGCCCCTACAGACAGGATTACCTTCCACGACCGTCCTGGATTCCACCTCTCTAAACGGGAATTTTGGCCCAGTCGACGGACTTCCGGGCCCTGAAATACACCATTTGCTCATTCAGGAGTCCCAATATCCACTGACTCCTACGGATCATCGACCCAAAAAGAAAATTCGAATACATAAGCAATTCGGATACCACGAGCACGTAGGCGCTGATCGCTGAATGCCGTCATGAGGTGGTGGAGTCTCTGTTCTGTTTGTCAGTAATTGTAGTACTTGGCTTAATCATGAGATGCAGCCCGCATGAATCCAGACACGGTACACAGCATACTATTTCTTGAATGACCTACCCCGCTCAGCAGACGAGCCGTCGTCGACTGGACTTTCCAGAATCTGGTTAAAGGTCTGACGAATGGTGTTTTAACTGCAAGCAAGCATAACGGCGTCCAACGTCAGCTAATCCTGTCAGCACTAAAACGGTGCGGTATTCCGCTAGGATTGGTTGTCGCTGCTTAGAGTTGGGAAGCTCCAGGATCTGCATCAGCTACCAAGATGCCACCAGATCCGTGCTTAAATCCCCTTGAGCCGGAGTTCCGAGCACTTGCGACCTACAAGAATACCTTCTGTCCCGAAATCACACTGGCTGCGACCTACGAATTTTGATAATACCCATCAAAAGACAGCCGAGGTCACAAGACCTGAGATTGAATTCAAAGCAATGTCGGAACTACTTGTTATTACCTGTCCCGGCGGCAAACAATGCGCCCACCTCATCCCCTTGCTCTATAACAAGGGCAGGTGGAAGCTCCGTCTTGCGGCCCACTCGAAAGCATCCCATGAAAAGCTCCAGTCACACTACCCTGACGCCGAGGTCGTTCAAACTGACCTCACTTCCCTGTACGATTGTCAAGGTCTTCTTGCCGGAGCCACCACCGTCTACCACGTCGGCCCGTCCTTCCACTCCCGAGAGCGCGAGATAGGGTACAACATGATCGACGCCGCGGTAGCCGAGACAAAGCGGCCCGGCAACGTGTTCAAGCACTTTGTCTTCTCGGGGGTGATGGGGACGCAGATCCGCAACCTGATGCAGCACGAGATCAAGTCCTTCGTCGAGGAGCGGCTGTACCTCAGCGTCGAGCTCAACTGGACAATCCTGCAGCCGGCAAACTTCATGAACTTCTTCCCCATAGCTCTGCTGGTAGGCCAGGAGCAGCCGGTCCTTGACAAGCTGTGGAATCCCGAGGCGGCGAATAGTATGATTGCGTTGAGCGACTTGGCGGAAGCAGCTGCGAAGGTGCTGGACGAGGGCGAGCAGCACTATTTTGCGCAGTACCAGCTGTCGTCTACTCTTCCCATGTCTGAGACGGAGGTGGCCAAGATCATCGGGAAGCATCTCGGGAAGGAGGTCCAGACCAGAGCTCCGGCATTCGAAGAGGGGGTCGGCCGTGCGTTGCACTACCTGTTTGGTGGGCTGGCTGCGGAGGGTGACCCTCGCCCGGATATCACCAGGGATGAGGCCGAGAGACTCATACTGTTCTCTAATCGCCGTGGATTGAGGGGCAGTCCCAATGTCCTGAGGTGGCTCTTAGGCAGGGAGCCAACAAGCATTGACGAATGGGTGAAGACAGAGCTGGAGGCGATCAAAAAAGAAGCTTGAGAACGAATCCTCTCAAGGCTGACTCTTTGTGTTTCAATGATGATGGTACCGGCAATCAGATCTCATATCGTCACGGGCGCTTGACGATGTACTGGGAAATTATCTTTGAATCAGTTGTTTTGAGGAATGGTACTTGCTACTCGTGCGCCCTTCTGATGACAGACATATCCCTCGTCACGGAAAACTTATGTGATACGAGTAACATGTGTTTCGATATCTCAAGCTACTTGAACAAACCCGACAGAACAGATCACGATTCGATGTAGCAGTCTTTCTAATGCACGCTTTGCTATAATGGTGCTTCAAAAGTTCTAGATTTGTGCAGGGCCAAGCATCACAGGCTAAATTCATCAGCGTGGAAGAGTACGTGATGTCTCTCCCATGCCCGCTCATTTTTAAACGCTATAGAGCACCCACTTATGCATGGATACACGTAATCCTCCGCATGCCTGTTCCGGATATGGCGTTCCACGAACGCATTGTTCTGGAAACCAAACTCAGGACTGCGCCTTCGGCAAGTGCTTACAGGGCACCGCCAACAAGTGCTTGTGTGGTTCTCTGGGTGGTAGATCCGCTTGCGCTGTTGATGCTGCCTTCTTGCATTTAAAGTAGTCGAATTGCTTTCGGTTTCAGAATCGGAAGATATGACAATTACCTCGACGTTAGGTGGAATCACCACTGGCTTCCCTGGTCCATTTTCGTCGACCTTGCGCTTCTTTCTGTCATTTTTGGCTGGCTGGCTCTCCGATGCATCTTCACTTGTGCCATCATCTCGAGCTCGCTTCTTGGACGGCGTAACCAGCACCGTCGGCGGGGGGACGTGTACTTTGCCCTCTGCCAGCTCTCTGAGCCTTTTATCTGCCTGGTCTCGCGCCTCCTCGTCGAGATTTTCATTTTGGGAAATCTGAAATAATGAGTGCGGATCGGCATCCCTATCACGGCTGTCGCTCATCTTTTTGATATCTTGAAATTTCTCTCCGCACAGAAGACATAGGTTTTCTTAGGGAGCGGAGTGTCTGGGTAGGACGATTGGGAACTTGCCGAAATTCGACAATGTCTTTGATGGGGCGAGCGGACATTAAATACGGGGCCATTGTTCCAAACCTTCCTTTCACTCGTCACTACTGGCAGAATCTGATTGTTCGAGTATAATGATTGCTTTGCCCTTTATTGTTTCATAAACGGGTCACGAGACATAAAACTTTCTTCCTAACATGTAAAGGCGAAGAAGGGATTTGCTGCCGGTCTGCGTCACTGAGCCCGTGGGATCCGCCCCGTCGCCACCCTGTAGCTTCAGTCCCATCAGTGACGCGCGGAACCCTCGAATCAGATCAATTGACTCCTCAGTCTCTTGATCTAATACGAGCCGGAATTTGGGGATTTCTGGAGTGGATTGTCACCTCAAGACCTAGTCACCACCTGGCTATGAGTGCGTATAAGTTGACATACCCACACCAGCGACTGCTCATGAGCTGGTGCGATGACATGCTTGACAAACTTAGCTTCATGAGTGAACAAACCGATTATCATTCGATTCCAAATTCCGTGGTAACTTCTTTTACACTTCCAGGTATTAAGAGCAAATACCAATCACTGCGATGATATCGTTCCCGCCTGACCATCACCAAGCACAAAAGACCAAATGCTCGATCTTCTCCTCCCAGTGTCCGCATCCAAGCTTGGTCGCCGAGCCAAAGACTGCTGCAGTAGCTTCTCGGAATTATCGATCTCGTTATGTCCGAATGTCTGCTGCATGAACATCGCGGTCAGAGCCAAGACCCTCCAACTGTTGAGTTTCGTCACGGCATTTGAGAACCACCACGAGCCCTCGGAGGCTAACGGCACGGATCCGGGACTGTTCTTCAGGGACCAGTCATACACCATCTTCGTTCGGCTCATTCTCGCCTTCTCGTAGAGCCGCAGGCGTGCATTGACTTCTTCTGGCCTTGTGCCGAGGGGAAACATCGTAGCGAGCGAGAGGGCATCTTCGACGGCCATGGAGGCTCCTTGGCCCACATCTGTGGACGAGGTGTGAGCTTCATGCAGTAGATTCGCTGGGACATATGATTCTGACGTACATGGCTGTACAATATGTGCAGCATCTCCCAGAAGAGTGGTCCTCCCCCTCACCCATGATGGTAGAGGGTCAAGATCGGATAGAGCGAAGACTCTCAAGCTTTCATCTGCCTCGCCGACGAGCTGCTGTACTTCTGGCGAGAACTTCGAGAAAGCTTGCATCAGGTTGTCCTTACTGCCATTGCTGTTCCAGGCTAAAGTTTCTGGTCAGTGCACAGCTCACCACAATGAGTTGACCAAAGAGGTGAATACTAACTGCCCTCCTCAATCACCCCAACTGCACTGCTGGGCACATATGCTAGCATGTTGTAGATTGTGTTGTTGGAGCACGGATAAGCCAGGAGCCTCCGGTCCGTATCATCCCACTGTAGCATGCAACCAGGGTTTTGTACAATATGCACAGGTCCTTTGTCGCTCAAGATTGCAGCAACCTTTTCTATTGGCATCAGCCATCGAAATGCACTGAAACCTGCTGGTTTAGGTTTTGCTCCTGGGGAGACTTCCCCTCGTGTTATAGACTGAGACTGGTCAGCAAATTGCAACCATAGGACGCAGTGGACGTACATGAACGCCGTCGGCGCCAAGCAGAACATCACCGTGAAACCGGCGGCCATCCTCCAAAGTGACTCTTGCTTCATTCACATCGATCTTGGATATCTTGCACGCCGTATGTAGTACTATCTCCTCCTGCAGTGCTCTCTCCTTCAGGAAATTGTGAAATGCATGGCGTTGGACATAGTACCATTCCTATCATCAGATGAGGAAATCAGCCTACGCTGTCCTTGGAGTCAAGATGGCGATAATGGATACTAACAGCTATCCAACCTTTGCGTTTATTCGACAGATCTGCGTGGAACAACAAGTTGCCACCCTGGTCGTGACGGATCATCTACAGATACTGGGTGAGCTTTCACTGACAAAACAGATTATTGCATCGTTCCGGTACGTAGGAATCTGTCGACGGCGAGGAGGGCAGGAGGGCACTGACATGATGAACCAAATCTGACCCACAGCTCTCCGGCAGAAGATCGAGCCAGTTCAAGAGCACAGAACAATTCGGAGACAACGTGAGGGCTGCTCCTTGCTCAGTCGCAAACTTGGACTTTTCAACGACCTGCGGCAGTCTTCAGCGCATGTCAAATCCAAGAGGGTGATTGATGGTGGATTTTGATGGCATACGACGACATGGTGCCCCTTCTTCTTGAGGGCCAAAGCAGCTGTGAGCCCGGCAATTCCTGCTCCAACAATGACAAACGACAGACTCCCAAACGGCAGATCCGGCTTCGTGGGTCTTCTTGAGTAGTAGCCCATTGTTCCGAAGAATCTTGTGAGGCAGCGACTCATGAGCCCAAGGAGGCTTCCGAATGCGTCGAGAGCGAGAGACATGTGGATGAGTACCGAGTTAGGTATTAATTGATAAACTGACAGTCAGTGTATGCGCATTACTGTTTGCGTGATACATATGCTGACCTGGCTTACTCTGAATTTGTCAATCCGAAGCGCAGTAGCCGTCATCCATTAAGAAAAGGAGCGAAGGAGCCGCAGGATCGACCGGCTCAGCCCATCCTGAATCACTTCCAACACCTGCTGCAACAACGGTGGCGGTAAGTTCATTTGCCAAGGGAAAGTACCACCACCCACCAACAAATCCGACTTTAGCTCCCGGCGCAGCAACGTCCCCACCACGTCAGTCTTAACCAGGCTTAGATAGCGTGCCAACGTCGCGGGCTGCACAAAAGAACTAGACGTTCGCGGCTTGCGAAAACAGGTTGAATGTTGGCAAGGACGCATATTGAGTGGTTCTTTGAAGCCGCCTATATCCGAGAGAGGCGGAATCGGAACTCTGCTTCAACCCGTGATAAACTCTGTGGACAGCTAAACATACTGTTTCCCCATGTCTAACTCCGACGGCCAAAACACGTTTGATGTGGCCTTGCGGGACAAAACAATGAATCTCTCGGCATTTTCCCCACGCACAATCAAGTCACTATGAGATCACGAGTTGACCAGTTCGGCTCACGAGAGACTGGCCTTAGATTTGTCGCGAGAAGACTTGAGATCCAGATCTATATGTCCAAAAAGGTTATGTACCGAGGCAATAGACGATTGGAAAGGATACGTGTGGTGTTTTGGCATCCGTACTTCCCTCTGGGTCACAGGGCCACGAGCCTAGCAATGTTGCGCAAAGTTGTGGGATGCCCGGATGCCCTTCACGAATTCACAGCCAACATAGCCAAACTCACTGCTGATCTTAAGGATGCTGGAAAGGAAAGCCATATTCGCATTCTTCTGGAATATGAAGTTCTTGGAGATTAATAACAATAGTTTCAAAGCAAATAACGAAGGGAATGCGGAATTGAGAACAGCACCAAAGTCGTAAATCTGATGTCCTGTGTATTCAGGAACAAGTGTGTGGGAAAAAGATCTTCAGATGCACCGAATATTTCCCGCTACTATACAATCATTATTTATTGCGTTTCAAAATGAATTTGTCTTCTGTTGAAATTTTGTGTGCTGATAATTCAAGTCTGTGGGCGGTCTCAGCGATGGCGTAGCGTGTGATAGCTAGCACGGCCCTAGGCTCTCCAAACCATGGTGCAAGTGGAAGCCAGCTCCATAGCTTCCAATATCTTTTTGACTAGATAGGCTCTAATGTGTAATTTCGCGATAAAACCGTGAACGTGAGAGCTTCGACTATCCGTCGGTCTTCTCGTGGTAGATTCCGCCCTCTCGCACAGCAATAGTGAGAGCACCATCGCAAAATAGGCCGGGCGTATGATCAAGAAAAGACGAGCCATTAGAGCAAGCAGATTTAGAATAATAGGAAGCGCGCACTTAGGAAGAATTCGACGTTTTAGAAACCCTCTCTATAAATATTAGCGAGCCTCTTCACTCGTAACTTTCAGAAGTCTTTTCTCTTGCCAACCTTCTTCTCATACCTGTCATACACAAACCAACCTACCCTCAACTTCCACTCACCTCTCACCTCTCATTCGTCTACGAATACAGTAAAACCATACGGATCTACACTCCGCCACTATGCGGAGGACACTTCTCCTCGTCCTCGCCGGTGGCGCAGCCGTCTACGCCCGCCCAGTTCCAAATCCGGCGGCGACGCTGACCCCAGACCAAATCGAGAGAGGCTGCACCCTCGACCTGATCCCATTCCGTCGCGAATGTCACGTAGTGAAGAACGAAAACACTACTCTCCGGCATGTTGGAGACACGCCGGCCCCAGATCCTTTATTCGACGTGGGCTGTGACTGGGACGAGGGCGCCCCCCTTCCGCATCACTGCCATCTGGGCGGCTGGGAAATTGAGAACCCCCTCCCCGACGTGGTCCGCTGGCTTCGCGGTTTTCCTTCTCCAGATGGACACCCTACAGTTACCGGCACGCAAACCGAGACAGTCCCCGTGCCGACCACAATCACGGTTCCAGTGCCGACCACAATCACGGTTCCAGTGCCTACCAGTCCAGTGCCCACAAGCCCTGTGCCGACGAGCCCTGTGCCGACGAGCCCTGTGCCAACCAAGAGCCCGGGTGCCAACTACAAGTCCTGTGCCAACCACGAGCCCTGTGCCGACCACAAGCCCCGTGCCAACCAGCCCAGTACCGACGACAACCACGGTTCCTGTACCTACCAGCCCTGTGCCGACCAGCCCTGTGCCGACCAGTCCTGTGCCAACCACAAGCCCTGTGCCCACCACGAGCCCTGTGCCGACCAGCACTCCGACCATAACCACAAGCCCTGTGCCGACCAGCCCTGTGCCAACCACAACAACGAGCCCTGTGCCAACCAGCCCTCCAACCACAACAACGAGTCCTGTGCCGACCAGCCCTGTGCCAACCACGAGTCCTGTACCAACCACAAGCCCTGTGCCCACCACGAGCCCTGTGCCGACCAGCACTCCGACCATAACCACAAGCCCTGTGCCGACCAGCCCTGTGCCAACCACGAGTCCTGTACCAACCACAAGCCCTGTGCCCACCACGAGCCCTGTGCCGACCAGCACTCCGACCATAACCACAAGCCCTGTGCCGACCAGCCCTGTGCCAACCACAACAACGAGCCCTGTGCCAACCAGCCCTCCAACCACAACAACGAGTCCTGTGCCGACCAGCCCTGTGCCAACCACGAGTCCTGTACCAACCACAAGCCCTGTGCCCACCACGAGCCCTGAGCCCACCACGAGCCCTGTGCCAACCAGCCCTGTGCCAACTACAAGCCCTGAGCCCACCACGAGCCCTGTGCCGACCAGCACTCCGACCATAACCACAAGCCCTGTGCCGACCAGCCCTGTGCCAACCACGAGTCCTGTACCAACCACAAGCCCTGTGCCCACCACGAGCCCTGAGCCCACCACGAGCCCTGTGCCAACCAGCCCTGTGCCAACTACAAGCCCTGAGCCCACCACGAGCCCTGTGCCGACCAGTCCTGTGCCTACTACAACCAAGAGCCCAGTGCCGACCAGCCCAGTACCAACCACAACAACGAGCCCTGTGCCAACCAGCCCTCCAACCACAACAACGAGTCCTGTGCCAAGCCCAACGCATGACCCGAATAAGAATGGGCCCGACGCGCTCGACACGCTCCGACATTTGAAGAAGGATAATACAGCCTTGAAAGTTGGTCTCGGTGTTGGATGTAAGTAGTTTAACTATATGGCATTGACAATCCCACGGCGACACATCTGCAGATATCCGTGATCTGTGTCACTACTCCCCTCAAACATGGGGCTGTAGGTGTCCAGACCGGCCACGGCCTGATAGTAGTGTTTTACGCCACCCCCTTTCCCGTATATATTCTTACCCTTGTTACTTCGATGGCTGACGCTTGATTCTGCAGTGGGTTTTGGTATCCCCGCCGCTGCTGCTGCCGGGTGGGTCGCAAAGACTCTTGCCGTGGCTAGGGCTGTGCCCGAAATCGGAAGTGTCTTGGCGGAGGGCCTGCACGTCAACTCACTGGCGAGCCTCGGGGAATTCGGGCTGGGAAACATCCCGCAGTTGTCGGGCTCCAGTCACCCAGGCTCCTCCGATCTGTCCCAGAACCCTTGGGAAAGCGCCCCTGAGGAAGAGTTCTACGATGACGTGGGCGACGTCGAGGACTGGTCGGGCCCCACTCACAACGACGACTCCGATCTATCCCAGAACCCTTGGGACAGCACCCCTGAGGAAGAGGTCTTCGACGAGGACGCCAGTGAGATCCAGGACGGGACCGAGCACGATGGTTACACCGATAGCAGCGGCGAGTTCGAGGACCGCCCGGATGATGTGACCGAAAACGCGGATGAGCGCATCGAGGACTGGCTGGACAACGTTGAAGATGAGTACGGGCCTCGCCAGTTCGAAAACCTGGAGGACCTGGGCCACGACGTGACCGATTCTGTCGAGGAGCTGGAAAGCATGTTGCGCGAGGCGGGCTACAACAGCGAGGAGGTAGAACAGCTCGTGACCGAGTTCCAGGCCGACCTGGCTGCGTCGTCGGAGTCTTACATGTCCGGCGCTGAAGGAGCCGCTGAAGGAGCCGCCGAAGGAGCCGCCGAAGGAGCCGCCGAAGGAGCCGGCTCTATTTTCGAATGGCTTTCTGATACGGTTGCTAACGTGGTTGGTGGTGCCGCCAACGCGGCTGGCGGTGCCGCGAACGTGGCTGGCGGTGCTGCCAACGCGGCAGCTGGCGGTGCTGCGAACGTGGTTGGCGGTGCTGCCAACGTGGTTGGTGGTGCTGCGAACGCGGCTGGCGGTGCTGCCAACGCGGCTGGTGGCGCCTCTTCGGCGATAGAATCGTTCGGTGCCGAAATGGCTGCGGATGTTGCATCTTCAGGAGCGGGCGCCGAGGCGGTAGCTGACGCCCTCATCCAGGCAGGTGTCCCTGCCGGCAATGTCGCATCCACCTCGCAAGCTATCGCCAATGCAATCAAGGCGCTGCCCCAAGCAGGGTCAAGCAATGCGGCGCGCAACGCCGCCCTCAATGTCATCTCAAAGGCTATCACACCTCGAGGCGCGGCCATGTCTGAAGCAGCGTCAGCCGCATTGGGCGGTGCACCTGCTGAGACTGTGGCCAATGCCCTCCGCGAGGCTGGGGTTCCTGAAGATGCTGTCGACGGTACGGTCAAGGCCGTGAATGATGCCATCGAAGGAGCCAGGGCCGCCGGAGAGGCCGGGTCCAAGCTCAGTACTGCCGCGATCAACGCCATCTCGCGCGCCTTCCCTCCGGATTCCGCTGAGACCAGCTCTGGGGGATTCTCCGATGTTGCCGACTCGACCAGGGAAATTTCCCGGGCCTTGATGAATGTCGTCGGGACCTCGTACAACTTCTGGCACGAGTACCCGAAAGCTATCTACAACATCCTCAAGAAGCTTCAGCACAAAAAGCACTCGAAGATCTCGAAGACCTCGAAGGCTCTGGCAAAGATCCTTGGGAACGGCCCGCCACCAGAGATGGGACCCTACAGGGGCCTCACCTTTCCGTTCCATCCCAAGAGGATTCGGGGCAACAGCGTAAAGGTATTGCCCGGAGAGGGTGGCAAGACACCCAGCACGAGCCCATCGCCCAGCGCGAGCGTATATCGACTGTCCAAGAGCCCGTCGCCGACCGAAAAAGGCCCTGACAAGACGCCCAGCATGAGCCCATCTCCCAGCACGAGCCCATCCCAACCGTCCAAGAGCCCGTCGCCGACCGGAAAAGGCCCTGACAAGACGCCCAGCATGAGCCCATCTCCCAGCACCAGCCCATCCCAACCGTCCAAGAGCCCGTCCCAGACCGGAAACGCTGAAAAGGCAACTGGGACAAGCTCAGCTGCTGCGCCAGATCCCACAGGGAAGGGATTCTGTGCGCGCGTAACGAACGAGGAAATGGACGAAGTGATCAAGAATGATGGCAAGACGCTGACTGACGGCCTGACACGCTTCATCGACCAAACCACCAGGTCCGACTACCTGGCCTCCCTGAAGCTGAACCATTCGGAAGTCGACAGGCTGCTCAAGGCCGTCCCAATTGCAATCTGCAGCATGCACATCGACCCGAACACTGTCATCGTGTTACCGGCGGGGTTGATGGAGCCCGAGGAGACGCTGAAGATGATGCTGTCCCTGTGGAACGAGCTGTTGAAGATCAAGCCGGATGGCACAAGCACGGCCCCGCCCGCTCCGCCAGCGCCCAAAACGGGTTATTGTGCGAGCCTGACGGAGGAAGATCTGGCTTTGGCACGTCACGTCAAAGTGGGTGACAAGTCTTTTCAATATGGTGGTGTCAACAAGACCGCACTCGCAAGGTATGCGAGAGACGACCCTGCTGATTTCGCCAGCTTTCTCAACACGTTGGACGACCACTTCTTGATGTGTGCGATGCAAATCAGACTGGAATCCCCTACGACTTCAGGCCTGGAGAAAGCCCAGGCCCAGTACATCTCGCGGTTGGGTGAGGAGTTGATGAGCGCCGTGTCAGAGATTCGCACCGCTGGCACGGACTCTGACAGCTTGGGACCAGCGGCCCCTGATGCACAAGAGGATCTCAACTATGTGCTCATCGACGTCCCAAAGCTGACGCTGCCCCGCGGGCGATTCTGCGAAATCCTCAGGGACGAGGCTACGTTCGAGAAAATGATGCAGGATGAGCCCTTTCGTAACGATGAGCTGGCGCGCGAGCAGATGTTGATGGACGGCCTGGACTTTTTCAAACTCCACAGGGATCTGTATCTGCTGTACCTGAAATTGCATCCTGATGAACTCGCCTCAGCGGTGGATACTGTGGATGATGCGGAGTGCAGGATACGTCAGACTCTTGACGATCAACCGATTCGGATCAAAAAGCCAAACGCATTCCTTTCGTCAGTGCAAACTATGTTGGAGGCACTACGAGAGACCCAGAGGGACTGAAAGGTCCCAGAGTCTGAACCTGGGAAGGCAGCAAGGCAGAGATCGTTTTCAATCTCTTCCCCTCGCGAAGTGTCCTTGTCTGAGATTTCCTTGGTTTTTTGCTTTTCCTCTTCCATCTGAGGGGTTTGGAGAGTTTGGACTCTTGCTTTGTGCAGTTATTCGTTCTTCTCCCGTCAGTGGTGGGCAATCTCATGCCGGGCTGATGGGTGCAGTTTGCTTCCAGGCCATCTTTCCCTGCAGATTGTCCTAAGAGAAACCAGTTGGAACTGGGGAAGTGGGTAATCAGTTCAGTAGAAAAAGAATAAAGGATAAAAAAAGTTTCAAAACAGCTCAGTGTGTGCGTAAACCACGGTTCTCCAATCCTCGACCTTCCCAGACCATGAAAACACCTGGATATACTGTCCGGGTGAGAACACGAATTGTGGACTTGTGCCCAGGCTGCATCTTTCTGATAATGACTAGTATTTCACAAGTAAAAATGATAGTTTGTCGACAAGACTATGAGCATTTGCTAGTGTTGGTAGCAAGTGCTTGGCCGCCTTTGCTCGACTCGCAACGTTCAATGTAGCTCAAAGCACTTGCGACCAATGAAGGGTACTCCTGTTTGACGAAGCCATATCCGGGACTTGAGGTGGCTCACTGATAGATAAAGTTTGAAAGGCTAAGCAATCCGAAGGTCTATGCAAGAGAATTACAAATTACGTCCAAGTATCCAACTTTTTCGGCCCATTCAAAGCTCGATGTCTATCGTGTCCAAGTTGGCAGCGAGCGTAACGTCCAGACCACAACTGACCAGGGCCGAAAGATCGATCATTTCCGCTCAAAGCCGCCTCACCATCTTGGTTTTGCATGGCTTCCGTTCACCTTGGTTGGCAGTGGCCTGACCACCTTGCTGGCCGGTAAGCATACCCACCAGGCCCGAGAGGATGTCCCCGTCCATAACAGCCTTCGCGAATGGCTCGACGTGTCGGGTCATGTTCATCCACATGTTCAAGACAGGCTGGTCAGGAGGGCCGAAGTACGGCGCACTGGGCTGCGGCAGCACCTTTGTGCACTCGGTCAGGTTGTTGATGTTGAAGACGCCCAGCAGGCTCAACCGCACGTACTCCCGGGCGTAGTCCTAGGGCTAAGGTCAGTTTGGAGATTACTTAGAGATATTCCAGGTGCATAATGAGTCGCCATACCTCGTTCCAGTGCTCCTGTCCGCCAGGGCCCGCAAACTCCTTGAATTCCTTTACAATCCTCGGGTCTTTCGACAAGTTGACATCACTCGGGAATTTGAAAACCCGCCTCGGCGCGTTGTTGTCGAGTGTCTGCTTGTAAAACAAAACGTCCCAGACCCCGGGGGTGCTGTCCTGGGGATCTCCTGCCCTATCGGGGTCCACGAACCGCTGCTGCGATGTGGTGTGCGCGCCCAAGAGGGCAGTCAGCCCATGTGGCTCGATCGTCTTGTTGCGGAAGAGCGAGATCAGGTTGTCGGCGCTGTCGAACGGGCTGGGGAGCAGGCCGTCCGGCGCCGGGGCGGAGCTGTCCTTCCTGCCCACGAAGGACCTGACACGGGGGCCGAGGGGACACACGACCGTGGCGGTGGTGCTGGCCATCTGTATCAGGTCGGCCATGCTGGCCCCGTACGCGCTGTACTCGTCGAACCAGTCCTGCATCTGCGCGACGATCTCTTCCAGGCCACGGTTCGCCGGACGTGTCATCTCTTCTGGTGCGAGGACGATGCTCCCGTCGGCCCCGCCCTGGGGCCCAGTTCCCTTAGACCACCCTGCGGCGTCATGAAAGCCTATCCGTACTGCTTGTCGCGCCAGGTTCGTGCACCTCCCCGACGGGCCCCGGAACTTGGAAGCCATGTCGGCGGATATGTAGTGCCAGATGCAGCATGTGTCTGCCGCGCACTGGGGAGTGTCACGGGGCGGGATGTTCGGATATCCCTCGTTGGACTGCCCATCCTCGCCGTCGTCTGTGATGATCTTCTTCACTGAGCGACCAACGGGCGTCAGCTGCGAGTCGGTGAGGTTGAGAAGATCTCCGATGAGCTCTTTGGAGTCGAATTCGGTATCATTGTCTTGTCTGGATTTGATCTCTGAGAGGACTTTGTTCATGCCGGGATACGCGTGGGCGAGCGTGGCTGCGCCAGCGCATGTGGTGATAAGGGTGCTGAATTTCATGTTGTTGTTTCGAAAAGAGCGAAAGTAATGAATGTGGTGAAGTTGTCCAAAAACAAACGAATGTGAAGCCAGTTGGCAATGAGTGACAGTAGGGCCGAAGGAGATGTATGGTTTCATGGCCAGAGTTCTGGACGAATTTGGCGACGACCAGTCCTGTATTTGTAGTTGTCTTCAGCTCCTGCTCTTCCACCTTCCATCTCCTAGTTCTCCTTTCCCCTTGCTTTGGCTGGAACCTGACAGGCACAACGATAGTGCCTGAGAGTTTTCCCGGCGCTCAGACAAGGCTAGACGCTATTTCAAACGCCCATCAGTTGCTCTTTATCTCGGCCCCTATTGTCTTCGTAGCCTTGGGCATAGCTGCTTCAGGGCCGGACTTCCTCACTGACAGCTTTGACATGTCTTGGGAGATTTGATTAGGTAGGAGTCGAAGGCTTGAGACCAGGAATTAGTGCCGTCAGTGCAATGGGCGCCCAACGGACGATCTTAGCCTTCTCATGGCGTGTACAAATACCCAAAGCCAGCCTCTGCGTCCGCAAGCCACCGCCTCCACGCCTGGGGGCTGAGGGGCTGAGTTGTGCACGACCTCTGCCCTGACCGCTATATTTCGGTGGCCTGGTTTCCACTTCGTACCCGAGCCGTGCCCTGCTCCGTCGGGGTGGTACGGCAACCGTTCCATCGGGCGCTATACTCTCTAGAGTTATGCCTGGGTAGTGCACGGATTTCCCCTGAGCTGCAACGCTATGGCGGCCGTGCAGCGGACGGATGACCTTCAATTTCCACCTGCTTATCGGTTCTCGTGCTACATTTGAAATCGGAAGCGGTTAATTCGTAGTCATGGTGCTCTATTGCTAATACATTGTTGCATTTTGCTGCTGTTAAAGCTGCGTCGTGTCTGGATCGAGTCATATTGCCCATGAAAGCCTGTTTGCGGTCGCATTTCCAGGATCGCGTGTATTCCTTGTCATTTTCCGTATGTATACTGTCAATAGTTTAGCTGCGTTACATGAGGATCCTTGAATACTTAAGTGATAGATCATGAAATCCTACTATACTGTATCCCAAGTGGCAGGAACCGGCCCTTAGTCTCACTATTAGTGAGAAAGACACTGCAAAGCGTTTCAGTAATCCTCTGAGTATTAGATGATGAGATAAAAGCGTCAGCTTGACTCCTTCTCCATAAGGGCTCAAACGCCGAGCATGCAGATACCATGCGACTGCGGGTAAGAGAGTGGTACTCACAGAAGGCGATAGATAGGCGACGAAATGGCCGGGAAAGAGCCGGGAATAGAGACGTCAAGAGTCGCATCGCTCATATACCGAGTGGTATTTGGGATTAAAGTTGTACATAAGTTGGACGGCTTCACCTTTGGGGAAATCCCGACTTTGTTCGCGGGGTCTCGGTAATACAGCAGCCTAGTGATAGTAGAGACTGCGTTACACATATCAGAATCACCAGAGCCAGCCTGCGCTGCAGTCTGTCACGACACTACCAGCTACCAAGGCACGGCGAAGCCTGGTGACGAGGAACCGTGAATGCACCACATGTGAGGATGGAATGAATCAGCCTGCTGCTAACGTGTCCGACATGAGGCCCGTTAAGGTTGTTGCCGTCCCCATGACCAGTTTTGTAGAAGGTGTAGAGCGCTTACGCTCAATATTGAGTCCGAGTAGGTTGTTCCTGCTTCTGGTCATCAGATGGTATCTGGAGCTCGGCCCCTACCAATGGCGCAATCTGCCACTGGCTTGACCTGACCTGAGTCCTTGCCCGCGTAATTTGCTACACCTCCTCAGGGGTCCCAAACGTTAAACGTAGACTTCTCCACCCAAAGTCACTTTTGCTAACAATTTGGGCAAAGTGTGACCTGGTGGATCCAAAATCACCAATAGAAAAAGTACAACACCATTTAACGTTTGGGATCCTGGAGGAGGTGTAGCTACGGCCATGTGGACAGTGAATGCCGAATTCAATGTTACAAGGATAAAAATATCTTGCAAGACAAAAGCGGTTGTCAAGACCGCCTTGGCACGATCTGATATCTTGGCAGACCTGGAGGCACAGCCTTTGTCGAAGACACCGGTCAAGGTAATCGATCCACAGCAAATCTCCGCGGGGCATACCGACGGTGCCAATTATAAGTGGCCAGCGATCCGGCCGAACAACAATTTAAGCTTCCGAAGCTAGGAGACATGTCGGATAAAGTTTCCCGGGTGGACCAGATGCCCGAACTCTATGTGATATTTCTGCCGACTTCCAAGTTCTTCTCGGCCATGTGCACAAATCAGTCATCCAAGCCTCCGTCACTCCCTGAACAAGCCAGGCGTTGCATCCGAGCAAGGTGCGCACGTCTTCACGCTGCACTTTCTTGGCGAATCGCCTTCCTCGACAGGAGTGTCATGGGCGAGGCGAAAGCAATAATTCGTGGCGGTCTATCTTTGCATATTGTCGATGTAGCATACAAAAAAAAAAACGACCCAATGGTGGCCAATAAAACCACGCCTGTGCACCAAGTATCCTAGACCAGCCATCCGACGTGCTGCACGCCCGTCTTTCCGAACAACGCCCAAATTCCGAAGTACTCCTCATCCCAACCATGATTCATCATTCATTGGCACAACGCATCATGCCCAAAACGTTCCATTCGGGCTCTATGTCGAACGCTTTACCCCGCCCGGAGGATTTCACGGGATAGGGAACATACTTCTTTCTCACAGACGACCATCCAACTTCGCTCATCTCTACAGCATTCTCTGGCTGGCACCGAGGCCGAAATTTGCTTGTGCTGAGAGCAGCCGTGACGCCTCAGCGAGCTCCATGTCTTCGTCACTGGCGCCTGCCATGCTGTGGCCAGGCAGATCGAACGGAAGAGTCTCCGGCTCGCACGTGGTCCCATCTCGGGGCAGCGCGCCGGTCTGGAAGTAATCCCTAACGGCCTTTGCCGTACACACGGACGGGGCAGCCAAGCTGGTATGCTACAACACACAAAGTCAGCAAGGCGATTTAACACATGCAGATGGGGACCGAAAGCACTTACACCATACGAGTTCTGCACGAGCACGACCGAGCCCTCGAACCCGGCCGAGTTGTTCCGCGCGCTGACCAGCGGCGTGATGTTGTCGGCCACGTTGGCGACGTACAGGATCGGGTGGCCCGTCCTCGCCCCGAACGGCCCGCCGAAGCTCCACTTCGGCCGGACCCGGTGGCCCGCGCACGCGATGCGGTCCTTGACGACGACCGCGCCCGAGGTCCGGCTCACGCGCTCCATCTCCTCGACGTGCGCCGCGTAGTCGACCGGGCTCGCGGGCAGGGGCTGCCCGTCCGCGCAGAGGATCGTGGGGAAGGCGTCGTCGCTGCCCTCGCCCACGCTGGTCAGGGGCTCCTCGGGCGGGACGGGCCTCGCGGTGCACACGTCTGAGAAGGGCAGGCCGTAGCGGGTGACGAAGTCGTAGTAGACCTTGCCGTCTCCCTGCTCGAGCCCGGCGAGGATGTTGGCCAGGTGGGTGAAGTAGTAGTTTGGGCGGTAGAGAGACGTCGCTGCCAGCCGGCGGATCTTGGAGTAGGTGATGATCTCCGGCAGCTCGGACCCGAAATCAGTCTCTGGCATATAGATGATGGGCTGCACGCGAAGCCGGTCGAGGATAGCCTGGTGGCGTTCTTCAATGTCGTCGGGCGATGCGCCGTGGAAAGCGCACTTCAGTGGACCAGCCTGGTGGCACAACCGGTAGAAAGCAGCCATGACACTGTCGGCGTCACGGACAGAGTTGATGTGCAGGCTATTATACCACTCCTGGTAGTCGACGTTGCCATCGCTCACAAGCCGGCTGACCCTGTTCGGGTACATGGCGGCAAACGTCCCGCCGAGGATAGTCCCATAGCTGAAGCCCCAGTACTGCAGCTTCTCCTCGCCCATCTGCTCGAGGATCTCCAGCATGTCGCGCGCGTGCGAGGCCGTGCCGACGTGCCGCAGCAGGCCCGTGGCGTTGTGCGACGCCTCGCACGCCCGCGAGAAGGCGGACGCGCGCGCCCACACGTCGTACATGACGCCCGGGTGCGAGTCGATGACGGGCGTCTCCTGCATGGCCCAGTTCTGCCGCCTCTGCGCCGAGCCCCAACACTCGATCCGGGGAACCGACGCGCCGATGCCCCGCGGGTCGAACGTGACGATGTCGAAGTTGCGGCCCACGACGGCCTGGAGCTGCGACCCGTGGTCCTTGAGCGCCCAGATCCCGGAGCCGCCTGGGCCGCCTGGGTTGAAGAACACCGGGCCTTTGTAGTCCTTTGTGTCTGTTGCTCGCAGGCGGGCGATGGCGAGGACGACGTGCTGGCCGTCGTCGGGCTCGAGCCAGTCCATCGGTACTTCCAGCCGCGCGCAGTCGTAATCGCCGTCGAAGCAGCTATGCCATTCAAGGGTCTTGCTGGGTTTTATGTTTCCCCATGAGAAACCCTCTGTCTGTACGTCTGTATCGATGCTGGAAACGTCTTGTCTAGGATTTGGAGACTTGTGTACTACGATACCAAACGTGATAAAGCACGCAATCGCGAGGAGAGCGAGGGGGAGCTCGAATCGGAGCCTTCCAGACTCTCTCCGCACAAGTGGGCGAAGTGGGCGAAGCAAAGGCGCTTTCTCGTCCATGTCGAGCAGAGTGAAGAATATCAAGCAGACTGGAAGGAGTAGACAGGTGGTTGGTGGGCAAAATCAAGCTAGAAGGAAAGGAGAGTCACCCAATAAATCTATAGAAATCTATTCCAATAGGAAACCAAATAGATCATGTTGCGAAAGTGAGACCGAACAAGAAGGATGGGTGGGTGAAGAACAGCCAGCTGACCGTCGTTTAGATAACTGCTGGCCAGATAGACACACCCACAGATGGAATAGATAAGACTCTTCAAGGCGGTGGAGATGGTTGGGGACCAGACGCCGCCCGCCCACTCACGTCGAAGCAGAAGTCAGCCATCATGCCAAGAAGACAAGGGCCCCGTCAGAGTCCTCTGGGGAAGACCCCGGATCTGCACTCACCTTTGCCTGCCGTCGTGAGTCGAGGACCCTTTCAGCGTCCGGGCCAAGCTGGCCTTGTAACAACGCACCGGCAGCGAAGCCCGCCCCCGTGTCTGAGACAGAGAGCAACCACCCTTCACCAATCCTATCAGCGGTGCGAATCGACCTCTGTCCACGAGTCGTGGGGGCCAACGCCTGTCTCATGATAGAGTTCGGACACCGCCCGCAGCTGACTCGTCGAGGTGAAGGCTCTGCAACCCTGACCAAGGTCGCAAAATGCTGTCGCATGACGTGCCCCAAAGGGTCTTTTGGGGGTGAGCTGGAGAGCTGAGCGGTTTACAAGGATCACACCCGAGATCACACTCGGGGCTTGTGTGCGGCGCAACGCATCATTAGCATGTGGCCAGTAGCCACAGGGCCTTTAGTAAACCCCACCCGCGACTGAATTGCTGCCAAACTTGCCCCTTCTCCACCTCGATTGTTCACCACCCCGCATAGGATCTCCCTTACGGGGAAGTACGGCAGATGCTGAGATGCCAGGACAATATCAACTTGGTGGGAGATTTGCAAACTCCCCGACTGGATTGATCACACGCCGAGTCTAGGCAGTGTATCTTAATAAGCAACGATTTCTTGTTTCGTGCATGGCGGGTCTACTTCCAGAATGTCCTCCGCGCCGGCAGTGACTAGGGTGGTCTAAATTGATTAAATACTCCGCTGCCACGGGACCTCAGCGCGATGGGACGAAAAAAGGACAGACGGCAGTAGGGATGACTGCGGAGGATTGTTCCCAACTACAATTTAGGTATATAAATCGAGCTATGTGCTGCACATCCGTGTTCGTTTTTGCACTGATGCGATGCCAATCGGATTTATCGTCATACGAGAAGTCGCGGATGCTTTCAGTTGGAAGCTTGTCTCTCTGCATCTCAGCGCCAGCCCCTTATATTGGACGCGTTGTGCAAAACGCGGCTGCACGTGGTCTCCTTCAAGAGAGTGAGTGCTAATCCAATCACGCATGAAATCATGCTCGGGAAAGCAGGCAAATGTCGAAGTAGATAATACTCACAAATGTCAGGTTGGTGACGACTTTGCTCACAATGGCGGCCCTCACAACTCACAGCCTCTGCGGACTTTTTCCACGGCATTCCATGCTAGGGAAAGGAGTTGGCAAGGTCGTGGAAGGATTGACCTGCTACATCTCTATATGGTCAGACATGTTGTCTGTGATCAGGGAATGCACAGATTTCGACCAGGTCACTCGAAAAGCAGTCCGTTGATACTTCGCATCGGTGGAAGGCCTCCAATGAGATGTTTATAACTTGATGCGACCTTCTGGCAGAAGGATGAGATAAACACGCCCTGACACGGCTGCTACTCGGTGGTTGCGGACATGTTTGCGTTGACTCCATTGTGTGATGGGTGCTCTCACAATTTAGGTAGTTATTCGCCTGTAGTTATATTAGTTCTAAGGAACAGGCGTACTTTATGACGAGGTGACGACGAATATCATTTGCACGCCTCAAGTTGATAAAAAAAGATGCTTCCAAACTCCCAGAAACTTTTTAGACCCGCTTCTAGCTCTCGCTCGACTCACGGCAATACTAACTATGCTCCCGTGCTGATGTCCGCCAGTCACAGACACTGGAAACTTTGCGTCTCGTACCAAACCGGCGCTGGATTCTGCCAAACCCATCCATCTGAATAATGTGTGCCGTTGTACCAAAATTCGTCAGTTGAACCCGTAACCCCGTGAATGAGCAGGACCACGGCCTCGGGCAGTGAAGAGTTCAGGGCTGTCGTCGACTCCAATTGTATGTGATCGGAGCTTCCAAGGGGCCGGCCTTTAGTTAACAAGTCAGCTGGGTTATTTGTGCATGTGACCTGCAACCTCATGCAACCTGACAGGCTGCGGTGAGGCCCAGTGTAGTTCTGGGGTAGACAAACATGTATGGTCAAACACTTGGGCACGTATCTGTCCACTGTCCAAATTCTGGTAGACCCCCAGTGTACAGTTCCCGTCGTCCTGAACCTGGCACCATGACAAGCCCTGGTCGCGGCCAGGAGGCTCTGTAGAAGCAGGAGAAGGTGGCGGGCCGGATTGAGACGATGTCGTTGTGTTTTTGGAGGGTTGGTCATTGGTCGAGGTCTGTAGGCGGGTTGTGCCAATGACTATGACTGCGGCAAGTAGCAGGGCCAACGCAATAGCTGTGATGACAATTGCTGCCATTCTGGGTCTCCTGCGACAGGGGGGTTGGCGAACAACATGCCTGCGATGATTCCTCTGGCCGGTTACTTGAAGATTCGTTGACACTTTTGCTGATTCATAATGTTCGTAGTAGTTCTTGTCAGAAGCCATGTTGGTTACTATCTCCACGTGTGGAATTTTGAAAAACCGGATGGGTTTTCCAAGGTGGTCATTTGACAATCATTGAGGGTCAGGGAAAAAGAACGAAGGTGTCAGCAACATAGATCGTTGTCGAAACCGAAGATCGGAGCTGGACACAAACAAGGCTGAGGAGCTTGAGCACTTACTTTGAACTGGCAGGTGCTGAAAAGCATGTATGAGCAGTTGAAATCTTATCGAGCCACTACATCGTAGGGTTCTCATCACGGTACCCAAGCCGTTGGGACAATGCGCTTGCCAAGTCTGAAACTTGGATGGGCATTGATGTATCCCAGAGCTTATCCGACAAGCCATCGACCTTATTAGGACCCAAGGGCAAATGTTGCACTACCCCTACACGTTACAGCTTGCTTTGCGATGTTGCATTCGTACTAATGCAGGTCAATAGCCGTCGAATGCATTTGAGATCACGAACTGTGGATCCCAGCTAATTTCCGAGAGGGATTATGGTTCGGGAAGGTCGATAACACTACCCGCCCCAGCAGCGGAGCATTAAATACGGGTCCTTCGGGGCTGGATGTATTCTCCGGGTAGTTGGAAAGCTCAGTCTATCGTTATGTGCTTGTTTGGCATGGCGGATGGGACATCGCTTCATTGAAGATGCAGGAGCTTCCATTACTGCAGCGTCTGCAGCCGGTGCCTTACAATCTCGATCCCACTCGAACTCCACGACATGTCTTGCTTTAACTTCTAAGCTTCTACTGCCACTGCCATCGATCGGCCGCGTCATCTGAAGATGATTATGCTCTATGAGCCTCCTTGCAGCCCACAGTCTGTCGTATGCCTTGAGGCTACTACTCTTTGTATTGTCCAATATGAAGACTTCCTCTGATTCTGGGTTCAGATAAGTCCTTACGGTGTTGTATTCCTTCATGTATTACCGAGCAGAAGATGGCCTTACCAACCGCCTTGGGAAACAGGTCACTGCCAGTGCTACTGACTGGACAGTTACTAGGAATTATTTGAGTCCTCGAAGAGGTGATTATTGACCGGACCTTGCGCATAAGGACTTGGCAGATTGAAAGCATGGCAAAAAAAACAAGGTTTCGGCTGCGCTTAATCAATCGGCGAAAGGCTGATGACTCGGCACGACCCACGTGCGGTGCATGCCTTCATTGGCTTTTCACATGAAATTGGGAACAACAACCCTCCGTACCTGCAGCTTGGAAGACCTGCTCAGTTGATGCTGGAAATATGGCAGATGCTTAGTCAACTTTATTTCGGCACTTCAGCACGCGGCCAGGGCGGATGCTGTCAGGGCAGACAGCTTAGCACATGCACGGCAGTGATCTAGACCCGTCCGCAAGAGTTTACTTCCCGCGCAAGGCCGCGGCTTGGGCGGCCTGGTTACCTTTTGAGTTGGGCGTAGAATTCAGCCCAGAGTTGTACTGTGGTTCACTCATCGATCAACACGCGGAAGAGATGCGCAGGCTTTCAGTAAACACGCGTCTACGATGCTTGGCACACAACAAAGATGCCAGCAATTCTTTCGTGCTGCGCAATCACCGTGCCGCGCGAGTGACGGTCGACACGGCCAGACCTTCGGATCGACGAGTATGAGGCACGGCGAGGCATCACTGGCGCTGGCAACCAGAGGTGTCCATTTGAACAACTGTGTCGTCATGAACAACAACAATTCATCACATCTTGTAGAGGGCCTTGTTGCGGATGTGGTTGCAGGACAGACGCTCATATGTCCGTAGGCTAATGAATGCCATCAGCATACAAGAGTGATGCTGACTGCAGTCGGAAATGCAACAGCTGGCTGCTCCATTCCCGACGCTCGGAGAGGAGCCTGCCAATCGGAGAAACCCCCAACTCGGAAGACCGTTAGGAGCCCATGCCAAAGCCGACAGACGGCCTTAACGGCGCTACCGCCGTGGCGGCACACAACCAGATGAATGCTGTTTTAGTGCCTGTTGAGCTTTGCCTGTGCCGGCGGTCCAATACGCTAGATGCTATGTCGACCACCCGGAAGTCTTGCCCCTTGACTTGCAGGGTTCATCTGTCACTCGCAGGCGGGCGGCTCATCCGCCTGCACTCGTCTGTGCCGTCATCGACTGAGTGGTATCTATGCTCTAAGAGACAGCCTCAGCCGGTAAAAAGTGAATCCTGGAATACTGTAATATCACTAATCACTCCCACACAGGCTGGAGATCTAGCGGCTGTCAACGATACCCCCACAGATAGGAGAAGACGATTATTACTCTCATATGCAATCAATCGTATCAAAATGGCGCTAGTGACTCGCACATAACACCACACATCAAAAATCGTATGCACTTGTTATCGGAGCTACATTTAACGATTTCTCTACGACCAAACCTCTAGACTTAACAAGGATAGAAGCAATTAATAGCTATAAATGCCCTCTTTCTTTTAATATAGGGCGTATATAGCGTAAGGCTATTTTTAAAGTATAGTAATTAAGAATATATTAAAAATTAAGCTTTTCATAGAAATTTATATATATATTTAATTGCTATACTTTAAATATAGCTTTATATTATATATACCTTATATAAAAAAAAGAGGGTATTTATAGCTATTAATTACTTTTATCCTTATTAAATTTACAGATTTAATTATAGCGCAATTTAAGTTAAAAGCTAAATTTAAGGTAATATTTATTATTTTAAAAGGGGTTATGCTTTTTATATATTATAATTAAAGTTATTAAGTTTAACCCTATAAAAATAACCTACTTAATTTAAAAACATAGCCTTTAAGATTAATATTTTAGCTAATTATTTAAATATAACTTTTAACTTAAATCGCTTTATAATTAAATCTTTAAGCTTAATAAAAATAAAAGTAATTAATAATTATAAATACCCTCTTTCTTTTAATATAAGGCGTATATAATATAAAGCTATATTTAAAGTATAGCGATTAAATATATATTAATAATTAAGAATATACTAAACTTTTTTAGTTATTAACTTAAATATCTTAATAACCACACCTTTAAAATTAATATAAATAAAATCAATAAATAGCTAAGAATGCCCTCTTTCTTTTAATATAAAGTATATATGGTATAAGGCTATATTTGCTTAGAAATTAGCAATATGGTTGTTAAATAATAAGTGCATATAATTTTTGGTGTGAGGTGTTATGTGCAGGCCATTAGCGCCATTTTGATACGATTGATTGCATATGAGAGTAAGTCCGTACATTAGCAGCGCCTACAGGTGAGACATTCCATCACCATGAACGAATATAAATAGACGGCATCAATCGCAGACTACAGCACCAGACCATTTGCCACACAAGCCGCCTGTGAATATCTGTTACCAGCCTCAGCACTTATAAAAGCAGTATCAATCGATACGAATTGATCATAACCTTCTACCACATCTGAACTACGCCCATTAGGCCGACTCAACCTTCTAAACACCAAGATGGCCCCATCACTGCCCAAGACTTACCGAGCCGCTGTCCTTGATGACAAGGGAACCAAGCTGGTTTTGAAGGACATCGACCTCAAGCTGCCCGGCCCCGGCCAAGTCCTTATCAAAGCACTGGCCTGCGGTGTCTGCCACACTGATGAGTTTCTCCGGCAAGGCTTCCTGGGTAACTCCTTCCCCCGGATCCCCGGCCACGAGGTGATCGGAGACATAGTCGCCGTCGGCGAGGGAGTCACCCGCGTCAGGGAGGGCGAGAGAGTTGGTGGACCGTGGCACGGTGGTGAGTCTCTTCCTGTATTTCCCATCCCTAGGACCCCCCGCTCTTGGTTCGCCTCTAGGGCCGACCACCCGGGAGCTAAGACGCCTCCGAACCAATGCCGCTGACGTCAAGGTGGTGATGATCACCAAACACAGGCCACGATGGAACCTGCCGGTCCTGCCAGCGCGGGGTCTTCCAGACGTGCGACAACGAGGAGATCAACGGGGTGACGATGGACGGCGGGTACGCGGAGTACGTGCTCCTGCGCGCCGAGGCGGCCGTGCGGATCCCCTCCGACGTCGACCCGGCCGAGGCAGCACCGCTGCTCTGCGCCGGCGTGACGACGTTCAACTCGATGCGCCGCATGGGCGTGATGCAGGGGGGCCTGGTCGCGGTGCAGGGGCTCGGCGGGCTGGGCCACCTGGCGGTGCAGTTCGCGAGCAAGATGGGCTACGAGGTCGTGGCCATCAGCAGCGGGGCGACAAGAAGGACTTCGCGACGCAGCTCGGCGCGCACCACTACGTCGACACGAGCAGGGAGGACCCCGTCAAGGCGCTCATGAAGCTCGGCGGCGCCGCCATGATCTGCTCCACCGCGCCGCACCCCAAGGCCATCAGCCCGCTCGTGGGCGGGCTCGCGCCGCAGGGCAAGCTGATCGTGCTGGCGCCGCTCGGGCCCGTCGAGTTCGACACGGCGACGATGGTCACCAAGGCGGCGAGCGTGCACGGTTGGCCGTCCGGGCACGCGCTCGACTGCGAGGAGACCATCGCGTTTGCGGGCACCCACGGCGTCAAGTGCTTGATTGAGAAGTTCCCGTTGGACAAGGTGCAGGAGGCGTTTGAGCACATGACGAGTGGAAAGGTTCGGTTCAGGGCTGTCCTGACGATGTAGTCTTCTTTCGAGCGCAAGAGTTCGACGGGTTGATCAGACGTAGTTAATCGCAGGTTTCAACCGGCCTTTGCGTGCATCTGAGCGACGTGGTGACCTTGGGTGTGAATGGCTTGCGTGTACCAGTGTCCGTTCATGAGCAGCAGGGTGAGATATCCTCTGGTCATGTGGAACCACATGAAGAGGTCGACAGTCGTCCAGAGGGATAGTTGAGCCCACTCATCAACCGTCCCCGTCAAATTGACCAGCCCGCTTGCTCAGCAGGCCAATCTTGAACCACTCGCCCAGACCTTTATGGTCCATGACCTGGCCAAAAGAAGACACCGAATCGGTCTCATTGAAAGCACCAGCAGGCATCGGAGTCATCGCCGGGCCATCGTCCAACTGCCTCGCCTCAGGCTTCCAGACGCACTGGAAATCCTTGTACCGCAGGTCCTTGACGGCGCTGACCCACGACCCCAGGCATGAGCCCTCTGGGCTCTCGGCGTACATGAGGCCCGGCGAGCCGCCGTAGCGCACCAGCACGAACGGGACGCCAAAGTGCGCGGCCGCCTTCTTGACGCGCTGGAGCTTCTTGCGGCTGGTGACGTGGTGCGTGCGGATCAGGGTGACGAACAGCGTCCTTGTGGTGCCCATGCTGCTGCCGGCATGGCGATACGGGAAGACGTCGACTTTCGTGTGGATTACAAGTCCAGAAATGGTCGTCGAAGTCAGGTGACGCGTGGGTGGTTAATTCAATATCGCGCCTGTAAACCCGAGTGTAAGAAGCTTAACGGGTACTGTCGGTGGAACGTCGTTCCATGCCGATGGCCGGGGGAGCACCGGTGGGGGCCGTGTAGATAGCGGACACTGCAGATCCGGACACAGTCAGGGCACAAAGCCTCGGTTCGTATTCGGTGCGATACGGTCAACCCCAAGCGTCTTACACCAGATGACAACCATGACAGTTGCTCACGGTCAGCAACTGCTATGGAACCGGCGGGGCTAGTGCAGGCCAATGCCGTGGCCGTCCAATTGGACGTCTCACAACCCATCATGACAGCGAGAGGATTTCCAGCCCCCAGCAGGTGCAACCACACCACCGGATCCCATCACCATCTTTCAGCCTCCGGACCTGGGGGCGGACGCCAAGGAAATGGTCGCATGTGAACCTGGGCTAGCCAGGCTAGAGGCTGCGCTAGAAAATGCACTAGAAGCTGGCTAGAAGGGAAGTGGAAATATCTTGCCCACCGGTGCGGCACAGGGGTCCGCCACACCACGACCCAGATATCGTCGCCGCTCTCAGACGATGATAATGCCAAGCGGTCTCGAAGGATTGTGGCAAAAGAGACAGGTTTGGCGCTTGGGAGGGGGAACAACACGATAACGTCCTTGAACTCGACTCCTAGCTTGCCATTGGGCGATGTCCATTGCGTTGTGTTGAGCTAAGGTGGGACGCCTTCACGCCCAGGAGGTTAAACCACATGGGCCTCATCCCACTCGGCCGGTCTGCCTGTCTGCCTGCAACCCACTGTGCAGCCCTACCATCACGCAAGCTAACAAGGCTAAGACCGTGGCAATCCGAGTCCTACACGAGCATGCCACATGGTGGGAACCCCGCCCGTACTGGTCGATCCTTTCCAGAGCCATTGTGCATCCATCAAAGCCTTGTCACATCGTCGGAGGGGAGCCCCTTTGCCGCGAGCCTTGCACAAACACTCGAGCAGGAAGATCACAAACGCAGCACGAGTAAACATCACAGGCATTTGTTGGGGTGTAATTAATACATTGCAGCTTCATATCTAAGTCGACCCAGTCGACGTATACATAACGCTCATGTCACATTATATACGGGTATTATTTCCTGGTAGACGCCCCGTAGGACAACCGCTAGCTCCAAAGAGATCTAGTCACGCGGCTCTCACGAGCGGATCCTCTAACCGCAGTACTCGAAGCCAGGGCACGCAACAGCGCTGCCCTTGACATCACCAGCAACGCCGGCGACCTGGAGGATGGCGTTGATCACACCGCCGATACCCTCCCCGGCGCTGAGACCAGCGGCCAGGCTGTAAGCGTACTCGTCCCAGGTGCGCGGGCTCTTCTTCATCCAGATGTAGCTGGCGATGGCGCCGACGGACATGGCGGTGCTGTACTGGGTCTGGGGCAGGGTGAAGGCGAGGCCGACGGCGTTCATGTTGGGCACGTAGCAGTGGTACTTCTTGGGGATCCACAGGTACTTGGCGGCGACGAGGGCGACGGAGAAGACGCCCAGCGCGACGGCGGTGATGCCCGAGGACGTGGGGACGGGGAAGTTCTTGGCGGTCACGGCCACGGCGGTGGCCTTCCAGGCGGCGACGGAGGGGATACCGAACTGTAGGAGTAGGTAGAAAGTCAGCACATGTGTCAGATGTCACGGCGAGGAGAGTGTTCTTACCTGGCACGAGTCGGCGAGCGCCTCGTCGATGATGCATGGGTAGGCCTCAGAGAAGAGGACGAAGAAGCCACAGCAGAGGACGATGCTGAACACCGAGCCCACGGCTTGTGCAATGAATTGCACGCGGGGCGAGGCACTGAGAAGGTAGCCGGTTCGCAAGTCTCCCAACATGTCCACGGACTGTGCGGCGGCTCCTGCAGCGACGATGCCTCCGGTCATGTTGATGCGCTGGGCTGCCACACCGTGCTCGCCCTGTCCCTGCGTGACACCTCCGAAGACCAGCTGTGAGCTCTTGGCGCATGTGGAGACGGGATTGATGTCGGTGGCACCCGAAGACTGTGCTGCAATGAAGCTGAAGACGAAGGCGAGGATGACGGCGAGGATGGTCAGGCCGGGGCTGACGTGGTACTGAAGAGCCAGCACGATCATGGAGAGGGCGATGGAGGCGAGGACACCAATGGACCAGGTCCAGGTCGGCACCTGCTCGGACTGTGGCGACGGGTCCTCGATCTCTCGCTCCTCACTTGTGAGGTGCTTGGCTGCGAAGGATCGCGTCTGGGGGATCTTCCCCGCCGTCTCGAAGATTGCCCTCTTCAGCCCGCGGTAGAGAATGGGGCCGTTCATGGCAACCTCGGCGAAGGAGGCGCAGAGCATCACCATGATGCCAACCCACAGGTTCCAGTATCGGGGGGAAGGCCGGGTCTCCGTGTCGGACAGTGAGTTGTAGCTGTACCAGCCCGGGAAGCGGTTGATGCCGGTCTCCTCGTCCAGGCCCTCCTCGACTCCGAAGGTCGCGCCGTACTTGACGGTCAGGGGCCCGATGAGTGCCCAGGCGAGCACGCTGCCTCCGAAGAACGAGAGGGACGCGTTCAGACCAGAGAGGATACCCGCACCAATGAAGGCCGGTGTGTACTCGAAGATCCAGCCCCAGGACTCAGCGGCGATGATGCCGCTCCATCCCCAAGTGTACAGCCACCAGAAGACGTGGTGGTCCCACAGGATGCCGGGGGCGTAGATGGAGACAACACGCAGAAGGGCAGCGCCACCAAACGCAAGTGCAAGACACCTGGCCTTCCTGCGACCGCTGGCCTCGCTAGCGGCACCACCAGCGTGGAGTGCTCGGACGGTGTATGCCACGGCCGTGGGGGAGGGGAAGATGAGCTTGAGCTTCAGGATGTAGAACTTTCGGAGGGCGATGGCGAAGAACAGTCCATAGTAAGCCGTGCAGATGGAGAATGTGACAAGCTTGCCAAAGTCTGGGGTAGAGTTAGCTTTCCCGATCGCCCTAGTTCTGACACAGTTCCAGAAACACCAAGTACGGGGACGGGAAACTGCTCACCCTCCTCAGCCTTGTTCGACATGAGACCCATCTGGTACATTGCGGGGATGGGGCCGACGAAGATAATGCCTAGACCACCAGCGGCGGTGGCAGCGGTCTGAACAGTAACATTTTCCTACATCCCAATGTTAGTGAACTCTGACAGGATCATGCTCTCGAGTGAGTCACAAACCTTGGGACCAAAGTAGCCTCCGCCCAGGATCCTGGGGGCGACTCTGGAAATCGACTTGAGAATAGCGAAACCAAGGATACCACCGAACAAGGAGGCGCCAAACGTCCAGCCGGTCTTGAGACCGAGGTAGATATTTGATGCCGAGACGACAGCGCCCAAGCAGACACCAACGACCAGAGCACGGACGGTGAGCTGCTGCTCCTCCTCGGGGACGCCCTTCAACGGCGGGAAGGGGAACCTGTTGTCGAGGATCTCGGACTCGTCCTCGTCAACGGGGGTCTTCTCGCCGTCGATGTCCACGAACATGTCCTTCTCGCCGGCGGAGTGAGGTCTCCGCTCGCGGACCGTCTCGGGCACCTTCTCGGGCACCTGCTCCCCCGTCTTCGCATCTGCCGGGGCAGTGACGGGAGCCGTAGTAACGTCGCGGGCCTGGATAGACGCCATCGTGACTGAGGTTGGAGTTGACGGTCACTGCTGAGGGACACGACCTCGAGGACCTGAAGGAGAAGATGGAATATCTTGAAACGACTGAGCAACCCACCTCGGGGAGGCACATGCAGAAGGACGCGGTCCTTTATTCCTTTGTGCGCTCGCGTGGTCGGAGGAGTCAGGCCAGGGTCCACTGCATGTTCGCTAGATCAAGCGGGGCAGGTGGAAGATGGTTGGGATTGTTGTGACCGGAAGGGGCTAGCAGTCATGTTCTGGATCCTGGAGGATTGAAATGACCTGCCTTATCCAGTTGGTCCAGGCTCAATCGCCAAGGCTTCCAGAGTTCAGCCGAGGGATGTGCGACTTGAATCACTGAGCGTGGTTTGCTTCGGTGGAGCCGACCGGTGGCAAGGTTCTGGGCCACACCACGCTGTTGGTAACTGTCTTCCCCAGCCGGCCCCATTGGGGCCCCACAAGTGGAAGGTGATAAGGGCATGGGGCCTCATTCGTTCCTGTCTTGGGGCGAGGCTCGGCGCAGATAGCACGAGGGTTCTTTTCGCCGTGCCAGTCATTCAGCGTGGGTAATATAATCTGGAGCAGGCTCTGCCTCCAACAGACCACGCCGCTCGTGTTGAGTAGCACGGCATGAATGATCTGTCAGGTTCTGTCACACTAGCCCCCCCCTGCCTAGGCGAGGCCCGCCCGCGCCGCACATGCTTTAGCATTTTCAAATCATTTTGAAGGGACAAGCCACTAGTCAGGCACATGGAAGATTTTAGGGGTTGACTACATCAGTCGAAAGCACTTTGCCAACCAATGATAACGGAGGAGGGACAAGATACTGCATTGGACAAGTCAATCGAGTCTTTGAGAGAAAGATGCAAATTGCAAAACTAATCACTGCATGTCCAGTATGAAAATTTAAAGACCTAACCAATTCAATTTCCTGTCGACAAAAGAAAAGCTCCGTCTACCAAAAGAATGCTCAGTCCACAAAAGAAAAGCCCATTCTCCAAAGGAGTGGCTCAGTCTACCAAGAAAAGCTCGCCTGAGGCTCACTACAACAGCCTATCCACCTTCAAGGTGCGTGCCCCCGGCGGAGCGACACGCTTAAGCCTTTCCATTCAGAGCGGGAGCGTTCTCATCCGGAGCATTTCCATTCAGAGACACACGGTATCCACGTGTCCACCAGCTAGAGGCCGTGCTTCCGGCCTCGGCGAGGTACCCGTAGTAGTAGTCGTAGTTAGAAGAGGCCCAGCGGATCACCCAGACCGCGAAGACGAGCCAGAAGACAGGAGACCTTCCGAAGACCTCCCAGAAGAACCCGGCGAGCGGCTTCATCACCTGCTTGAATGAGGCCACGGGGTGATACCAGGGGTTGATCGCGTACTCGTTCATGTCTTCGAAGACATCCATGACGGTTGACTCGATGATGTCCGAGATGACCGAATGCTTGTCCTTGAAACTATCCCAAGCCGACTCGTCCCTCCAGGCGGCCACCAGTCGATCTTGAAAGATTTTATGCGACACCGATATGACCATGCCCGAGATAGCCTTGAACGTGAAGACGCCCTGCATGACTTGAAACATTGTCAAGTTTGTGCGTTTCGTTGCTTGTGTGTGTTTTTTTGAAGTTGAATGTGTTGTGTGTAGCTGTTGTGAGTTGTTTGTGTGTGCGTATGCTTTTCTTGAGGATGCAGGTTGGGTATTCAGTTCTTTTCCAACCCGAGAGAATATGGTTCATATTCGTAGCTGGATGTCTAGTGACGAGGTTTCCTAGAAGTGACTCGTCTCACCCTGTACAACAATGACATTGTGTTGTGTAAACTTTGTAAAACCAATGTTCTGTATCAAAGGACAATGCAGACAGTGTACTCTACTTCCCATGATAACAGTGCTGTCAGAGTGCAGTACAGTGAAACATTGTCCTTATTAGCTATTATAAAGACCGCTACAACCTCTCTCCATTTGTCGATTAATTTAGCGCCATTAGAGGTATTGTGAGCTGTGGATTGAACTGTCAGATAACATAACACCACAAAGGGACTGTGGCCAGTGCCGCAAGCCACCAGTTTATCTGAAACATGGAAACGCTGTTTACAAAGAGTATAGCAGAAACTGATGATACCAGAATGCCCGTTGTATTACTACATAAGCAACTACGCCATGCCATATGTAGTCATTGTCTCTAAATCTACAATCCTAGAATCGAGCAGTCGCGGAAAGGGGCTTATGGCGTCCTTGGGTAATCTATGAGTTTTCGGTTATTGCCTCGCAGCCTTCTGATCCCTTCACGATGCAGCCCAACACATCCTAGCATTGGCCGCAGGAGACACAGCTCCAATCAACGGTAGCTCGAGATAAGAAACCTTGTGAGTACTCATGAACCTCCGACAAGATCTGCCCTCTTATTGAGAATGAAGCCAAGGCCATTCCTCCGTATGGCTCGCAGACAATGCTGTGCAATTGCGAGGGATCCTGGGTCATGTAACCCAATTTGGGAGCCCAATGAGTATATTTTACTGATATTGAATTCATGCAGGCAACACAGTGCTACTCCGATCTCATATTCTTTGCAAGCGTTTTTGAGAAAGTATATGTTGACTTGTATATACAGAAAAGTGATATATAATATCGAATAGAAGACCAAAGGCGCTAAGCAACTGTGAAAGACTCAACCTTTATCGAACCTCCCAACGCCTTGGTGGCAAAGTTGAAGATGCGAAAACGATACGCAACGAAGAACGCCCAACCAGTATACAGCTCATGCGTCGGCCCGAGCTGCGCGAACTCGACGCCGTCGAAGCTGTAGAAGAAGTTGGCGGCCCTCGTCCCCGACGCCCGCGCGTCGAGCTCCGCGCGGAACCACAACTTGGCGGCGCCGCTGGGGACCGGCGCGGATGCCACTTCCTGGCCGGGGCCGACCGGGGTTCCCGGAATACTCGTCGATGGTGATGTTCTGCACGGCAGTCAGGGTATACGCGCTGCCGTTGCGGTGGATCCCCACGTAGGCGGTCTGGTCGCGGAACCGCCGCGAGCCCGAACCTGTCGCCGTCGGCGGCGTTGCTGAAGTCGATCTCGACCGTGCCCTTTGGGAATTCGCCGTGGATGCGGTGCGTCAGCGTGTTCCGCGCCGAGTAGATGTCGTCCGTGACGCTCGCTGTGCGGAGCGTCACGCCGTTGCTGACCTCGAAGCTCGTGACGTCCGGGTTGTGGTTCCACTCCCAGGTTGGGCCGAGCTCGCTCTCGAAGTTGTATGTCCGCGTCCAGCTGTACGGGGGTTGAGATGGCAGGGGCAGAGGGTAAGTCGAGCCCCAGCCGCCGTTCGAGCCCTTGGCGAACTCGGGGAAGCCATCTGCACCCCAGGTCACAGGGGCCAGCACTGGCATGCGACCTGCTGGGTAAGCCTAAGTGAAAGACATGTAGTACCAGTCTCCCTGGGCCGTCTGGATGAGACTACCTTGATGCGGAGAGTTGCTGCCCTCAATTGGTGGCCCAATGTTCTGTACGAGGACCTTGGGCTCGTAGGGGCCCCACGGACTGCTCGACTTCCAGATGTAGGTCGTAGACCCAGGCTGGTCGTTGAGAATGTAGTACGTGCCGTTGATCTTGTACATCCTGTTACCCTCGAGCGAATCTGTGGGCACATCAGAGGCCTGGAGGACCCGCTGAGACTTCACCACGCTTAAGCCATCCGTACTGAGCTGCGAAACGTTGACCTGTCCACTTCCATAGAACGCACATCGTGTCATCGTCATCGATAAGCAGACCGTTGTCATAAAAACAGTTCCCTCCTCCAAAGTTGGCGCTGTTCGTCCAAGGGCCCTCTACAGACTTGGCGGTGAACACCCACGTAATCCAGAAGTTGGTGCACCCAATCCACTACCACAGTCCGTTACTCTCGCGGTACCTCAGAGTCGACGCCCATGTGCCACCGCGATAGGCTCTCGGGCCACCAGGCGGAAGGTCGTAGCCATCGCCGAAGGTCAGGCGAGGGATGGAGTGGCCGACCGGCTCCCAGTTCACAAGGTCCAGTGACCGCAGGATCGGTGCACCGGGGCTGTAGTGGAAGTTGGACGCCGAGAAGTTGAAAGCCCCGTCCGGGCCCACGGAGATATCGTTGTCGGGGTAGTCCTCGTAGAGGACGGGGTTCTGGAACGTCTCGGCCCGGCTGGGCTTGGCTACCGAGGCGGACTTCAGGACAAGCCGGCGGCGAGCAGGAAGCCCGCCAAGAACAGAAATAGACAACTTGAGTGCATTGTCTATCTGAGAAAGCACATGCAGTAAGATGTGGCAGCGCCTGCCGTCTCCCAGTCGTTGTCCCATGGTCCCGCGCTTTATATTCTGGACCACTGTGGATTAATACTCAATTCTTGTCATGAGAATCACTCTATCCTTCTTACTAACTCCTCCAATTGGATGAATCTAGATATCCGCTCGGGGGGAAGACGTCCGTCGCCAGGAGATTGTCCAATGCACCGCCAGGGCTTCTCTGAGAAGCGCCGAGGGGCCTACTCGGTCCCGCAACCTATAGGGGGCTCGCGTTCGTTCTTTGGAATGGAGACTGGCCCGAACCTTCCATCTCCGGGTTTCTGCTTTCGGCCGAGCTGTGTAAAGGTTTATCCGTCTCATACTTCACGTGGTTTCTGAGTTCATCGTGCGCATCATTACAGGGCGATACGTGTATTTTCTTCGTCCTCAGGTGCGGCTGGAAACGAGGGCCGTGGACCCAGATGCATGTTGCGCTGGCCAATGCGGCCACCGCATTGGAGCCGTTCGCACGAATAGCTGCCATGTGGGCAATGACCTGATTGCCACCGTATGAATCATGTTTTCTCCCCAGCTCTGTTCGAATTTGTGGAGTGAAACGAAAGACATTCGTACGAATACCAACCAGGTGTGGAATGATGAGCTCGGGCACGGGTTCAATTTGCGAGTCTTAGCCATATATCTAGTGAACGATAAGTGCAGCACATGAGGTGTATCTCTTCGAGTGGGTAAATTGACATTTCATTGCTACAGCTTCTCCTAGGTCTCGCCAGAATGAATCGCGCCTTTGGTCCTTCTATGAGATCGGCCAGGCACGACGAACGATCCAATGCCAGCCATCACAAAGTTATATCACATCACTCAAGGTGCCTGGTTTCTTTTACAAACCTTGCAGTGTCTTGCTACATAAAGTCTGATGCAGTCAGCTGTGTCGTCCTTTGTTTTCGCTCGACTGAGTGCTAGCACGACTTCTTACACGTGTTTTTCAGGCCATGCTCAGCAGATTCAGCCGTCTCACTAACAATTGAATTTCGGATCCAACTAAGACAGTAATCTGGAGGTAGTCCTGGGGGACCAGACTGTGTTGATTTCCCAGGATAAACGGCGTATCGATGATCAGCTACACTTAACCGATCATGAAGTTGAGTATCTGAATTTCGGCTTTGCTAATATGATTCACCTTCAGTTACTGCATGATTATCTTCCGACAAATGCTGAATGTGAAACGTTGAGCAAAGAAGACAATGAGAAATTACGTTTGCTGGTACCTATTCTGACCAGTCGGCCGGCGAGCCTGAAAGACTCTCCTTAGCAGTTCCACCTTCCCGTGCAATGCGTCGACTTGTCTGTATAAGGCATATCGAGAATAAAGACAAATTCTGTATCGATCTAGAATGCGGCAGTACGGAATGTACGGGATTACATCCAAATCTTGGGCCTAAGTTCAGAGGTCTGGACACATCTGAGTCCGACTAGGCCGCCGCAAGATGGTGTAACCGGGCAGATCATTGGAAAATACGACTGGGCCGATCTAGACCCTTCCTTTGTGCAGAGTCAATGAGGGGCGCGGGTAGCAAGTCTGCAGAGAGAGACGCCGCCCTTTGACGCGGGAAGGAAAGCAGAGAGAGATCCCGACCGAGTAAGTCAAGGAAAGCAATCGAAATATATATGGTCATGATGCAGTCTGTTCCAGATTGGAGGAAAAGCACAACACAGAAAACAAGATATTGGTTCCTTCATTTACACCAAAATTCTTTTTACCACACTCGTTGAACGTGTCTTCTCTCTGCATCGTAACATCTTGACCGCGGATAAATCTCTCCTTACTTTTAAACCAACCGAGCCATTTGTGAAAAACGAAAACACATAAAAATCATTCTTAACTTCGCGGGAACAAACATTTTCCTTCTCTTTACTATCGCCGTAACCCTTGCATCGTAGGGCGCTTACGCAGCCCCGCTGCCCAGGTGGTCGCTGCCCAAAGTCGGCGGGAGCTCAAAGCCTCCTGCTACACCTCGTAAGACAACGAACGCTGCCGGAGAGCCGGTCTCGTTTACGGACTTCGACAGCCTCCTCGATGTACCCGTCAAGTCCAGCAGTGGTACGGGGTCCCAAGTTGCTAAAGGCGCCACTGTAGGTGCTGGGGCTGCTGCTGTTATAGGTGGTGGTGTGGGGGCTGGTGTAGCAGCGAGTCAAAACCCGGGCTTGGGATACGATTATGCCGGCTAGGGGCCTTTGTTGCCGTTGTCTAAGGAAGAGGAGGTGTACCCTGGTGGTGCTGAAAGACGCGTTGTTCAATCTTTTATTTCCACAATAGACACCACCTAACCTGTCTGTGACGGTTCAACTGATTCTAATCCATATTTTTGGAGACTGCAATTAAATCTTAGTGCAATTGTCTTACTATCTCCGTCCAGAAATATATACTGAACGGCCAGTACCTGTCCCGTCACTCGTAGATGCTGCTAGTCTGTGTCGGCGCCGAATGACACTGAGCTCCGGCGGATCAAAATTCCAGAACAGGCCGAACTTTCCACCGACTCACTATGAATCATACTCTGCCCTGAAATCTCTTTCGGTGCCTGGGCCAGCGAGTGATACGTGCTCGGAATCGCCTCCGAGATTTCCGTTCGGCATGACCAGCGTTGGGGTCTACTTTTTCGTTGTGATCCTGAAAAATGGAGTACATAATACAAGATTGGAGGTCAGTTTAGGCTCGTGGAGTAATTCCATCATCGTTCGGACTTTTACAAATGCGTTGACTAGAAAATTTCGCCCTCTGTTCATTTTGTCTCTTTTCTTCCGACCATCATGAAAGCGTTCCGATTCCTCGGCGCCGAGAAGGGCCTCGCCCTCCGGGAGCTGCCGGTCCCCACTCCCGGCCCCGGCCAGGCCCTAATTCAAGTCAAGGCCGCCGGGCTCTGCCACTCGGACACGCATGTCTTACACGGCGGCGGCGCAGCCTGGATGTGCGCCCTACCAACCACCCTGGGCCACGAGGTCGCCGGCCTAATCACCTCGCTCGGCGATGGGCCTGCTGCTTCGTCACCATCAGCGTCCTTGAAAGTCGGCGACCGCGTAGCCGTGGCGTGCGTCGGCCACCCCATCCAAGAACGCAACTTCCAAGAAGCGCTCGGCGTCGGCTGCGACGGCGGGTACGCAGACTACGCCGTGGCGCCGCTCAAGAACCTCGTCAAGCTACCCGACTCGGTGAGCTTCGTCGACGCGGCCGTGGCGACCGACTCCATCGCGACGGCCTACCACGCCGTTGTAGCTGAGGGCGGCGTGTCTGAGTCGACCACAGTCGCGGTGATAGGCCTCGGCGGGCTCGGCCTGAATGGCGTCGCCATAGCTGCGTTGCGCGGGGCGAGGGTGTTTGGAGTCGACATCAACAAAATTCGAACAGGCTCGGCAACTGGGAGCTGTCGACTGTGCGACAAGCCTGTCGCAGTTTGAGGGTGAGACTTTCGATGTCGTGTTGGACTTTGCGGGCGCGCAGCCTACGGTTGAGGCGGCTGTGGCCACTGTTTGCCCTGGAGGCTGCGTGGTGCTGGTTGGGCTGGCGGCACAAAAGGTGCAAATCACCACTACGTCTCTGGTCACGCAGAACGTGTCACTGAAAGGATCGACGAGCGCCAGTATAAAGGAGTTTCGTGAGGTATTGGATCTGCTGGCGTCGGGCTCACTCAAGCCATATGTGCAGGAGATTTCCTTCCAAGATATTCCGAGGGGTCTCGAGATGCTTGGGAAGGGCGAGGTCAATGGTCGGCTTTACACAATTCCGTAGAGAGGCTGTCCGAAATTACTGAGGAAGGGGTTTAAAATTGAGTGTTCTGCGTGGTAACGTTGGTATGTGCTGTTTCATCTTCATAATCGTAATGGTAATCTTGAACGGATCAATGGCCATGTCCATGGTATGAAGACGTCTCTTAATATTTGGGTTCTATTCTGTCAGATTAGAGGATCGAATTGTGGAAATGTGAGTACAACTACATCTTTGTGGGACAAGAGCAGCCAGAAAGTAGGCGTAATGGGTTGGGTTTCTATTGGACCATCAAGAAGACGCCACATCAGAGCAGATACTTGCAAACGCACACTCAGATACTAAGCATCACATGTCGCTGACCAAATTTGCTAACTGAAATGGTACGAAGGGATTTAAACTTCGATGATGCCGTGGAATGTGGCAAAGAATCTCTGAAAACATGCAGTCGACTTGGGTATGGTTGGGTGGAAGTCGAGCCGCTGCCCGATCAGTGCATGAGGCTATTCCCCTTTTCGTTCTGAATAGGACCCCGGAACCAGTGCCCGAGGAACGTTCTCCTTGATTAAGCCTACCACAGCAAGAATACCAAGCCTGACTAGAATCTGATTTCAATCATGTGGCAATGTTTTTCCTCTAGTAATTCCCAAATGAAACTACCTAGGTGTGGTGGTCCCTCAAGATGAGTGAGTCCCGAAACGGCCGCTTGTGCGTGCCCGCCGACACGAGCAGGTTCTCAAATTCCCTGGATCCTGTGAATGAAATTCGAAGACAGCCGCCTTGATTTTCCCTTTCCTGTGATCTCTCGAGCGGAACGCCGCCCCGATTCCAAAAGCACGCGCAAGTCTTACACAACCACGCTCGAGCACAAGAAACACATCGCATCTCGGTTAAAGACCACACAAGCTTGTTTCAGTTTGCAGATAGGATGGCCGAATTCTTACCACTCCGGCAGAAGGCTCCCATGATGGTGGGGATCATGTGGATGTTCCAGGTCATCGCGTTTATCCTCGTTGGCTTCCGCCTGTACACGCGTCTGGTCGTGATGCACATCTATGGGATCGACGATCACTTCTTCAATTTTGCAGTTGTAAGTACATTTCATCTCTACGAATCGCTCCCCATGACGATGTTATTCCCCCGATGCTGTGGCGACCGGCCAGTCCATGCGATGGCCACAGGCAGGCTCTTGAGAAGCACTGGCTAATGCTGTCTTGCAACTCGCAGTTCTGCCTACTCGTCTATGTCATACTCATGACCGTAGCAGCACGTTATGGGCTTGGTCAAGAAATGACCAACCCTGCCTCCGAAGAGACATCCCGAGCCCAGTTGCTCGTCAACGTCGGCCAGACTGTCACCTCCGTCGCCGCGATATCAATCAAGATATCCATCGCGTGCTTCCTGCTCCGCATCGTCGGCGTCAACACGGCCCAAAAGGTCGCCATCATCATCCCCGTGGCGCTGATGTCGTTGTCGGTCTTCATCGCGATATGGCTCATCTGGTTCTCCTGCAAGCCTGTGAGCTATATATGGGATATCACGGTGCCTGGAGGCCATTGCGATCCTCTCATACAGTTCTGGGCACCGCTGGTGAGCTTTGTGATGATCCTCGTTGTCGAGCTCTGGTACGCCTCTTTCCCTTGGTATCTCATACGCGGGCTGGAGATGCCCAGGCGAGAGAAGATCTTGATAGGGACCAGCATGAGCATCTCTTACATGTGAGTGATTGCCGGAGACTCGTGTCTTCTTTGCCCGCCCGTTGCTTTGATGATGTGGCTTCGTGGCTTTCAAAAGCTGCAATCCTGAGACTGAGAAATCCGCTGCCACAGCTCCGCGGGCTGCAGTATAGCCCGCTTACTCAACCTATTACAGTTGGCAAATGCAGCCGACGATGAATTCCTACGTGAGTCTTTCATGATTTGTTTAGGATGCATCCTGCTGAATTTTTGGCCCTGTTGCAGTGACCATCGTCGACGTCCTTATCTGGCATGCTGCAGACGTCACGACTCAATTATTTTGCATCGGGGTCACTGTCTGTCGGCCACTCTACAAAAATTGGCTGTACCGAGTAGCGGACCATATCGAGGGTCCCTCAAACACTGCTGGACACTTGGAGCAAGATCCGACGTACGGAGCCCGCAAAGCGCCAGAGTTGATTGCACTTCGCACGGTAGGTGGAAGCGAGGTGAAGCCGGTGAGCGATGGTGCCACCTCAGACAGGCAACGCGGCAGGTCCATGAGGAGGGATCTAGTGTTCCAAAGCGATGACCCGGGCAACGAGTTCATCACTACGCCCATGGCAAGGATATCCGAGGTCGAGAAAGGCATTTGATCAGGGGGCCGGCAGGACCGATGAAATGGTGCATATCAGCTGGGCACCCGATGACGTCTTGTTTTGGGCAGCAGTGAGCATGTGCAGCAGTTTGAGGAGGAAGTGAACAGAGGGAGAGAGCCCGCCGAGATCCGTAGAATGAGGCTGATATGCAGGGGGCAACGCGTCATAATACTGATGCATATAATCCTTAACCGTTTTCCGGTCTTAACTTTATTTCTGACCACTCCGAGGAGCTAATCACCAATCGGTGTCATGCCTTGAGTCGATATTCTCGCACGTCTGGGGAAGAAATTGCGCCGTTGAATTTTGTCTGGTCGCGTGTCAGTCCTTGCCAACTAGTCTTATCCAGTCTTCGTGATCCCTGGAATCATGCCGCCCTAGTCTCAACAACGAGGCTCCCTGGATTTGCATGATACGGCTGACAGGGGACACGTTGGAAAACAACTCCCAAGAACATGACGTGTTCGGCCGACAGCCAACACATGAACTTCAACATAGGTATATCCCTCCGCGTTCGTCCTGCGTTGGCACTTGATTTCCCCGGAACGCGCAATATTAAAGATAATATGAGGCGCCGCACAGCTCTGTGAAAAACAGAGCCGTTCCTTGCTCACTTGCTTTTTTTTTCTGGAACACCTTGAACTTAAACACGATCTCTTGAGGATCTTGTACCTACTTTGCATCCAGAAACCACAGCACGCAGTCATGGCTGACGTTCAATCTGCTCAACCGGCCGATGCCCACAATGCTCAAGCCGGGGCAACAACGCAAGAAACGGCTCCACAGCAGACGAAACCAACCGCTTCCGGTGGCTCGTTTCTCGGCGACAACTTGATTCCCGACGCAGAGATGGTCTATGACCAGAAGCGCACCAGTGAGTACTCTCTGAAGAAAGGGCGATTCGAAATTCAAACGACATTTTCACAAATCCTACCGATCCACTCATGTTGTCTACGAACACTCTGCCACATTTTTGCACTGCACAGGAGCAGCGATCAACAACTGACACGGTCACAGTCAATGCTCCCCCCGAGGACATCTGGCCATGGCTCGTCCAGTGGGGCAAGGACCGCGGCGGCTGGTACCTCCCGGCCAAGGTGGAGAAGATCCTGCCCGAGAAGTTCCGCAGCACGCCGACCATCGTGCCCAAGTGGCAGACCCTCAAGGTCGGCGACAGCGTGCCGGACTACGGCCTGGGCAGCAAGAAGGACGCCGCGGACGGCCACAGCATCGAGGTGGCCCTGATCGAGAGCGACCGCGCCCTCGTCTACAAGGGCGAGCGCGCCGGCGTCAACTTCACCTGGGCCCTGCTGCTCGAGACGCCCGGCGGCGCCCCCGCGGGCACGGGCAGCTCGGCCGCCAGCACCGCCTCCGCGACGGAGACGGTGCTGCACCTGCGGTTCCGCGGCAAGTCGATCCAGACTGGCTGGAAGGCCAAGGTCGCCGCGCAGGTCCTCAAGGTGTCGGATGCGGTGATGGCCTCGGCCATCTTCCCTGGCATTGCTGACCGTGTCGAGCCCAAGGCGGAGAAGGCGAAGAAGATGAAGGATGTGGCCTGATTGTGATTTCATTTCTTGTTGAGGATCGAAATGGTTGAGTCTTGACCGGGGTTGATGAAATCAGTCGCTTGTGCTGTTCATGTTTGCATCTAATACCACGATATCCGAGCTCGGGCTGTTATTTTTCACCTTCACTTCTCCTGTTATTCTATATAGCCAAGGCAACAATGTGCTGTTGATTTTCCCCGATGACTGTGAATATCTTCCAAGCCAGACACATTGGTGAGAAACAATCAGTTGCCAGTGATTCCACCACTGCACGAAATGTACTGTATCAAATTCAGTCAGCACATCTTATATGAGGATGCTTCTCAAGCTGGTAGATGAAATGATATGTAGGTGTCCAGTATTCTCACCTGGCCCGTGATCCACCTGCTCTTCTCTTGGACCAGCAGCAGGATTGTGTCAGCAATATCATTGGGGTGCCCGGGGCGATCCTCAACCTTCGCCATTGGTGTCATCGCCTTGTCGAAGGCATCCATAGCTTCGGGCGACAGGATGTCCGTGGTGGTGATTCCTGGGGCGACAGTGTTCACTGTGATGTTCTTCCCATTCTTACCGAGCTGGATGTCGACGTCAGCGGAAGCCCAGAACAGTTATCAAGAGAGTGGGAAATAACGCGGCGCAGAACGCACCTCAGCTGCCACGGCGAAGGTGATCTGATCCATAGCTGCCTTTCCGCCACCGTAGAGGGCCACGCCTTCGAGAGTGATGGGCCTGGACGCCACGGACGAGACGTTGATGATACGGCCGAATCGGGGCATGTGCGGGACCGTGGCCTGCATCAAGAGAATCGGCCCACGGACAGACGTCGCAAAGGTGGCATCAATCTCCTCTGGAGTGACCTCCATCAATTTGGGTCCACCATAAACGGCGCCGGCGTTGTTGACTTTAGAGATCAATTACGAGTCAGTTACTGCCGCACGCCGTGGGGAACACGCCTCAAGCAAGCATAATCATTGACGCCGCCCAGGTTTCTGCGCAGGCACTCACTCAGGATATCAATCTTGTCCGTGTTGAAGCCCTTGAGCGTCTCCCCCACGAGCCTCTTGGCCTCCGCTGGCTTTGTCACGTCCGCTTGGACGGCGATGGCCTTGCCGCCAGCCTCTTGGATGCTCTTGACAACCTTGGCCGCCCTTGGGGTTGTGGCGTCCGACACGTAGTTGATAGTCACCGACGCGCCGTTTCGGGCGAGAGCCGTCGCTGTGGCCGCACCGATTCCGGTCTCGCGGCCTGAGCCGGTGATGATGGCTACCTTGCCTTCGAGGGAGAGTGTGTCAACCATCTTGGGCAGCATTTCCTGGTGCATGTAAATTCTCTGAGCAAGATGTAGAGACAAGCGGGACTACTCGACGGAGATGCTTCCACAGAGCTTCGAGCCTAAACTTTGATATTTGATAAAGATGGCAGCCTGGCGCATTTATGGGGTTTGATATTTGCTATTTTGTGGCGCCTCCCCTCTTTTATGTCGGTAGTTTCCACGATCTTCCTGGGCAGCCCCACCATCACAGGAACCGCATACACAGTGTAATGTACCATAGTAATATGCTGCTTGCTGATGGCATAGTAGGCATCTTAGTATATCAAGTTTTCAATATATTCAACACCTTATCTCGCAAACAGAACAGTCACCCGTTGACTGCCTAGGAGTAGGGAATGAGAGATAATTACAATTCTTTTACAGTTTAGTTCAATGCATCTTTGCGTTATCCAATGCAACCGATTTTGTTGAAATGATTGTGATTACGGACGTTAACAGAAAATCTATGATAATTAAACGGCACACCGATCAGATGCCGTGCCGCCATCCTCGGGCGACGTGATGAATGAGGCTATATGGGCTAAAGATCATTGCCAAGCCCGGAGGATGAGTTGATCCTGCCATTGCCCCATTTACCCAAGTCTTTTGGCCGTAACACTGCCGGCACTAGGCAGTCGCTAACACACGCTGAGGTGGAGTTTCCGAACCGAATGCGAGCCCCACGACAAAACAACAAACAGCCACATGTGTGGAAACAGTATCTCTGTCTTGCTCACCCTCATAATCCGCAGCCGACCAGTTATTCACGCCGGGCTGACGGGTCGAGCATGAACTCGTACTCGTCACCCACGTACGGCAACTCCTCCTTGGCCCTGAACATGCCCTGCCCGTGCAGCCCGCGGTCCAGCTCCCCGGCGGCGAGCCTGGAGCGCCGGACCTGCCTGGCGCGGTAGGCATGGTACCTGTCCTCCGCGATGGCGGCTTAGAGGTACCGCGGGTTCACGATGATGGCCTGGGCGCCCTTCTGCCCGAAGCCGAAGCTCGTCACTGACAAGGCCTTCAAGGCCTCGGCGCGCGGCGCGATGTTCTCTCCCGTCAGCAGCAGGTGCCCGTATGCCTCGAGCTTCACGTCGGTGTCGTCCACGTTGCGGTTCCCCTGGATCACGCCAGAGTGCATGGCCTGTAGCCCGCCGTTGATGGCGTAGGCGCCCGACGCGCCCAGCCCGTGGCCGATAACGGACTTTTGCGCGATGGTGAAGGGCGGGTTGCCCCGCCGCCGCCCCATGTGCCGCATCTGGTGGTCCAGCGTCGCGGCCTCGTTGACGTCGTTGAGCTTGGTCGCCGTCCCGTGGAGGCTGGCGAAGGTGAGGTCGTCGATGGTCAGGCCGAACACGGACAGCGAGCCCGCGATGGGCGAGATGTCCGAGTTGCTCTTCCAGTAGTCCTGCCCCAGGGCCCGGCGGACCGCCTTCTTCTCGAGCTCGGCGGCGGCTTTGAGGCTCTGAATGCACGCGTCGGCGCCCTCTGCTGTCGCTGCGCCGTCGGCGGCACCCACCGCCTTGACCAGCTTGGATCGCAGGGATGGGTCCATGAGCCCCGTCGCGCCACCACTGAGAATGCTGGGTTGCTTGGCCGCGGTGAGGATGCCGCGACCTGGTGCTGGGGCTGATCTGCCGAGCTTGTCGGATGCCACATGGATTATAATAGCTCTTTATATTATTAAGATAATTAAATAATATAATACAAGGGATATATTATATTTTAAAGGCTTTTTCAGTTAATATCTCATTAAAAATAGCTTAAATAACATTATATATATTATCTTTAAAATTTAATTTCATAATGATTTGATTAACTTATTAATAAAGTTTAATAAAGAAAAAAAAATCCCTCATAAAGATATTAAGGAGTTTTGATGGGGTGTGTACAAACGCGTTTATGTGCAAGCGCGGGTGTGGGGCGGCTGTGAAGGGGGGGGGCGGCCGGAATCGGGGCCGGGGACGTTAATACCATTTTTGCGGCAGTTGAAGCCTGTTGTCCAGCTTTTCAATGTCTTATCCACGGTCGAGTCGCACGCTATTCTTTATATTTCTTGACAAACCGATACCAACAGCCCCATAGACATCCGGCCACAATCATGTCGGAGACACAGTCTCTGAAAATGTCCGACGGGCGCACGCTCTGCTACAGCATCTACGGGAGCACAGAGACCCGCAACGGCGGTGAACAGCCACCCACCGCCTTCTACTTCCACGGTTTCCCCGGCTCGCACCACGAGGGCTCGGCCACAGACGAAGCAGCCTCGAGACACGGCCTACGAATCATCGCAGTCAGCCGGCCCGGGTACGGCGGGTCGACCAACGACCCGGCCCGGAGCATCCTCTCCTTCTCGCACGACGTGCTCGCCCTGGCCGACCACCTGCACCTCGAGCGCTTCGCGGTCATGGGCGTCTCGGGGGGTGGACCATACGCGCTGGGCTGTGTGCACTCCATCCCGGCCTCCCGTCTCGCTGGTGCCGTCGTTGTCTCTGGCATGTACCCCGCCAGCCTCGGCCTGGGCGGCATGATGCTCTCGAACAGGGTCCTCTTCAACCTGGCACCGTGGGCACCCTGGCTGGTCTCATACATGTTCGACGCAAGCATGGGCAGGATCGCGCGAGACACTGAGCAGCCGGGCCGCTTGCGGGAGACGCTGGCGGAGGGCTTCAAGAGCCTGCCTGAAGCGGATCGTGAAACGGCCGAGGCTGATGGCGGCAAGGTCCTTGACCTCCTCGCCACGAGCATGCGGGAGGCATTTGTAGATGGACCTGAGGGCTCCACGTGCGAGGCGAAACTCTTTGCTAGCCCGTGGGGCTTTGACTTGGCGGACCTGCCAGTTAGGAAGGGTGAGTTGGCGGTATATCACGGAGCCAAAGACATCCACATTCCCGCGAGAATGGCACAAGAGGCTGCGGCTACGATGAAAGATGTGGATTTGGTGATTGAGCAGGAGGAAGCTCACATCAGTCTGTACTTACGAAGGATGTACGAGATCATTGGAGAAGTAAAGCGCATGTTAGTTAATACTTCTAATACAGATGTAGATAGAGACTAAGGAAGTAATTCAGTTTGTTCATCAGCCAAATTCAACCTATATCTTCAGCATCTTTATCTGTTTCACTGTTTCATAGACAGACTAGAACACGATATAACCGCCTAATAATTTAGCAGGGTATGCCGATATCCAGGATGGAGGCAGAGGAACCAGGGAGACTCAATGTACTCCAATTTCATGTTGTTTGCGCGGCAATGGGCTGCGAGAAGTTGCCAATGAATTCATCTCGTGATCCAGAATTGGTCTGTGTTGCCAAAGTATATTATCTACCAAACTCATCCAATATTTCGGGGTTTTGACAAGATGTATTTCTTCCTGAGTGGTGTACCCCTCAGCGAACGCGCAAATCACGATGTGGTGCAGTTGGAGGATTGCGGGATAGAGTATCGGTCAAAGCTACGGTCAGAGGTACCTGCAATGCAAGAGCACCTGCCATAGCTGCACGTGTCCACGAATACAAAACATTCTCGACAAAACAGTCAAGACCCGCCATTTCATACCTCTTGCGCGTTACATGAGGTCTGACGATCACTCCCTAGTTGCAGCAGTCAGCGGCGGGGGTTGTCGCCTACTCAATATGAGCAGCCCTAAAACTGACACATGGACCTGGCATCCACGTGTATTGTCAAGCCTTTGCACAGACATTGGAACAAGCGAGTGCGAGTCGGATAATTGGCGTTGATCTTCGAATTGTGGGAACCCAAAAGCTTGTTTTGGGGATAATGTTCAACCCTCAGCTAGTGTTGATAAGGCAAGATGTCCAGAGCGCGATCTTCATATCCGTGGATTTTAGAATGAATCACATACTTCTAGAGACCTACAACGGCACATTCGGCAGGATGTGCAGACATGGTAAGCTCAGTTTCAATAAAGAACCCATGCAACCAATAGAACACACAGTGCGATAGGAAATTCCCCGCCTGGAAGATTGGCTTGGAATGTCTCGGAACATTCTAAACGACTAATGAGGCTGGCAGCGATTAATTACAAACAGCAAGGGTATCCTGAAGCATCTCCATCATTGAACAAGTGTGTGCGAGCATTCGCATCGTCAGGGTAAATCAAACTGCTGCCCCTGTACCTCCCCGTCGAGTCTCTCATGTTCGCCACAGAGCTCGAAAAAGCACTCCCGGTGATGCCCAGGAAAAAGTGGCTCTCCAGCATGACACCCATATCCACGGCGCCTTGGAAATCGAAAGGCATGTCCTTGATCATCTTCAATGTAACAGGATAGTCTTTCGCGATGTCGTATTTAGATGTCACAATCCAGCCGCGGTGCGCCGCCGCCTCTGAGAATTTCTCGATCTGGCCCTCGTCCCCGCAAGCTAGGTATACGAGGGGCTTCTCCTGCGACGGCGAACCGTATTGCGCCCAAGCCTGGTCGAGCGCGTCGAGGTCAACCTTGAGCTGGTTCTCAAAGGACGACCAGATATTGTCGCGTTCGGTGCGGAAGTGTACGCCATAATACGGCCGGTCGATGTGCGACAAGATCCTGTTTGTGAGCCTGCGTGGTGTCTCGGTGAACCGGACCAGGTGCGTGAGGTCGTTCCACAGGGCAACTTCTCGGCCGGTTGGGTCGTCTGTCAGGCGGAAGAGGAGGAATTGGGAGGCGATTTGGAGGATCGTTGCACCGTCCTGTGATGTCGAGCGAGAAAGCTCACCGGCGTGCTCGTATTCGGCGTCGTCTTTTGGACTCAAGCTGCTGAAGAATCGCATCGCAGCCAGTTCGCCATCAAACCAGGACTTGAAAGGCCGCCCGACCCAGAAGTACCCAGAAAGTATCTGGAATCCTGGAGCAGACCCGATGTCCATCCTCCACTCGTTGAGAACCGGCATTGATGGTGTGCCGACGTCTTTAGTCTGTCGGATGTTCATCTGGGGACAGGCCCTGGACATCGAGGCCAACACGTGGTCTTGATCGAACCACTGGTCGAAGGGCATATAAGCCGACTCATTCATTAGGTTGAATTCGAGCAAGTCATCGCTGTCCCGGAGTGGCATATCCGGCAGGAGCATGTGCACGCCGGCATCGATCGCCATCTTGAAGCAGACTTTAACTTGCGACATGATCGAAGTCATCCCCGCGTTGATGCCGTCGCATCTGAGGAACGTGTTCTTGTTGTGTTCCTGCCATTGCGTCCGCTCGCATGCAGCTTTCAACGCCGAGAATGCGTAGTCTGGGGGCCTTTCCACGGAAAATGCCTGCTCGAAGTAGGTATGTACATGTGACGATAGTGGGGACTTTGCGGCCCCGGATTTGAAATCGAACAACGAGCTGGATGCGCCTGAGGTCGAGGGATCCAGGTATGCGCCGAGATGGAAGCCCCAGAGAAGCAGCAACGCAATGAGCACGAACAAAACTCCTCGCGATGGGTTCAGCATGTTGTCTAGGCTGGGCAAGAAGCGGCGTTGAAGTCCTTCCAAACACCTCTGCCAGCACCGTCAGGTCAAGAGTGATGGGCCGGACGGCCGGACGCAGTCGTGGGCCCTCGGGGAGGTGACTGTACTGCGCTTTGCAAACTGACCGTGGATATCCGCCATGAACGTCGAACCTAAGGCGATTAAACTCGGCGAGCCGGTGGCGTAATCGTGTAAACGGCTGTCAACCCTAGCACAGAGGCATGCGCTTATTGTCTCACAAAAACTTTGTTACTCTTGCGCAGTGATGAATTGGTGGACTTCCCGGATGAGCTGGAAGACTAACAGGTGCATCGCGACATGGGACGAAGCCAACAGCCAGAACCGTGCAAACTGCAAATTTGGTGTGCAGTCCTGCCAGCCACGGCCATGCCGCGTCTACATAGATAGATAAGCAATCTGACGGCAACCCAGGGCTGCGATCTACGCGGCCACCATCCCCTTTCAGGTGCCAAGGCCTTGGGATTCTTGCGGGGTTGACGCCAACATCAGACGAGCCTGGACATCCTGTAGTCTAATTTACAGACGCGTTACCCTCCGTTGGCGTCGTCCTGCCCCGGACTTGTGCACGTGTCAAATCAGGCCCGAGGTTGACCTGGCCGTAGCTCCACCAGCAGAAACCCGATGTCACATTACCCCCGGAAATGTTGCCGCTGGTGACATGACACTAACGAGTTCTTGTTGCAGCGGAATGGTGTAGTCTCGATGTTACCCAGCCCAGCGCTAGACCCATCCCCGTTGCTGGGCGTTTTCCATAAAATTACATTGGCCCCAGTTCTCACCGCAGTGTTGTAGGTGCTTCGTTTGGTTATTGTAGTATGATTTGGCATGAACCACGCCTGGCAAGCCATCTATCCATCAGCCCATACGGCTTTTGTGAGCCCATACTTGACACACTCATGTCTAGCCTTCTATATGCCTCAAGTCCCAATGTGAGTCTGGTGATTCCATCAAACATCTTAACTATTTTCCAGACCTAAGCTCAAGCCGTCCTAAACCAAGCCCCAATTGCCACATCACACTACACAAGGAGCAAGGGAGTGCATAACGACAGAAGGAATGAGCCTCAGTTGCCCTCAGACCGGCTGCAGCTCAGCAGGCTCATAGCACAAGGTCATCCCGCGGCAGAGATTGCCAAGACATCAGGCCAAACTCGAATCGAAATCACACAACAGCAGGGGAAGCAGAGATAGCATTACAAATAATTGCAGGTGTCTCTGCCATTCGCAAATACGAGATACTTTAACCATGATTCACATGAACGGGGCACCGCCTAGCGTGGGTCGGGGTCAGCATGCTGTCTCGAGGCTTCTACCAGAGGATGAGTATTTTAAGGAAGACGGATATTCGCATCCACATAAACGGATGGTACATCCATACAAGTACCCCCTAGTACACAAACACCCAAACTACCTCCTACTAGCTAGCTCTTCGCCCCACCCAGCCCTTTCTTAACTAAATTGCCATTTTTTTTCTTCCCCGGCTGTCAATTAATTTAAGAAAGGGCCGGATGGGGCGAGGGCGGACGGTGCCGGTAGGCACCGCCGAGCACCACTTGAGGCCCAACCCGGTACTCTTTATGTTCCTTAAAGTGAGCGAAATGCTTTAGATACGGAGGTAACAGGGGTTAATTTGATAGGGGTATATTTCGCTGTTTATATATATCACGTGATTATGTATGGATGTACTATCCGTTTATGTGGATGCGAATATCCGTCTTCATTTTAAGACCCTGAGACTTCGTACAACAGCAAAGTGCTGGACAGCCTATGTATATCTACAAGACTGGATTCATGAGAACTCTAGTCTTGTATATCCCGAGGATGCTGATACCCCGACTTTTGTTAAGCTCCGCAACGTGGTACTGCATCCCTCTTCATCTGATATTGGACCGTTGCATGCTCTTTTATCGATTCCTTCACCGGGCTGCCCGCCTCTCGCTAGACAACGACCCTATGCACAGCGTTGGACAGGTATAATAGAAACTTGGTTTCCGATGTGCACGGCTCTAATAGACGTGAGACAAAGCGAGGCGCTAGATTCAAAATGTCTCAGATCGGTGCCCAGCACAATCAGAGCGTTTCTAGCCAGCATGGGCAAAGCGATCTTTTTGGCTTGGGACTTAAGAAACCGCAGAAAGTCATCTGACTCGCTGTACAAGGGATTTGGTGATCACTGGTACAGAGTTATAGAAAATGAGTGCATACACAGGGGCCAGGCGGATTTCAAAGTAGTTGTAACCAACCTTGGGTATACAGCATCCCGGACTGTGGCCTGAGGAAATAAATTCTGTACCGAGATTGGCGGTATGCTGACGTGTACCTAGCATGAAACCTGTCTCTAGACTCCCTATTTATTTGTGCGACACCTTTATTAGGGTGTCCTCCCTTACCCTGGGAGCCTCTTTTTCTTGATGAATGTGCGTTTTCTTTCCTTGATCGCTAAGCCCTACTCGCTTGCTGCTTCATGACATGAATCTATGTTAATCGCTGTCTACATGATTCAACGCTTCTTGCTACCACTACCTCAAAGTCTACATGGCCCGACCACATCAGACAGACAAATGGAGTCGCACATATATTTGGCAACATGGTTGAATGCTTGTTGCAGGTTTCACCATGAGGTCTGCACGCCCACTCCAATGGCCGACAGACAACCACATCAGATCCCGCGATGGGTTATCGACACTCATAATGGTTGCATCATCCCTGGAGCCAGCGTACCTCGCTATGCCTGTCTCAGCTACACGTGGTCGCAGCCTTTGATATCGGTTAAGGGGGAGGGGTCTAGCTCGGGAAGCTCAAGGCTCAACAGTGAAACTCTAGCCGACTTCCAGCAACCTGGCTTCCTCAACTCAAAGTTGACAGACCGTGTACCAGCTGTGTTGCGGGACGCGATGGATCTCGTTTCGGGTGCTGGAGAGCGTTATCTCTGGATTGACTGCTTTTGTATCCTACAGGGTAGCGATAGCACGAGAGCCGAGTTTGATCGTATGGATGATATTTACGCCGGTGCTCATGTTACTATCATAGCTGCTGCTGCTGAAGGACTCAGGGGCGGGACAACATATGGAAATTTAGGGAGAAAGTGGCATTATCGCCACCAGGAAATGCATCACAAGATGATCAAGACAACATGGTATGTGCGAAAGTATTTTTGAATGCGCAGTTATGGCTGGGTGCTTCTACGTGCTAACAGCTGGCCAGGGCAAGTCGCGGCTGGACTTTCCAGGAGCATCTGCTCTCGAAACGCACCATTGTGTTTCTCGGCAACGGCCAAACATTCTGGGACTGCAACACGGACATTTGGCACCAAGACACCACTCAACAAGAGCTCGAGACTGGCCGCAGCCCCAGCTTCGGGTGGGCATTCAGCCAATCCGACGCCTGTGGACCCAATCTCTCGAGATTGAACTGGCCAGACATGGAGCTTTACACCAGGATCATCTGTCTGTTCAATACGCGCAAGTTCTCTTTTCCTCAGGATTGCCAGGCAGCTTTCTCAGGTGTCTTGCACTCCTTCAGCAGAGCATTCTTTGGAGGCTTTATAAACGCTCTGCCTCGTCTTTTCCTGGATGCCGCCTTGCTGTGGCAGCCATGCAAGGGCTACATGGTTCGAAGGATTCCTCGAGCAGGAAGTGGAATGGAACCGAATTATCATCAACATCTGCCCACGTGGTCCTGGTGTGGCTGGGAATGCGCCATAGACCCTCGAAGCATGGCTTTCGCGAGAGATTTCGAATACCCTGGCTACCAGAAGCACCCTTGGACACTCACCATCTCGTCCAGTGGTCCGTGATGAGTAACCACGGGGATCATGGAGACATTATCAGAGAGCCAGCCATGTTACAGAAATATAGGAGCTATTTGCCTGACACAACTGATGCTCTTCCCAACGGATGGAGAATAAACATTTCAAATGTTGCACAGAGGAGGTGGTTCTCCCATGACGCGATACAGCCCAAGGACCATATGTTCGCCTACCCAGTACCTCTTCCGGAGAGCGAAAATGATGAGGCTCACTCATTCAATACAAGCTGGCCATTTCTGACGGGCAGCACCACGAGCGTAAACCTCCGCGTACGCTACATACTGACGCCAGACAGGATGACCGTGGAAGAGAATTTCGACACAGACGGGACAGCGGCCATCCTCGGTCTTGATGTAACTGAACTTCCCGAGTTTACAGCAGGACCAGACGACTGCTTTTCTGTCGCGGCTCTTGAAGATGAGCACGGCACTTGGGCTGGTGTGCTACGAGTTGCGGAGACTTGTGAGGCGGGCAAGGAGAAAGAAAGCCTACGACCAGGCGACAAGGCTGAACTCATCTCATTATCAAGGGGCCAAGTCCCATGTCGTATACTACTTGATGAGTATGATACCAACGATTTGAGTGAAGAGCAGATCGACAACCGCGGCTGGGTTGAGTTCAATAGCAACGAAGTCAACCAAGGCCAGGAAGTGAACCAAGGGACATACACCAAATCACGCATCCGCTTCAGACGAGAGGGAGGTCTTGATAAAGATGACCAGGGCTACAAATGTGGAAAATCTGCCTACGAAATTTATAATGTTATGTGGGTTGTGCGGGAACAGGGTGTGTTGTATCGTCGTGGAGTAGGCCATGTGTGCCGATCAATTTGGGAAGAAAACTGCTCTGATATAGAAAAGGTAGTTCTTGGATGATTCTAGGATTTACAAGGCTTTCTGGCCAAATTGTTCAATCTATGCTATGAATGCCAGAGGTTGGGGGGTTCGCCTTCAGCACAGAGAGAACTTAGACAGAACAACAACCTCTAATAGACCGCTCAGCCCTTGCTTATGGCGGTCGGTCCACGGTGCATCATAGGACTACTACACCAGTCTATATTTCCAGCCTTTCCGAGGCAATCCTCGCCCCCTTAACACGGTTCGCAATCTTTTCAAATGCGATATCCCTCGCGTAATCCGGGCCCTTGACGTACTTTGGCTTGCGGTCGATGCTAAAAGGGCTGAAACCGCAGTCGTCCGTGGCACCAAGCTGGTCGACGGGGATGTACTCCGCCGCTTTGCACAGCTCGTCCGCAATCTCCTCTGGGGTCTCCACTCGAGGATCCAGCGGGTTCGTGACTCCGATGAAGGCAACTTGCTTCACGCCATTGGCATCCCGACGAATATTCTCTCCGATTTCCTTCCAAACTGCGGGCTTGTCCTTTTCTGTAGAAAGTTGAATCAAGAAGTACCCTGAATCAATCGTCAGGATGAGACTCCTTCGATATTCGGGGTATGATTTCACGTACCTGCGTTAATCTTGAAAAGCGAAGGGAGAAGTGAATGGTACGGGACGTCAGCGGAGTGGACGGAGTCGCAGTCGCCACCGGGGCAGGTGTGGAGCCCAAGGTTTGCACGCTCTGCGGCAGAGAATTTGTCGAGTACTTGGTTGATCAGGTCCACGAACGTCCGAAGAAGATCCTCGTTCGTCCAGGGGTTCCTAGGATCCTTCTTAGCCGTCAAGCCTGCGTTCTTGTTAGCGCCTCATTCCACCCAGGCAGTAGTCAAGAAACTTACGGCCCTCTGTGAAATCGATCGAGACTCTCTCAGCCCCAGCTGCGAAACATCCCCGGATGTCCTTCTCACACTCCTCCACCAGGTCATGCGTGAACTGCTGCCTATTGTATCCTTCAAGATCGCCTTTCAGAGGATACAGGAGGTAGAGCATGCTAGGAGCAATGACAGCAGTCTTCATCGCAACCTCTCCAGATAGCGCCTGAGACTTCTTGAAATTTTCGTAAGCATAGGTCTTGTACCTAAACGGGCCTTTTGTGAGGCGGGGAAGTTGGCGGTGGTGGCCGTCGTCGAAGTAGGCGAAGAATTGGCCATCACCAGCAAGTCCTGGCTACCTTCAGCTCAAAAGTCTTTCATCATCGTAATGCGAGTAGTGAGAATGTTGCTGACCTTCAGCAAGACCCGTTCCGTTCAGCGTATCTGTGACTGGATAAGTCGCGAAGGAGCTTGCGCGTTGTTCGCCATCGCTGACAAAGGTCTCGCCAGTCTGTTTCAAGCGATCAATCGAGTCTGCAGCCGCCGCATCCTGAGCCTTCTCCAATTGATCTTTGGAGATTTTGCCAGCGTCGTAGTCCGCGTATGTCTTTTGCAACGTCTCCGGTCGGGGAAGACTGCCGACTATTTCTGTAGGAATGCCCATGACTTCGGTTTGATGGTAAGTTCTTCTACGATGACTTGGAAGGAAATTTTGTGAGAAAATGCGAGGCTATTGAAGTTTTGTTTTGTGAGTTAAAAACTGGCGTCGTCGGAGATGGCCTCCGTAGCTCGCTCATCTGATGCCCCGCCTTAGCCACGTAAGTCGGTAGGTCACTCCACACACAACACCCTCTACACACACAGACACAACCACCAGAGCTACCAACGGGGTGGGCCATTCCCCCCCCCCCCATCTAGTAGGCCACCATCGCCCCCCCCCCCGAAAGCCACTATTTCCAACATTAATTACCCACCACAACGACCACAAATAGACCCAGCTCCCTTCCTTGATTAAACGCTGAACCATTCCACACGTATTTGGGTTTCCAATCCCAGACCCATAATCCGATGGACATTTTCGTAGATGACAACGGGGCTCACAGAATGAGCGCAGAAAATAAGGCCAGAGCCAGCCCACAAATTACCGACCCTTTCTTGCCACACACACCAGTATTGCCGTGACTACTGCTATTGGCGCAGTAGTCCTTGTTCAAATCCTCGTTATTGCTCAGGCAGGCAAATGTACCGTTGATATGGCCACCTCCGCACTGAGAGACTGGTGCCAGGCGTTTTAGATTGTCACAAGTGCCCGAGATGTCGTTGGCGCTAGATATCTCGAAATTTCCTCCGACAGCTTGCAGACTAGGGAATCCGGCCCTATTCGGAAGCTCAAATCAGTAATCAACAACGAACAGACTACGACTATGAGCTGGGGACGTACCCGGATATAAGGCCACGGATCTTCACATCAGCATCCACTGTGGTCAGGTCATCGAAATCAAAGACTGCAAGCATGACGTTGTTTGTTATAGACATCTTCCCCTTAACAGCTTTTAGTCAGGGAAAAGAGATGTTTTCCAGCCTTCGAACATTTGTGATGATCAAATCATTACAGTCGTTCAGAGAAGGAAGGGAAATGTTTGTCAGCCCCGGATCTCTTCTCGAGTCTGGATTACCTGTGATTATCAAGTCACCAGACTTCTCCAGGGCAGGAATCATTAGAGAAGAGAGCCAATCGCTGTCAATTCGTGCAAGTCCCTCGATAGTCCCTAGTTGCGGGGCCTCGAAGCTTGTGGCGCCACTGATGTTCAGCAATCTGGCAAAAGCCAGTTTAGGTAGATAAATCTATGTTTTATCTCAATCAGTCTCTACCATGGAAGCACTGCTTATATCTCGTACTGCAAGACTAACCTGATCGAGATAGACGTTATTGGTGATTGTCAAATCGTCAACCGAAGTCATCCCCAGGCTGTCGACAGATTCCAACCAGGTGTCATCAATATAGACACTCTCCACTGATGTGATACCATTTCCGAAGTCCAAGGGTTTCAACCACGACGATTGAAAGTGGAGGCTTCCAACTCTTGTGAGAGCCGGCATGGTTAAATTAGACAGTCCCTTATTGTTGGTTAGAGCTAAAGTACCTGTAATAGAGGTCAGAGATGTTCTACTGAGGTTAGAGGCAAAGAGGTTGTTCTCCATAATCAAATCTCCGTTGATATGTGCCGGTCCGGAAATGTCGATATCAACGAAGAGCGAATGACCGATGACAATGTCCCCGGAAAGGGTTGAGCAGTTGGTCAGGGAAGCTGCATCAGAGACGGAATTTATGGTGAAATTCGATGATGCACAGCGTGTGCTGGGCGTTGCTATGGGCACAGAACGTCAATTGATCCTCGCTCTGTAAGTAGAGAACGTCACTTCTTGATCTTTCTTGTTCTTCTTCTTTTTCGCGTTCTGGCAAGTCTCTAATGCAATGAGTTGCCAATGGTGCGACTTACCATGTGCTAAAGAGCCAGCCCTGACGGTTGAAAGAAGTAAGAGGTAGGCCATGCCCCATGTTCGAGGCTGGTGAAGGCAGCAATGATTAGAGTCAGCTTCTGAAAATAAGCCTGCTCGAGCCCGATGCCGTGTATCTACTTGTGTGGCGTTGAAAGTCATGGTTTGCAAGCAGATATTCAGTTTAACACTTCACTGTAGGCGAAAAGTCCGAGAAAATGGTGCCTCTAACTACCTGAGAAGCACTGCATCTCATCAGACTTTGTAAAGAAATTGGCCCGCTTTAGGCATCTGGATCCAGGTTGGCTGAGCTGCGATGAGACCTGCGCCTCCTCCGACCGTCTCAAGTGCTGGTCCTGTATCATTGTTGCCTTACTTGATTGCCCAATACTCTGCCGATGATGGCAATGCGCTTCATGTCTGGGGAACACAGGCGGCTAAAGCAAGAGGCTCAGCTGAATTCGAAGACGTTGCACATCATCGGTCGAGGCACGAATCGAAACAAGTGGGGTCGGCTTGCAATTTGGGGGCCTGTCAATGTTGAATCTGGTCATGATTATTTTCGCAAGATGCTGACGAAGAAGTAAAGGTACCTATTGCGATTGGGAGCTCTGCAGGCTGACAGACAACGCGAAGACAACAATTGTGCCTTGCACGGAAGCTCCTATTAATAGGGAGCAGAGGCCTCACCCTCGTCGAAGGAAAGTTTGCCCAGAACAAGAGAGGCTCCGCCCCCAAAGACCACAATCAGTCTGTCACGCGAGGCCATCAGGACACTTCGTCAGGACTAAACATCTTGGTGCGAAACCTGAGAGATCAACACCAAACACCAAATCCACTTTTCATTTTGTTTCGCTTCATTGTTTTCACGGTCCTAATGATGTCTACCGATCGTTTTATAAGTGATGCTAATGAGGCAAGTGGCCAACACCAGAAGCAATTACCTACAACTGTTGCGATGAGTGTTAATTTAGAAATGCAGACCCAGGGTGAGGACGGCTACGAGCATGAGCTCCCAACTCCACCGAGGCGTGGCTCCCAGGGTCCACACCATCCACGCCTGGGAGCCGAGAGCATTTATCAATGTCAGGACGCCATCTCGGCAGAAGAGAGACTGATTTCGCGACAAGGAAGCATCAGGGAGATCGACGAGGCCCACACGGTCCCGTGTGTGCTCTCGGAACCTAGCCCGCCAACAGAGACAGAAAGAGCGCAGTCGCCTGCCGTATAACAGGGTACCGAGGGCACTGGGTTGGGACACCAGTTCCTTGCCAACCCGTCAGGCGACAGGCCGAAGGTTGTATTCAGCAGGAGGAAACGCAAGATGCTTTATGTGGCCGCAATTTTTCATTTACCGGCGGTGGCGCTCACACTGACCCTACTCGGACTCTATATCAGTCACACCTCATGGCGCTCACCAGGACCCACCAACAATGTACTCAACTCAATCCAATTCGCTGCTAAGATTCACGAGGCACTCGCTTTCGGTTCGATAACACAGATCGTCTTCCACAGACTGCGATACGAGCTTCTGGGCGAGCGTGGACTTTCTTTTGGACTTGTCATTGCTGCGTTCCAAATAACGTCAATCCCATATTTCTTCTCTAAGCAATTCTGGAGCCCGATGAAGGCACTTCGCCAATCACCTCTCCAAACACTCACATGCATACTCTTGCTATCTTCTCTGGTACTCGGTACGGCTCTAGGGCCTTCATCAGCTATCGTCATGATACCCAGACTAGGCTGGTCGCGGGTATCACTTGCAGCACTGGACTCATCACGGGATGGCAGAGGACAACGGGTGGCACGAGATGTGTTCATAGGCTCCAAATACTCTGACCTTTATCCTCTGAAAATCACCGTCCACAACGGTCGTCTTGACGTCTGTACTGACTGGTTCGCCTCCACTGGTGACTACTCGGCAGAGTGTCCATCCGGTGGTTGCCGAGATCTGATTGCATCGCTGACTGCCCTGTTCCTGACGCACAACGAGACAACGGCGCGTGCACAAGCACCTGTCAATCTGACAGTCTCTGCGCTGGTCGGATCACGCATTGTCACCGGTAATGGGCTTTCATGGAGCAACAATTCGCAAGAAAACACCATTGCCTACGCTACCACCCCGTCTGACTTCCTGATGTCGGCATTGAACTGGAAGAGTTCAGAGATGCAGAGCTCTGAGCTGCCTCCACCATACAGGATCGAACCGGGCCCATCCAAAGTCCGAGGCTATCAGACAGCTTCGTGGCTGCAGCCACTTGTGGTCGTTCAATGCGCTCCGAATGCGACCGACATAATTCACAGCAAGAACGTAACGCAAAACGGGAGGCCATACCCCCCGCCCAGAGTAGTTGACTTCGACACCGATGCTGTGCCCTTCTCATTTCTGAAGGGGGTTCATGAGCCCATCAACATCTCCCTGAGCACCGGTCTTCTGAATGGAATATTTGAGCGGGCATTGGCTGAGTCGACTTTTCCACGAGAGAACAAAAGTCAGGCCGCGTTCGTCAACATCGACGATCAATTGGGTTTCCATGGCTCAGTCGCCATGGTCCTGCCTAAAATATATGGAGGCCTGTTTACAAAAGTTGACCTCTGCATCGCAGAACCGAGCTGGGTCGAATCGGACATCAAGTTGGTTCAAAACGCTACGGCCAGCCCGGTACCGTGGAGTGGAATAAGTGTCGATCTCGAGGCTATGATACATGATCACTCGGCAAATGGCCGTCCACTCATGCGTCTCGAACCGGACTGGATTGATTCCCTTAATCAGAAAGTGCCCAGGGTACAACCTCATTTACAGGAAGAAAAAGTGCCACTTTTCGACTACATAGCCTCATTTTGCTCCATGGCTACGTCTAAACAGATGTGCCAGTCGATCTTCCTAGCTTCTTTCCTGGTCGACGCCATGTCCCGGTCCCATCACGTCCACCCGAGCGTGTATTTCTCCAGCAATGCGAACGGTTCTGGGAACGGGTACGAAGTCATGCGCAGCACAGCATATAATCAAGGCATCAATACCACATTGACAGACACTCTCGAAGGAAATGACCTCTTGGATGCAGACTTGTACACAAACATCCCGTTCGCGATATCAAAATATGCCTACGGCTACCGGCTGGATAACTTGACTGTCGTGTTTGCAATGGCGGTGTTGCTTTTGCATGTAGCACTTGTCCTCGCGCACGTGCTCATTGGCCTCCTCGGATCTTCTTGGTCGAGCATGGCATGGTCGGGGCTCGGCGAGCTCCTTGCCCTGGGGATTCAATCGGATCGAACACCACTTCTGGAGAACTCGGGAGCTGGAGTCTCTCGACCAAGCATCTGGAGGCTGAAGGCTTCCGTCAGAGAGCTTGAGTCTGAGAAAAGACTTCAGCTCGTTCTTTGTGTGCAGCCGCACAATGATAAACGGCACCAAGTTTGTGCGGGAGCCAGCATGGGTCTATTGCCAAAGGCAGACCAGGAGTATGGTCGACAACAGTAGTCCAGGGAGATATACGGGCTTGTGTAATACCTGTTGGATTGTATGCTGCTCATTTCAAACTATCAATTCAGATTTGTGACTGGTTGAATTATTTCGGTAGTCTTGCTTCTAGAACCCATTTTCAAAACGTCCTAGTCTTTGCCAGTAGAAGCTCAGGCCAGTGACTCCTCATATCCAAGAAACGATTTGGCTCATAGTCACAATCGCGAAGGCTTTTGCCCTTGCCGATATCTCCCACCGCTTCAATTGGAAATGACCAAAAGCCAACGGCAGCAGTTTTCATCGTGCCAGATTCTTCGGGTTTGACCTGGTCTGGCAACTTTCCACTGCCCGCCTCACATGCACCGGGCCTGAAGATCTTGTCTTCTTTGTAGTAATAGCGGTCTTGGTCCCGTACACTCAACAGGCCCATGATCCGGGCTAACCCCCTGGCACTCGGTTCGTCTTTGAATGGCTTCTGCTGCTGCGCTACCATCAACCGGTATTTGACCTGTCCGTGTGGGTGGTGTATCTTCCACGTGCGCAACAGCCTCTTCCACCGCCAGATGAGCTCACGCGGGTCTACCCTGCCCATGTAGACTCGCTGCAGCTCAGCCTCCGCACCCTCTCTTGCTTCGGGGCCAACGGACTCGTACCCCGACATTTTGATGCCATAAGGAACCATGTTCTCCGAGCCGTCGGCCGTCGGCTGGTATAGGTTCCTTCCGGACTCCACGTTGACGAACCATACCTCTTGCAGCTGCGACAGAGTCTCGACGAGCGCCTGCCGCTGGCGGATGAGCAGCAGATCCGAGCGCTTTAGATACTGGAGGTCGTTGGTACAGAAGTTCTCCAGGCTCGTTGCCAGCCTGAGCAACCCCACACCCTTCGGGTCGTACGCCTTCAGGTCCCAGAGAAAATCGATCAGCGTTTCTCTCACTGGCTCCTGCGCCTGGAATTGGATCACGTCGTGCTCGGGGTTGATGTGCAGCGTGGTCCGCTCCCCGTAGCAGTGCGGAATTGGTTTCCCATGATGTGACTGCACGCAGAAGGCCGGTATGTGGATCCGGTAAAAGTCCAGCACAACCTGCCTGGCCTCCCTGTTGACAGACAGCAGCGCATGGTCGAGCCGGCCGTCCTCCGCGAAGAGCTGATATTCAGAACCGCTGATGGGGTTCCCAAGATGGTTCTTCTTCAGATACCGCACGGGGGCGTCGGACTCTTTCTCTTTCTCCCGATACAAGCGGCAGCATATGGTGACATGGACGAGTCGCTCTCGCGGTGTGGCTTCCTCCCATATCTGGAGCCTCAGCTCCTTCGGCAGGGACGAGAACAGCGGGAAGGTCCTATCGTCCGGCACGGGCTTCAGGGTGGAGTTCAGCAAAGGAACATTGCACACCGGGGCGGAGTCCACGTCGATCTCATCCCCTCGCGGGTTGCACAATCTGGACAAGAAAGCCATACCGTGCGCTTTGACAACGGAGCTGCACTTGAAGTCTGAATCAGAGTTGCGGCAGGAAAGGATGCCCGTCCAGCACGTGTAGAGAGAAAGAGGGTGTGGTGTCCTATGCTCGCGTGTTTATCAAGGTTGGCATGTGAGACGAGCTCGTGCGGGGGAGGCGATCTGACCTCATGCTTTTGCCGAGAACGACCGTGTGCATACGCAGCTTTGCCTCTATTGACGAACGTCGCGGAGTAAACAGTCCCCAAAGTTGGAGAATGAGGATACCGAGGCTAACCAATCTTGGCTCTGGTCGACGATGTAGTCTAGTTCTTCGTGGAGCTGTAACCTTTTCTAGAAATCGGCGAAATATCGTGAGTCAAAATGCATAGGCTGCGATTTTCTATATAACCGAGAAAAAAGTCATAGCGGAGGTCCCTAGAGCCATGGTCGGATCGAGTACAAACTCAATGATTTTCCCGCGCGACATGATAAACAAAAAACAGTGGCCCTGTGACTCTGAATGCTTTCAATCTCTTCTGCCTCGCCGGAGAAACTCTAGAACTGCGTCTTTCCACATGATCTCCACGTAGGGATTATAATCTATTGACAACCCGTACCATAGCCAATACCCAATTGCGCCTTTTCTTCCGGTCCATCCCCACTGCCGGGATATCACGATTTCTGAAACATATCATTCAAGTCTCTTGGTGCTCTCTGTTGCCAGGGCCACGAGTACGGACATTGAAGTCATCAGTGCAGCAACAATGTATGCATGATCTTGGAACGCATATGGAGATCTTTACGAACTGGGAATTCGCAGAATGAAAGCTATCCAGCATTGCAAGCGATGGCACAGCGGTGGCAAAAGGTACGCCTAGCCCACGATTCGATCGTCGATTGAATAATGACGAATTACTCTCGTTATGTCTCATACGTCCGTTCAATCACCAGGCAGGCCACTTCCGAGCCAGTCTGCGCTGTGCCAGATGAATACGTTCCATCTCAGGGTCACTGAATGACAGCAGCCCGCGGCCCTCAATCACCTTCTCATCCTCACCATGACTGGGGAAATACTCTCCGTCCACCTCGCACTGCGTGTGGTTCTCTGGGACCGTGCCCTCGTCGAAGTAAGCCTTGACATGCCGGGCAACGCAGAGCGATGGCATTGCATCCGAGCAATGCCCATATCCCTTCAACTCGACGATCTGAGACCCGACAAACATGTCCCTAGCAAAGAAGGCCCCTTTGATCGGGCATATGGGGTCATAGCTGGTCGTCAATATGAGCAGCGGGTGAGCGGTCTCGACTCTCTCCTGCGGCACGAAGTCGTGCGTGCGGGGAATGATCCACCTGTGTGAGTTCAAGCTTGGATCAGCGGACCGGCGGGCCAAGGAACCGAAGAGGGACAAAAGAAAACCATTGGGAGACCACTGAAACTGGGATAATTCTTACTGTTGCCTGCCAAAGAACCCGGACATGTCGATCCTCGAGAAGAGGCTCTGGTTCGCGACGCGCACGATCTCATCAACCACGTCCTGCCGGCCCTGCGGCCAGTACCCCGGCCCGGACCTGGCGTCGTTGAACGTCACGAACCGGATGGCCTCGCCGATGCTGGCGTAATGGTCCGCGCGGCCGTGCACCATCCAGAGCTCCGTCGCGTTTCCCCCCATCCACCTCGCGAGCTGGCCCGCCACGGGGGCCCACGCCCTCCTGGGGCCGTAGAGGGTGTAGAATACCGCGTTGGTCAGGAGGTTGGGGTAGTCGAAGATGCCGTACACGGTGCTGTTGACGTACACGCTCAGGGGCTCGTCCCTGAGTCTCTCCACGCGTGACATGACCGCCTCCTGGAGCTCGTCCGCGGTGCTGCCGAATGGTGCGAGTGGGCAGCGGTCGGGCCCTGCCTTGACGCACTCGTCGAAGAATCCGTAGAGCACCTTGTCGGTGTCGCTGAATTGCTTCTGGTCGGGGTCCAGCCTCCTGTACGTGTCGTTGATGTTCGCTACCCCGTCGATCACGACCCGCTTCGAGCGCTCCGGGTACATGGTGGCGTAGGTCTGGCCCAGCGTCGTGCCGTAGCTGAAGCCCCAGTAGATCATGTCCTCCTGGCCGACGGCGTCGAGGATGGAGTTCATGTCTGCGGCCGTCTGGGGCGTGTTTACTGTGGCCACCCGTCAGCTTCAAGTGACCAGCATCGGCGGAGGTGAAAGTGTCACCTACTATACTTGGCGTGCTCCCCCATATTATCATAACAAGCGCGGGCAAAGTTCTTGTTCCAAGCATACATATCGCCAGTGTCTGAAAGGGGGCCGCTCCTAGGCATCGAGTGGGCCCGTCTAGTGGCGTCATCAGGGTAGCACTCAGCCTTGGGCTTGGACCCGTTCACGCCGCGAGGGTCGAATGACAGGATGTGGTACCCTTCGTCCAGGATTGTGTTGAGCTCGTCGCCGATCTGATAGACGAAGAAGATACCACTAGCCCCAGGACCGCCGGGGTTGATAATGAGATTCTGCGTGGCGTTCTTGGCTCGCATTCGAATCAGTGGGATGGTGAAGGCCTTTTCCTCTTCGTTCGCGTCGCTTGAGTTCGCAAAGTGGTCCATGGGCACGGTGACGTTGCTGCACTCCAGGGGGTGACCTGTGATCTCCCCGCAAGGCTCCCAAGAGACACTTTCGCCTTCATATGTGACTCGAGCTCCCTCATGGCAAGGTATGGGTCGTAGCCTGATGCGAAAATGCGGTATGAGTGTATATAGAAGGAGCAAAGATACCAAGGGCCAGGCGAGAATTCTCCATCTGAATTGACGCATTTGTCGCGTGTGGGCCGGGGAGACCAACGGGTACTTCGCATCCGCGGCGTCCACGTTGGAATGGCTCATGGGTGAGGCTAAGAGGTTGTAGAGGCTCGGGGTTCCTTGGACTAGTAGAAAACGGTGGTATTGAGAAAAGAGTAAAAAGATTCGCAAAGGATGACCTGTGGTGGGGAAGCATGTTGCAGTATTACACCTGGGCGGCGACCAGATACGCCGTCTTACTCATAGGAGCCCACGCATACCCGCTTCGCGCCCCTGCACAATGATGTCGGCTCTTGGCAACAGACGGGACCAGAATGAAATGTCTGGGCACAGTTCAGAAATCCCGCCCGGATTGCTGAGCTGATGTGTAGGCCCGATGGGATACAGAGAGGAGTCAAATGTCAAATCATCTGTAGGGCTTCCTAACATTGGCCTGGATAACGCATGGCGCAATTCACACTTCCTGCTCCCTCGCCGTCTCCAATCCGCATTGTCTATTACCGCCGTGAGATCGGTCCATCTTGCCTCCACTCCCAGCACGCACAGTCCCAGGCCGCATCGACAGCGGGATATCAGGCTGCCGGCCCTCCTGCTCAGCCAAAGCCGAAACAGTAAGAGAACTCCGCGAAGCACCCGCCCGCAGGGCTCCTGTCCGGGCCGCATGCAGCTTCCGGGTGATGATGATGCAGCTGATGATGACAACAACAGAGACGGCGGTCACGCCGAGGAAGGCCTCTAGGATCGTCCCTGCTGGAGGCTTGAGCAAAGGCGACGCACTTGAGTGTTGCGGTGATGATTGTGCCGGTGTCTGAGGAGGTGACGTTGTGACCATGATGCCTTGGCCGGCCTGTGATATCGGTACGCATGAGTCCACCATTGTGAAAACGGTCAGGTCTGGTGCGCCGGGGGTCGTCGGCCAAAAGAGGGTCAGACATGCAGGGCTCGAGGTATCGGTGCTGCGTGCATCCTACGTGTCAGTGATTCAGTAGCATCGTAGGAGACAGGGGCAGACGGACCAACACCTTGTTGCTGGCCCTGGGGTACCAGACAGACAGACCAAGTCATCATATGGAAGACATGCGGTATTGAAGACGCTGGATGAGCATGCGTGGCCAACGCAACAAGCTCGGAAGGTGCGGGAGAATCCGCATGCTGCTGGTGAAGGGCAGGTCACCGCCGTGCCTGTTCCGCCGATATCAGTCTGATGGATGCCGATCCAGGAGGACGGAGACGCATACCTTCAAACCATCCACATGTGTCGATTCCGATGGAGGCATCGTCCGGGTTGTCTAGACGGGCATCTCCGTTGAAAGGTTCCCTGGTCAATGGGAGTTGGCTGGCTGTTCCCGATTGTGGTGTTCCAGTGGTCTTGGATGCAGATAACGGGCTCCGAGCTGCCGTCGCCTGCACAATGCTGACTTTCATGACTTGCCTTGATCGAAAGCTTGCAACACAAGTTAGGAACACCTCCGAGATCGATGTTATGTTGAATCCACGTTCTGAAAAAGATTGAAAAGAACACTTGTTCTGAGAATCGACGTGTTGATAATATGAGGCGCACATCCACGACTTCACCTTGCCTCCTCTCTACGCACTCGAGCACACCAGCTTTTCCTGGTGCGATCCATGCAACGAGTACAAACTTCCGAGGACGTGAAGCGATTTGCAACCGCGCTCTGGAAGCCATCCATTGTGTGCCCTTTTTGCCGAGACAGCGTCCACATGTGCTCGACTATCGTGCTCTGTGTAGCGCTTGGGTGGGTGACTGCCGAGTCGAGGGCCGAGCTCTGTTCAACCCGAAGAGGGCACGGGGTCGCCGGATTGACGAGCTCGGAGACGTTGAATCTGGCCTGGAGTGGATCACGGGTTCCCATTGGGGCCCTTTGGATTAACACCCTGGCCATGAAGGCCGACAGGCCCTTTCACCATTGCCCATAGGATCGTGTTTGCAACATCTGGGTGAAACGATCAGTGCGGTCCCAGCGAGCGAGCGTCCCTGACAGAATCGTGTGCTGTCCCCACTTGGGACTTGCTCTCCTGGCTTCTGGGTCAAGAACAGAGCAACATGCCTCACTGAAGAACAGCTGGCTGCTGGCAATAGTCTCGAATGGTTTGGGTGAGTGAGTCTCAACGATCGAATCACGGCGTGTGGCCGATAGCTCGAGAGGCGATGTCCCTGTCCCCAGTCAGGTGCCATCTGTCGTCAGATTGCCGGTTCACCGTTGTTCCCCAAGATGAGAGCCACTGGAACGGAACGCGCCAGGTGTCGTTGCCGGACTTGACCGTGGCCCATGTGGAATGGCACGGCCGACTGGCTGCTTCCTCTGGCTTTGTGGTCGTCCGTCGTCTCCAGGAAATGTTTCAATACACTCTCAGATCTTCCTTCTTGCAGAGTCTGGAATGTCAAGTGGTCGCGCCGATCGAGTCCTGCTCCGCGTGCCCCTGTTCGGACAGCAAATGGGAAAGCTGCCAAGGCACATTGAAAGGCCCACGATGGGGCCCGCAGCGCACGCAGGCCCGCATGCACAGCATGCATGCGATGGGCCATCCGGGCAGCCGGGGGGTTTTGGACGTAGATCCCTGGAGGTCCTAGCAATACTAGCCCTTAGCACTCGTGCTATATAGAAAACCGGCATCAGAACCGGGCTCTGCCCAACGGTTAGGGTCCATCTCCAAGCCACTGCAGTGCCCTGAAATTGGACCCCTTGTTTCGTCCCATGACAAACAAGACCCTTAGGAACCCAGGGGTCCAGATCGCGCCCCAAAAACTAGCAGGCTGGTGGCACAAGAGCTGCTTTGGACTACTGCGTGTGTTAGCTCGGAATTCGCCCAGGCGGATCTGGATCTGGATCTGCCGATATGCGACATGCCAACATGGGATTCTTTCCAACAGCGACACCGCATTTCCGCAGCTCCAGGCGAAAGGGGAGAATGATGGGCAGGCGATCGACGACCTAGAAGCCGCCCTAGAAGCTCGCCCCAACTTTGTCTTGTTCCCGGCTGCAGGATCGTCGCTCATCGGCACTGGGCGCCCCACCCTCGGACAAGGATGGTGCGGATCGAGTCAGTGCTGGGAAAGGGGAGGGCAGGTTGGGCTGGCAGGTGTTGGCAGTGCCGGTTGGGAGAGCGGACAGGTTTGCTTCCCGAGGCGAGGGCGCGGGACTGGAGGGGGTTCGCAAAAATAAGGTTTCCTGAGCAACTTGGAATGATTTGAGTTCCGAGGAGGCGACCCAGGGCCGCTGAGACAGGCAGGCTCCGAGTTTTCGCCCGTTCATCTGGTTGTCCGTCCTTGTTCTGGACCTGTCTGAACCTGTGTTCTACACCATCCAGCCCAGCCCAACCCAGTCCAGTCCTGCCCATTGCTGCCCTGATCCCATCCCGCCTGGCATATAGGCTATCATGCGCTTCAGCAAGAGAGAAGTCCATGGAAGAAGCGTGTAGCAGCCCCGTCTCGCCAACGACCCATTGCTCCGAGGGGCGATGGACCTGATCGACCAGCCGAGCTGGGCACACGCTCCATCTGCGCCCGCGGCAGACCCAAGTGTGTCGGAGAACGTCCGGGAGAGAGAAACATTCAAGTACGTTCCGCCCTTGACTGCCCATCCGGCAGCCACGCCACCACCACACCGTTCCTCCCTCCATCACTTCGGCAACTCCCGCTGACGAGATCTGCAAAACCAAAAAGATACGACGACCTGGGATGGACGTCCGCGAACCTCAATGACCCGCACGACCCCGTGCCGCCCGCCACCCTCGCCTCGGCCACAGACTCGAGCCTCACCGCGTACGCGCAGCTCGCCGTACACAGGCTGACGCCAAGCGGGCCCTCATCTCGCTGTTCGACCGGGACCACCAGCATGTCGTTGCCGAGGCCACTCGCTCGTCGCCGCTGGGCGTCCGCGAGCCGGTCCGGCGCATGAGCATTACAGATGGGGAGCAGCAGCCCGGCTGCGACGCTGATGTCGGCGATGACGGCTTCTGGCTCTGCGGGACGGCTATCCCGCGGTCCTATGGCATATGCGAGCATGTCCTAGTCTCCTCGGCGGGCTCATCTGCCGACGAATTTCCAGACATGGAACACTGCTGCGGTGAGAATGACTTGCCGGTATCTGTTGTCCCTGACTTGGCGACCGACGGGCGGTTCCACACCAGGCCGTACATCCGTGGACGTCCACACAACAGATTCTACGCAGGCGTCCCCATACGGAGCCCGGGTCCAGACGGCGTGAATATCGGGGTGTACTGCGTTTTCGACAACAAACCGCGGCCGGAAGGGCTGGCAGGCGACGACATCAAGTTCATGCAGGACATGTCGCGGACGATCATGGGGTATCTCGAGTATCGGGGCTCGTACGGCAAGTACCGGAGGTCGGCGAGGATGGTGCGGGGGATGGGGAACTTCGTGGAGGGCTCAGACTCGCTCGATCCTGTCCTCGATGGGCCGACTCGTGGGCTCGCGCGCTCGAGCAAGCGGACGTCGAGGCTTTTGATCTCGGCTGACAATGCAGAGGGCGTCAGGAGGAAGGGGGAGATCCTCGCCAAGGGCGGACGGCCACCATTGCTGCCGATCCGCACCGCTGCTGTGGCTAATCTCGGGGAGGAAGAAACCCTCCTATCACCCAGCGTGCGAAGTCCAGCACTGTCGACGACGGAGGCTTCTCCGACAATCCAGGCAAGTCCGTCGTTAGGACCTCGAAGCATCACCGTGTCTGCAGCCGCAGGGTCCAAGGCCTCGTCGAGCTTGGCGCCGGATGATTCCTCGAGGTCGTCGACCCCGCGGCCCGACTCGCGGCATTCCGGAGCGAGCACGAGCACCCAGCAGCCCGCCGTCGCACAGGTCAGCTCTGCCGACCTGCAGCTGGCCGAGTCGAGCCGGGTGTTTGCGAAGGCAGCCAACATCATCCGCCAGTCTGTCGAGGTCGACGGCGTCTTGTTTCTCGACGCCACGGTGCGGTCGTTTGGTGGCTTGGTAGGACAGCAGAACGAGACTGGCGGCCGGAAGGTATCGACAGTCGGCCTGGACAATATCAGCTATCTCAGCAATGATGAGGACGCAACGAGCCAGACGCAGTCGGCGGTGAGGCGAGAGGACTACTGCAACGTCCTCGGCTACTCGACCATGCAGGGATCGACCATCGGCGGTGACAGATCACCGTGGCAATTCGAAGGTTTACGGGATCGAAACCTGCAGAGACTGCTCAGACGATACCCCCAAGGCAAGATATTTAATTTCGACGTGGACGGCAGCGTGATTCAGACGGCAACTCCCCCGCAGCCCAAGACCGCTACCCAAGGAATGCCACTGAGGCGGCCTGCCTCTCCCACTCGCCAGTGGTCTCGGGACAGTCAGGACCCAGAGGATATTCACCTAGATACCAGTTCTGCGCAGAAGAAGACAAACACACCTCAGAAGCGCTGGAGCCCTGCCCAAGCTGTGGTCAACTTGTTCCCTGGGGCGAGGAGCGTGGTCTTGATACCTCTCTGGGACGCTCAGAAGAAGCGATGGTCCGCCGGCGGTTTTATTTGGACAAGAAACCCCACTCGAGTCTTCACAACCGACGGCACAGTTACTTTCCTGCGGGTGTTTGGCCTGAGCGTGATGGCAGAGCTCTATCGGTTGAACACGAAAGCCGAGGAGACGATCAAGAGCAACATTTTAGGGTCCATATCCCACGAGCTAAGGAGCCCACTGCACGGGTTAGTCGGCGCGGTGGAATTATTGCACGACTCGAAGCTGGACAGTGTGCAGCAGAACGTCCTGAACATCATCGAGACGTCGGGCAAGACCTTGGTCGACACCATCAACCACCTGCTCGACTATAGCAAGATCAACAGCTTCATCGAGAACGACCGCGCGGACAAGAAGGAAAGCGTGTTGGGCAAGGTGAACGCCAACCCCGGGGAGCGTTCTGAGCAGGGCAAGACGAGGAGCCAGACGTTGCCGGTCGAGCTGGACTGCCTGGTCGAGGAAGTTGTCGAGAGCGTGCTTGCTGGATACAGCCACGAGAGAATATCCGCTCAACGTTCACTCCGCGACGACCTCGACTACACCAAGTACAAAGACGCGATTGCACAACGTCCGGCACCGGGCCACGCGGACTCCGCCCAAGAACGCGTGCAGATATTCCTTGACATCGAAAGGTCGACCTCCTGGAGGTTCAACACCCACCCAGGGGCATTCAGGAGGATCGTGATGAACCTATTCGGCAACTCTCTGAAATTCACCCGGTCTGGCTTCATCAAGGTGAGCCTCACGCAGGAAGCAGCCAAGCCATACCAGCACAATGTCGGGGCCACCATATTGCTCACTGTCTCGGACTCGGGCAAGGGCATCAGTGAGGACTACATCCAGAATCACCTGTTCACCCCGTTCTGCCAGGAAGACAATTTCGCCCCAGGGACAGGCCTGGGTTTAAGTCTGGTGAGGCAAATCACTGTGAATTTAGGGGGTGAGATCAAGGTCGCCAGCCAGGTTGGGCGAGGCACAACCATCACCGTCTCGCTGCCGCTGCCATTCACAGGAGATGGGCCAGTCCCAGGAGACCCAACAGGATTCGGAGAGGCCGTGCAAATGCTCAGAGGCCGCAAGGTTCTGCTGCGAGGGTTCGACATGCCGGAAGCTGATGAAGGCCGGACTATCCCCAGCGGCCTGCACGACGCGGGCAAGCTCGTCGAATCCCAGGCGCACTTCCTCGAGAGCACGTGCCGCGACTGGCTGTCCATGGAGGTCCTAGACAGCAAAGGAAGCCAGCAGCAGCCGGACCTGATCATCCACCACGACTCGAACGTGTCCTTCAGCGACGGGGAGCGTATCGCGGGCGAGGTCCAGTGCCCCGTCTTCTTCGTGTGCGAGGCCGTCGTGGCCACCCGCAATTTCTCGTACAACCTGCCCGACGCCGCCAGCCGCATCCGCACCTTCGACTTCTTCGCGCCCCCCTTCGGCCCCCGCAAGCTCGCGCGCGCGCTCGTCCACCTCCTCGGTATGTGGAGGACCAAGCAGGAGCAGGCGGCGCAGCACATCGTGCCGCACCACACGACGTCTGTGGACGTCCTGCCGACGTCGGCGACCAAGGGCACACAGGTTGATAGTGTGAGCAGGGACGCCCGAGTTGTCCCTGAGCGCGGGGCAACGGAGGGCCACGGCGTCACGGTCGTCACGTCCAAGCGTGCGACTGTGGTGGCCAACAAGGCACCGCCAAGAACGGCAGCCGAGACGGACCCCACGCCGCTGCCGACGCCGCCCGAGGAGTCGACGCTCGGCGGCGCTGTGACTGCGACTACACCGGTTGTGGAGAGGACAAACCCAATGGAGACCATAGCCAAGCCGGCATCTGTCCTCATCGTGGACGACAATGCTATCAACCTCAAGGTGAGTGCACAGTCACGTCCGTATGGTCCCTGTCAACAAGCGAGACTGACCGAACCCTATTCAGATCTTATCAGCATACATGAAGAAACTAAAGCGCCCCTACGTGACCGCCATCAACGGCCTCGAGTCGTCCGAGATGTACGCCCACTGCCCGTCCGACTACTGCTGCATCCTCACCGACATCTCGATGCCCATCATGGACGGCCTGGAGTCGGCGCGGCGGATCCGCCAGCACGAGAGGGCCAACCGGCTGGAGCAGACTCCCATCATCGCCCTGACGGGCCTGGCGGGCGCGGGGATCCAGCAGGACGCGGTGGCCAGCGGGGTTGATATGTTCCTGACGAGGCCGGTGACGCTGAAGAGGTTGGTTGAGGCGCTGGAATCGGTGGGGTTGGATTGTAAGGCCTCGTAGTCGTCGGCAAAGACTTTTATCAGAAAGGCTTGGAGTTTTGGGTGCCTAGGTGTTGCCACGAATGGACGAGCGGTTCTTTCTGTGGTGGTGACTGGTTTTGCTTGTGGCGTTGTTGGTATGGAACGGGCCAGGAGGGGAGGGAAGTAGTGAGGTGACGACTTCAGGGATCCGGCGGGAGGCATTCATGAGAGATGTATAGGGGGAAGGGGATTGATGGTTTATGCAGGTCGGGTTCACATGAGATTGCATCGTCAGCTGCACATCTTATTCCAATTGAGGCTATTATGCCCCAGGACATTTTCAATACCTAAATACCTCATGATTCAAATAAATTACTTGCTTATATCAATTTGACATCTTCCTGCGTCTAACCGCGTCACATTCGCCTTTTTTAAGCCCATTAAAAACACGAAGATGTTGATTGAGGAACATTATTGACACTTGACTCCCCTGGGCCGAAGAGAAACCATCAACGATCATATTGAAAACTACTTGTGCAACGACATTTGGACGGCGGAGTTGAGACAATTTCAGACAACCCTTTCTCTCTTCAATTCGTCCTCCATCATCTGCAGAGCTTCATCGCGATGTTTTTCCATGTCGATATCGATAATGAAGTCCCACCTTGACATGAACGATTTCGATGTCTCCGGGTCCAGCTCATGAACCCTTATCAACATGTCTCCCGTGGCCCGACTTGACTCAACGATGCGTTGGGTACGAGGACGACGAGCCTGGTCATATGCCTTTAATGCAGTGATCGCCTCCGCCGGCGTTTTTGCACGGCTGAGCAATGTAGAAAGAATGAGGCTGTCCTCGATAGACATGCCACCGCCAGACCCCTGCCAAGGTGTTGTTGAATGGGCAGCGTCACCCGTAACGCAGACCGGGCCAGAAACATAAGTATCGGCGTTGGGGTGTTCCCAAAGATACAATGCTTCGTGCTCGGGATGGTTGCAAAGCAGATGTGGCTTGGTCAGTATGAGTATCATACACATGCTCAGTGAACTCACCTCATTGACAGCATTACTGAGATGGGGTGGCCAATCCTGAACCAGCTTTGTGATCTCGTCTGAACCCACAGTACGTTTCCATTGGTCCAATGATCCATGCTCGGCGTCACTGTCGTGAGAAGTAATGGCGAATTGCACAAGCTGACCGCCGCTCAAAATGTTGTGCATCAAGAAAGCAGCTCGACCAGCCCATCCGTACTCGCAGGCATCCTCGAGGTCGATGAGCTCCTCACCGAGGATCGCCTGAGCTTTGTCGGATGGCTGGAGCGTCACGAGGAACCAAGCGCCGCTGTTTCGGGGGGACGATGCGGGATCGTCCTCGCCCCAGGACAAACTTCCGAACGATGCTATGGATGCCATCGGCACCGATGAGAATATCGCACTCGTGTGTTGTCCCGTCGGTGAAATAGACGGTAAGACCACCGTCTTGGTCGATCTTTTGCAGCTTCTTGGAGGCATGCATGCGGTCTTCGGGGATATCAGCAAGCAATGCCCGCAACAATTGGACGCGATGCACGATGCTCGTGAGACGCTCTCCCTGAGCTGCTTCATCGACTTCATCAGCCATGCTTTCTGCGCCGTCTTCTCCTTGTGCCAACATGAACTTGACACCTTTCATGGGTACAGCGCCAGCTTGGTCAAGGCATTGCTCCGCCGAAGGGCCGATGACCCTCAGGGCAGCTTGTGCGTTTCGGGCGATTCCGATGGCCATACCCGCCTCCTTGAATTCAGGGGCGGTCTCAAAGATGTGCACATCTAGGTGGGGTGACTTGATGAGGCCATGAATCAGAGAAGGCTCCTGCCAGGCCGCCGCCAATGATGGCAACTCTGATAGATGGAGCCATGGCGATGCTTAGGCTCTCGTTCTCGATTGACTTGACCTTCCAGGTTCTGGCTCTCGGAAAGGTCGGAGTCGTCAACGATTTGAAGAACGTAATGCAAAGAGCTCGGTCAAGGACCTTTATGGAGACTTTTCGGAAGCAGAGGAGCCCCATTCAGTTAGATGAGAAGTCAGCGATGCGGTTGGGTACTTTTTTCAATGTAAATGTCAGATCACCGGATGTTGGCTCGAAGAAGCCTGTCCCGAGTGAAGTCCGAGCAAATTTGATACACGTCCGTGTAGATCATAGGCACCAATGATATCATCGAGATGGGCAAAGATAATATAATTGCGTGTTACCGTACGTGAAGCAACCGATCAGCCGAGATCGACCATGAAACGCAAGCAAGTAACGACGCGAGCGATGTGTAAAATCTGCCAAGAAAACATTCTTGAACCAATTGCACGCGTGACGGAAGTAGTGAAATGCTGACTATATTTATGAACCCTCATGATAGTGATGTAGAAAAGTAGCACTTGGAGTTGTAAGGAGTAATCCATGGAAACAGCAATAATGAATCGCGCAGTCGTGGAAGTAAAGGAATAAGACATCGTTTTTTGCTCAAGGATCCTCAAACAAGCCTCGACCAATCCATTTCTCGGTGGCACTCTATAATCGTCCTTCTTTCCCATTCCTGAACCTCAGCACATCAAGCACCGGGACGGTGTGCGCAGTAGACGAGCCCTTGTGGTGGCTTTTCATCGAATCCCATCACTTCTTGCAATCTGTTCATCAGACTGATTCTCGTTCAGGTTGCTGAAATACTCGTCGAATTTCCGAGACTCCACTATCACTTCATCAAGAAGACCATAATCCAGCGTCGTCTTGCGGAACTTGGCGAGCTGCCGCGCCGTGGTGATGATGTTGCGTATCTGACGGCCGTTGAGTTCATGATTGGCCAGCTCATCGAGAGAGTCGCGGATTTCCTGATAGTCGATATGATGCATGTCATTCTGTGAATTGCGCCTGAGTGAGTTCGCGGCTGCAGTAGAAGAGCCCCCATTGTGCTCCCTTCCGACGTCCTTGCCACCGCCAGGAACATGGGTATCCTCCAAGTGGTTGATGAAGCCCCTCCAGATCTTCCGTCTTTGACCTATGGTAAGCTTCTCGTAGTGCAGAGACAACAGAATTCGTGACTTGAAAGCTTCGTCAAAGGTCCCAACGCGGTTTGTTGTCAGGATCAAGATTCCCTCGTAGTATTCCAGCACACGCAAGAAGACAGACACCAACGCGTTGCGCTCCAGATTGTCGAGGCTTCGTTGCTCTAGGAAGACCTCGGCCTCGTCAATCAGTACAACGCAGCCCCAGGTTTTGCCAAGATACAACACCGATTCGAGGTATTTCTCGACCTGCTCTGGCTTGGTGCCAATGTCTCCACAAGTCACGCAAAACAGCGGCTTCTGCGCAATCTCAGCCACGCTCTCAGCCGTGAAGGTCTTGCCGGTTCCCGGCCCCCCGTGCAGCAGGATGATCAGGGCCGTTTCCTTTGCGGTGGATAAGGTCAGCGCCTTTTTCACTTTCAATCTGGTGGCTGACCAGGGCTTGGATCAGTTCTTTGGCCTTTGCATTGATCACAAGATTTTCGAAGGACTTCTTGTTCCACTCGACATCCGTTATATAATCAACATCTAGATCAACTACTTTCGGATTAGTATTGACTCTTAGTTCCTCGTTTCGTCTTCATCATATTGCTTACCCCACTTCTTGCTCCTCAGATTGTACCCCGGGATGGTGTCAGGAAAGAGATAGATGTAAGGGCGGGACGGCGGCGTCTCTGAAGCCATGTCTTCGACGCTCATCCTCCCTCTGGTCTCACCATCGTCTTCGTGCTCGTCATCGTCGCTGTCATCACTTTCATCACTGTAATCGCTACCCTTTTCGTACAAGAGCTTGAATTTGTTGGAGTCGCTGTGGAGTTGCTTGTATACTTGGAAGTCCACCATAAATCGCTCACCATTCTGAACCATCACCGTCAGCTGAGAGTGCATTCCATGGAGAGTAAGACTGCTTACCGTGAAAAGGCCTTCTTCGCCTGTATGTGATACTAGGTTGCGATGTCGGCAGGTCCAAAACGTCTTGCCTCTGGTCTCCAGTTGAAGTCTTGTTTTTTCATCAGCAAATCTCAAAGGGTACACACCAAGCTTTGATATATCCACCTCCTGTTCTAAAGAGGATGCTTTGAACTTGATCTCTCTGGATCGTTTGTCACGCAGAAATTCGCCGTTGAATCTGTAGCTCCAAACATCGACACCCCATGTTGTTGAGAACTCTCCTTTGGAACCCTCCATGTTGTTATAACCCACTTCCACCATTTGTGAGCTGTCCCAGTAGAGTATGGGCGGTGACCTCTGGAAGACTTCTGATGAAGTTACCGCGGCCTTTGTCTTGCCTTTTTCCTTCCAGACAAGCACATCTCCGGGGCAAAGGAGGAATGGCATAGTCCTCAAAGTTACAACCCCATTCTCAAGGTGGAGCTTGGCCTCATCATACTTCTCATCGTAGTTCGTATCGATCCAGGAGGTCAAGGTACGCATGACGTCTTGATGAGGATGACTTAGTTGGTGCAAAGCGGCTGTTGATCGGCATGTGTACCAGAAAATGTAAGGCGCGCTAATCGGTGCTCGCACGTTGAATTTGGGAAACTTCTTCAAGAATTCAGACTGAGACATTAAGAATTCCTGCAGCGCTTCTATCATCCGCTGTGAATGGAGGTGGATCTGTTCATGGTAGTGTATGGGATCCGGTGGTGGCTCCTTCTTTGCCAATGCTCTTCGTAGTCCGGGCATCAAAGATGACTCGGAATACAATCGAGAAATGGTGAAGTCAAGGCCAGACTGTTGCACATATTCCTGAACGTTGCTGACTGGTAGAAAGGCTTTCAGGCGGAAATTTTCACGTCCAAAGCCAGGGGCCCACACTGGCTTGTCGAGAAATGCCTGTGGTGGATGACCGAGGGGCTGTGGGATCATATGGATAATCTTCCAGCTTCCGCTAGTAGCCTGAGAATTCTGAAGAGACTGGTCTTCAGGATTGAGAGATGTGGCACGGTGTACGAGTTGACGATGTGGGAGATTTTCAGGGCAATCTGCCGCTGAACCGTTACTTGTCCCCTTGGTCCCAGCTGTTGGGCTTTCGTGGGTGACAGCGTCCATAGCTTTGATCTGAAAGATATCCGAGGACCTCTTCTCTGATGCGCGTTGGAATGGTGATTTCTGGCGAGGCGTTTGGCGGAACAAGACCTCCTCGGCCGAAATTTGAGGTCTTGAGTATGTTCCAAATGAAAGAGGCTGCTGTTCCTTTGGCGTAAACTTTGATCCTTCGATGAATCTGGGGCTGCTATTCTCGAGGTCTGCGGGCTCATCAATCTGGAAGTGTCTCTTGAAGAACAAAATCAGAATCCTCTCCTGTAAAAAGTCGCTCGCAGATGTCTCGTCCCGCGAAATTGTGATGTGCTTCCAGATTCGCACCGAGTTCAATTTCTTGTGCTTGCTCTTGTGCTTCCCAATGTCTCCTTTTCTTTCACCATGAATTGTATCTGATCCAGACAGTTCAGATGCTGGGGAATCCCGGCCATCCACTTCTTTAGTGGTGTCGCCTGTTTGGATCCGTGCTCGTATTTCGTTCTGTAACCTCGAAATCAATTGACCGTTGTCATTTATCGCTAAACCCCTCCGATGAACTTCGTACTTCGCAATTCTCAGATCAATTCCCTCAAACGCTTTGGCCGCTCGAGGTAGTGTTGTACCGGCGAATCTCCTGTGTAGTTTAACCAATCTTCCTATGTCAAAGCCGGTGCGCAACAACGACTTCGGATTGATCGATTCAAGCAGCGAGTGAACTCCACTAACTTGAAGCAAATCCTCTACAAATTGACTACTCACGTGCCCTTCTGCTTGCTGCTGGATGCTTTGTCGGATTCTATCGACCAAGTCCTTCCGGATCAATTGAAGTTGGAAAGAAATCTTAGCGTCGAAACATGGCCCGTCGTCTGCATCAAGGCTGAAAACGAATGCGAGAATTAGGATGTTCGGCAAACTATCCAACACGGCTAAGATGAATCCATTGAAAAACTTGTGTATCGCCTCTTGGCTCTTAGTTGTTGATTTCTTCAGGAATTCATCGAATGCAGATGTCAAATCAAAATCTCGGTTGATAGTCGTGTTCACCAACCGCGATAGTATGACTCCGTTAGGAGAAACCAAATAAGATACGGAGTAGGGAAAGTCGTTCCGTTGGAAAGGGTCGACATAACTAGGGGGCATCTCTCATTTTGGAGGTTCAGAGGAGACTCTTCGCCCGACACTGTGAGAGCGGTGGGAGTGGATGGCAATTGAAACACATGTTGATCGTGAGAAGGGAAAACACAAGAACTGGCGCCCATTTCAAAGGTCGCAATGGAAGTGTAAGCTCCAGGTTTCGATGATGAACACGTGTCAGAAGGGCTCTGGTGGAATGGTCCCCAGGCAGCATCTCCTGCTGCGCCATCAGCTGAGCATGCTTGTGTTGCCAAAGCCACCGCCACTGCTACTCAGAATGCACTAGGCACACACAAGAGGGGTCGGGGCTCACAGGTATTGGGCTACGCGCATCCTTGTAGCGCTACACAACATGGAGGGGTCGATCATCGCCAGTAGCAATGCCTTGCACGTCAACTGTTGATTTTCTCCCTTTTTTCCATTTCAAAAGTAAGTTGCCTGAGGTGGAAATGCACTCAATCTCGACCGCGGGTCGATGGCCGAGGTTCTGAGAAGAACACTCGAGCTTGACCTCATCCAACCAAGCCTTTTGTCAAACAGTGAGGCAACTCAGTATCAGCGGGTTCCATTATGGCTTCCTCAGTGGTGAATCCAGTCACCGATGCGACGCGAGAGTGGTACATCCCATCACCAGCTACTAGCACGAGGTTCGTGTTTCCCAATTTGTTCTGTACGGATCTGAAACCTAAAAGAGACTGAAAAAGATTTCTCAATTAATTAACGTGTGCCTGTGGTCTAGTGTTTTGGAAGCCGCATTTGAGGGTGCGGCTCTGCAATTCTCGAAGCAAGCCGAGAATCACAGACAAGAATTCCAGGACATCAAGAAGCGCAACAAGTTTGAAGATGTCCAGCGGGCTATTCAGGACTGCAACACTCGCTACGAGGCTCGCAAGCCTGACTCAAAAGCTCTCAAATGGTTGCGACAGCTATCCGAGAAGGTGGTTTTCTACGAAGGTGTGGTGGACGTGCTTATCCAGCAACACCCAGAAGCAGTATCTTTGATTTGGGGGGGCATCAAGTTGATTTTATTGGTAAGCGTCTCACGAATGGGGAAGAGTGGCCCGATGAAAATTGACAAAATATTACCAGGGAGTCATAAATCATGAGAAGACAGTCAAAGGCCTAGCTAAAGCTCTGACTCAAATTGCAGATGCGCTGCCGCGGGTGAAAGTCCGTTCTTCCCTGTTCCCAACAGACCGGATGGAAGCCGCAGTGTCAAAGCTGTGCGCCGACATACTTAAGTTCCTCACGCGAGCCCACAAGTGGTATTGTGAAGGATTTCTTAAGCGTACCATCCATAGTTTCACACAACCATTCGATCTTCGCTACGCGGATATTCTCGAAGACATTCGACACGGTTCCTATGTAGTGCAAGACTTGGCAGCGTGTGGACAACTGGTCGAGCAGCGCCATGTGAACCAGAAAATCGATCAGATAGTTGACACTATGACGTTTAACTTCTCTCGGATCGAGCAACGGTTCGAGGAGATTTCGACCACAACAAGTCGTGAGTTTCTTCTCCCATTACTTACTGCTTGGACACCCTTTGACCACCGTGACGTACACAGTCATCTCCTCGACAACAATCGATACGAACCGGCAGCTCTCTGACCTGCAATTCTCCCAGATCATGCAGGCGATTGCAGATCCCAACCTGTGGGACCCAGGCAAGAGTCTCAACTACCTCTTAATCCACCAGAAAAGGTCATCCCAAAACCAAGCCCGTCAACTGTCCGAAGGTTTCTGGGAATTTGCACGAATGAGACGGTGGGCGAGATCAAAAGACTCAGACATATCCATCGTCAAGGGAGACTTCCGCTCGCGACACGCGCTGAGATGTTTCTCGGTCGACGTGATCGAGCAGCTGCGCCTGAAACAAATTCCCGTTCTCTTTGCCCTGGGAACATCACAACAAGGCGCGGCCGCAAAGAGCATGTCCACCGAGGACCTCCTGAAATACCTCGTTCGACAAGTCCTAGACCTGCGAAGAAGCGGCCAGACGGAGAAGTCGATGTCCCTCAATGCTGCGGCTTTCTCTGGCACCCTCTCCGAGAAAGAGTGGTTCTCACTTCTGCAAGACCTGCTGTCTGGACTCTCTGGGAATGTCTACTTTGTCGTGGACTTGGATTTGCTCAATCGCAACCTCAACTGCCCTTCGAGCTTTCACTGGTTGTCAGAGTTCCTGGGCCTGTTCAAATCAGTCACTGAGCGGGGAGCTCAAACTACCATCAAGGTCTTGCTGGTCAGCTACAGCTCGGAGTTGCCGTTCGACACCACGAGGGACGACCAGGCTAGCTTCGTCATACCAGCGAAGAAGGCGAAGCTGGCGGCGCAAAGGCGGAAAGGGAGGGCAGTTGCAGCTCGAGGTCGAGGGCGTCAGTCTCGCTCTGGGGTTTGAAAGTGCGCAGAGTAGCCACCACTCTGAACTTGAAAGTGGACACACTCAAAATTTGGCTGGAGTATTGAAGGTGCAAAGGAAGTGAGGATCTAGGCCCATTGGTGTCAGTCCCGACTTCCAGAAAACTGTCGCGGTTGTTACTGCCTTTGCTTTGCCCCGAGATGCCCCGGATCACGTACAGTGCGCTGCGGTTCCACACTGTCCTTATCAACCATGATAGCTGCGAACTGGCCGAGCTTCCAAGACTTTCGGTACGACTCTCAACCCGGAACAGGAAGGACAGCCGCATCTCCTCACGACGATGTCTAGCGTGTGGTGATCATCCGAGTCTCTTGGCATCCACAGGCACAGATGAAATACCGTATCACCTAGATTGGCCGACTCGCCCGGCTTCACCCCGTGCCCTTCTCGGCTCCCCCAAACTCGGGACAGCAGCAACTGTCCAACCAAGAGGCATCATGAAGCTCTACGTCGCCCTCACCTCCCTGCTCCTGAGGGCCACCAGGACAGCCGGGCAGGCATCACCTGGCCTGCCGATGGTCATCAACACATGGGGCGGCCCCTTCACAGCCGCCACCGACACGGCCTACCTGTCCCTGGTCGCCACCTCCGCAACCGCCCTCGACGCCGTGCAGATCGGCTGCGCCACCTGCGAGCGCAACCAGTGCGACGGCAGCGTCGGCTTCGGCGGCTCGCCCGATGAGAACTGCGAGACAACGCTCGACGCCATGATCCAGGACGGCACCACCATGAAGTCCGGAGCAGTCGCAGGCCTCAGACGCGTCAAGGACGCCATCGCAGTGGCCCGGCTGGTGCTCGACTACACCGAGCACACCCTCCTCGCCGGCGACCTGGCGACCGAATTCGCTGTGGGATTCGGCGGCTTTGCCGAGGAGAACCTGACCACTGCCGACAGCGCGGCGAAGTGTGATGAGTGGAGGGCTGCGGGGTGCCAGCCCAACTACCGCGCTGGGATCCTGGTGCCGGACGCGAGCACGGCGTGTGGGCCGTACGTGCCTGCTGCTCCGAGCAGCGCCGCGACGTCGGTGATTGCGACTAGGGAGGTGGAGCTCAAGACGAGGAGGTCGACCGCGTATGAGGCGTCGGCGGGGAGGTCGCATGACACAATCTCAATGATTGCGATCCACGTGGACGGGACGATGGCTGCTGGAACGTCAACCAATGGTGCATCGCACAAGGTTCCCGGGCGCGTAGGTGACGGACCCATCACGGGCAGCGGCTCGTATGTTGATGGAGAGGTGGGCGGCTGCGGTGCGACAGGTGATGGCGATATCATGATGCGCTTTCTGCCCTGTTATCAGGCCGTGGAGAGCCTGCGGCGGGGCATGACGCCCCAGGAGGCTGCTGAGGATGCTGTCTCGCGGATGGTCAAGAAATACCCGGCAGCAGCGACGGGCATCGTGGTGGTCAACAACCAGGGCGAGCATGGCGGTGCGGCATCCGGGTGGACCTTCACGTATGCCTACAGAGGCGGCACGATGAATGGTACGGAAGTCGTCACGGTGCCTCCGTTGTCAACATAAACATGTGTAAATATACGAGTACATTGTGAACATACCGCTCAGCTGATGCATTATGAGACAGCCTCAAAGAATTCGTTGTGGTGTCTACCGAACCTGGACAACTTGAGCCTTCGAAGAAACAATAACAGACTTTACGTCCATTTCCTGGTCAGGCGATCTTGCGTAGCTACGGGCTCATTGTTCTTCCCAGGAGTGCAAGAGCTGATATATCAGACGGTTTGGAAAGCGTCGACTGGGGTATTATGCTTCCGCGTATTAATAGAAACTCGGCGCGTTCATCTGATTCTCACCGGGCCCACCAAAGTCTCTAAAACAAACAACCCCCCCCCCTGCCAAGTCCGCACCCGGCTGTTACGAGTAAGTCGAAGTCCTTGGAGCACAGCACAACAGTCCTCTAATAGAGTAAGAGGACTCGAAAGGGGCCATGTCGATCTGTGTAGACTGAGCCACCTCCTCGGGTTTGCATGACTGAGTTTGCCAAGGCAGCCGATCTCTTGTGGGTAAGCAAATAATATCTTGATAGTGAGCTGAACGGCTACTGCATCGACCTCAAATGCCAATGCCGTTAGATGAATTTCAGCACGGACTATCATGCAAAACAGTCACAACCCCTGTAATCTGCCAACTCTTATTTGGGTTTAGGGGAGCAGAGTAATGAATATTAAGCCGTGAAGACGGTGCATGATATCAATTGGGGACCTAAACGACCCCATACTTCCCGTAGCCGCCACGACAGACTGACCATATGTTATATATGCTTAGCTGAAGTCGGCTCTCGAACCCAACAAACTATCTCAAACAATCAATTTGGTTTCTCTTCGGCCTTTCTACCAGACGGCATCAATAGTGTTTGTCACTCGTTTAACATCATGTTCTCACGCTCGTTCCAGGCCATCTTCCTGGCCCTCAATATTTTTCTCAGCGTTGTGAGTAACGGAGACCCGGCTGTCATTCTTTTTGCGTGAACACCTTTTCTTACAGTGAACTCCAGGTTTCTTGCGCACCAGTCAGACCGTTTGCAGTAAGCAACCTCCAACTCCGGCTTATAGCCAAATTCGGCATCTGAAAATATCTCAGGGAAACCAAGCATACTCCATGGAATCCGAAACAGACGAAACAGGCAACCGCTGGGTGTTCAACGTCTACGCAGACGGCTACAAAAAGGCCGACGCCGGCGGCCGAACCGAGGCGACCGACACCCTCATGGTGAACAAGCAGTCGAAGCGCCTGACCGTCGTCAAGGCCATGAACGGGCTCGACACGACCGAGCCGCGCCTCAAGATGCGGCAGGTCCTCAAGGAGTGCTGGACCAAGACGGGCCTCGCGCCGTCGGACCTGAAGGAGGTGCTGGGCTACAACGTCGAGAACGCCAACATGCAGCAGGCGACCGCGGACTGCCGTGCCGGGATGGGTCTGAAGGCTACTGATTCTTTCACGGTGTCTGGTGCGGAGACGCTGGCGGCAAAGAAGGCTTGCTGGGACACGCTTGGGAGCACGACCTTTTCCTCATCTATCCGAGGGTCTATCGCGGATTTCGACATCAACAAGGAGCTGATTAGCATTAATGTTCAGAGCGGAGGGGGGATCGATCATGTCTATTATAAGTTTTCATGAGTCGGCTTGGGGATTCTTGAGCGAGGACTAGAGGCCATAACTCGGTGAATGTAATGCAATGCATCGGGATCTGATTTGGTCGTAGTTAAAGTATCACACTGGAAACCACACATCACGAAGCGGAACAGGCCAGCACGGATCGAACTGAGCGTCTTTTTAACTTTCAGTTTGAGTGATCCCTCTAGTATTATCATTTGATATTACATATCGATATATCTCCCATCCAATTAGGGTCAGAGCGGTTGCTTAAATCTCTTGAGAACTTCCCATAAGAGCGGGCGCCTCGAAGTGAAACGTGTTCAACAGGTCGAAATTGAAATACCCATTAATGGCATCAATGTCCGACGAGAAGTCAAGATTGAAATCGAAAGCACCTTCGGGCGCCTCGCTCGACGGCAACACTGGCGGTGCATTAAGGGCATGGTCCAACACGTGCTGTATAACAGCCTTGCAGGAACTGCACAGATCGCCATTCGGCGCCGAGGGGCTGACCCAGTCCAAGAAGCCGCTCAGGAGGCTTAGCTGCTGGATTATTCCGGAGCGAGTGACCCCTTGGACAGGCGTGTGTTGGAGGGACGGCTTGAGCAGCTCATTGCAGAGGACCCCGCCAGCGGGGGCTGCGAAGGCCATGACCTATTCGAGCGTGTCAGGATGGGAAATACCGTGGCAGCAAACAGGGTTTTCGGTGTAGAATTATACAACTCACTAGCCACTCAAAGTCTCCATGGAGCCCAGCCAGGCGATCCATATGCGTCCAAAAGACCAGCGTGACAGAGACCATCTCGAAGCTGACATTCAGCAATTCGGCGTTGCTGTCGTGTCCCCACTGTACCAGCAGACGTGTGATAAACAATAGGTTTTGGAGATGTTCTAGCCGCACAAGAATCTTTATGTAGATATCCGGGGCTGGGACACTCGGGTCTCTCACCGTGTCAGGTGAGTACTTGAGAACGCCTGGTATACCCGAAAAAGCCTCGTATTCATGTTCTTTCAACGCTCTGCAAACCTGTCAGCAGTACTCACTTATCGAGACAGATCAATACTCACAGCAGTGCGTCGATAGATGTATAGGCAGGACTACCCAGGGCTACCTCCATCACCTCATCCTTGACCCGCGCAAGCTTCGCCCTTGCCCGGACAATTGTCGTCGAGTAGCATGCGCCCTCGCGGTTCCACCCGTTCTCATCCAGCGCCTCAACGGCCGTGGCTATTGTCTCGGGATCGGAAATAAGCACCTCGTCGCACACGTCCAGCGGAAGTGGCGTGAGCATGTATTTCCTGCTTAGGAGCGGTGGCCGGCCACTGAACGACGCGGCCACCTTGTCAATGACAAAGAGCTGAGAGACGAGCCGCCTTCTAACCTCCTTGGCAGCCGTTGGGAGATAGGGCTTATCATCCTGTAAGGCATGGAGACCAAGATATGTCAGCAGGGCAACGTTCTCCCCGTGGAGTCTCCAAAAGGACGGGGCGGCGTCCCCGGCGATCATTGATTCGAGGATGGCTGCCTTGTATGTGAGGTACAGCAGCAAGCTGTTCGGCGTGCACCCCTTGCAGAGCTCGATGCAGATCTCTGAAGCTTCCTTATACACAAGGGTCAGCTGGGCAGGCCTCTTGTCCGACTTTCGAAGTAGTTCTGGGCGGTGAGGTTGGTCTGCGAGTGCAGCGAGGGCCCAATATGTGAACAGGATACCCAGGCTTTCCCACCGCATGTTACGACCGGAAAACGACGAGAGCCAAGCATCGGACTCGAGCTCGTCCTCAGTCCATTGCTTGGCCGTGTTTGAGGAGAGCAGTCGGGCCAGTTCCTCGAGGTCCTTTGGCTTGCGTGATCTCAGTGTGCGGCCGAAGACAGAGATCAGCGACTCGATGACACGCTTCGCAGCTAGACGCATCCATCCGTCGTTTGGATTCATGTGCTTTTCGAACAGCGGGAGGGCAACGTCTTCGGTCGGTATTCGATTGAGTACGACTAGGCTGGCCTCGAGAGATCGCGGGGACAGGACGACAGTCGTGATGCCTGTGTCGCCATTTTCTACCGCTGAAACCGGAGGGCTAGCCGTCACGACTGAGGAAATACCCATCAGTGGGCCTTGTACAAGAGAAAGACTGTTCTGTGTCTCCTGGTAGACGGCAGAGAAGCTAGTGAAGCCCATGTACCCAGGGCCGGTCTCCGAAGGGTGGTTCCTCGAGTCGGGTGAATCTGACAGTACATGTATACTGGGTGACCCGTTTGAGCCCGGAGACGGCCTTGCACTGTTATGTATGCCAAGGTCAACACCGCTGCTGCTGTGCTATTACTGAGGGCCTCGAAGCGCTCACCTCGCTGGTCTGACTGAGCCTCTTGGCCGGGCCTGGGCGGGCTTGCGGCTCGTTTCCTCAACGCCCAGGTACACACAGCCACCAGGATTATTGCGAGCCCTACACCGGCGACAAGCCGGGACGGCATGGTCGCATGATACCTTTCGCTTGCGGCAGGGCTCACACGCCTGCAGGCGTCCGTTGCGGCGACGGCCGGGAGTGCCGAGCGCCGAGGCTGGTATTGAGGAATGAGGCGGCTCCATGATGCGGGCCCAGAACTCAATCACTCACTGTGCGACGCGAATGCCGTGAGTCCTGATCTTGATCAGATAAGATCAACGAGGATGGTTGGTCCCACAGGGTCTCACTCAGCCGGCTGGACGACCGATGGGTGCGTGAGGGAAAATGGGAGCATCAGTTCGGGAGAGAGCGGGGCTCGGCTTATGCCAACCCGGAGTTCCTCGGCGCTCGGAGCACCTTCTGCCTGACCAATGGACCTGCCTTTAAAAGGGAATTCTGTCCACCCATAGCAGGCGCCCAGTCTCTAAATCCGCACGACACAATGCAAGCGTCAATGATTTCCAACATGTAGGATCATTCAACATACACTTCCGAGCAGAAGCCTGTGCATTTGGCATTAGGGTTGGTGAACTAGTTCGACGTGCTCGATTGAGAAGGATGGATTACTCCTGCCTAGATTTGAACAACGGTCCGTCTTACATGCAGCCGGCCCATAGATATCCCAGTACGCGCTGCAGGCCGACCAACGGCATCTCTTTCCATATCTACATCGCAAGGGCGTGTCAGATCTAGTTCGGATCCGGGTAGCCGCGAGGTAGCCTCGAGGGATTCGGGATCAGAATGCTTGTGGTTGCATCCACCGTGTGACTCTTCGCTTATGTGACTCCGCAAGCTGATCTCTAAAATCCTGCACCCCTATGTATAAGCTCGCCCTTCTCTTGGCTTTTATGCTTCTGCATTCTCAAAAAAAGCTTAACGTTTACCCCGTGACTCCTCCATACGCCACCTTTAACAGTCTTCTGTGTCATATCCAAATATTAGACCCTGCTTTCAGCAAATACAGTAACCATGGCGCATTCCTACGACGTTGCAATGTTCCAAGCGGCTCTCGAGAAGAAGACGCATCTCCTTCCGAGAGGCAGCCAGTCCACAACGACAAAGACCCAGCCAAAGATGAAGTCCGCCATGGGCTCCGAGGTAACGTTGGTGGAGGCCAACTCCGCTTCACAGCTTGAGAAAAAGGACTCTGGTGGTAAGAATAAGTCGTCGTCCGCATGTATTCATTATGCCCTCGGCTAAAGGATGCTGCAGTGTTGGATTCCTCGGAGGGCAAAAGCTTGAAATAAAAGGAAATTCATCGGGGGGGCATTGAAGTTTCGGGGTCGTGCTACATTCGCAGTTGACTGCCAATATCAGATCAATTGCCAAATTTGGCTCGGAAATACATAAGGCCTGGGTTGTGTGAAGTCAGTACATGGTATTCAATGAAAAGTGCCATATTGTTGGTGTCATTTACGGTCGTCGAGATATAGCACCTCATAACGCATAATGCCATCGGCAACGAGCTGAAAGAACCATTTCGTCCGACCAAGCTCATCTTTTCATCCTGAAGTACAACTTTTCGCTGGGCTCACGGATGTGGCATTCCCAGACCCCCTCATCCTCTTTCTCATCCACAAGGAGACTAGGCTTTCAGCCATTGTTGTGATCCTCCCATCATGGGCCCTTTTCATACTGCTCCACCCCCTCCGGAATCGAGACGACAGCACTCTTCGTCCAGATATGGATCACATCTTTCCAAACCAGGCCCTCCACACAGCCAGCCTTGACCGCCACCACAGCTCCCGGCGTTCCATCAGGCTGGCATGAGCTCTGGTAGAGACGCACCCCGCACTTTGGACAAAAGTAGCAGTGCATGGTGTTGCCGCTGTCGGTGGGGTGGGTGAACAGCTGCAGCCTGTCCTTGGCCTCCTGCGGCAGGTTGGACACGAAGGCCTCGGTGGGATAGAAGGCTGAGGACCCGAAGGCGGACGCTGACTGCTTTTGGCAGGCGGTGCAATGGCAGCATGCCAAACGGACGGGATCTTTCAGCGGCGTCCGGAATGTGATGTAGCTGCATTGGCAGGACACCGGTAGTCCTTGGTCTGATGATGACGTGTCTGGCATGGTGGAGAATTGATCGCGACGGACCGATGTTGGAAGTCGTACAGATAGGTCCAAACGATCCGTTGAGGGTTGATTTGTGCGTTCTCTGGAATGTAAATCCGAGTTTGTGAGCCAGGATAACAGAGTTGTTTAAAGAGGCAGTATGGCTGTTCTTCACACAAATGCCTCCACTATCTCTGGTGGACGTGTTCGGCACTTTGGGTTTGACGCGAGGCCAGCCACCGACGTGGAGCAGATGCCAAATACCGGAGCCCGGGGCGCGTGTTTCGCGTGCCACAGCAGGTTATCGGGACCTAATGTTATCTAGCGCGCCTTTCTGTGCTACATACATGGGTATCGATATCATTTGTACGACTGCAAAGTTCCGTTGACATGTAACTCCAGATTGGACGATTTACTCTAAAACTTGCGGGCACGATCCGTTGGAGCTTGTGGACCGCGGACGAACTTCGTCAACGATTGATGGCCCAATTCGTCTACAAAAGAAAACTACAAGGATAATAATTAAGGTCATGAGTTTGAAGAACGGTCATTCTTCAAAGCCTGCAACAAAATGTTTGGGAACCGTCCAAATCAGACGTTAGCAAAACCACGTTGTGTCAGACTTTAATTGCATGACCGTTTATCTGTTGGAACCTTGTAATTCACAACGCCTTTGCAAATTGCCTGGCTATTCCCATCTCAGAATCTGGCTTCGTCCAGAAGTGCATTCCCTCATGAGATCGCAAACAGCTGGTGTTTGCGCTGGGACCTTAGCAGCAGCCTAGGTGACCCGCGATGGTTATGTGGAAAATCTGTCAAGCAATCGAAGACTGTCTTCGAGCATAGTATCAAACAAAGGCTTAGTTGTAGCCTCACAGAATCGTCATCAAGCCCCAAAAGATTATGGCCAGTCCAGATGGCAGCAACGCTAGAAAGCGCTGAGGCTAAAGCTTGAATCTGACAGTTATGATTTGCTCTGGCTTTGTTTGTTGTCCTTTTGCAAAGCCAATCACATCCCATGAATCTGGGAGACCTATTAATGAAGACACATCTCCGTGGATCTGATTCGATCTGATGAAGAGGGCTAAAGAGACAGGGTCCTGGAAGTTATGAAGGCTGGCTGTTTGCATTTTAGTAGCATGGGCTAACAACCTAATGATGGCGTTTGCTGAAGGTCAGCTTCTGATCTTGGTTTCTTTTCCATCGAAGAAAAACCACAGTCACTCTGGTACTCTGTGGGCAGTGCCGGGTTAACCTGAGAGCCTGGTCACAGTCACTGGGGGGCAAGCTAGGAACCTGCTTAGTTCGAGGTTCATCCGGTGAATGGTAATTTGTGTGAAGTAAACATTCACTCACATCCTTCACCCAAGCATAAATCACAAAGATAGATCCCCGGGCCTCTGCACGAATTATTTAAACCCTCAGACAATCTAGAGTTCTTGCGACTCTCTGATCTTTCTTGGCCATCTCTTCACACAACAACAAACCCATCAATCAACAGCAAAGCGCACATACAACCCTCACCATGAGACTGCTCACCAATATCGTTCTCCTTGGCTTTGGCCTTGTCGGATCGGCTCTTGCCAAGAGCATTTGTGTATGTATCGCAACCCTCAATTCAACATGCTAGCTTGGTATACGAGACTTGGCACGAATGGTTGCAAGGCAGCTCGTTCTGACAAATGACAATAGTGTATGCCGGGCTGCAATGTTTGCCTGCCACAGCAATGCCTTTGGGGAGGTTACTGCGCCATCGGCACGAACGTGAGTACTTCCACCGCCGATGTACATCAGCACAACACATTCTAATGGGATTGAACACAACACATCAATGTTACGGGGCATCACTAATCATGCCAATTTTAGTTCAACACCTGCTGTGCTGACGAGAAGAAGGCCATGATCTTCAAGAACGAGGAGGACTACCTTGCGGCGGTCGCGGCTGGTCAAATCGACGGATAAAGATGGAAGCTAAATCCGGCCTACGGCAAGGGGGAAGGGTTTGGAAGACGCTTTGGAAGACCTGAGATGGTCTCGCATATCCTGCCAGAGTGGAGGACACTCGTCCTGCGACTGAGATAGAAACGCAGTCCTACACCCCAATCAGTCCACAATCTAGTGCTGAACCCAACTTCAGAAACCCCATTTTACTCCTTGATGATTAGCCAGGACAGTCTGTTTCTGCTCATGACAGGCTGTTTCGTGTCTCGGCATACACAAAGACAAGGCTGCCTAGACCAATGATATGCTCTGTTAATCTGTGCATTTAAACTCAGATAAAGCCGCAAACGCTTGGCCTCAGACCGGCAAATGCCATCATTCCTGAGTCAGACATGATCAAGATGATGCGCTGCTGGTATAACCCTGAGGAGTGACTTCAATCACCGAGATCACGCGTCTCAAGACGGCGCCATGATCAGAAAGTTGATTTCAGGCAGGTTGTTTCTGTTACCGCAATGCGATTACGGTGCTTGCAACACCTTATGCTGCCACTTGAAAACATTGAGATCAACCAACCAGTGTAATTTATGACCGCCTTTACCAGCGGCATGTAGGACCATCGATCTTTATATCTTCTGTCAAGCTGGTGATCATTGTGACTTGGCAGATTGGGCCTTTTGACCGTTTTCTTCCTTCATTGTGCCGGTCAGGTCCGAGAGAAAGGCCTGCCGGAGGCTGCTATCTTTTGTTGAGCAAAAGATACAACAGTCGCTGCAAGATATGGGCTGACTTTTTTCATGTATTATGTATGTACTTGTAGTATAGTCAAAGTGACTTTTAGAGTCTAGATTACAGAAGGATGACCTGTTGTTGGGGGGAAGCTGGGGTGAATCAACAAAAGGGTGTTCCAGCCAAGTATTCTTTCCAATGAACAGATTAATCAACAGAAATGACTGGTTCGGCATCTCCCGTCTTAACGTCAGTGGGGTCAATGCCCATGGTGATGTAACCCACAACACCATTATCGATATTCTCCCCGTCTGCAGGAACAACAGTTATAACGGGGTTGAAACCTTCAGAGATCCCATCAGCGAAATGGCGATCCTCACTGTTCTTGCGGCGCACAATCTCGGTATGCGAGGCATAGGGCTCCAGCGACATGACGTGCGCAGACACATCCTCCTCGAAGTACAGCTGGCCAGTCGAGACGACGTTCTGTGACTTGAGGGTCCCGTTGCCGTACAGCGTCCAGTCCGTGTAGACCTGGGCGTGGATGTGGATGGCGCGGCCGGCGTAGAAGCCCGGGTAGACGTAGAAGCCCGGGTAGATGGTCTTGATCTCGGCCAGGCCCTCGGCGTTGGTGGGCCATATTCCGCGAAGGAAGGTCGTGTTGTCCGTGTGGAAATCAGTCTCGCCGACGGTGAAGTTGGTCAGGACGTGCTGCGTGATGACTTCCTTGAACGGCGTGTTGGGGTCCACGCCCGTGAAGCTCGAGTAGCTGCCCGTCGCGTTGGCCGACCAGATGCTCACGAGGGCGCCCTCGAGCGGCTCGCAGGTGCCCATGTCGATGAGCACATCGTAGTATGGCGCCGCCGTGGTGACCTCGACGGTGCTGTTGCCGTTGCCCCAGTCCCTCTTAGCCATTCGTTTGGCGTACCGCTTCTCGTTGAAGCGAGCCACGTGCGAACTACCGCGCCTGGCCAGGGCGCCACAGCGCGAGAGCTCGGAGCGCGAGAGAAGCTGGCCATGAGCTGCGACGGTCGACACGGACAGGAGCCCGGCAGCAAGGAAAGCCAGAGGAGAAAACTTCATCTTGCTTCTTTCGGGTGTTCAGGCGGCTTCGAGTGCCTCCGGATGGTGAGAAAGAAAAGAGAGACTTGGAGGTGAGTTTCTACCTTATAAGCACGAAGGATAGCGAGCCCAGAGGAGAGGGGGGAGGCGAACGAGTCCTCCCGCCCTAACCTTTATAGAACCATCTCATATGGTCGAGTCAGCGTTTTGTAATAGTAGCCGTGTGGTTCGCCACACCAGATGTGACCGACGTGGAGAACTTTGAGTCCCCTGCCAGTGTCGGGAAGAATGCTGGATCGACCTTCCTTGAAAAGGGCAAAGGACCCCCACTGCAGTGCGTGTACCGGCCTGTGCCAGACCACCGAATATCCTTGGACAGATACGTATCTCGCTCTACATACGTACCTGATTGGATTATTTTTATATCTACTTGTTATATACGAGGTGGACCTCTGGGACTCGGCGGGAGCCCGACTCGGCGCTGCCACGCCTAGCTCCAGCTGGCAATTGCCAGTCCCAGCATAAGATTCGGGTTGGGAGCCTTTGCCAAAGAATAAACATTGGGCTTCAAGGGGCAGCCTGGTTGGTTGAATTTGGCTCGCATGGGTGAGCACAGCATCTTTCTCAACAAGGGACTGTCAATACTCCGTGTCGAGATTTGATGACCAGTCGGGTGGATCTCAATGCATAGACAAAGCGCTGACTTGCGTCATGCACGAGCGAGCAAATGTGGCATCTCTGCAAGGTCCGAGGTTGCAATAGGGGGCGGGGCAGTACAGTAGAGCAAACATCACTTCTGCGTTCTGTGGTATCTCGTTTACCAGATACGGAACTAGGCCCCGAGCACAGAAGTGATCCGCGGACTGCCGCTGCGGGAGGGTCCGTGGTGGAAGATGCTGAAGAAACAGGAAAGAAATAGGAGAATAGCACAACATGCCTGTCACCATTTATATACACCCGTTGACTTCGCTACACTGGTGTAGATCCATCCAGCATGCAACGCCAGATGGATGGGCCTATCCGAGGGCCCCATAATATATCCGTGAGTCTGCGCTGATATCCGGTCTGCTGGCTTACATGTCATGCCGACTGAAATGTACAACAAAGAAACTCAAAACAATGAGATTATCCGAGGGTTCCTAACATATCCGCCAGTTTGCGCTGATATCCGCTCTGGTGCGTTATGTGCCATGCCAACCCAGATGTACAACAAAGAATTTCAAAATATTAAATGAGGAGAAATAGGACAATAGAGCAGGATCGTAAGAGATAAGCGCGATCTGTTGTGCTCGTAATTCCTCACTCTGAGTCCCCTCATTTTGGGTCTGAACGAGGGAGAAACTTGAAATTGAATAGGGTCGTCGGGCTGTTGAATACTATTCGGGAACGAGGTTGCATCTACAGTGTTACCGGTATTGCTTAGACCCCTGTTAAACAAACTGCACGCATCAGTCTGATAGATACTTAAAAATATTACGTCACTCACCCGTGGGTGCAATCCGTTCACCCAATTAACGAGAGCGCGATTCAACTCTCCGCGGGCTCAGACTGTCCAACCGCATGTAGATCCTCATCCGATTGTGCATGAATCGTTAAGTTATTTCTTGGGACTGGCTGCCGATTTATTCTTACCTTTTATGTGGTCATCAACCATAGAGAAGTCTCTGAGAGGGTTCTCACTACTTCTAGCCATTAGAAGCACATCATGGGGGATTCAAGCTTATTGCATTGTAAGAAATTTGATAATATTCAAACATTAAGTCTATTTGTTCTTTTGATTCTCAGTATGCATCGTTTTGTCATCCGTATCATCATTCAAGGAGCATATTTGAATAGGCTCTCAAGCTGCTCAGACGAGTACCCAGCATTCAGCGCGAGCTGAAGCATGATGCGCGCCTTCTCGGGGTTCAAGGCCCAGCCGCCGTACGTGTTCAGGCCCTCGCTATCGTCGACAAACCCGCCCTTGGTCCTGCTCGAAACAACAATCTGCGTGCCATGCTCCTCGGCCAGCGTCTTCAGCGTGTCCCGGCCGGGCGTGGTCCACCCACCCGCACCCATCCCAGCCAGCACGAGACCTTTGGCGCCAGCCTCAACGGCAGCAGTTGCGAGCGCGGGCTGCAGGGCCTGGTGGCCGTAGAGGATATCCACCTCGGGCAGCTCCGTGGTCTCGCTGACGTCGAAATAGGCGCGGCCCAGGGGCAGGGCCGGCGGGTAGTAGAAGACGGGCTTGATGTCGAGGAAGTAGCCCAGATAGCCCTGCTCGACCGCCTTGAACGTGTCGAGGGAGTTGGAGTGCGTCTTGGTGGTGTAGAAAGCGCTGCCAATGCGATCGTTGAGGACGATCATGGTGCCGCGGTTCATAGCGGCAGGGCTCCCGGCCAGGGTGACGGCCTCGAGAAGGTTGATGGGGCCGTCGGCGCTGATGGCTGTGGCAGGACGCATGGCCCCGACCACCACGACGGGCTTCTCGGTCTGGACGGTCATGTCCAGAAAAAACGCAGACTCCTCCATGGTGTCTGTACCGTGTGTGACGACGGCGCCCTGGCAGTACGGGTCGTCAAGGGCCTCCTGCACCATGCGTGTGAGATTGAGTAGGATTTCGGGTGTTATGCTGCCCGAATCGACGTTGGCGACCTGCACACCTTTCACATTGGACACGTTCCAGAGCTCCGGGACAGCGTCGATGAGGACTTCGACGCCGAGGGCGCCGGCCTGGTAGCCCGTTGTCTGGGCATTGGACGAGGCGGAGCCGGCGATGGTGCCGCCCGTGGCGAAGATTGTGATATTTGGGAGGCTGGCATTGAAATGCGTCTCCCGGGTCAAGAGGCGATGCGCTGGGAAGGGAGAGCCGGGGACTGGCGCCGGGACAGCGAGGCTTACAGCCAGCTGGGATGCGGCCACGAGAAGGTTGCGGGTCTGCATCTTTGCTTACTGCTCTGCTTGGAACTTCTTGGGGAGGAAATTGGCTTGAAGGAAGAGGCAGGCAGCGGTGGCTTGCAGAGTCCAAAATTGGGCCTGGTCGAGCAAAAGAAGTCCTCTGTTGGGTATTCGGCATATCTTATATATTCGCATCTTTCTTGTCACGGAGTCTGTGCGCGGTCTGAGTTGAATAATTCATCGCGATAAGACCCATCAAAGCAAGCCACATTTTGGGTCCACCAAAGTATCTAGAAAATATCTCGCCCGAGCTTGACAATTACGCGCTACAAGCCTTGGGAAAATGCTGGAGTTCATGGACATGCCGGCCATCCTCCTCGCTCCTCGTCATTATCTAGGCGGCTCTGACCAATCGCACGTGGGTGGGATCCGGATCCGTCGAAGCTAACGATGGACCCACGCGCTACGGTCGGTATTTATCTTGCTTATCACCTGGGCAGTTAGCAATGGAAGAAGGCCAAGTGCCGTCGGCAATGCCCAGGGCCCCGATCTCGCATCCCGATCCGGCCGGGCATTAAAAGATTCCATCGAGTGCAAGAAGCCCAGAGATACCAGCCCATTACGCGCATAGATTTGTCCACGTTGGGCCCGAGATTGGCATGCCTGATTCAATTCTGTCATCAATCGCCGCTCGTGTCCTGACTTTAATATTTTAAGCACTGCCACAAAGTATACATAATGTCTTTTAATGAGGTAGAGATGATCGTCTACTGTTTAGAAGCTTTTTTCATGGTATGGTAGTCGGGTAGTGCAGATAATGCTTTTTCCTGTGAACTATCTAGTACACAATTTCCTGCGCAAAATATTCTGTCATAAACTCAATCACATCCTCCGAAGCCACGGGGATGCTTCCGTAGGCGTCTCCCAAAACCATTGTTGTCGCGGACTGGTTGGTGCTAGGTGCCCACGCTGTCAAGTTCTGGCCGTTCGGGTTGCCCGTAGCGATGAAGTTGTACCAGAATTGAGAGATTGTGACCTGGATCGCAGAGTCCTCAGCTGTCCAGTTGAGTGTCTGTCCCATAAGCGTCGGAGCCCATGGGATATTGTTGAAGGCATAGTTCAGTTCGCTCCCATGGTAGGCACCCGCACTCTGCCCTGGTGGCGCATGTGTCCAGAAATAAGTATAGACGCTGCTGCTGGCACCACCAGCAGCCCATGCGTTTGCCCAGCTCCATGATGAGAACAGGCTTTGATTGCGGTAGAAGTTGTTGGTCTGTGTACCAGCCTCAGATGCTGTCTGCGCCGGGAAGAGCTGAAAGTCTGCATCCTCCAATCCAATGGGTGCGAAAATAGCTTTGTTACTCGAGTTGTATTCGGCTAGGTCCATTGTGCGTGGGTCAGGAGATGCTCCACTCTCGTCACGATTGTTGCCTGTGAGGACGGGCACATCATTCTGTGAATGGTTTGCCAGGGTAGCTGCGTATGTATCCAGTAGCACATATCCGTCGATCACGGGACGAAAGACCGGAGGCTCCATATACGCTGAGTTGTTCTCGAACGGTGTGCCGACAAAAGTCGTGTCTGATTGGGGACTGGCAGCCAATGGCGTCTTCAGCGGGAGTTGGCGAGCTTCCTCGATCGAGCTGACGGTCAGAAATGTGAGGAAGTCAACGCCCTGGGCTTCGGCCTGCGACTTGTTGCGGTGGCTGGTGGCAAGAGAGCCGGTCAAAGGGTCGTGGGGAGCCCGGGCTCCACTCTCTGCTATGGCTCCCTGGAAGAGACCAGCTGCCAGAGGAGAGTACACCAGATCAAGAGCAATAGAAGATCCGGCGGACTGACCACCAACAGTGATTTGACCAGGATTGCCCCCAAAAAGCTGGATGTTCTCGTTTGTCCAGTGTAGACAGGCGATCTGGTCCTGCAAAGACCAATTGCCAGTGGAATTGCCCTCAGCTTCGGCAGACTCAGGATGGGCGAGACCGCCAAGTAAACCAAGCCGAGAGTTGTAAGTCACCACGACTACGCCTTTTGCCGCCAACCCAGACCCGTCGTATGTCTCCTGTGAGCCTGATCCCCCGGAAAATCTGCCTCCGTAGCTCCAAAGGTAGACAGGGTAGTTGGACTCGTTGTTGAAGTTCTCAGGAGTCCAGATATTGAGGAACAGGCAGTCCTCCGAGCCTGAGACGGTGCCGTCCTGACCCAGCTGCGCGCATTCGTTGCCGAATTCGAACGCGTCATACGTCTCGTTCCATGACGTGGGATGCGGAGGGTGTGCCCATCGATATTCCCCTGTTGCGGGGTCTGCAAAACGAATGCCTTTAAATACGTTGACGCCATCTGTGTAGTTGGAAGTGTGCCTCGAACCGGCCCATTGTGAAGGGAGACGATGGGGTTTTGCTCTGCCGAGGCTGCGCGGAAATAGATTCCACTCAGGAAACACAACGCAATAGGTCTCGACATGGCGAAGTTAGTTACAATGTCGTCTAGAAAGAATGACAGGCACCAGCGAATGGACTCTTGGCTCTGGTTCGGGGTGCGATGGGGCCTGGGTTCCTCGCGAATGAGGAGCTCCTTGTGCCTTCTTATATAGTGACGAGGTCTTGAGAGCCCCCCTTATGGATGATCATCAAATGATACCTCATATCACCATATTGCAGGCACTGAGATGGGGTTTACGATGCAGTTCCCCGCACGTGCGTAAATGCTCTAAGTAATTCTCATAGATGGCACAGGATGTGTGAAGCAAATGAAGATCCGCCGGTTGGTGGAACCCGAACTTCTGCAGGTCCCCAGACTTACCTGCCCGTAAAGACGGTTTGCCCCGCCTCGCCGCGTCACAATACCACTGAAACCGCGTATTCCCACTGCGGTGACAGCTCGGCGATAGCGCGATTAACCTCTTGACTCCTCACAGTTGCTGTCCTCTAAATCTTCAACCTATGCTAAAGAGTGCAAGATTCAGAAACCCGGATTGACACATTCAGAGGAGATCTCGATCCATATGACTTGAAATGTTTGCAGAATCACTACACAGCATTCTCTCAGCGTGACGTAGAACACAAGAGCACTGAATTATGATTTCGGACTAGGGCCTTGTGCAATCACGCATCGGATCTCTCCCACAAGTCAGGCACTCGGAAACTCTGCTCGTCGGTTCAATCAAGGCTTGGCGGATACAATGATACTTCTGTACGCTGATCCTGAGATATAGTTCTAGGGTGGTAACATCGAGGATCGCCGAGGAGGCATGGTCAAAGGGCCAACACAGCAAGCTTCCCAAGGCGCTCATTTGCTCGCACCTCATTAACACAAGAACGTTGAATTACGACTGCTGCCATAGTCACTAAGAAACAGCGTGCGAACGCGTGGCTCGACGCGGATCGCTCGTAAATCCGAGCCTCGCCGAGATTCGGGAGGTCTAACACTTTAACCCATACGAGGCAGTACAATACTGGTACACTTTAACCAGACTATCTCAAAAGGGCACAGAAGAGCAGACGGAAGCAGGATAATTTTGAGATATTCAGACTATTAGTTTTTCGAGGAACAGTCTATTCATCCGGGGTTCGTCCGTATAGTAGTTGGCTCCATTAGGGCGATGCGGAGACTGCAGCCGGGGTACCCTTGAGGCCGATTTTTGCCTGCCAGGGTGACGAAAATGACAAGGCCCTTACACGCGATGATCTACATGATAAAGACACCGTCAATGTTTGACAGTGTTGAGCGGTAGGCTTTTTATCATCGCTCAAGGCGATGGACTTGAATACAGTGTCTAATTATCCGTCCCTGTACTGCTGCCGTACGTTGCCCATCCTTCTTGTCACATCATACTTTGCGTTCCTTCCGTTTCCTCTTCACTTTCTTGGCAAGAACAGGTGTCATGGGCGTCCTTCGAATTCGCGAGGTCATCTTCCCCTGCCTACATCTTGGGTCTTCTTGCCCCAACTGCTTGTGCCAGTGTTCACTTTCAATATTGAAAGTTAACAATCCGAGCCAGGCTAAGCGTTAGGAAGATGTACTTGGTTGCCGCCATCGCCTGGCCTTCGCGAGGTTGTAGACGACGATGACCGGGTGTCACAGATGGACGACCCGGGCTCAAGCAACAGATCATCCAACAAGACACGGCTAGATAAATCGTCCGGAGACACAATCAAAGGCGCGGTCGTGCCGTCGTTGGCAACCCCCTGCCTGCGAGAGCTGGCAAGGCTAGTCGTGTCATTCTCTGGCGTAGAATACGATAAAGGCAGGTTTCCCAGTTTGTCTCCCTTCTAAGTCCTCGGAATAACGCTGGTATAGCCAGACCAGGTTCCTGACCCGATGCCTTGGTAGCTCGCGCGCTGGAGCTGTAGAGTCTCAGTGGCTGCCCACTCGAGATAGGTGTATTGCCTGTACTTCCAACGGCGATAGAGGCAAGCAAAGATCGCCTCGAGAACATATGATACCAAGATGAGGAGCGTGCCGGTTATGTAGGTAAAGTAAAGTCCAAAGAGACTAAACGACACATATTCCGTGCTGAGTACCTTCTATAAAGTGATTTGTTACTGTTACTTCATGGTTGCTAATATTCACATGATAGAAAGTGGAAAAGTCCTGATTGTCATACCTGGCTGTTGCATAGCTCTCTGACGTGCTCGTTCGGTGGCGTTATCTTGTAGGGGCCCAGGGCAGGATCGGACGGCCCCAGGGCAGTATTGACGACTCCCGCTTGTATCGAGGCTAGCTGTATCGCAAACCAGTGAGAAACATCAAGCTGCCACTGGTTCTCTGGCAGCTGTCCCATAACTCCGGCCGCGAGGTATCTCTGTGACACCAGGGACCTGGCTTCAAGTGAGGAGAGTATGGGAATAACTTACTAATTCGCTGCATCAGCAACTATTTTAGACTTATAAGGGTTTATGGCACTGCTTGAATCGGGCTTCAAGGGGTCAAGCACCAGTGCGCAATTGGTGCTATTAAGAAGCACTTCGTTTTTTAAGTGCAGAGGAGATCTGTGACGAGTAACCTCCAACGATTGTGGAAGCAATAACACAGGAGCCAGCCGTCAGGAATGCAGGGAATGCCCGGATGTTAGAGTGACTGGTAATGTTCTGCCACGTCCAAACAATCTGTATGAATGTCCATAGAGCAGAAACTGCGGAACCAGAATTCCGGAGCACTGCCTGTCGTTGGTGATGGAGTCCGTCCCGAGGCTCTGGTGTGGAGTAGCACCTGTGGAAAATCAAACAGGCGATTCGCCACAAGCGCCCCGTGACTATGCTGACAAAAATAGCCGTGAATGCGATGAGCAGATTTCCGTCAATTCGATTGAGTGTGAGCGTTGTGCCCATGATACTTCCTCGTGACCAATACGTCCACGTGCCCAAGTGCACCGACAGCGGCACTGAGAAGAGAAACCAGGGCAGCCGGCTGAATGTGAGAACGTAGGACGTTGAGAAAGATCTGTGCCAGGTTCGAAGAACAAAAGATAACCCAATACCGTAACGCAGTCTGAGGACAACGGTTCTAGTAGCAGCACACAAGATGTGTTCCTTGGAGAGCAGAAACGATGTCGCTTCGTGGAGATATCTGGTCCAAGAGTGGTAGAGGGATTAATAATTATACTCGACGATGAGCGTTGATCTGCCAGGAATACCAGTTCCATGCTCAGCAGCCTTGCACACTGGTCGGGCACAAGCAAATGGGACTCCTAGACACTGGGCACAGAATAGCTGGTACTGGGGGCTAGGCTGGCGTGTGCCTGTTTTGCAGCCTTCGCCACCTCGGACATCTGCCTTCCAAATGATGCCATTGGTGTTTGAACGAAAGATTAGATGTTCAAGCGCGGCGAAGTATCATTAGACCATAGTACATGAGCTCACGATTTTGAAAGACACAAAAGTCCGCCAAGGTGCACAGCACTCTGCGCAGCCGGGCATGACACAACCTTCGGTAGCGATTGCATTGGCAGGCACACAGCGTAGATTGTCCCGTCCTCTATCGGTCGAATCAAATTCAATCGGCGACCCCGGAAATTTTGCCACGGAATGTTCACTTTTCGATAGCTCACACCTGCCCAGTTTCTAAAATGCAGGGGCCAAGTGCAGGAGACCTGCATAAGCTGAAAGTTGGGTTGCAAGACAATAGGTGGCTCCGAAGTGAATTGGGGTCCAGGCCACAACGTGGGGGCCAAGGCGGCAAATCGAGGCAGCGCAGAGTCTCCGTCTGCTGAGTGTACCGAGACAGATGAGCTGAGGGGCCAATTTGTGGTCTTCAACTCGTCCTCCGATTTGTTGTGTTCAATGAGTGGAAGCAAGGACTGATTTGGAGGGCCAACTGGACTGCAGATCACCACCCTGGGGGGACTATAGTGTTCAATTTTGGGTTGGTCAAGGCTGACTTAAAATTGCGCGCGTGCAGTTCACTGCACTCTGGATCATCAAGTTTGTCTCCCGGTCCCTTTTTGTGTCCCCGGATAGCATGGCCGGATTTTGGAAAGCTTATTCTGGGATGACCTCAAATTGAATTAACTTGATACAGTTGGGTGGTCTACTGCGTATCCGTTGGGTGCTTTATTCGGTAAGTACGCGTACCCACTCACGCACACATCCCCTCACGCACAGCCGTTTCCCACCAAAAAGCCCGATTTCAGCCTATCAATAACTAAATCTATAAAAATATAAAGTATATAATAAATGCTTAAAGATTTAAAAGATTTTTAATATACTTAGAATAGATTTTCATATTATTTAATATATAGAGTTAATATAAAGAGATAAATAGAAATAGAGATTTTGTTGAAAAAAACCACCATTTTAGATGCCAAGACCCCTGACTCGAGGACTTTTGCAGCGTTTAACTTTCAACTTGTCAACTTTTTTAATACTTCTATTCATTTAATAATATTACAGATTTATAATTAATAGTTTAAAAATATTTCTATATTAAATATAAATTCGCATAAATGTATATATATTTAATATAGTTCTGGTACTTTTATAATATTTAGTTATTAATAGGCTGAAATTGGTCTTTTTGGTGGGAAACAGCTGTGCGTGAGGGGATGTGTGCGTGAGGGTACACGTACTTACCCTCTAGCAATTTGTCAACATTGCGGTGAGAATGAGCGCGATCATTATGAATTTTGAATTTTATAGCAGCGCCGGACAAGTAGTTGTGTTGGTGACGATCAGCGAATGGCCGGTGCCGCATGTTCTTGATGCTTTTCCTTTTTCATATTTCTTGCCATCTTCCGCGTAACGAGACTTTCTTATTGCTGTGCTCACTACTTCCGGACCGGCTGTTCCCGCGAGTTTCCAGTGCACTAGTCTCGCTGATACCAAGGGCATGATGTTCCTACTGAGTCAACTGGACAGCTGTGAAAAGAGTCTTGGAATCACTTTCTCAGTCTCTGCCGATTGAAACAGAATCATATTGCATAAGTGCTGAATGTATTCAAATAGTGTCTATTTGTCATTGCATAGGCGTGGCGTTTTACATGAATCTAAGTTGATCTCCGCGCAGTCCGTGGAACGCGGGGAATCAGAGTCCCGGTTGAGGAGATCCACAACTGGATTCGGACACCATCAACACTCCGAGTCGATGATCAATGAATAAAGACTTCCCTCCCTCTTACGTCCCTCCCTCTTATGTCCCTCCCTCTTACATCCCTCCCTCTTACGACAAACTCAACGAACTCCTGAACCATTTCAATCAAGCGAGTGTGCAATCAGGTGTTGTCCTGGTTTTCTCATCTTCAGACGGCAAAATGCGAATCTCTTTTTTCCACTCCATAACATTTTTGCTTGGGGGAAGGACCGCCGCCCAAGGAACAAATTTCTGCGCTAAAGAAACATTCTCATTCCCAGAACTACTGGGAGCTCAACTATCTTCGATCTCGACGTCAATGCTAGACGGGTACAAGGGCAGCTCGGGATGGCTGTCGGGATGGCTGCCTGAAGCTGCCTTGATCGACCCGGATGGCGTGCAAGCGTGCAATGTCACAATATCTTACACTCATCCCGGTCATGATGACCTAGTGTCTGTGCAAGTCTGGTTGCCACATGCCGCCAAGTTTAACAAGCGCTTTGTGGGAGTCGGAGGAGGGAGCTGGTCAGCTGCAGAAATCGTCACCGACCTGAGGTCAGCTCTCGTGTCGCAAGGCTATGCAGTCGCCACCACAAACGCGGGCTACGATCACGACGTCTTCGGTACCGCTGACCACTGGTTAATGAAGAGCCCTGGAAACATAGACTACCCTCTCATTGTGAATTTCGGTCACCGGGCTCTACACGACATGGCGGTCATCGTCAAGCATATCATCCGCAATGCTTACGGCTCGGGACCGGAGTTTTCTTATTGGCAGGGTTGCTCAACTGGTGGAAGACAAGGGCTTACCATTGCCTCCAAGTACCCGAACGACTACGACGGCATCCTGACAACCTGTCCTGCTGTCAACTTCGCGGCTCTCCTGGTGGCCTTGTATTGGCCACAATTCGTCATGAATCAACAGGAAGTTTACCCACGAGCTTGCGAATTCGAGGCGCTGAGGGCTGGGGCATCACAATCATGTGATGAACTCGATGGTGTAAAGGATGGCGTGATTGCCAGACCGGACCTTTGCACTTTCGATCCGATGACCTTAGCTGGCACTTCCTTTGACTGCGAGGGACATTCTGCCGTGATCTCAGAAGATACGGTGAATGTTTTCAAGGCTATTATGGAGGGGCCAGTTGATCCGGAGGGAAATCGGCTTTTCCCAGGTTTCATGCCTGGGACAGCCCTGGTTGGTCTCATGGCCACTGCAAACACGCTCTGCAACAACGGCCATTGCTCTCGCGGCCTACCATTCACAGTCTCGGATGACTGGATTCGACTCATGCTCAAGAAAGATCCTTCTTTTGATCCAACGAAGATGTCGCACGCGGATTATGCTCAACTATTTCGAGAAAGCGTGACAGAATGGGACGCAATGTTCAGCAGCAACAATCCTGACATGGATCAGTTTCGGAAGCTCGGCAAGAAAATGGTGAGCTGGCATTCTGTAAATGACGAAGCCGTGCAAGTTCTTGCCATGAGACAGTTCTACGAAAGGGTAGTGGCCCGGGATCAAGCACACAACATCACCACCCAAGACTATTATCGGTACTTTGAGGTCCCGGGTGCAACGCATTGCTCAGCTCCCGCTGGGGTTCCGTATCCCCTCCATGGGCTGAAGACCCTTCAGTCCTGGGTCGAAGATGGAGCTGTCCCTGAGGAGCTACCTACTGTGGTTCTTGGCCAACAACCGAACGCCGAGCAAGTCCACCGACCGATTTGTGCATATCCAAAGGCAGCGTTGAAGACGGAAACTGGGTTTTCTTGCAGTCATCAGACAAATGAACCCGAGGGACACATTAAGGACGAGTTGTAATGTATCATTAGATTTGTTACATTTACGGAAGGCATCTCGTTAGGTAGAATACAATGTCTGAAATTCGTAATGCTTGTTACATATTTCAGCTACATCTCATCCTGAGCAGGTCGCCAGTGCATCATCACACGTACTCAGCACAGCTAATTGGGCCGCCGAGGTCCATCACATCACCGGCCGTGGCGTCGGCGATTAGATCCACCATCCAGAGCGTGTGGTTGAGAGTCGTTACGTTCCCTGGATCGCCGTCGTAGTCCAGGATTGCAGGAGTCGGGTAGCTCAAATTCCCGCGCGCCAACGCCTCAGCCGTAGGCACGTTACCACCACTGATATCGGTCAGACGGCTGGACAGATTGGCCTGCTGCCACTGCCACCAGACGCGATCGAGATAGGTATGGTGGAGGAAAAGTATCGGGTCGCCTGGACTGGTCGCGATGTTGATCATCTAGTATAGTTCTTAGCATCACATCTACGTGACCTTTGGGGGACAACTATCAGGTGTCACATACCACACCGCCAACGCCTCCGTGTCCTGCTGCATGCGGATCTGCCTCATAGCACTGCCTAGCGTCCTCAAAAGTGTTGTGTCCGAAGTATGTGTCGAGATGCGAGCTATTGCCCCCCTCGAACTGGGTGAGATTGAAGCTGCGGCTGAGACAGTATCCGCCACTCGGATCTGGGAGAGCCGAAGAGTTCAGGTGCAAAGTCAGATTAGAGAATGGGCCATCGGTTTTGCAACCATCTCCACCTGCGCCGTTGCCTCCAAACCCAGTGTCGCTATCGAAAACGACAAGTTGGTCGAAGGTAAGGGTACCATTGTTGATCTGCTCGATGTCGGAGAGCTCGTCCCAGTAGGCTTGCGCGCCGGTATAGCCACACTCCTGCTGGGGGAGAATTTCGTGGGCTCGCACAAAGAGGCGGTGCCAGGGGAGGAAGGCTCCCACTCCATGCTGCGGTCATGGTCAGTACAATTCTTCGCAATGAACTCGACTCAAGTGCTCAGTTCTTCGGCTTAAGGGTCAAAACAAGATGTGATAGGAAACATTGTACGCTGGAGCATTTGTACCTACAATTACGTTGGTCTGCACAATGTGTGCGTAATGAATCTCATCCCAACGAACCTGGGCGCCAGTGATTGCGTGGCTTGTGTTTGACAATTGGGCAGGGAGTGCCTGCAGACACAGCTCATGTCATGGTTGTTCGTTACCTAGGGCTTATAGGCGGTCCCGCCGGATGATGGGAGAGCCCCGTCATTGCTTGATCTTTTGGGTCTGTAGTGTAACTGGTACGGCGGGCAGTTATCTCTGACAGCTCAGCATCGATGTACGCAGCTTTCTCGCTATCAGTGAGAGCAGCCCTGGGCTTGAATTAGCCTGAAAGCCATTGGGGATGGCCTTGAAATGATTGCTTTACCATGATTTCCGTTGGTTGAGAGTCGTGCAGGTGTTGGGCTCCTGCCTTGCGATTGGGTTTGCTTGAACGAGGGCAGAGCCGGCAAGAACGGCTACGAATGCGAACTTGAAAAGCGAGCGGACAAGCATGGTGAACGAGACAAAGACTCGAGCTGCCATAATGACGGGCAAAAGTTGGAAACGAATGTATGACCTTCGGTCCTGTTTTTGGTTTGTGTTGGATGCAAGTGATTATTGTTCTCCCATCATGGACTTGAAAAGGATAATGTTTCCTACTTATACCTTCCAATGTCACTACCAAAACCACCAGACTCTCTTCGAGGCAAAAGAACTTTAAGCCTCGTCGTAGCTATCATGGTCGTCTGGACCGCAGCCAGGACCCGAACTCGTCATCCATATGGCATGAATTCGTAATCAGACTGAAAATGCATCCCCAAATTCTGCAAGAAGGGTGCAGTATTGACTCGACCACACGTGACAGCGTCCAGACGCAGAGCCATTGAGTAGCATCGGCCGGGTCGAGCCTCAAGACTCCCAGGCCGCAGTGGGCCAATGGCAGCTCATATTTGCTAAGACGTCGTTCTAGGTATCACTCGAACCCCTGGCAACGCGACTCACAAAATAACCATAAATATGCCCCACAATTGCTGCCGTAGTCCGCGTAAGCCTTTCCCGCTTTGATGTCTTTGGTCGACGTCGAGTGTTTTGGGTAGCATTGCAGTGTCTCGTGTTCTATGCGTGTATACCTTTGCCAGGATCCCAAGCGTCGATTTTCAACCTCGACTTAAGAAAGTGGAACCACTGTAACACATCCGGGGTGACCTGCGTTTATTAGCATGTGCCATGTATTATCTAGGTAGCTTTTGATAGCCAGCTCCCAATCATCTTGGCATGCCTTGTGTGTAACTAGAACTCAACCTTGTGAGGCAAAGTACCTTACCGTAGAAACTGCCAAAGGAGTGACAAGATCACAACGGGTAGTATTATCGTAATTCACGAGAAGAACTACTAGTAGCGTTTAAGATCCTGACGAAAGTATATGGCCGGGTTCAGGCTATCACAAGTTCCCGCAACCTTGAGTGCCCCCCGAAAGGATTGCCGAGCTGCATGCCGATTTGAAAGAGAATGCGATAGAGAGATGAGCACCAGCAAGAGCGACCGGAAGTCTTGGTGTTCAGTCAGACATGACAAAGGATTTCTACAACACGCTCACCGCTCATAAGAATGTTGAAGCGATAAATCCTGGTAATGGAGCCATTGACTGTCAACTGAAGGAAGCTTGTGAGCTCTATTTTTGGGATGCTGGCCTAGGGCATTCCCCCAAATCAGAGGGGAAATGGAAAGTCATGCCGTGATTCAGGGACGAGGCTGCAGTCGAGTCTCGATGCAATTAAAATGCACGAGGCATACGAGGCAAGCGGCTGTCAAATGGGTATCTCATGTATGTATCACATGCCACTCTAACCTGCTCTGAATTCTGAACACCATTGGAGTCTGTCGTCAGCCGTGACGCAATGATCTGAGGAGATGGAGTCCAGTTGATTCGGTTTAGTATCGGCTTGCAGACCTCAACGCGTCTTACTTCCCACCGTTTTGGCATTTAGTGCTTCGTTGTCTTCTAAGCTCGGACGCCGTGCTGTGTCTTAGCAGTTTAAGATGGTCTTCCAGATATTGTCAAAAAAGAATGAACACCTGGTACCTCTCACACTGCTCATTTCCGAGGTAGTATGGAATCTCAAAGGGATAACTCCAAGTTTCAGTTCTTGGCCCACAACTTTTGAAGTCATTGCCTTTAGTGCATTCTGCTCAAACTTCCTATCTCTGGTATCAACCCACCCGTGAGTGGCAATCAAACCACTGTATCGCTCGAGCTAAAGAACTCCGACATGTACTCAAGGCATGTGGCGTCACTAGCCAAGTCCTCGAGTTCCTCCCCATACAAGCCGTGACCCTTGTAGATGAGGGAGACACTCCGTGTCAGCTGCGGGCAGTGCTCAGCGATCAAGCACAGGAGACCGACCATCTTCTCAACCAATGCCCGGTGTGCAAGATACCCGAATTTGTTGGGTTCCATACCGAACTCGAAATCCCACTCGAAAGCGCTCCCCTTGGCCGCCTCCACCCAGGCAGACAGGACAGCGTTACGGCAGTTCCAGTCCAGGCCGCGAACGGCCAGCGAATTGAAGTCTGTTTTGTCCGCCGAAGTCATGTGGAAGCCTATGCTTCCAAGGTCCTCATCAGGTCCCTTGAGAGTGATGTTGATGATCAAGTTTGACAGAAATCGCAGGTTGCTGGTGCGTAGCATGTTCGTGGGGCTCGGTGCGAAAGCTTGAATCATCTCATGGAAAGATTGCAAAGAGGCCTGACCCTCGGATGCTGGGTGCAAGATAACTCGTTCTTCTCCTGCCACCTCCTCGGATCGCACGTTCAGATTGAACAAGAAGTAGAACATGTCGTAGAAGATGTCTAGGCATTCCTGGCGTATTTGCCTGTTGACACGGGTGATCGGGGGCTGCCATAATTCGGGCAGGCTCTTGCCAACACTATCAACCGGCTCTGGTCCGCTGGTGGGGTCGTAGGAGACGCCGTAGGTGTCGTCGTTTCGATAAACCATGTTACGGACCTCGGCGGGCAGGTGGAGGAAGCGGAAATGGTTCTAGATATGGAGAAACGATATCAGTGTTTGTACATCCACAAGACTAACAGCAAACCAGTTCATGGCGATTGGATAGACGTACTCTGCTCGAGAGGCATGCAGTTGACTCAGACATGGCATTGACAACATTAGGCTGAACCTGATGGAGATCGTTGTTGTCAGTGGTTGGTTGCTAACGTTAAGTCAAAGGTTGACACCACTGACCTGGATGGCATTGATAAGGCTCTTGACCTCTTCTTGGCCAGTGCCTTCCTGATCGACACTCTTTCGACCCGTTTCGTCCATGCTTGGCTTGTGTCGAATGTTGTCGGCCTCCATGTTGTGGAGGTTGCGGTTGGGATGGAGATGTCTGTTGAGATTTCGAAATGGAAGAAGAAAGGTTTAAGTCCGGACCTTCGGTGGACTTGGGGATTTATTAACAAAATGGTGCTTGTGCAAGTGTGGTGAGCTGGGCAATGAAGAAAGCAGTGACTGCACTGGGGCTACCTCAAGAAGATGAAAGGAAGAGATTGAATGGACTCCGACGGAGAGCATAAACATTCTATGGGCTGGTCTGTGAATGGCGGAGGTGGTGACTAGTTGTATTCACTGCACCAGAGCAAAGCTTGCGAAGTAAGCAGACCTGTGAAGCGCATTGCCAACGCCAGTCGCCGGCGTTGATGATTTACTACAGGTCGATTGAAATTCAGCCCCAGTGCGCGAGGATTCAGCTGTCTCGAATGCACGGTAACTCGGGGACCGGAGAAGTCATTTACATTACTGATCTCCCTACGGTGTTACCAGTCTTTTCCCAGTTTAGATATTTGTCTTGAAATGCGTGAGCAGCCTTAGACCCGCATCAGGCTTACAAGATTCCCCAACAAGTGCATACGAACAACTCACTTCGAAATCCACTCGGAATCTGCATTCTTCTCTAGCCGTTTCTCTATAGCCGCACGGATACGACTTGATCTGCCTTTCTGTACATTGGAGCTTAGAACTATGTTGAGGTGCAGTGCCAGTTCGAAGGGCTTCCGCTTTGCGATGTTATGTTGTTTTGTCCTCCTTGTGCTCCTCATCCGCCTCTGGTCAAAAAATGGCGGGCATCCTTTGGTCAACACCACTATTTCAGATTGGATTTCTCTACCCTCGCCAGCAGAAGTGAAGCCATCCGACCGTGTGCCTAGACTCAACACGTCGTGGCATGAGCAGATCGAGCTGGAGATGACAATGGAAAAGGCCAACCTCAGCCGTGGAGACAACACATGGTGTGCTCGACTCGGACCGGACACGCGTGGCCTTGCTGATGGAGAACAGGCCACTGCCGTACCTTGTGCCCTTGCTGGTACACTTCATGTCGGTTGTGCCTCCCGAATGGTCTTTCCGGTTCATGGGATCCGCCGAGTCCCTCGCCATGATGCAATCGAACCCGACGATACGCCGCTACATCACGCGGAAAAAGCTGTTCATAGACTTGATCCCCTACGACGTTGTGAAGGATATCAACAGCTACGGAACGGTCAACCGCCTTCTGACGACGCCGTGGCTCTACGAAGAGTGGCTCTGGCCCGCAGAGTGGCTGTTCCTCTTCCAGGACGACAGCATGATCTGTTCAGCCTCGAGCATGACGCTCAACGACTTCGTGGACGAGGACTGGCCGTTCATCGGCGGCTCCGCCTTATGGCAGCACGGCGCCGAACGGGGTCAACGGCGGCTTCTCCCTGCGCAAGGTGCCGCACTTGATCCAGATGCTGCACACACGATCTTTTGAGGATTTCGTCGCGGATGGAAACCCCGCAGCCGAGGACCACTATTTCTCGACGTCAATGTGGAAATTGCCCGGGACAAAAGTGCCGGTTGGAACCGAGGCAATCAGGTTCGGGGTGGTCATTCAATACTCGCCGAATGACACTGAGATGCCGCTTGGGTTCCACCCCTTCTCGTCGCATGGGCTTTTCAGGGGCGCCGAGGGCCAGGCGAATCAGGACAAGGCATATAAGTACTGCCCGGAGTTGGGCATCATTGCTCTGGGCCGCTGGGACTGTCAGTGTAGCCCTAATAAGAACAGACCCGGTGGGCTCGGAGGCTAGTCTTGACTTTGCCAAATGAAGCGGCCACTTGGATGAGATTCGCCAGGGGATATTTGGGCTTGGTGGCTCAGTGGCAAGATCGGTGACAGGTCAACCGGCTGTGGTAATTATGCACAGCGGCGGAGGGTAAACAAGGGTCACGGTTGCTGTGCCGTAGCACATAGAGTACCCTCGATGAATTTTGACAAGTGAAGTGAAGAGGAGTATGTGACATCAAACACGGTTGACTATTCATCGGCTTATGCCACGAGCCACACCCGTCGGATTTACACTCTGTTGACGAACCCGGAGCTGCCGCCGCCAAGATGGCTGTCCCCTGCGCCTGGGCACGCGGCATGAACTTGTATGGCATCGCGGCTATTCCCTGGTTTCCGTCTGAAGTGCTGAAACTCGCGACGTCTGATGTACAGCAACCCCTGAAGAAATCACCAGTAGACACTAACACTATCGCTATGAAACCGGCAGATGATTTGCTAACAAGCTCACAAGCCCTGCGCCACGATGCTGGGAATCTTTCGGACGACACAGTCGCACTCTGTCAGGACAGGCCGTTGGAGTAAATAACCACGGTCAAAGATAGACGATGACCCCGACCCTGTCGCACGAGTCAATGCGAACGAGCTGTAAGTTGGAGGACACCGCCTCTTGGCATGACATTCAAATAGCAGAGCCCTGCAGGACTTCAGACGACAAGTCTCTGATATATCGACTCGACTCGGCTGCCAACCACAGGACAAGCTTTGCCGAACTAGTATTCCCCATCGCTCGCCAGGGCCTGCCATGAGGTGACCATTCTCTTCAACACATTCTTTTTCTACTGTCTTTCGCTTCAAACCACCACCATGTTTTTGTACACATTTCTTTTCGCTGTGACCCTGGTGGCTACCGCGGCCGCGCAGGTGCAGTTCCTCGGCGTCGCCATAGCAGGCGGCGACTTCGGATGCCAGATAGACGGCACATGCCCGACGGGGTCGACACAGCTTCCCCTCGGCAGCAACGGCGGGGGTGGCGACGGCCCAGGGCAGATGCAACACTGGGCCTCCCTGGACAAGCCTCTGAACCTGTTCCGGCTGCCCGTCTCGTGGCAGTTCCTCGCCAACAACCAGCTCGGCGGCGACCTCGACTCCGGCAACCTCGGCAAGTACGACAAGCTCGTGCAGGCCTGCCTCAGCACCGGGGCGCACTGCATGATCGACATCCACAACTTTGCGCGCTGGAACGGCGGCATCATCGGGCAGGGCGGGCCGACCGACGACCAGTTCGTCGCGCTGTGGACGCAGCTGGCGACCAAGTACGCGGGCCAGGACCGCATGGTCTTCGAGCTCATGAACGAGCCGCACGACCTGGACATCGGCGTCTGGGCCGCGACGTGCCAGAAGGTCGTGGCGGCGATCAGGGGCGCCGGCGCGGCGAGCCAGATGATCCTGCTCCCCGGCACGAACTTTGACAGCGCGGCGACTCTGGTGTCGAGTGGGAGCACTGCGGCGCTGATGAATATCACGAATCCCGACGGGACGACGGATAACCTTCTGTTGGACATTCATAAGTACCTGGATGAGGATAACTCTGGGACGCACAAGACGTGCACGACGGATAATGTCGATGCGTTCAGTACGGTTGCAGACTTTTTGAGGCAGACAGGCCGGAAGGGCATCGTCAGTGAGACTGGCGCATCGAGTGATTCCACAGTAAGTGCTTCCTTGTTCTGCAAATATTCCCACGTAGTGTTCTGTTCATTTCTACTGCGTTGCGCCTGCAGGTATCCAGGATCGCTTGAAGAACCAACCGCTGATCGTGTGGATCTAAATAGTGCTTCACAAGCTTCTGCTCGCAGAACAGCTTCATCAACCAAAACTCGGACGTCTTCATGGGCCTCGTCGGCTGGGGCGCCGGCAGCTTCGACACGAGCTACATCCTCAGCCTCACGCCGTCCAAGCAGAACAACCAGCTCGTCGACAACCAGCTCATGCAGCAGTGCGTGATCGCCAAGTGGGTCGCCACCGCCGGCGCCCCGAGCTCACCGGCGGCGGCGGCCCCGCCCGCCTCCGCGCCGCAGGTGACGGTGACGAGCAGGCCGATCGTGATGACGACGGTGGGGCCGACCCAGGCGACGAGCGTGGCCCAGTCCATCGGCGACGCGACGTATACCATGACCATGTCCATGGTCACCGAGACCGCGGGTGGAGACGGGGAGGACGAGGGGCTGCTCACTGCTTCGGGCAGCCCGACGCTGCCGGCCATGGCGACTCAGGTGCCCTCGGGTGATGCTGGCGGTGGTCTGGAGACGGCGTCTGGGGGCTCTAACGGGACGGCACAGGTTACGTCGCCTTCGGGGACGGGTGTTGTTACAGCCTCAGGGGCTGAGGGGTCTGCGCGGTCGTCTACTTGGGCGACGATACTGGCGATGTGTGTTGGATTTGTGTTTTCTTTCATCATGTCTTCCTAAATTTAGTGACTAGTCCGTGGGATGCGGAAGGAGATTAGTGATACCCCCTTATTCTACTTCTTTTGAAAATTGGTACCACGCGCCGGATCAGACCGGAATCTGGTACTCGCGTTGGCTTTCCGTGCAAAACAGAACGACGGTAGAATCCTGGGTGAAGCCGAGCTCCTCTCGAGCCTCAGAACATGCCTTCCGTAGTGCGGACAAAGTGGCGGCGCCACATGGCCCTGGCTGCAGGCCCATCGTCGAAAGTTCAGTCACAGCCGCGTGTGCCTCCTTGTCCGTGACAGTCACGTCCGCATCAACCCCAGACTCGAGCGTGGGCCAGGCGGTGGATGATACTGTACCGCAGTTCATACCGCACATAATGGAGTCTCCGGTCTCAACGGTAGTCATCCCTCCTGTTTCTAGTGATGCTCTCAGGCAAGCTGCAGTGGTCGGCTCGACTGTCACGACGGAAGCCCTGGATTGGCTGCCCAAAGGGTGCTTCTTGTAGTGTTTGGTGACCGCGTGTGCGATCGAGCCGACGCCCACGGGGATGAAGGCGTGCGTAGTTGCCTTGCCTCCTGTAGCCTCTGGGACTTGAACGTCGGACTCATTCAACATCGTGCTGTACCCTTCAACCACCCACTTGAAGCACGTCAGCATGACATAAGCTTCAGAAGACCCGAGGGCTCAACGTACACCAGGGAATGTCTGATATCCTTCCAAACCCATGTCCATAGCGAATATGGCGAGCTCTTTTGTCTCCGACTCTGCTCGAGCTGCAGCAACGCCGTCGTCGTAGCTACCGTCCACCACCACCAGCTCGGAGCCCTCAGACCTGATGCGCGCCCGCGTCGTCTCGGGCATGAAGCTCGGGACATAGATCTTGGCCGGTATGCCGATATACTTGGCCATGCGAGACACGGCACGGCCCCAGTTGCCCTCCGTGCAACTCACCAGACTGAGTCCTTCTGCCCTGGCCATGGTTCCCAGACGAGCCCAGAACTCGCCCCCGGGGTTGTCTTCCATGAATGCGGACGGGTCTAGACGCAGTCTTTCCGCAACAGCTCTGAATACAGCCCACGACGCGCCGAGGATCTTGAAGGACGGCAGGCCAAAGCGATTGGACTCGTCTTTGATGAAGACATGGCCGAGTTGCAACTCCTTGGCCACATGCGGGAGTGAGTGTAGTGGCGTCTTTGCGTAGTGAGGCAGCTTCTGATGGAATGCAAGCACTGCAGATGCCGCGGTAGGGCTCTGGCCATCGACAGTTGCTTCCGCAGCCGACTTGTTGATGAAGATGGGGCTCATTGTGATGAGGGTGGGTGTTGCGGGAACAAGGTGGTACAGTGTCGGGCTGTTGCGCCGATCGGGAATGCCTGGCTTTGATGCTGGTTCTAAGTCTCGGACAACACACTCCCAGAGCTTTTGGCAGAATAAAGGCACGAAAGAGGGGTGGATATTTCGTTTAGTCTCTGGTATGGTTTTGCCGGAAAGATCTACGGCCAAATAGGCCGCCCGAGGACCGAGCACCGAGCACCGGAGTCAGTGGTAACTAGAAGACTACCTATAGTTATGAGCACCCTTCAAACGAGGCTACACCCCAGCCTGGAACAAGTGTAGACTCTGGTTCAAGATGAGGGAGAGAAGAATGTGAAGTGAGCAAATACTGAGCTGTACGCGCCTTGCCCATGTGGTTAAACTTGCCCGTCAGCAAAATGCGGAGGCACCACGGCTAGCCAAGCCCACCACGCCAACACCGATTTGGTAACTAGAACGCGCCTGACTCCTGGCTGCAGGCACAGCCTAAGAAAAAGCCCACGCCTGGATTCCGACAACAGGCATAACACAGGAATGTATATTTAAGTACTGTGAGATGATACACGCATCACTCCTGTGATTACTAGCGTGAGGTTAAATGTCACGTAATGGCACCATAGTAGATGTCGCTGAATTTAAAGCAACTCTGATCAACTCTCATTCCAGCCTCGAGCAAATCCCGAGATCATTTTCAATGCTAGGTACATGCATCGTGTCCCGTCAGAAGTGTCCGGCTTACTGCGGTTCTGGCCTCACAAGATCAATCTGCACGCCGTACTCGGTCCACCCCATAGTGTTGAAATTATACCAGCCCATATCAACATCATCAATTGGACCTCCCCACATCGAAATCAGTTCCTTCGCCTTATGTTCCAGCCCTTCGGTGTCCAGGATCTCCATCACATTTCTCCACGCAGAATTGATAGCCCCTATGATCCACGCGTGGCCAGAACTCAAGGCTTCGCCGCCAAAATGCAAGTGCCCGTTCCACGCTGGAGTCATCAGGCGAGGCATCACAGTGCTGAACTCGCCCGGTCCAAAGATGGCGAAAGCACCGTTCGAGAACTATTTTCTCATTAGACTCTGTAATGAAAATCCAAAACGGACCTGGAGTATAATGTCCGGCATGACACAAATAGATAAAGGAAGTTACCTCAGACTGGTACCAATCATAGGCATGAATACCCACGAATTGCTCACTGTGATCTTGGTCAGCTCAATTTATACGCTAAATCGGGACTTCTTGGCATTATCAACGCCCAGACATAGCCGGCTGGCAGGCACCAACAACAGGAAACTTACCGCAGGAAGTGGTAGGAGACATTATTCAATGCAGCCAAGTCTCGCAGGGTGAGCTCAGTAAGCTCCTTGAAACCCTCAGGCTGGAATGGTGCTTGTGTCTTGGGATTGTGGGCGTTGAGGTAAGCACCCAGCCTGGAGGCGTCCTGGCCCCACACATAGGAGGCAATCATCGTGCCCGGAGCACTTTTGATGTTGAGCCCATATGAGGGATATACAGCTCGCCTGATGGGAAGATCCGTGAATGATTGCCCCCCTTGGAAGGCCCCACTGGTAAGATTCTCCCACCTGCCCCAAAAGATCCGTTGTCAATAACGAGCATGCACTATAGTGTGGTGGCGGATAGCTTTGGTGACATACCATCGTGTCTTGAACTTGATCCCGATCTTGGTGCTTGGGTCGTAGCTGCGCCGGATGTTTAGCAAACTGAGACCTTCCGGGTTGGAGGGTGAGCGAATGGCCGTACTTCAATGTCCTGATGGCGTTGTTTCGGAAGTATCCGAGCTTAAGTTCCGTCGTGTTGATAGCTTGCAGAGGACCTAGTGGCACGGTGGAGATCACGTGGGCATATTCGTGCTCAACTGTATGGTTGACGATGACCTTGAGAGCGCCCTTATTCCCAGCTCTGATATCAGTAACCTTGTTGTGCATCTTTGGTTTTCTTTTGAGAACCAGGGTCATCCCTTTTGTGAGCATATCCATACCACCGCGGATACAAGTCCAATTTTCCGTACCGGTGCCCTGGAAAACCCATTCTTCGAGGATGGATTGCGGTAAACTGTACACTGTTTTAAGTTAGTCCAGTTGTGTTGCTATGAACGTCGGAAGGTAGGCACGAGGGTAGGGTGCCCAGGTATCATGAAGCAAGGCAACGTCTAGGGGCAAGCTTACTGTCATAGTGCCCAGTGGCATCATTCATAGTCTCTAGCCAGTCTATCTCATCCATCGTGAAGCCTTGCGCGAGTAAATAAGCTCGCACGGACAGCGAGTCATAATCCATCAGGTGGTCCCATCCCTTGGTGTTGAGGCCTCCATCGGAGTCACTGAGAGCTGACATGAATTCATCGGTTGCTTGGCTAAAAACATTCGACGAACCAAGTGCGTTAAAGGGGTCGGAGACATTGTTACGCAGCAGTTTTACGTGAAACCTATCGGGGCTGGTGGATTCGTTGTTGAAAGCCAGGACATTATTGAACAGCCGGAAAGTCGAGCTGGTGTTGAAGATGTAAGGAATCTGGACGACATGGTCCTTTTTGGCCACATTGGGATGTGAGTTGATGTAGGGAATGAGACTCCAGTTGTGGGCACCAAGTATTCGCTCCATATACCCCGGTGTCATTGGCGGGAATCGCATGGCTCCCACATCCTGAGCCACGATGTCAGCGGGCCCTAGATAACAGCACCGCCTTGGAACTCACATAATAATCATAGTAGTCTGGCTTATCTGGCGTTGCCTTGTCCCACGCTTCTTGATCAAACCGATGCGTGTAAATTCTGCCACCGATGCGACCAGAGCCTTCATGGATATCATAATCGATTCCAAGCGAGTCCAGCAACATGGCGGCATAGAGGCCAGCCGCTCCGGCTCCTATGATTCCGACCTTCAAAGGAACACCATCCGCGGTTTTAACCTTGGTGTGGGTGCCATAATTCGAATCGCTGATAAGTGCTCTGAAGAAGTCCGCGCGAAGGATGCCCGTGGCGGCTCTTGGATCTTGGCGTCTAGTCTGCCTGACAGGCGAAGCATTGGACAGGGCAAGCAAGAAGGAGCAAAGAGATACAACAGGGACTCGGAGAAGCATTGTTGTAGATCTGGGATTGGTCTTGATATTTTGGTGTTCACATACAAGAGAGCAGTGCTCCAAGACAGGTCTCAGAGATGGGGTCTTCGAGCGCCTACTAGATGGTCTCCTGGGCCACAACTATATAGTTAAAACATTGCTATTGACTGGTCAAATCATTTCACTACAAGGCCACTCGTAATATCCATGCACTCCTTCCTCGTCAACCTAAGCAGTTAGTGTCAGACAAGAGGAAAAGGCAGTTCAATGTTCACCGACAAGAATTGGCATGTGTTGCACTACGACTGAATGTGTGTTGTATGCTAGACACTGGTGTCGAGTATCCCAAACCAGCATCAGCAGACTTCACCAGTCTACATCCGGAAGCACATCGCCTAACTGGAGGCACGTAAAATAGGCTAGGCTAGCTACTCTCATAGGCTTGAGAGTGGCACAGACTAACTCGCCCGAAAAACGGCTCTGCCCACAAAGGATTTATCTCACAGACATACATTTTCACAAGCGAAATACGTGCTCACAACTTTACCCGAAAGCCTTAAAGGCGTTATGGATTTTCATGAGGACGGGATCAGACGTCCTGTCTCGCCGGCCTCCTCAGTAGTGTCAACACTTGGACCACCCCTGGCTCCCTTCTTTTCTTTGTTCTCCTAGCACGACCTACGATCCTTAGCCTACATCTCTGTCCCGTCCCGTCCTCCTAGTTAAGCCCCCGTAAATAAGAGGCTGCCGTAAGTGAGATGCAAAGATGTAATTTTAGTTTTGAATGTCTTTGTTCGGTTACTGACAGAATATTCATCCTCTTTCCTAATGGAAATATACGACTTGGTCCTCGGAGATTGGTCTGGGTTCGACAGCAATATTCTCGATGGCAAGCCAGCCCCATACAGCCACGGTTTGCTTTGCTTGGTATTCATAGCACGTCAGCGCTTTTTACTCCTAATTATAAGTGCTGTGAAGGTAGTTTGAGTCCCAGAACAGACTCAATGTTCCTTTGGTCACTCTGCGCACACCATGCTGTGCGATCTCACGGGCTGTGCAGGCATAGCTGGTCTCATCCAGTCCTGTGCGGCGAGTACATCGATTTTTATACCTTGCAGGCAGACCTCTGTCCCCTTGGGCTTGTGATCCCCCCACAAGTTGCATGGAAAAATTCTGTCTCCGTAGAACCTGCTCACGTGCTTTGCCTTTTCCAGTTTGTGGAAGGAGGCACGGCGCCCAAGGATGCAGTGGGGATTGGGGGACGCACACTTAAATTGAGCTGACTTATACCTGAAGTATTTTGGAAGCCGTTGTCTGCGCTTGTGGAAGAAGAGATAAACACATTCATTCAATACTTCTGCTATGTTTTGTATCCGTGAAGGAGCTCGTTCTCACTTCCAAATTATTTCCATCAAAGCTAAGGGTCCAGGCGGCATAGGCGTCACGGACTTTAGAGCGAACCGTGGATCAGCCGACGCAAAGAGGTCTTTCCACTGAGACTCGGTCCTTTCCTTACTGTTGAACAAGGACATCATTGTCAAGTCTTGACACCTGAGCTATTTCAGATAGACCTTAACTGAAGCGATGTGTCTGGACTTACCTGGCAGACCATTCGTTGTACGCAGTCATAGTGCCTGGCGGTGGCATATAGTGGTCATTGATGAAAACCCGTGCGCCGGGCTTCATAGCTGGAACCAGCTGCTGCAAGATCTTGACGGCATAGTCATCCGGCCAGTCATGTAGGATCTTGCGAAGGAAGTAGACGTCGGCGTGCTTCACGGGCTGGGCATGGAAAAAGTCGTGCGTTTGGAACGAGATCACGTCGCCCTCCTGCTGGGGACTCAAGCTTGATGCCCTCTCTACAGTAGCTGCAACATCTTGGACGATGATGTGCTTCAGTTTCGGGTGTCGCTCGGCAAGAGCCATAGCAAATGTTCCGTCCCCACCGCCAACATCGACAACAACAGCGTCGGCGTCTAAAGCACCCCAGTCGTAGACTTCCAACACAGCTTTTGGTTCCCATCCTGGGAAGTTTTGCATGACGCTCATCGAAATAGCGAAGCGCTGAGATCGAGCGGGATCGTTCTCCAGAGTCTCGAAGAACGTACCAGATGTCCCGTTGGCAAGATTGTGACCGGTCCGGCTGGGTAGCCACGGCGGACCGGGCCACTTGGTCAAGGCCTGGATGATGCGTGTGGCCGCGGGCCAGCATTCCTCACAAGACATACCTATCCATTCCATGAGAGGCGGTGCGTTGGCAAGCATCGCCGAGAATGCTGTATGAGCGACATATCCGGGCTCTGGTTGAGCGAGGAATTTCTTCGTGACGGCGTGCTGAACAAGACGAGCAAACACCTCTTCGTCGACATCACAGCGACGTGCTAGCTCGGAAACAGCTATCCTTTCGTCTATGGGAAATTGCAAGGGAATTTTGTACCGATACATAGCTTGCATCCCGACCATGTCATACTTGGATGTTCAAGTCAGTTTAGTTGTTCTTGCCGAGTGCGAGCGGAGGTGAGAACGTACGCATCCTTGGCCAGTTTGCTGAATCATCCAACCCATCGGCCCCAACAGAAGAGCATGTAGTTCTTGGAGCGATGAGACAGCTTCATCGATCGACTGATTCATCTGCGGTGGGAGGGGTAATCGCACCGGAGCTCCTGGCTCGAACGAACAGCTCGGAAGTCCATTCTGCTCGAGATGTTCCTCGAGTTTGGTGACAGTTTCAAGCAGCGAGGCTGCAAGCTTCACCGTCCGTGGCGAGTTGGATTCGGTCATGTTGAACGTAGGTTCTAAGGTCTGCACGGACTTGATCGAGGAGATTGGAGTTCCCCATGCTAAAAGGAAGTATATAGAGAGACAGAAAGCCTTCGGACCGTCCTTCCACCGCAGCACGTCAGCACTAGACTGGTAACCTAGGTCTGACACCTGTGACATATAATATACTAGACCCCGCGGATGCAATATTTTGGACCCCAATTTTCCTCTAAGATAAAATGAGATCCGGAACCTCGCTCGACACTGGTTGCCTCCGTTTTTACGCGTGCAATCTTTCCTGTACCGGGGATGTGGGGTCCTTTTAAACGGTTGTTGAGCGGTGTAGCTATCGCTTAGGGGGTTTAAACCGTGGGGGTTTGGAAGGGGAAGTTGAATTATTTATTCTTTTAAGTGGTTTAAAGTTTTTAAGCAATTTAAATTATAATTAATAATTTAGCTATATATAAGTAAATTTAACATAATTTAATTTATTTGTTTAAGTAAAAAGAAGAAATTACTGTTATTATATAAAACTTAAATATTATTAACTTTATTAATAAGCAGCAAGATAAAAAAAGGGAAGAAAAGAAAAGAAAAGAAAGGGCCCTTTAAAAAAAGGCCTTTTAAAAAAAAGCCCTTTAAAAAAAGAAATCTCTAAAAGGGATTTCCAAAATTTAATTTTTTCTTAGGCAGAATTAATACCAAAGGGCCTCTACCCTCCTGCCTTCCTACCCTCTATTAACCGCTCCTTCCTCTAAACCGCTTAAGCAGGTTTAAACCGCTTAAGGATTTTAAACCGCTTAGAAGAATAAACGGTCCAACTTCCCCTCCTGATTTTAAACCGCTTACCTGCCCCCAGTCTGGCCGGTACAGGACGTCAAGCTAATAGACGAGACTCACGAGAGAAGCCCGTACACGTGGACGTGAAGCCACTTTGCCCGGCCCTGCCCAGGAAAAAAACAAGGAGTGTCTACAATGTTTTACCCGATGATCCAGACCATCCTCGAGCAACTGCCAGGCGGTGTGAGCCTCCCCGCCGAATACCCAGCCGGCGTTGCACAGAATACAACATCGGGCGAGAACTTCGTCATCGACACCATCAATCAAGGGCTTCAGGATTGCCCTGAAAAAAAGTACGGTCTCTTTGGGTACTCACAAGGCGCAACCCTGATGCTCAGGGCCCTCGACCTAATGAACGGCAATGCCACCGGCGCTATCAGTTCGGTCATTCTCGTCGGAAATCCATATCGCTTGCTGGGAAAGATGTCCAATGTGAATGGCACTGGTCAGCCCGGTAACGACGAAGTTGCGGGAGCATTCGTTAACTCTGCGACTGCGAGTAATGAAACCATCCCACAGCTTTCCGATGTACTGGACAGGAGTGGCAAAGTACTCGATGACTGTCTGGAGGTAAGTTCATAGAAGGCAGATGCTACCATACTAGGGGATACGTGTCAACTAAATCAATCATAGGGCGACGGAGTCTGCGCACCCAATGCCGCCTGCTCATGCCAACTCCCAGCCGGCCACCTTTCCTATGGGTCGGTGGCCAGTGTACACGACACCGCAGTTGAGCATGTTATTGCGCGGCTCTCAGACATTCCTACATCGCCGGCAGTCTAGAAAAGTCGTCATTGTGGACAATATGACGAATCACGAATCATATGGAGCTTCTCGTAGCTTTTGTGGGAGCGCAGCTGGACATGTTCGTAATACTCGTGGCCGGCTCGATGAAAGTGGAGACTAGGGTCTAGGGGAAGTAACCTAGGCTGATTTTATACTACACTTTCGATTCAAGGCAATAGCCTACGGCGATAGAATCTTTTATCAGAACAAGCTTATAATATCACTGTTAAATGACTTATCAGGTTCCAAGAGGCACTAGATATTAATATCAATAGGTCTCAAGCGCGATATCATAAGGTTGATTGCTATGCTGGTTAAATGCTTAGCTGATGACAAGGGCTTACATATGATGAGCGATTAGAAAGGGGTCCCTTGACATTTCACCAGGGCCCCTTGCTAAGTTAGTGGCGGAGGGTAATACCGTCGCAATACGAACGGCAATCTCATATAGTTGTAATCAATCTTCATCCAGAGTTCGCTTGCACGGGTCATCTATATCTCACCTGACGAGCTACTCACAGTGTCAATGACCATGCTGTCCTGCTTCCTGTGGACTGCGATACTCGCAGCCTCCTCAGTCCAGTGTGTTCCCCTCGGCGGAGAAAATGCAGCCTACGATTATATAGGCAAGTTAGGGCTTACTTCCCTTGAAAGCTCTTAGAATCGACATACTAACCTCCACAGTCGTCGGCGGAGGGACTGCCGGCCTTGCCATCGCAGCTCGCCTAGCCCCTCATTTCACCGTCGCCGTGGTCGAAGCGGGAGGATCCTACCAGGCTGACACCGGCAACCAGAGCGTGGTGCCCTACTACGCGCTGAACATGCCGGTCCTCTCGACAGATCCCGCCACGTACCAGCGCGAGCCCCTGGTCGACTGGGACCTGATCTCCGTCCCGCAACAGGGCGCCGCCGGGCGCAAGGTCCACTACGCCAGGGGCAAGACGCTGGGCGGCAGCTCGGCGCTCAACACGCTGGCGTACGTCCGCGCGTCGAGGGGCGCGCACGACCGGTGGGCTGAGGAGGTCGGCGACGAGAGTTACCGCTGGGATAGTGTCTTGCCGTTCTTCAAGGCGGGCTGCCAGCTCACGCCTCCCGACTTGGAGAAGCGCAATGCTGCCAATGCGACGCCCAGCTGGGACGCGGATGCGTTCTCTGGCGACAACGACACTGCCTCTGCGCAGAGGCCGCTGCGTGTGTCCTTTGGCAACTGGGTTGATCCAACGACTTCTTGGCTTGCACTGGGGTTGCAGGCGATTGGGATGGCGCCTGCGCCCAAGGGCTTGAACAGCGGGTCGATTAACGGTCTAGGAGGATGGACCTCGTCCACGATTGACCCTCGAGATGCGACTCGGTCATCATCGCAGACGAGCTACCTGCAGCTGGCAGGACAAGAGACTGGCATAACGGTGTACTCTCACACCCAGGCAACCAAGATCCTGTTTGCGGCCGGGAAAGCCACGGGCGTGGCAGTTGATACTCAGGGGTCAGGATACAAGCTGAATTCCAGGAAGGAGGTCATCCTCTCAGGGGGCGTATTCCATTCTCCCCAGCTATTGATGGTCTCAGGTAAGGGAAAGGCAGCCGAGCTGGCTCAGCATTTAGCAGCCCACAGTACCCATTCATTCCTATTTGCGACCTGATTCTAACATAATTCTTGTGAAGGTATCGGGCCAAGCGCAAAGCTCCAGTCTCTCGGCATTTCTGTGATCAAAGACCTCCCCGGAGTGGGACAAAACCTGTGGGAGCAGCTATCATTCAACATCCTCCAAGCGGTGAGCACTCCAACAGGAGGCACATTCGTGGACTCTTCAGACCCATCCGTCAAAGAGGCTACCTTGGAGCAGTACCATGATGATCAGGCAGGACCGTGCAGCCAGGCAGGAGGGTATTTCTCTTTCGAGAAGATTCCCGAGAGCCTCCGCGCCAACTTCTCCCAGAAGACCAAGGAAAAGCTAGCAGCCTTCCCGGAAGACTGGCCCGAGATACAGTACACACCTTTCGGGTTCTCCATACCCTCAAGCTCGGGCGACGCCCAGACAGTAGGCACCATGAGCGCCACTCTGACGGCACCCCTGTCACGTGGCAACGTAACCATAACCTCCGCGAGCATCAAGGACCCTCCGATCTTCGACCTGGCCTGGCTCTCCGACCCGGCGGACGCAGAGCTAGCTGTGGCGGCTTTCAAAAGGTGCCGGGAGGCCCTGGCCAATCCCTCGATCGATCCCGTGCGTGTGGGAACCGAAACCGCCCCTGGTGCGAACGTGACAACCGACGAGGACATCCTATTGTATATCCGGCAGACAGCCTCCACAGTGTGGCATGCCAGCGGCACGTGCAAGATGGGCAAGGGTGAAGACGTGGATCCCATGGCTGTGGTGGATTCGCAGGCGAGGGTGTTCGGCGTGGAAGGGCTGCGCGTCGTGGATGCGAGCGCGTTCCCGTTTGCTGTGCCGGCAAATCCACAGGGGACTGTGTATATGCTTGCTGAGAAGATCGCACACGAGATACTTAATGGGCGCTAATATGTACGCTAGGAGGTTACACTTAGTCAGATGAATCCACTGGTTTCTCGCCTAAGTACACCATTGGCTTATCCGGCCATTTCCTTGAGGAAAGGTCTGTGTTGATGGCAGAAAATGTTCTTTGTTCCATCTCACATAGCTGAACTTTCATTTGATGAGTATCTTACCCAAACTGTTTATAGTTCATGGTATTGGAGTAATCCTACATTGAAGCAGCGAATAAAACAATTGAGGAATAAAGAGGGAGGATAGGAGAGGGAGGATAGGAGAGGGAGGATAGGAGAGGGAGGATAGGAGAGGGAGGATAGGAGAGGGAGGATAGGAAAGGGGGAGAGAAGAGGGCTCTGTGTAACTTGATTTCAATCAATCATCCAAATCAGACTTACAGAGGAGCTCTGTTTAACGTAGTGATTTGTTTGCTGTCATGGATGTGTGACGGTACGGCTCTTATATACTGCTTGGAATAACCAATCCCAGATTGGTTATTATGGTCTTTTGGCCGGGAGGTATGAATTTGCAAGCAGTAATTCTATTTACCCTCTCAGGATGTAGTCGCTTGCTGTCTCCCAAACCTTTCACTACTCTTCTAAGTAAATCATGATGCGCCGCCGTTGTTTCAACTCTATCTAGAAGGCTGGATCAGCTCTTTCCACTATTTATCACCATGGTATAAAGCACAAGTCGAATTCGGGGAAGGTCTTGGGTGTTAAGCCAGGCTGGTGTACTATCTGCGTTGCTGGGACATGAATAGGCACCTGCGATATCCAACACCCACTCTCTGTCCATGTTTAAATGTGTTCTACTCATCTTGGTATCACATGCCGTGTTACTCTCAGCTGATCCAATCTATAAAGTTGGCTCCAGTCTCAGTCTCAGCATCAACACCATAATGTCGACCAAGATCTGGGCCGAGCTATCAAGGCAGAGCAACATGATGTGGAAGAAATGAGCTCTCTCGCTGAGTAATGGGCGTTTGGTTTAGGGGTATAATGTTCGCTTCGCACTACAGCTGCTTGCGAAAGGTCGCCGGTTCGATTCCGGCATCGTCCATTGTTTTCTCTTTTGCGTCTAGTGAGGCCATCCCTAATCACAGCAAAGCGGTTTAATTACTTTTCATCCCTGTTTTGTTCTTCTATTGAGGTCTTGGTATTGATACTTTGTTGTCTATCTTAATAATGGTGTATCTGGTTACATGTGTAAGTGTTTATTCTGTGGAGTTCTACAGCCTTGGCCAAATGCTAGCAGCAAGCAAGCACTAGTTGCCTAACTAGCTAGTCCCTTATTAGGGGGCATAAGGTCTTGCTAGGAGCATATGAATGCCTCAATGTGGCGTGTCGATCGGTATTTTCCACCACTCCTTACCAAGGTACGGCTTGACCACAAAGTGATGTCTTGTGAAACTATACCAACGCTACCCAAAGCCCGCGTTATGCGGTCCAACTTTGCCGCATACCCGTGATGTGGAGCCGATTCCTGAAGGATCAGTACCTAGCAGCAGTAGGCGACTACTCCGGAGTCTGGATTGGGAATGGAAGCCAAACAGTGGGTATCATGTTTTTGGACTGACGGGTCATTTCCGTTCCTAGATACTACACCTATTCTCCCTGGGTTATATCCAGCAAGCTCTTAATTGCTGGCACTCCACCTTCTACCTTGTCACCCAAGGCCGGCAATCCGTCTTGGCTGCTGACCATCGGCCCATAGAGGATGAGAACTTTGCGCTCGTACTTATCGCGGTACTCATATGAAGCAGTGACACACCCGCAAACTTTTAAGGTCTTCATACTACTATGTCTTTATGCCATATACGCTATTTTTGGTGTGTCTCCGGTAACTTGAGCAAAGCGACTGTTTCTCCCCAGAATTCACTATGGATACCTTTGATTATGTCGGTATCACCACGGTCTTCGAGCCGCACTCGACGTGTTTTGCGCCTTCCAATTTGTGGACCTCCACTATGTTATGCAGCGTGAACTTGAAGGGCGGTGGGTTTGCTGCGAGAGCGGCCGCCACATTGAATCTCAATTCTTTCACTTGCCCCCTCACGATACTGGGACCCCCGACGACCTCGGCTCTCGGCCATAAGGACCGCTCCTGTTACCCTGGGAGTGATGATTTCGCCGACAATACGGCATGGACCGACTGTCCTATAAGCATGACAGCAGCGGTCGAGAGAACTCATGACTGGGGCAATGGAGTTACCTCTATGGAGACATGGTGTTGTCCTTCGTAGGTGCTTTGACAGCTTCAATCAAGCTGTTTCGTTCCAGTAGCTGACCAGCTTATTAGAGCATATGAATTCACGTCTACAAATGAACCGATTCCACTCACTGTCGGGTATTCAACTTATTCCGTGGAGCTGTACGCCGGGTTTCTCTGCCGTGCCTCTGCAGTCCAAGAACTTTCCGGGCAGACCGTGACTCTCACGGTCTCGACAGAACCTCTCATCACCACTGAAGCGGAATACGACGGGGGCATAATCTTCGCAAACGCTGTCGGTCTTGGAAGATTTGTCTATGAAGCCTCGGGAACAACATCTGAATGTTACGGGAATTGTCCGGGCCCGCTTTCCAACCCTCTTGCAGCTCCGACTCCTACTCCAACCCCAGCGCCGACGGGTTCGTATGTACCGCCTCCCTCGCATCCAACCACCCAGTTCAGCCCTGCTCCGTCATGCCTGAGTGACTCCAATTTGTGGCTCGTCTCGACAAGCTGCCAACTTCTGCAGGGCCGTGAAATCTTGAAACCTTCTTGGCTCGAATGTGCCATCGCCGAACTTGGAGAGCCGGACGTATACAACAAGGAATGCTACAGACGTGGCTCAGCCACCGCCGGCGACGATGGGACGACCTCTTTCTATGCGGGTTGTCCAGCAGGCTACACAACTGCCTCGGAATCCACGCGTCGTCCGTTCGACAGGAGGCAACGCGGAGATACGCCAGGGGAGACAATATCATACGACGTGGTCGCAAGCGTCGTGCTGTGCTGCCCCGATGGTGACTACAGCTTCCAGTACAGCGACGTCCTGACTACCACGACCACGCATGACGGTCAGAGGCTCGTGGATATGTACCCCATGCCTCTGTGCGTCGCCACAAGCGTGCAGACACTCTCCGGCAGGGACGTCGAGTTGACTCTGACGGAGAATGACCGGGCCTTGGGCAAGAAGAAGAGACAGGAAGATACGGCAGGCCCCGCAGTGACTACTCGGCCATGGGACTACGAGAGCGGTCTGCTATTTGCGGAGGTGGCACAAGCCTCGCTCACGGTCTTCCATGGTACATATTCGTGTCTGGAAGCCTGCGACGACTACTTCACCTACTCTTACAACAACACGGATCCGAACTATACCCCAACAAGTACAGCGCTCGATGTCCCGACCAGTACAGCGCCCAGTGAGGGAGAAGCTACGCAGGGTACAGGGGCATCCAATTCAACGGGTAGCCCATTACTCGGAACCGGCCGAGGAACCGTCCTTGCGGTATCGTTTTTAACGGTTCTTTGCCGAACCGTACTATAAGAGCAGGGATCGCTTGGTCAAAGACGAACTTTAATGTATTGTGTAATATTAGCGGATATAATACCATAGAATTGACTAACAGTTACGCCTATGTACTTGGTATCCAACAATTGCCGAATAGAGTCCTAGTCTCTTGATAAGGGAAAGCCAGGCTCTGTCAGAAGTGAGATATAATTTGACAGATTATTGAAAATATGTATCATAAGTGAACTCTTCGAGTGGCTTTTGTACATTCCATGAAAGTTCCAACACCTGTGATCACTGTTCAGACCGAACCTAGCCTTGAACTCTATGAATACAGGAAATACGTATCGTACAGTGGACCACTATTACTTCAAGACGACCAGATCTGACTCGAGTCAGTCAATGCACAAATTCATTCACTTTCCTCCTTCGAAAAGTATCGGTTCGCGGCGCTAGCGTAAAAGATTGTCTCCATCCTCCCATAAATCGAGAGAAAGACAATGATGACGATCTTGGTAGTTTGATTGGCGCCCATTCGATCCAGCACGGATTGCCGACCCTCCTTCTTCGACGAATCTGGCTTCTCTGACGCGGTGGCGGAGGCTTGGGGCCGTATTCGAGGTTTGTCGCCAAGGTAGCGGAGCTGCGTTGCCGCATTGGGTCGCATTAAAAGTTGTGGATGGAGGGAAGGCTGGCTCACGCGGATCATCATGATGTGCTTCACGGTCGCTATCCTTAATGCCATAGGACGAAGAGTGCCCAGTGGCGTCGATGCCTGGGATGCGAGAGCTGAAGCCACAGCCTGCAGCTTGATGGTGACAGCTTCGTAATGTACGGGCCGTGAGAGCTGTGTTATGCGGAATTTGACAGTGGTAAGGTCGGTCTCGAGACGTGTAGCTTGCAGGTGACGATTTCTGAGATAGAGCTTCGGCCTGGCAGGTGTCAAAAAGATGAAACTGTCATTAAAAGATCGCAAATGGTCTGTCGGTCGCGAGCAGTTGTAGTCTGTGCCGCAGGAAATGACGCACAATGAGCCATGTCAGCCGGTGCAACCGAAGCCCGCCTCACACCAAGAAAGGCTGACTCCAACCAACACACTCCTTTGGCCGCTAGTCAGTACACCACACCTTTGAAATGGCCAATCAACAGCTCAATTGAACATGTGGTTGAGAGAGCTCTGATGTCTCCCTAATTGAAATGTAGGATGTCCCAGTGCCTTGAAAACTCCACGCGAGCTGTGTGTGGTCCAGCCCCTCAACTGCAAAGGCCTCACTAGAGTGTCAATTGATGAATTATCACACAAATCTCTTGGTAAATGGACTATGCATGTCTCCAAGTCCTGTGTGAAGCAGACGGGAACAAAAGAGAGTTGCTCGAGGCCAAAAGAAAAAAACAAGAAGAAAAAAGGAATGAACGCGCCGGGAGTTGAACCCGGTCCTGGCTGCCTTTACGTCAAGAGCACACCGACTCTTATCGTACACTGTAAGTATCCAAAACCTCCCGTTGTAACTTGATGTACTCCGACAAGGCAGCAATGCTAACCGTTACACCACGCGCTCGGCAATTATGGCACAAATTTCGTCTTGTATCCCGAGAAACTCCGCCAATGCACGGCCTGATGCCTTACCAAGTGACAGCATCTTTTGTATTTATGCTGCCCCGAAGGCATAAAATGTCGTGGAATTCCAAGTGTTCTCTTGGGCTCCTTCCCTACTTTGCCGTTATTTCTACCAACGCGGCTGGAATCCAATCTACGGAGCACTCTCTATATTCGGATTGCATCTGTCTTCAAACTAAACTAGCAGAACTCTGAGCTGTCATGTCCACATGGAAGGTTATCTGGAACATCCTTGTGATATCACTGGATAATGGAGAAAACTGGATGACTACGCTGAGTGAAGTCTTCGGGAAGAGATTCATTGGAACCCACATGTGAACGCGGAACACTTGAAGAAGGATTGGGGTGTGATATGGAATGCGAAGTAATTTGCCTCTTGTGTTTCAAGAATCAAGACACCTAGCACTTCGATCTTCTGGTTCCATTGCATTGTCCCTCAAGTGGGTCAGACGCAGTCATGTCATCTCAAAGTGGTTGGACAAAACTTGGGCAGCAAACACTCCCATCAGCTGTTCCGCTTGCCTCACCGCCCCTGCTGGCTGACACAAGCAGTTAGGCAACGATAATCTTGAACTTTTACAGCTGAGTCATTCCGAATGCAGTCGCTATGGCGATTCGGACTCTCCTCGTTAACTTGTGCCATGATAGCAGAATCTGGGACAACGCGATTTGGCAGCAAGCTCGACCCCCCACTCAATTGAAACCATTCAGACTAATCAAGCATCTTTGTGGAGGTCTACGATCACTTCCAGCTCTCCCGAGCTGGAAAGGAGAAGCTCAGACGCCAGGCCAGGTCGCTGCCTAGCCTTCCTTCTACATGTGGTCCCCAGTCCACCCCGAAGACACGAAATGACCATGGCTGGAACCTTCAGCACTAAGGAAAGCCATTTCACCCAACCTCCAGTGAGCTTCATGAATGGTGTCTGCCGGGGCATACCACACCTGCAACAGCAGCCGTGTGCATCTCGAACGCGCAAGCAGTGGCAAGGCGACGACAAAAAATCCCGGAAGTTGGGGTCCTGCACCAAGCCTCGGGGCCCTTTTTCATCCCCACCCAGAATAATAAAAGAGCTCCGTGGGCAAGATCACAAAAGAAAGTCAGATTTGAAGAACTGTGGCTGCTTCTTGTCTAGCATGACCTGATTGATGTATTCATTCTTGCTTCACCGCTTCTATACGGCAGGTGCACATCCTGTGGTTCTCATAATGCAGAGGTGGCAAGAAGTACAATTTCTTGACCTTAGAAGTAGATCCTGTAGGAGCTGGGCAAGAAAAAATACCACTGTTAACTGTGAGGTTGTGGCCTGGGCGCCCTCATATCAGGATGCCTTCATCATCCGGACCGAAAACGCTTATCACGCATCTCGAGCTTTCATACCCACACGTACGGACACGTGGACCTTCCAGATGATTCCGAGCAGTCGAAAGGCGACGCTCCTTGAGCTATGACTGTTTCAACGCACTGGTTCCAGTTCGTGGGCATCTTCCGGGGTATTCTTTTTTATCTTGTTTTTGTCGAGAGAATCTCATTTATCATCTGAAAACCCACAGTGGACTGTCTCACCAAGTCCTGAACTTACTTCTGGCACAAGTAAACAAACCCTCCCTGCCTGTGCGGGCTTGCTGTCCGTGCCGGCCGAGGTCATGTCGGGCCGGGGCAAGATGCCAGTTCTGGCCCCGTCTAGCCGCGAGGCGGTGTCGACTGTCTCGCGCCAGTTGAGCTACAAAGTCGCTAAGGCTACGGGTGAGACTAGGTGGTTCTCGGCCACTCCATCCACACTGGACAGAGGAAGGGCTGTCTATTAAAAGAAGGCTTTGGGAATATTCCACGGGCACGGGACCAAATCATGCTGCTGGGGCGTGCCACTCTCCTACGGTGTGGCTGGCCGTGGCGAAAGGTTGATTGAGGCCTGGAACCCCCTTGACAACCTTTGGGGGGAACTGGGGCATCGACGCGTCAGGAAAAAGCAACTCGAACGTTACGGTGAACCCGTGAAAGAAGCAAAGAAGATCGAGTACGAGGATACAATGGTCACCCACTAGCAGGCGAGCACGAAATTGCAGCTGTGACATGCCTGTACGTGGCTGGGAGGGCGCACCTGGGGGCTTGTACGACGGGGTGGTGAACCTGTCGCACACCGGCTCGAGGGTGCAGCGTACGGGGGCGACGGACACCAGCTCATCGAGCTTGGAACCTTGCCACATTGTGCTGGGCAATTGTGTCGGTCTTCCCTCGCTCCCCGTCCCCGTTGCACGAGGCGTGGTGCCGTTTCGCGTATCTGGGGAGCGGGCGACGATCCTGCATGGACCCTCGGCCCTTCATAGCTCCAACACCCCCCAGCGCGACACCGACAACACCGTTGGAATGCTTCGACCGGGTCTTAGCTGCAAGGTTCCCGTCGACGTGGTACCAATTGGGGGGGAGCTCGAGATTCCTCGCACCCAGTGCGCTGCTCGTGCTACGACGGAGGGCGGGTGCTGGGTGTGCGGCTTGTGGCCGCAGGGCCGATGGCGGTAGCGGGAGAGACATTGATCAATTGATTGATTGATTGATCGACTGGCTGGGCAGCGCTGGGTGGTATAGATGGGTTCAGGTGGAGCCGGGTCAGGTTACACGCGAGGCCTGGGGAGTGAGACACGGGCATCGAGGGTGTCAGATTGCATGCTCTGTTGGCGAGGTTGGGCAGAGGACGGTCGTTGATTGCATGCTGGCGCGCTGTGATGGATTTTCCTTGCTTTGGGGGATGCATTTGTGCACCAGTAAATGAACTCGAGATGCAGGACGCCCGTTTCGGCGAGCTCAACATAAAAAGTTGACCACCGTTGTCGGTCAAGAGATTGATGGATTGCACAATCGATGTTTTTTCTATGTGGTGCACCACGCCTGCCCGTGAACAGGGACATGGGGAGAAAAGAGGAGAGCAGAGCAGCATGACGATGGGTAGGGACAATTTGCCCAGTTCTGGTTAGCAGTATCGGACGGCAAGCGGCGTCTACCACCGTAGACTAATTAATAGACCAATGGGCTGTACATGAACGGTACGTGCGGTACGTACCATCCGTGTCATCCGTTACTGCCCGTTGCTTGTACGTCGTCGGTCTGGGTGCACCTGCAGAACAAGACACATGTGCCTGTGCATGCAGATACCAAGAGGCAGGAGCCAAGAGGCAACCAACTGGCAAGAGGGGAGGGCCAGGGCCAAGATGCAGAGAGATTTACGGGCGTAGACGAGACGATGCAGGGAGACCAAGACACAAGGCAGTCGGTCACTCAGTCACCAGTCGAGGTTTCCACGCCTGTGCCTCCGTGCACCTTCACTCGGGCGCGCACCTGCCCGTGTAGACAGACCATGTGGAGGCAAGTGCAGGGCAGGGGGGGCAGGTGCAGGCTCAGGTTGGAGGCTGCGATTGCAGGTGCGGGTGATTGTCGGATTGAGGGAAAAAGTGACTCGATAGAATTGAGTGACTGCTTGCTCCATTTCTCGCTCTGTTGTTCTCTTGTCACTGCTTCTTCTTATCTGCAAGAGAGATATCCCAGAATCCTGCTTCCCTGTTAGCTTGATCGGTCCTGCCAAGAGCGCTCCACCTGCTGCCAATCTGGGACGGGACTCGACTATCGATTGCAGTCTGCACAAGATTTTCTCACGGCTTTCTGTGGAGAGAGGGTGTCGAGTCCTCCCTCTCCTCCATTCAGCCCCAGCCCAGCTGGAGGGCGATCATTGGTAATTGTTCTAGCCTGGAGGCACCATCCCTCCCGAGATACCGTCCGGCAACATCCTCCGTCCCAAACCCATCGCCCACCCCTGCCACGCTAGGAAACGTGGGGGAGACACACGAGGACCACACCACACACCAGATTTGCTGCCGAGGCCAGGCCAGGCCAGACATCCATCCAACCATACAGGACAGCACAACGTTCACTCACACTGCTGTGCGAGCCAGGCTACTGTTGCAGTGACAGTGGCCTGTCTACTGTGCACTCTGCACAGTCTATCCCGCCGCGGCACCTGGCGACAGGCATTCGGATGACACCGGCCCACACCTCCTCCGCCCCAACTCTCACTCCCACAGAGCCCACCCGGTAAGGACCCCTAGCCCAAGCAGATAAGCACTATCTACCACAGCTGAATGACACACGGACGACTTGACTCCCCAGGTTTAGTCTCCTTCCTGTGATTTTTATAAGAACACTGACATCGGACTTCTTTTCCTCAGGCGTCGTCGTTGACCTGCCATCGTCTGTTCTGCTCTATACTGTTCTGTCCTCTCCGGTCCGTTGTATCTCATTCGACAGGACGGTAATTCGAGGTCTGAGTGCTGACCAGTTCAGGTCACTCGCGATCTGTCACCCCTCACTCACCACTGGTTGGCTACAAAAACAGCATACTGGTCACCCCTCCCCACCGACATCATGGATGAGGACCAGGGACCTTCACAGGTCGTCCCAGAAAATGGCAAGAAGAAGACCATGGGCGACCGCGCCCGTGCTCTGAAGCACGCGTTCCTCACCAAGGACGGCCTGATCGGCGACTACGACTACGCGTTCCTCTTCACCCCGAACATCCCCTTCATGAGGAAGCGGCCACGGGCGGCTCCGTTTTTCGGCCTCAACGACAAGATCCCCGTCGTGCTCGCTCTGCTGCTCGGCCTTCAGCACTCCCTGGCTATGCTTGCCGGCCTCATCACTCCCCCAATCATCCTTGCCGGATCCAACGGCGCCAACCTGACCCCAGAGATGTCCCAGTACCTCGTTTCAACCGCCTTGATCGTCTCAGGCCTCCTCTCGGTCATCCAGATCACGAGATTCCACATCTTCAAGACACCGTACGAGGAGAAACTCTCCTGATTCGCTGGAACCAGCCGACGTAACTGGATAAGCTGACGGCGAGACACAGATACTACATCGGCACTGGAGTAATCTCCGTGGTTGGGGTTTCCTTCTCCATCATTACCGTGGCATTGGGCGCCCTTTCGCAGATGTACGCCAATGGCTTCTGCCCCACCACAGAGGACGGCTCAAAGCTGCCCTGCCCGGACGGGTACGGCGCAGTTATTGGCACGGCCGCCGTCTGCTCCCTCCTCGAGATTCTCATCTCCTTCCTCCCACCCAAGGTCATGCTGCGTATCTTCCCACCCATCGTGACCGGCCCTACTGTCATGTTGATCGGCATCAATCTCGTCGAGACCGGATTCAAGAGCTGGGCTGGCGGTAGCGGCGATTGCGTGACCGGGACTGTGACAGGATTCGCGCTCTGCCCTTCTGACTCTGCGCCGCACGCGCTCAAATGGGGTAGCCCCGAGTTTCTCGGCCTTGGTTTATCCGTGTTCGCAACTATCATCCTCTGCGAGCGCTTCGGTTCCCCCATCATGAAGTCTACCTCGGTCGTCATCGGCTTGCTAGTCGGCTGCATCATTGCCGCCGCCACGGGGTATTTTGACCGGTCTGGCATTGACGCTGCCCCGGTGGCGAGCTTCATCTGGGTGCACACGTTCAAGCTCACAGTGTACGGGCCACTGGTGCTGCCAGTCATGGCTGTGTTCATCATTTGCGCATGTGAGGCCATCGGTGACATCACGGCCACGTGCGATGTGTCACGCCTCGAGGTCGAAGGCAAGTTGTACGAGAGCCGTATTCAGGGTGGCGTGCTGGCCGACGGCATCAACGGTTGCATCGCTGCATTGTGCACCATCACGCCCATGACCACCTTCGCCCAGAACAACGGCGTCATTGCTCTGACACGCTGTGCCAACCGCAAGGCCGGTTACTGCTGCTGCTTCTTCCTGCTCGTAATGGGCATCTTCGCCAAGTTTGCGGCCGCCCTAGTTGCCATCCCAGCGTCTGTCATCGGCGGCATGACCACCTTCTTGTTTACGAGTGTCGCGGTCTCGGGAATTGCCATTATAGCAAAGGGCGTGTCCTTCAACCGCCGCAACCGTTTCATCCTCACCGCTGGCCTGGCCCTTGGCTACGGCGCCACTCTGGTCCCCAACTATTTCGATGGGGTCTTCACCTACAATGGCAACAATAGCGGGCTGCGCGGATTCCTCGACGCTATCAGTCTCGTCATGGAGACGGGTTTTGTTGTCACCGCCTTCCTGACCATGTTCCTCAACCTTGTTCTGCCGCTCGAGGTCGAGGACACCAAAGCCGCCGATGACGAGGCCGCGTCTAGTGTGCGCGCGCCTAGTAACAACGACGTCGAAGGAGCGCCTCCCGGGGAGCTCAAAAAGGCTTGATGGTTGGGTGGAAAGACAAACGTGTGGTAATTATATTATATGAGATACGCCCCTTATAGGGGGCATGTGATTCTTGTGGCGTTCTTGGTAGATAGAGGTCCCCGCTTCAGTGCTAAAATTGCCGATGGTAATATGGCTCGGGTCTTCTTGGTTGATCACAACATGTACGATTATCCTTTTACTGAGGCGGCGATTAATGTCAATAGAGCTTCAAGACGGTTTGGCTTTCATTGCCTAGAGGGATGCCTTTTGTAAGCTTCAACCATTGAGGCATCGTTTAACTTTAGAATGCTGAACATCCCGCTTCGCCCTCCTTGAAGCTCTCCATGTGTTTTACATGGTTTCTGCGTAGGGTGGCCCACAAAACAATATCCGAGGAGATAAACATCATCCTGTCTTGGACACACTACCTAGGTATCCCACAAAGCATGTCTCTGTCCCAGATGATGGGGTCGGTAGGAGTTGCTCATATGTGACGTGCAGGCGAGACCAAGTATGCGGAACGATGGAGATTGGGGGGAGACAAATAGGCAGCCCGAACGAGGTCTAAAAGCTATTGGGATGCCGGAAATTGTGTCAGCCCGGGTTGAACGTGTCATTGTTTGCGCAACATTGTCGACCGGCCCTCTGTAGTCTGCAGGATCGTGGAAAGACTGCTGCTGTGGATCGGTGAACGGGATCGGTGAACGGGACGCCGTGGGCTTTGGATTTGTGCCGGGGTCAGCGTATTGAGTGGGTAGCCAATTCATTACGGGAGCCTGGGGACATGCCTGACCGGATTGGGATGTGCTTGAACTCGTTTTGAGGTGACTTGAAGTCAATCCAGAGGCTGATTGAGTGATATCTTGACACGTCAATGTTGCTACAGTGTCGGCTTGGGTTCCGCAATCATCTGATAAACACCTTCGTGTCCCACGGCTTTGGAGGCACTGGGAAACTCTGATTCTTGAGCACAAGACCGGCTGCGGTGACTGGAGAGATCAGCATACTTTGGCCTACATGTAGTGGTCTTTGAGGGATAGAGTGTGTTCGTCGACTGGTAGTAGAGCGGGTGTGCAAGTTTGTGGACTGTTCTGCTTTTCTGGCATGTGCCCAGGGGCGTCTGGAACCTCCCGAATTCGATACTGCAACTCGGTCAATTACATCAATTCCTTCCAATGTGGCAATCACCATCTCTAGAGGCGGAACAGAGGGTCGAGGCAATGGCGGACCTTTGGGCATAAAAGTGTGTCAGCATGTGGCGTCGAGCAAACAGGGACTCCAAGACAGATAGCTCCAACGGACCCAGCTAGAAGCAAGAGTTTGTGATGAATACAAGTTTCGAGGACGGAGAAAAAGGACAGGAAGTATCAACGAGGGGTGGTAATGGCTAGGAGGAAAAATCATTCGTTGAGGCCAGCGGATGACGTTGTTTCGCTGGGGAGCGGACGACCGACTGGCAAGGTCAGGCATCAAGGGCCCCCAATAAATAATATTTTGTGTGCCCCAGTATAACGTTCTAGGGCAACGCAATCAACATCCGGTCACTTCACTCTACTACGCAACTCTCAATCCTGCTCGACCTCAGGCCGCATTACGTTGTTGCCGCACCTAACGGGATACGGCGCATCGAGACGCCGCAGATCGCACACAAAAGGCCTGATAAACTTTCTGGGTGGTGCTGCACAACTGGTCAAGGCGGCACCCACAGTTATAATTTACACTGCCGCCTTTGGGCCCGATGCTTAGCATGGATGGAGGGCTTTACCATCAGATAATTCCGTTTTTGTCTGTATTCTCTGTGGCGGCGATGGGTCAATGCTGGTAGAGCCATGTGGCCCTTGCCTGACCTTGCATGTAATGCCCACCAGCAGCCTCAGGCATTGCATGTGCAACTGTCATATCCCTAGATAGCTGTACAATCATATAGACGCTCCGCACAAGGGGTCGTCTTGTTTCGAAAGTTCAATGTACTCTAGTGGTACCAGAAATCTTTCATTGTTTCCACGCGAACGGGCCTTGATCCAACGCTCGAGCGCGACCGCAACCCCGTTCGCGTCAGTGCTGATGTCCTTGGGAATATTAGGAGAATGTGATAGTTCTTGCTGGTGTTATTTCCAAGTAATGCACCAAGGGCGGAGGCCTTCTTGTGCCCTGGTCAAGCAGAGGAATGGAAGAGGTCACCCCGTCTTTGTTGGCCTGACCAGTGACCCGGCCCCAATGACTCCAAACAACGCGTCTGTGTTCAGCAGTTCTGTTCATCAATGGAGCGAATTCACTCGGCACAAGCCCCAGCACCTACATCTTGGGAGAGAAGGAACATCCCATGTCAGTAGTGGATATTGATACAATGGATAACTTGATCTCAAACACGCATCGAGCTTCCTCAGTAGGATGATCTGGTATGGCAGACCATGCATGCTTCCGACACCGAATTTGCAGTGGTTCACACATAAGGAAGAGTTACCAGACTATGGAACCGCCGTGTGTATTAAAAGCACCGTACATGTCGAGGGGGAAGGGGGTGGCGAAGACAACGCATATGCACACAATAAATGTGGTGGGGAGCCTCGTGTAGTTGGGGAAGATACTGGACACAAACAAAAGCTGCAGTGGGCCCCTCATGCCAGGGATTCAATATGAATTCCAGTGAACGGCCTTGCTGTCACCACACGCGTAGGAGTCACTGGGTGGCCCACCGTCTGTGAATGACACTGTGACTTGAGCCCACCTCCCAGACTTCTAGTTTTTAAGGGCACCGCAACCTTTCGTCCGCACTTCTCTTCCTACCTTACAAGCGTAGCTACAGCAACGCAGTCAAACAGTCGCAAGGCGTCGCAGCCTCGGCGTCACTCAGCCGTGCCTCCATCCTCAGTTGCGCTTTCTCCCCTCAGCCATGCCTCCATCCTCAGTTGACCTTTCTCCCGGAAGCCCTGGCATTATCCCCATCATCACACAATACGCTCATCCCCCATCGACCATGGCAGACCTGCGTCAGACCGAGAGCCCTATTCAGCGCGAGGCCGATGATGATTCTGGTCCTGATACGGATCAGGAAAACACTGTTATTCGAGATGAACCCAGTGATATGGAACTTCGCCAGATTTTGAAGGAGCAGAAGGTGGGAAAGTTTGACTTCGACCGCGACTTCGGCATCATCAAGAACGAGGACGACTTCAAACAGCGGCTTCGGGAGTGGGAGACGATGGATGATAAGCCCACGGAGGATGACGAGCCCGAGCGTCGATCCGACTTTCCGCTCGATTTTGAGATCCAGAGACACTACGTACGAAGAGTTGGAAAGGCGATACTCAACATGGATGGTGCCACCGACAAGACAATCAAGGATCGAAAGCGGACCAGCAAGTCCCAGAAGCCGAGCACCAAGTACCAGGCGGATGTTCCAGCTGACGAGGAACCTGGAGAGAAGAACTCTGTCGCTGTCACCTTTCTGAGCGGACTGAAGTCAGTCGAGGTTGAGCTGGTGAGCTGGAAGATCGTGGTGAGTCGTGAAACATTGCAACCCAGATTGCAGCAAGGACTTATGCTGACTATGTAAGACCTTCTCCCGTGATGCGCAGGAAGATCGACTGTCGCGGGGTACATATGGCTCCCAGAAGACCAAAATCATGCATTTTGACTCCTGGACCGAGCGGATTGAGTTCATCATTCACTGTTTGGAGGTGAGATAGTCTCAGAAATCTGCTTAAATGATACTACTTCTGACCAGATTGAATTCATCACAGACAACGAAGACCATCGCCCGCTCGATCATTCGAGAGGGAGACCTCAGTATGAAGGACTTCGTCGCCTCGCCAAAGACAAAAATGGACACCGCCAATCGGAACAGGACGATCAACTGTCAGAGGGCCGAGGAAAAAGATGCCGCAAATAAAGCAAAGGGCGCTGCTCTGAGAGAAGAGAAGCGCCAGTCCCACTCGCCCATCGGAACACAAAACATCCTGGCCACCACTGGCAGCCCTCAGGATGAAAGCACACCCAATCCTCTCGAGTCGTCCCGTACTCGACACGGCAGAGATGGACAGGTCGATGTGGGATCCGGCTCTTCAACTGCAGAGATGCAAAAGGAGCCCTCTGCGATTCCCAGAGAGTCCCCGATGGGAGGACGCAAGACACCGTCGGCTGCCTCCAACAACGGATTCAGAGGCCCTCTGACTTCCATGGGAGAGGGAGGCAAGCAGCCCACGGGTTTGTTGGTCCCTAGCCTCGTGAAGATACCGAGCCAAGGTGGTCGATTAGGTGCTGGCGACAAGGGCTTCCTGCATGTGGCTCAGCCGGGCTCAGACAACTGTAACACATCTACCACCACTCAGAACGGTCCATCGACCCAGAACTTTCCTACCCCAACTGATGCTTCACGGACTACGGCCTCAGATCCGACTTCAATCAACGCCGGAAGTAATCGCACGGCAGCCTGGTCTCCGAGCCTCGATCCTATCCTTCAGCGAGCTATCATCAAATGCCGCACCCGGGCCAAGCAACAGCCCGGTTCCAGCACGTCCAACGAGTTCACCTCCGAGTCGGTGATTAATGAGTCCCCGCCTCCCACGCTCCCTTCGCGACCTTCATCAGGGGACAACACGGGTCCCGGCCAGAGCTCCCGTGGCCCTACCACACGCCTTTCGGCAGTTACGAGCTCGCCGCCTTCTGCTCGGAAGCCTCTGCCATCTTCTGCTAGGAGGCCTCTGCCGTCTTCTGCCACTCAGCGTCCACAGACATCCGGCTTTCCGTCATTTCCCGGCGGTGCGTCCTTCCAGGGTGGCATCTCCGGTGGCCCCAGCATTCAACCTTCGGCCAAGAAGCGGCCGCACTCTTCATCTCAGCTTCCGGAGGACTATGGCCCCGGCAACCGCAGCGCCAACGCCACCATGACTCAGAAGAGACAGAAGCGGTACCCAACCAAGGCTGGTAGTGATCTCAACGCCTACGACATCGAGCAAGAAGAGTACGACGATGATGACGAGGAGGAGGAGGAGGAGGAGTGATCTGACTCAAGCAGCTGGAGGATCGCTCACACGGCACGCTCAGTGGCGGTGAGGCCTATCGCGGCGGGCAGAGCTCGGCGGGCTCTTCTGGCCCCAGTGCAGACTCTGCCTCTGTAGCGCAGCAGTGGGCTGTGGAAGTGATATCGAGAGCAGGAAGAAATCAACACAAAGAAAAAAAGGAGAGAGAGAGGGACGGCAAGGATTGGTTCTCGCCGATGTTACTTGGCCTTCGCTGGATTCTGGCAGACACAAGCCTGGAAGTTTTTCCTGGGGGGAGGGGTCAGGTGAAAAGAAAAAGTCAGAACCTCTTGGTTCTCTGGATCCAGAGCAGAGCACGTGTCAACTTGGCGGCACACACAACTCTTGCCACAGAGATCGTTTTTTGAGGGATGCGAAGCAAAGGGGGGGAGGGAGACAGTGGAAGGCGCCATGCCTGATTAATGTAGACGTGATGCGAAAATGACATACCCTTATACGAAACCTTCTGCTCGGCCCAGGAAGAGGAGGCATCATGTGAATCTCGTGTCGTCATTGAACGTCAGCCACCATTCTGAGGTAGGTGTATCGAATAGGACAGCTATTTACAATAGGGTATACAAGCCATGTTCTCAGTAGATAAGCATCTTCATAACTGCTCTGACTCGTGACAGCATGTCCTCGTAGTCGTACAACAACAGGCTCTGTCAGCACGTACAGACAGCATTCTGGAGCAGTTGATACCTAACCAGGTCCTAAAGCTGAGCATCTCAAGCCGCTGATGGCCTGTCTATGTCACTTCTAGCTATCTCTAGCCGGCTATTAAGCACGAGGTACAAGCACACGACTCTCACCAAGGTATTTGATGAGATTCCTTAATTCCAAAGCAATCGCCGAACGCCTAGCCAGCCAAGTACAATACATCAAGCAGCTCTCTCTAGTCATCACAGACATGGTCTTACAATGCCCCAATAGCCCGCAGAAGTACATCCACGCCCCCGGCGCGAACCTCACTGGTCCCTTCCGCATCCTGTCGCCCCTTCAGCAGAGACGCAACGTCGCTAAGAACACCGAGCGGGATGTAACACCCCGTCTTTGCCCGCTCGAGGCTCTCCTTGAGGCGGGACGTGTGCTCCCACTCCTTGGCAGCCACCTCGGCCCTCTCAATGACCTTGTCCGAGATGCCGCACATCGCGGCGCAGTGCATACCAAATGAGCCCTCGGCCACGCCTTCTTCCAGCTTGTACAAGAACGTCACCTTGCGGTTGGCGTCGTCGACGTGGATCTGCATCCGCCGTGGTGCGATCTCGGGGTGGTTTTCGAACTCGGTCGCCAGACTGTGGTAGTGCGTGGCAAAGAAACCAACGCAGCCCACGTGTGTTGCGACTTGGTGCAGCACGGCCTGGGCAACGGCAACACCGTCATAGGAGGATGTGCCACGACCAAGTTCATCCAGGATCACTAGAGACCGGGGAGTGGCCTCGGATAAGATCTTCTTGGTCTCGGACAGCTCGACAAAGAAGGTGGACTGGGCCGCAAAAATATTGTCGTTGGCTCCCAGCCGGGACATGATTCGATCAACTGGTGTCAGTCGAGCGGACACAGCCGGCACATAGCAGCCGATTTGGGCCATGATGACGGCGACACAGGACTGTGTGGTTTTAGCACAATAATCTTTAGATGATGTAGACAATTTGACGCCGGTCACGGCGCACGGGTCAGAACTTACCATACGCAACACTGTAGACTTTCCAGCCGCGTTGGCACCGGTCAGCAGATTGATCTTGGCGCCCTCTCCTCCGAGCTTGACGTCGTTGGGAATGAAGTCGTCGACACTATTCAACATGCACGGATGGCGCAATTCCTCAAACTCCACAACGCTCCGCTCTTGATCAACGAAGACGGGGCGGCAACTCGGCTGGCCTAACGCGGTCGATGACTTGGCCAGGCTGATGAGGCAATCAAGTTGGGCAACGACCCTGATGGCCCGAAGCCAGGTCTCGTTGTCCGTGTCGAAGCGCCTGAAGAAGCTCGCGGCCACGTCCTTGATTACCTGAGAGTGCGATTCCTCTGCCTCCTGCAGCTCACGGACCAGTGTTAGAAGGTCCTGGAAATAGTAGCGCTTGACCGCTGCGGTCGCTGACATCTGGCGCCAGTCCTTGGGAACCTTGACTGCTTTAGGGACTTCAATCTGGTATATTTCCTTGCCGACGTCGCAGAATTTGAGTTTGGGGCTCTTCAAGTTTCTCTTTTGCTCAGAGAGCAGAGCATCGAGATCTTTTTTGATCCGCTTGATGTTGTCCATGCTGTTGTCGAACTCTTCCTCAATACCTGGTTCGGGGATGAAGAGCTTCTCTTCGCGGGCCTTCCTTTTGTCAAAAGCATTCTTCCAAAAGTCGAGAGGCTCTTTCAGGCTGGGCATGGACGAGATCAGACGGTCTACCATGGTGTTGCCGCCTCCAAAAGCACTCATGAGAGTCATTGTGTAGTCAATCTGCTCGAATCCGTCGATGACTCTAACAAAGTCATCTGGCCTACAGATGCCGGCATGGATCCGAGAAATCAATCTCTCGAGGTCGGGCATCTTGGTCATCTCGGAGTAGAACTGCTCACGAACAGTGGGGTCGGCGTTCAATAGATCTACAGCATCCAAGCGCTCATTGATCTTGTCAATGTTGCAAAGTGGGTGGCAAATCCATTGTCGAAAGAGCCGCTTGCCGAATGGCGTAACACATCGGTTGAGCAAGGCGAATAGAGTGCCCTCGGGTCCGCCGTTGACTGTATTTGAGAAGACCTCCAGATTGATGAGGGTCTGGCCATCAAGGATGAGTGTGCCATTCTTGTGGATAGGAGTGTACCACTGGAAGTTGCCCTGCGACAGGAGACTCTTTTCCAGCTTGAGGACTCGCAGGTAGTGTATGAGCGCGCCAAGTGCCGACATCAACAGGTTCTTGTCTTTGGACTCCTTGAGCACCTCGGGCCAGACCTCTTCGTCGACTCCTTCCTGGATGAAGTAGCCGCTGCAGTCGAGCTCGCGGCGTGTCTGGTCGGAGCCCCAAAACTCAGCGTTAGACTTGAGGTTGTTCCAGATGGTTAGGGGCGTGGTGTTGTTCTTGAGGATCCGCATTGCCTTGACGGAAATGTGGGACTTCTCTAGCAGAATTTCCCGAGGGGAGACCTGGGCCACAAAGGTCTCGAATTTAGTGAGATCGACATCATCGACAAACTCGGAGACGAAGAATTGTCCCGTGGCGGCGTCGACAAATGCAATGCCAAAAGCGGGTTGGCCGTCGATGACACACTCTTTGATAGCGGCACAATAGACGGCCATGTCGTCCTGGAGCATGCTGCCGTCAACTAGAGTGCCGCCGGTAAGGATACAGGCAAGCTCGCGGCGGATGACCTTGTCTTCCTTGCCCTTTGTAGCTTTGGGCCCCTTCACGTCACGTTCACGCATCTCCTTGCCGAGTGCTGACTCCATCTGATCGACTCGGGCGACCTTGTAGCCTTTTGCGATGAATTGGTTGACCCACATGTCGAGTGAGCCTTCGGGGACACCAACCATGCGCATGTTGACGCGATCTGTCATCTTCAGATCAAAGAGTTGGTGGCCAAGAGTAGCATCGTTCTCGTACAGCTCGTAGAACTTGCCCTTCTTGAAGAAAACAACCGTGTCCCAGAGGTTCTTCTTGATATCCCAGTATTGCTGCTCAAAGGGCGAGAACTTAACTCCCGGTGGAACATACAGGGTACCCGGGTTGAAGTCTGGGTGGCCAGGGGCATTCCGGTCAGCATCGAGAGGTTCTGCAAGCCAACGATGCCGTTTTTCTGGCTCCTTGTCGCACGCCCTCTCCTTCACCTTTGAGGCCGACGCGGTCGACTTGGGGTTGGGCGCGGGGTTGCGTCCTTGTCGCTTCTCGATATTCTTGGGGTCGTACCGCCACTGCTGCGCTGTCGATGTACGGGAGGTCTCGTTTAGCAATTCGTATTCGTCAATGTCTTCCTCCTTTTGAGCGGAGGCTGGAGAGCTCGACGAGGGTTGACGCTTCCTGGGAGCCGGCGCGGTCTTGGGGGTCGGTCGCTTCCTCTTCTTCGAGTTGGATGGTGCATCAGATTCGTCAGAGACAACGAAGTCGGCCATATCGTCTATCCAGTAGTATTAATCGGACCGCCGTTACTTGAAGTGCCGCAGCGCGAGTACATACCATCGTCATCATCAAACGCATCGTCTAATGGACCCTCGTACTCGTCCTCATCATCGTCTTCGTCCATGACAGCGGCGCGGGCGCGGTTCCTATTTCGCGTCGGACGCGTCTTGTGCGACATGATGTCTTCGTCTTCGTCGTCGGACGGCTCCGCGTAGTTGACGCCTTTCTTAGCCTGGCAATTGGATTGTCAGCATACAGTCAGATGTGGAGGTTCCCATGTGTGGGGCGTACCTTTCGGGAAGGACTGCTGCTTGCGAGCACCGTGGGCGTGGGTGCTGGCTGGTGGTCGAGCTCAGCAGGAGACTTTGGTGACGGCAAGGAGTCGATGGGTACCTTGGAATCAACAGTCATGACATCGACATTCTCCTGGGAGCTCAGGGGTTCGGCTGCATCACTGCTAGGGACGGGAGTAATGGTGGACGGGCGTTTGGCAAAGGACAACGAGTTGGCCTTTGTGGTCTCCTTGAGGCACGTCGACGGTACCTTGTCTGTCTTGGAGGTGGATGGAATGGCAGACGCGGACGAAGCCGGGGCACCGGCATTGGGCTTGGCCTTGGGCTGGCTGGCTTTGGAGAAGAAGCCCAAGATGCTCTGCTGCTTCGCAGTGGATGAGGGCGTCTTTGCCGGCGTGCGAGCCGGGGCGCTGGCAGGTTTCTCGCCCATTGTCTCGTAGATGACAGGCCAATTCGATCCAATTACACAGATACAGACATCAGACAAAATCCAACGCACAAAGACAAGCGCCAGAAGGTAGAGACGAAGTGTGTGACAGTCGCGAGGCAGAGGTTGGTATGTAATGCTAGGAGAAGGGAGGCACATGTACTGGGAGAGAGTGTCCCCTCGAAATACTGGACCCTTTAGAGTTCACGACGCGTTCATGGAAGGCGCGTTGCTGGATCTGCGGTCGCGTCTGGCAAGGACCCTTGTACCGACAACGGCCCTGGGTGCGAAACTGCGAAACGGTGGCCCAAGCTCGAGCTGGAGCTGGAGCTCCAGGTCCAGCGGCAATCGGCCCCACCTGCTCCACCTCCCCAGCTCCACAAGCAACAACAGCTCTCGACGCGACTCCACTCCAAACTGCTTGCGGCGATGGCATCGAGTCAACAACATCCATCTGTGTTCACACGAGGTTGATCTGATGTCGAACTATCTACAACTATATCATCGCCAGTCCTGGATCTTTCTCTTCAACGATGTTCTAGAGATGAATCCGAGGCAATTCAAAGAGCACACGGCGTTGTCCAGGACAAGAGAAATTCCATCGAAGACGACCAGTGCAGTTTTCGAAGACGGACTGCGCATTTCACACCTGATATCGTAGATTACTCAGGAGACCGTGGAGCACAACCAAGCGGCGCAACCCGCCTCTGATATCACATTGTGAAGGTCCTGAATTAACCTTATGTGGTCTGATCGGCCTTCTTGCCGACACAACCCACGTTGCTTCGGAAAAGAAGTCCTGGACACGCCGCGTCGCCCCAGCATACGCCCAGATGCAACCAACTTGCACCCCACCTGCTACCTTCCCCAGGATATTAACTGAGTTTGAGTCTGAATCTGCCTGCCGGTATCCGCACATTGCTTCGCACGTTTGACCTCACGACACATAAATCCTGGCATCCCCACAAAATCTTCATCTAGTGACGCCGTTTGGACACCTGAAGCTTCACAAGCAGCACCCCGTCTACCGCATTTGCCCAGCTTGCCAAGTTCCAACTGGTGTACTAGCACTGGGTCCGATCCGACTATCCCTGCGCGATTTCCGGCCCTGTTGACCTTTTTGGGAGCCCAAGAGACACGTTGCAGTACGGACTGATACCATCAAGCAAGTGCGTTGAGCCCCGTCCTGCCCTCAAGCAAGACCCTGCTGTGGGCGTGCGACTGGACATGGCCTCTCTTATAGCCACCCAAGCATCCTAATAATGGGCGTTGAAGTTTCGATCTTGCCTCGATGGCGCATTTCTGTGTCGGCTCGACCCGACTGTTGTTGATTGGGAGACTGTTCTCTTGGCGCTTGGATATTCATCCGACAACGTGACTGATTGGGCAGGCCCCTCTGGAGCGGTGTACGGCGCAATTCAAAGCGGTGTCATCTAGTGATACCTAGGCCCCATTGGCGTTGCGGATCCGCGGTGCTCTGCGAACTGAGCACGAGGGCAGCAAGCAGTTCCTGGCCACAGTCAACCAACTGCAGGTACCCAACCGGAATCATTTCTCCTCAAAACGACGTTGTCCTTTTCAGAACCTCATCTGCGGAACCGTCGAGACGAGCTGTCTCGCGGCACGTACAGAGAGGTTCTGCCGCTCTTGATGCATGCTTAAGTAAAAAGCTTCCAAGGTTGTGATTACATTTCATGTCGCATCCGGTTTCGGGCCTGTTGTCGACGACATGCGAGGCATAGCAGTGCTGCTCACTCGTCACCAATAACGGCGCTCCCATGACAGAGCAATCTGGCACTTCATTGGGTAATGTGTAATATCATCGCCCACGCAGGATACCCTGGGTACACGACGTCGTGCAGTTTTCGTTGGCCATGCCCAGACGGGTGCTCACCGGTGCCAATCTGGAGCCATTGAAGCCCTAGGCAGAACAAGGTTTGTCTAGCCTTGCGAATTCCGATCCGCCCCCCACATCTGCCCTATCCTGCCCTGCCTCGTACAAGATTTCGGGCATTCTTTATCAGGCTGTTGTTATTCACCTGCTGGGTGTCATCACAGTGATGTTCCTTTCGAGCAGACCTTGGTAGACCTCAAACTACAAACCAAGGACGCGACTTTCGACCGGAAAACACTTTGCGACTGAATCGCTGGGTGGCAAAGGTGAGGCAGCGCGAGGCACCCAGTCAGACGTAACTGCGAACGCGGGAAAAGCTGTCAAAAATGCAGCATGACGCCTCGTCCAAGTTCTGCAGTACACTTACAATATTAAGAGCTGTGAGCGAGTTTTGGGTGCGTTTTCCGATGGGTAAGTCCCTGAAGAAAGTTGCACCCAAAACATTGAACTGGCCGCATCAACGGGCTTGAGGTACCGTTACACGGCTTCTTTTATAGCCCGTCCATCATTCAGGCACCATGAAACGGGGGCAAGTTACAGCAGCCAGGCTTCTGGATTTCGTAGTGATTTCTTAGTATTTAGGCTATTTCGTCATGGTTGGTTAACGCGGTCGTATGAGGCTGTTTTGCTGTGACGAGCTACGTTATTATGGCGGGCTATTTCGCTGTAGCAGATTGTTTTGCTTTGGGTTGGTTGAAAACGGAATTCTATAATAATTCTGAAAATGTGTACGGATTGAATTGCTTTAAGGGATTGAATTGGGTGCCCTGTAGGCCTGTAGACCTATAAATCTGCTCTGAAATTGACTTTGAGTGGGCTTCCGTAAGCCCTCCTCATATCCCCTCTGACATCGTCTCATCCGACAGCACTGTGCAGATTAAAAACGAAACCATTATACGGAACCTACGGTCCTGACACTAGAAATGTAAATCAGACAACATTATTCAGTATAATAGCTCCAATACCCATCACATTGGACCCCTTGCGCTCACGCAGGAAAAAGAATTACGTGCATATTTGGTACAACCTAATCACGCAAATGCGTCGTGTCCATTGTAACGCCTTCGATATTCAGGATCCACCCGATTCCGCAAAATATTTTCGTTCGACTGGTGATGATATTTCCTGGCCCAGCCTAACGCTCTTTCCACCTGGACTGGCCGATTTCCATGGCGGCGAATATACTGGTGGATATAGTTGACAGCATCGTCAAGGTCATATAGTCGACACTGGTCACCACCCGTAAGAATTCGATTAATTTTAGCGGAGAACGCATATGCCCATGGGGCAGCGTAGATTGTAAGTCCGTCGCCATTGAATACCACAGCGTTCTGCTGGACAGCAGCTGCTGTCAACTCGGTATGCATAGGGCCTGGCATCCACATTTGTGTTTCCGTGTTGACCCAATCTGTGCCGAGTTGCGGAATATGCTGCTGGGCATCGTAACTTGCCTCATCGAGGAGCATCCTGGACGCGTTCCCGAGGTAATCTTCGGAACCGAAGATATCGACGTCATGGGTGTTGTTGCGAGATCGCAAATAGAGGGTATTCACGGCACCACCAACGGCGATGGCGGTCACACGTTGCCCGCGCTGCGCGATGTAGCCCGAAACGTGGTTGAGGCCTGCAAGCAGGGTACCACGATCGACATCTCGTGTGAATTGCTGCAATGGCACCCCATGTGCATCCGCTCGGTTGTGGGATATGAATTGCGACATTTTGCGGTGCTCCGATGCTAGGCTGCGGCCGCTGTCGATGATGTTTTGTGGGCTTGCTTGGACCGCAGCCCATGGCCAATAGCACAACAATTTGCTCTGGATATAATATTGACTAATTCAATGAGATTAGTGCCTTGAATTGATATGGACGAAGATCGTATTACTGGTTTTGCTTTTTGACATACGAGAGTAGGTGTGGAGTAGAGCGCTAAGGTCGGGTTGCTGTTATTATATACCAAGAGTCTTTCCCTCTGTTCTGTGCTGAGATTTAACTGCCTGGTGTAGAGTCAATCAACCCTGCAAAATGCATACCCATACCGAGGCTATAGGTTCTAAATATGGACACCGTAGACTACATTTTTTCATGAGCCGTGCCGTTGACTGTGCTTTCCGACGATGCATGACGCTGGTTCGCTTTCGCATCCAATAATGAACCGATGTCATGACTGTTGGGAACAGCCTCGGAACATGCCTCCTGGTACATGTTTTAGAAGTGGACAAATGCGGCCACAAGAGGCTGGCTGAGATAGCGTAGAGGTGGTTGCGACCGGAGCCCAAAGGATTGGCACCGCGAATCACCAGAATTCACGCTTGGCCATCAAGACCAGACCGCAACTGTTGGTTCAACGTTGCAGGCGGTCTCTGACGCCCTTCAGCTTGTTTATAATTAGACAGCTTCCTCTCGTTCAGTGACTGACCACTCCATGCCCGCCTTAGGCGTACTCGCAGACTGAGCTGCATGGTTGGTGGCTGCGGTGACGCCCTAGAACACGTCTGAGTTGCGCGTCCTTGACCCAAACGCATACCTTTGCAGCAAACGCTGAGAGCTCCAGTTCGACAACCCCAAGCAGTCCTTGTATTGATTATATGTCCGAATTAAGTGGGCGTACGAAGTTGCACTCTGCCAGTGTTTCTGATTGAAGTTGTGAAATACTGCGTAACAAGTACAGAGGTAGTTAGCGGCAGGGGAATTTCTCTAAACTTAGGCACCAAGGCCTGGACAGGGCGGTTAGTAGGAGTCAGCGTACGCCCACCCAGCTTCTACAGTACGCCCACCCAGCTTCCAGCGATGGCCCACCCAGTATAAGGAAATTGGCTACACGCGCTATAAAATACTAATACTACGGGGTTCTTAATAAGCCAGGGTAGCTATTTTCTAATTTAAGCAATACTTTAAAAATATAAGCCCCTAAAGCCCCCAAAGCCCCCAGAGCCCTTAGAGCCCCCAAAGCCCCCAAAGCCCCCAAAGCCCCCAAAGCCCCCAGAGCCCCCAAAGGGCCCCAGGGCGCCCAAAGCGGCCCCAAAGCCCCCAGAGGGCCCTAAAGCGCTCAAAGCCCCCAAAGCGCCCAAAGGGCCCCAGAGCGCTTAAAGGGCGCAGAGCGCTTAAAGGGCGCAAAGGGCGCAAAGGGCGCAAAGCGCTTAGAGGGCGCAAAAGGCTTAGAGGGCGTAAAGGGTGCTAAGGGCGGCGAGGGCGGCAAGGGCGGCAAGGGCAAGCAAGAGCGCTAAGGGGGCAAAGGGCAAAAGGGTAAAAATAACTTTTAAGTTGCAAATAAAGGGGTAGCTATAAAACCCCTTTAAAATAGCTATAGCTTTGTTAACTTAAAAACCCTGCAGTACTTATATTTTAATGTGGATATAGTTAATTTTCTTATACTGGGTGGGCCAACGCTGGAAGCTGGGTGGGCGTACTGTAGAAGCTGGGTGGGCGTACGCTGACTCGGTTAGTAGCGGACGGCACAGCGGCTCGGCGGCTGGGAACAACGCGCTGATTGGCGAGGTGACTCCGCCCACCATCGAGCTGATCAGATGTTGCCACTGACTCCCGATGTCGTATTGACGCCTGGCGCCTTGTGCAAATCACACCAACAACACCAACTCCTGGGCATGCCGATGACTGACCTTGACTGACCCTTGATCCGTTGGATTGAGACAAGGGATGGCCCAAAGACTGTGTCGTGATCTCAAATCAAACGACTGCCTTCGTCGGCGGAGGTTCTGACCCTCGAATTTCGGCCTGCATCATGCAACAACCACTGACAAGCATTCGGCTTCGTGGCCAGCGAAAGCGACGTCTCGCCGAGGCGCTTCTGAAACGACTGCCTTCGACGCCTTTCGCGCCCACATCGTCATTCCCCATCAAAGTGGTATGCATTTCGGACACGCACAACAAACAGCCGATTCTGCCCGCCGGCGATCTCCTCATTCACGCGGGGGATCTCACAGAGAACGGTTCCTTTGCCGAAGTCCAGGCCGGGCTGACGTGGCTGTCATCCCAACCACACAAGTACAAGATCCTCGTCGCTGGAAATCACGATGTTCTCCTAGACGACAAGTTCCTCGAGAGATACCCCGACCGGCGCTACGGCCAGGCAAAGACAAAAGCAGATCTGAGTTGGGGAAGCGTCGTCTATCTTGAAGACAGCTCCGTGACATTAGATTTTCCGCTATGTGAACTTCGCAAGGGGGGCAATCTTGATCCTAGCGGTGTTTCTGCAGGCGAGACTGGTACACGAACTCTGACAGTGTTCGGCAGTCCCTGGACACCACAATACGGCGTCTCAGCCTTCCAGTATCGGCCAGACAATCATTCGCACTGGGCTGAGAGACTTGGTTCTCTGACACCAGATATCCTAGTCTCCCACAGTCCTCCCAAACTTCACCTGGACTTACGAGATTTCCATCGGGCTGGGTGCCCATATCTAGCAGAAGAGGTCAACCGCATTCGTCCGCGCCTCGTCGTTTTTGGGCACATCCATGCATCATATGGGCGTGAAGATGTCGTGCTCAACGCAACTCGGGCAGCGTATGATCAAGTACTCATTGGATGGGGTGGCTGGGAGACAGTACTCCGCATGGCAATTTTGGTACTATGGGCAAAGGTGGAAGGACTTTTTGAACGGGGCCGCCCGAAGGATAAGAGTACCGCCTTCGTAAATGCAGCTGTCGTCGGGGGGGCTAATAATGAGCTTCGGAACCCCCCAGTCGTTGTTGAGCTATAGACGCCGCTGCAGGGAATGAGAGCCTATTGAAGCGAAGACAAGATTTGATCGGCTACTCAGGATTGACGGGCGCCGACTGATACACAGTCATCGGATGAGCAATCGAATTAAAGGCGCCCTTATCACTGAGCGATGTTATCGAAGTGATTATTGAGACGATTCATGATCCGATCCAATGAGAGGGCAAGTCTTGCCTAGTTTTGTGAAAGACCGCGACCAAATCAAGGCTCCTCCAGAGTTCAGCGACCAAAGATGACAAGAGAGTATATGAACTGCCTGCAACTTCACGTGAGTCAATTCCACAAGTTGCACACAAGGAATTCCAGTGTTTCAAAATGAATTCATGTGAAAAAGATGTGGGGGGTCCATAGCACAATATTCTTGTTGAGGAAGTCCGGGTCCGCTCGTTCGTCCGCCTTCCCTATCAAAACCTCGCCGTCATGTGTGGGGATGAACAGAGTTTCCTCCAACGCTTTGGCAGCTTGGGCCCACTCGGGAACCTGCTCATACTGGCGGAGTTGATCCGGCTGATTCCTGAGTTCTTCAACCTGCTCGTGAAGCATTATTGCTGACATCTGCCGGCTGAGCCCAAGCTTGATTCTTTGGTTGAAAGATCGGGCAAGCAAATAAGTGCAACCAGCGAGAAAGGCATACCGCTCTGGGTCATCGTCTTTAGGGTCGGCTATGTCTTTGACCGCCCACGTCTTTTGCCTCCAAAACATCTCCAGTCCATTTCTGTACGCAAACACCTTGTCGAGTACAATGACCTCATACAAACGGTACAGCGCATATAGTGAGGAGTCCTCGAATGTGCCTTGAGGCGCCGCAAATTTCCTCTGCGCAATTTTCGCCCAATGCTGATCACGGTTTGGGATGAGATATCTCGGAGGCATTGGTGGAAAGACTGGATAATCTTCTGGGCGCGGATCATAGACTTCTTGCTTGTCCTCGGTCTGAGTTAGCGGCGCTGGACGTTGACACCGCATTATGTTGCGGACTTTGGAGAACATGGTCGACTGTTGAGCCGACAACCGTTGCCTCTGGTGTCGTCGACGAGCCCACGATCGCGGTGCAGGTGGACCGGGCCCAAAAAGGTGAGCATTGGCTTCTGGGAGTTGTTTGCGTGACGTTGCAGATTGAAAACTGTCGGTTGGTGGTCGGCGCACAGCTAGGTAGCTTAGTTGAGCAGGAGTGGTTTCCAAAGTTTGGTACCAATGACCACCACTGACTCTTGGCCCGCAGGTCACGTGTCGATGCTGTAAGTAACCCGGCACATCGACATTCGCAAATCAAGCTTGTTCAGCGATGACTGGGCACGGCCTGCCATTGTGGATCCCGGCAGGCAACCAATTTAGCAGCACTTAAGCCTCTCAACCGGGCCACTGTCGGCCTACCCAGCTTCTACTGTCGGCCTACCCAGCTCTTTGCGTTGGCCCACCCAGTACTTATTTTTTTAATAATTTATTAGCAATTTTAAGTCCTCCCCTAACCCTCTGCCCATTTTTACCCCGCACCCTTTTTTATATTCATTATACTCTTTCCCCTCTTTGTACCCTTTGTACCCTTTGCGCCCAATTGCCTTCTGGGCCCTCTGCACCCTCTGCGCTTAATTGCAAAGGGCGCAGGGGGCAATTAAGCGCTGAGGGCGCTGAGGGTGCAGAGGGCAATTGGGCGCAGAGGGCTCAGAGGGCAATTGGGCTTAGAGGGCAATTGGGCTTAGAGGGCAATTGGGCTCAGAGGGCAATTGGGCAGAGGGCAATTGAGCGCAGAGGGCGCTGAGGGTGCAAAGGGTGCAGAGGGCCCAGAGGGCAATTGGGCTTAGAGGGCAATTGGGCTTAGAGGGCAATTGCGCAGAGGGCAATTGAGCGCTGAGGGCGCTAAGGGTGCAGAGGGCCCAGAGGGCAATTGGGCGCAGAGGGCAAATGGGCGCAGAAGGTACAAAGGGTACAAAGAGTGCGGGGTAGAAATTTACAAAGGGTTAGGGGAAGACTTAGAATTATTATTAAATTACTAGAGAAAATAAGTACTGGGTGGGCCAACGCAAAGAGCTGGGTAGGCCGACAGTAGAAGCTGGGTAGGCCGACAGTGGCCCCTCTCAACCAAGGCTTCAGAATAGTGATCAATCAAGCATCCTACACAGCACGAGGATTTACACCACCAAGTTCGTGCTACAGAGTAAATCATGGCGAAACTCGCAAACACACGACCAGCCTCGCACGGAAAATGGTTCCAATGTGCTCCATAGATACCGGTTTACACCCTCGTTTGTTTGACCAGTCTCGGATTTGTGACTGGTCTCAACGAGGAGGCCTAGCCCCGTTGTCACCAGCCCCGCCCTCCCCAGTTGCCTCCTAACCAGTCATTGCTCTTCCCGTTGGGACTGGTCAGATATAGACAGTGGTCAGCATCCCCCACATCATTGACCGGTACGGGTTTATGACTGGTCTTGACGACCGTTCCTAACACCAGTCACCACATAGGTGCAGCCATCCGTCTAAACACCACATACCAGTATCACATCACCATAGCTGCCTCATGCATCAATTTAGGAGCAGAAAGCAATCGCATATTGTATTCTCCTTTTAAGCACCCTAGACATCACGCCAACCTTAAGTGCAAGCAAACCCAGTGTGATAGTAAGTATCACTGCCTAATCACTGTCCGGCAGTTTGGGAAAGTACCGCGAGGCTTGCTAATCATGTACCTTTTAGGACCTACAAGGCTGCCAGTGCGGCGTTGTAGATATGGCCAGTCCCGAAAGCGGCAGCGAGGACCGCGTCACAGGCATTACATATAGTATAGATTGGAAGATCTCAAGTTAGATTAGATGAACCTGGAGCTATCCTTATCAGCCACTACACATGAATTGTTTATTCGCTCTGATGCTTGTATTGTTGTACTCAATTTCTTTGGGGAAAATTCAACATGTGAGTTTTGCATGGAACGTGATTTGGGAATAATTCCTCAGGTGTACTATGGGAGAGACCTGCTCTAATTAGACGTGGGAATAAATCCAGCCTGCGTGACAAGTTGTGCTGTGGATTGAGGATGCTGTAAATAATCAACATTCTCTTCTCAGCATAGTCATATCCTTTTGTATTCTTGGAGGCTGGAGATTCAACGCATTCACTGGTCTCTTGGAATTTAAATGGCCTTCGTTGAGAACGTCGTTGGTGGGTAAGTAATATAGGTTATCTCATGTGCTGGAAATGCTTGGAAGCATTGACAGGAGGACTCGTGCCCAGCATTAGGCTGACAGTGATAATTCACTGCCTTCTGAAGCTAATGCTAGATATGTGTCCCGCACAACTGCACCCAAATTGTGTGAACACATTGGAGGCTCAGGGAAATATTTTGGCACGGTGCAGATTAGCATTCGCTCGACCTTCCGGTCGTTGACTGTGCCGTTGAGGATTTATAGCCCACATTGTAGGCCATTCAGTCTCTTCCTTTCTTGTTTTCCACGTCGCCGTGGTACATTCTAAATGCCGGTCCTGTGTCTCCTCCTCGTGTTGCAGACGCAGGCTTAGACCCTACTAGTAATGCCCAGTGGGCTTGCGAAATGCAGGTAGTGCTACCTGCACGAGCACCTGTCACTCATCGCACAAAGTTCTGCCCAGGCCAATGTATGCTCCTATATAGAAATACAAAATTGGCGTCGCGGACCCAAATTAAGCAGCAGGGTGTCTGACCGGCACAACTGTGCAGGCCGCCGAGGCAGCTTTCCTAAATCCTTGGCTCGCGGCTGGGGAGCGAGAAGGATGTGAACACTCATTCGGCGGCCGATTTAATCGACAAGAGAACGCCCAAACAATTTTCTCTCGTTAATGGGAGATTAAAGGACTTGGCTCTTCAGAGACGTGAGAACCCACGAGCCGTTTCGGACTTTGGAGGTATGGCAACTGGTGTCACTGTTCGCTACGGACATCATGAAACGCGGCGCTTGAGATATTTCTGGGATTTATACTGTTCAATTGGTTCAGTAAAGATTGTGGCCATGATATGATCTTGGTGAGTATGGTGAAGATATAAAATATGGTGGAGATAGAACTTGATTGGATTGCTCTTGTTATTTCTTTGCAGGACAATAAAGGAATAGCACGGCGAGAATATGCATTCCAATCCCCACGTACTGGACATCGTTCTATCGGAGTTTGATGAACATTAAATGGCTGGGGGACGTGCGTACGACCAGTTGGCGTCTAGTAGAACTAATTTGACTGCTCATCTCCTCAGATCCGATTCGATTTGATTGAATTGAAGGATCCTGCAGCAGTTTGCAGCGCAACAGCTGGCTACTCGTTGTGCAACCACATGACTAGCTTTCATTGGCTCCTTGGTGGCGGTGCCCCTGGAAATAGGGCGATCCGCTGCGGCACGGAGCCAGTAAGCAACTCGCAGACATCGGTGGGAACGAAGCTGACCCTACAGCTAGGAAGCCTCGCTGCACACCTGTGCATTTGGCAATTACTATAAAACCGCCGACATGGTCACTACATCATGTCCCACATCTTCAGGCTTATTCTCGCACAAGGCTCTCAGATCTACACGATTGTCCTCTCACCCATCTGTCTTTCGTCTTCATTGGCTCCAGCAGTCCCATTCCTCCTGCTACTGTATGCCTCCTACAGCTTCCCAGCAGTCATACAAAGCCCGTAAGCAATGCTGCAATATGTCCATACATCTCGACCCTGACTGATATGACATATACTAACTATTTGATCTTAGTGCCAGCACGATGCGTTTTCTAAACACCGAAAACTTCAAGATCCACCATTCCACGGGTCCTCCTCCTTCATACTCAGTCTTTTGCCATGCCCACGGCTGTGACGATATAGGCTTTGAAGACTTCAGCAACCCTGAAATGCTTCCACACAAAGCAGGATTCCATCGCTTGTGGCAAGCCTGCAATCGAGCCAGGAACCACGGCTCAAAATGGCTATGGTCCGACGCCGTGTGTATAGACAGAGGCTCCAGCGCTGCCCTAACAGAGGCTTTCAACAGTCTAGCCCGTATCTATCAGGAGTGCACCTTTTCCCTTATTTATCTCGAGGATTTACCACCCGGCGACTGCATTGACGCTGGCTTGGAGAAGCGGCTCGCGAATTGTGCCTGGCTGAGGAACGTTTGGGTTCTGCCGCAGCTCATATTTCCAAAACACTCGTACATCTACGACAAAGACTGGAACGAGATCGGCACGAAGACATCTTTGGCTCGGCAATTATCATTGGCGACCTCCATCGAGCAATCTGTCCTTATCAATCCAGCGGCACTGGGAGAATATTCCGTAGCTAAGAGGATATCTTGGGCCTCACAGCTTGACGCCTCTCGACCTGAGGACAGGTCCTTCGCCCTGCTCGGGATCTTGGGGGTTCACATGCCAATTGTCTATGGAGAAGGTCACAAAGCTTTCATCCGACTACAAGAAGAAATTTTACGAGACACCAACGATTATTCCCTGTTCGCTTGGCGCCCAGAAGTACCCCAAGAATACCGAGGTCTTCTCGCATATTCTCCAGCAGAGTTTCGGCATTTCGACAAAGCGCCGAACGGACCATTCCGCATCAGGGGCGAGGTGCAACCCATTTCAGCCGGTATCATCATCCATGCGCATTTCCAACAAGTCGGTCACGATATTGTTCTGCCTCTGGAAAATGCTGAGGGATTCGTATACTCCATACGACTGTCGAAGTCTGGACAAGGCTTCGTAAGGAGCTGCTCCGCCTCAGAGATCAATTTAGTCCAATCCTCGTGGATACAGCAACCATCGAGGGTGGATTCGGAAACAGACCAGAAACACCCAGAGCGAGGGACGGGTCAGGATGTTGTTCTACGCGTTTGCGTCAAGCGTGAAATGACAACGTCAAGCTGTGGCACTGCCAATGAGCTTCCATCTGGAACTCGTTGTAGCGCGAATGAGCCCTTGAGTCCTGTCGACAGCGTTATGAGCTCACCATGGGAGAGTCGGTGCCACTATTCTCCTACACCTACTTCGTCTCACGACACCAGCTCCAAAGGTTTATTCGATCCGAAGACAAATCCTCAGGAAGGGTCTCCTGCAAAGTCAGTCAAGGGCATGCGGTCGAATGGCGAAGTCGAGACACATCCCTCCTGTAGCCTACATTGTGAAAGACGGATCGAGACGTCGAAATGGGTCTATGCTTCTGCGGATTTCAAAGGTAGTGGTGTACTGGATCAGTGTAGAAGGTCCAGCATTTCCACGGATGATATTTCTCTGGCGGCAGCGATTTCAACACCCCGGACACTCGATGCAGACCACCCATTCTTAGTGGCCGTGCCAATTCTCGCCGACTCACTGATTGAGCTTTTTCACTCCCAGCCATCTAAAGAGTCTTCAAAACGATCGAGACTATATCAGAATATACAGGGGAGAAAGAGGGCCAGGCTCAACTGCTCTGAATCTTGCGTTGATGTTCAACAGACCCTTGACTCCGAAGATATCGACACCGTGGTCGTCCAGCACATGAGAGAACAAGACAAGAATTTTGCATGCCCGTTTTATCTTCGGAACAAACAGAGTCACCGGACATGTTTGACAAGGTACCAACTGAGAAATATGGAGGATGTCCGGGAACACCTGTGGGCGGTCCACCGACAGCCTTTGTTCTGCCCAGCATGCGGGCAAACATTCTCTAGAACTTCTGATTGCAACAGCCACATTCGAAGTCGTATCTGCACTCCCCAATCGATTCTGCCGACCTTCGAAGGGGTCACAATCGGTCACATCCAGGAGCTTGCAAGGCAAGCCGAGCTGCCATTGTCGATGGAGAGTCGTTGGCTCGCGATGTGGGGAACCATCTTCCCTCACACGGAAAGGCCACCTTCGTGGCTCTACGCGGCCGAGGAAGAACTCAGGGTGTGTGAGCTGCGTGGATTCTGGAGTAAACACATGCACAGCATGGTGGAAGACATCCTGGAAACCCAGGGGCTTCAAGTTCATGCGATGAGCGACGAGGGCGAGGATCTCGAAGCGCTATATAACACGGTCCTGAACGAAGCCATGGACAAGATGCTCGGGTGCGAGGAATGCGTTTGAGTCGATGTGGGAAATTTGACGACGCGCGTCGGCGTTGCGATGGGTTGCTCAGTTATTCCATGGTGGTGGCTGATTTAGCGTCCTTGACAGTCGGCGAAGTGATTTGAAAAGCCTCAGCCTTAGCTAAGATTTTCCTCATTTGGCACAAGCAGGTCCTGTCTTCCAATCCTAATTACATTTCCCGTATTCGTGCATCAATTAGTAACTTGAAGCCGGTATCTACAATTTGGGACCTACGAAGTGAACCTCGCTCCTCAAGCCCTCCCCGAATTCCGGCCAGCAATGAAGTTTCCTGTGACTCCCCGGTACGAATATTTTACTCTTCTGTTTGGCAGCCAACAGTATCAGGTTACAAGATCTGACTAACTGTCTAGGCATGTGAGGACTCGCCGAATTGTTGTAGCACATGAATTGAAGAGAATCTTGGGCCCGGGTTGCTTAGTCCTGGACCAAGCCTGGACGGCACTTGAGTCCTGAGAATCCTGTGGTATGAAAAAAAATTGCATTCTGTGTCCCTGGTCGGGAAGGTCATTATTCATAAGAGAAGTTGATCAGACATTGTTACAATCTGAGATGCCACAGATCGACTTCTATCAGAGCTTGGCGTACCTCAAGAGTGAGATACTACCAACCATCAAAGGAATGGAATGTCGGCCGTCTTTCTACCCCTCAACACTGCCAAGAAAGGCCATCGACGGAAAGCAGAAACGTTCCACATCCAGAAAATTCCGACCAAGGAGATAAGAACATATAGTCTGCGTGAGTGTATGGTCCTGTGAGGGAATGTATACCGACAAAATGGTACACGCTCGACCTCACCAGCTGGAACCAGCTGTGGACAACGTATAGTAGTTTGTAGTTCAACAATGACAATTCGGAGAGACTCCAAGGAGACTGCTGGCTGTCGATGATGACCTTATGGGTGTGGAAGGTACAACCCAAAAGTTCTGTGATTCGTCCTCGGCAATCGGTGCAAGTGTCGAGAAGATCGTGTTGTAATAGGAGTGGGTCCCGCAGAGATAGTGGAACAAGCCCCGAGTAGAAGCTTGCTCACAGATCTTCCGCGGTGGCTCTCCTCTAAGGAATTCTTCCCCAACTGAGAACAAAAGAAACCGTGATTTCGTGACCTTGAGTACTGGCCCAAGTCCGATGGATCCCATACGATCCTCAGTTTGGACGATATGAGCCCCATGTATACTGCTCGGACGATCCAAGGAAATCGTCCCAGGAAAGCTCTTGGTTCACCAAGGGCTGGCTTGACCCTTCGCCAAACTCGGGCTGATAGATGCCAGTCCAGCCTGGGTCCTGTGATTCCGATGATTGTACCAGAGGCGGGGCATAGCCTTGGGCAAGTGGATTTGCAGCCAACCCCTGACCACCTGCCTGGTTTGTCGGAGGCTGGATGGAGCTTGATGGTGGTGCAGGGTTGCTAGGCCCTTGAGCAGCATGAAGTGGAGCAGGGTCCCCAGACGGTGTTTGCGAAGAACCGGCGAGGGTAGTGGCACGACTGTGGCCATGCTGGACCGGCCTGGCAACACTGATGAAATGGTCGATTATGGACCATTCATACGGTCCAAAATTTGTCGCGGACGTGCCGGACGACAATTCCCGCGATTGATCATTCTCGATAGCGGCACGTACGTCAAGCATTCCCTGGACCAAATCTGTTTCCCCTGAAGCATAAGGCGACTCCGGGTCGTCAACGCCGGGGTAAATCACGCGCCACATCATCATCCACCGCTCAACAGCGTTAGAGCGATGACGGTGTCTCTGGTTGGCAATCTCTGTGATGGTTTGAAATTGTTCCGCAGTGATTCCAGTTATGCTAAACGACTGAATTTGGCATGTTCTCGCAGCGATGTGCCTATGCAGACGCTCGAGAGACGGGTCGTTGTCAAATGTCTCGCCACAGGACGGGCAGGGGGGTGCCTGGATGTGCACTCGAAGAATGTGTTGTCGAACGTCCGAGGTTCGTCTGAACCTGCGCTTGGAGCATTCGTGGAGAGGATGCCTGTTTCTGACGTAGAAAGGACACAAGAACAACTTGACGCTGTCCTCTTCGTCCGCCATAGGAAGTTTGTTGGGAGGGGAAGATCCGTCGTCGCCGCCCGGTCGTTTACTGATCTGCTTCTGGTGGCCACACTGGGGAGCCCCGAATCCGTAGTCGCGGGCAGTCCTGTCGACTACCAGTCTGCCGCGTGGTCCCGTGAAACGTGTGTCGCTCGATCCAGAGCCATCACCAGTTCCCGGCCGGTTTGTCTGGCCTTCGTATACAGGAATGGATGAAAGTTCCAGCTTGGAGAAAATGTGGGCCAGAAGCGCCACAACGTCGTCGTTGTTTACTTGCTTGCGATGAGGGCTGTATGACAAGGCAATTTCCGAGACAATGACCGGGAGTCCTTGGAGATTGGGGATCTGTTGGGGTGTGATCTTACAGCCACGCGTTTGTTTAGCTGACGATGTGAGTTGTTCAGGATGACTGTCAACATCGAGGGCAGGACCAGAGTCCATGTTGGGTTTGCTTGAATAGACCCAGGTAAGGGCGGGATGCCCAAGAGGACGACTATGAGCTCGAAATATGTACGAGAACCAGCGACGAGAAAGAGCACTAGACAGTGTGGAAATCAGCCGTTTTGAGCCCAACGACGGGCACCACAAGCCACACCTTGTTCAATACCAGTGCGCACGGGTGTATTCGCGGAAAGAGAGCATTGTAATGGGTGGCCTGCACAGCCGCGTTCGAGTTGTTGCGTGCCGGTGAGTGTCTTCCCCGGATTGCACGCGAGACACGTCCACTGCCCAATGCGCCCCCATGTGGCTAACGAAAAGCCGAAGGGCCATAGGCTGCGGGTGTGGGGCTCGCCACCCATCACGTTATGGCCTTGGTTGCCTTACCCTACTGCGATGCTCACCTGTGTCCTCAGCTGCGTATAATGTCCTGTTTTGCAGTCCATTCGTCCACTAGCAAGACGGAGTTGACATCCGGCTATCGAGATCCGGAGCCTGGTTTGAAGATCAACCCCGAAGCGAGAGCTTGCCTATGGCTTTCTTCAGCACGTGAGAGACTTGGGATGCAAGGCATGTGTAAAAAGCCTAATTATTGGGTAGCACTGTCAGTATCAGAGTGCGCGGGCGCGTGGTGATTCGGCAATGCAGCTGCCAGCGCCTGCATACAGCACGCGCATCTTGTACAACTCAGACGCCGAGGCGTAGTTATCGACTATTGCTTTTGTGCTGAAGAATGCACACATCACCTGCAATTGGTTGCGCGAGCGTGTAGTGAGCTCCGCGGTCCTATCAGCACAGATGGGGCGTCATGCAGGTGATATGGATGCATGTGCAGTCAGCGCTCTCCCCACTTTTGGGAGAAAATGGAGAAACAATTGACGATCTTTGTCACTTACCGGTTTGGGCGGAGCCTCGTTTCTATAAAGAATGTAAACTGCAGTCCTGTCCGGGAGAAATCTCACCTCCGCTCAATGACGTGAGGCCCGGCCAGGTCTGAGGCTAAGACAACCAACTCAAAGAACTCGACAGAAGAAGGTAGAGTCGAAATAGACGACTGGCCTCGATAATCAAACAAATTTCATTGGAATTTGGCGGTTGGCATCTGCAGTCTGATCGATTGGGGGCGGGGCTCGATAGGCATATCTTGGGTAGTGGGCTCGTGGTGTAGCGTCAAAATGCCGGAAGACAACTTCCTGACCCCTGAAAAATACTTGAGGGACTGGGCTGATTCAAGAATAAATGACATGGTGCCCCAATTATACTTGATTTAAAACCAGGCCGCTCGTCGTTGCCGGCGGTCCGGAGGGGTCCTCGGCCAGTTATCTCTCACCCGAAAGCTCTGTCGCCTGGTTCCAAATTTAGCTGCTTTTGACTAGGATGCCAGCCAGGTGCTACCATTAGGTAGTGAAGTACATTGAACAATTCCCACAATTGCCACATTCTGGGCGCAATGCAGGCTGTGTTGTTTTGGCTCCGCACTCGTGTACCGATGCCCCTGTCTACGCAGATGCGTATCAGTGCCCCTGTGACCCGAGTGCGTCACCTGCAGCCGACGCGGGATAAACAGCCTATCAACTGTTTCTACACTACCTAGGTACGCTTCTGCGTACGATGACCCCCGCGGTAATGCACATGTAACTGCAATTGGTTGAACCATTCTAAGGAGCGGTGTCAGCATGCTGCTTGCATTTCTGGGCATGGGTGTGGCAGATGTGACGTACGTTAGAAATCTACTTTGTTTGCTTTACCTCTATCGGGGTAGTTGGCCTCGAAGCCCTTGTTAGGGAATGACATTGCGAAACGATCGCGGTATAACGCTGAGGTGAGGCTGTGGGAGCAGATTTACTGGGGTTGACGCGTCGTCGCCCCCTACTTCTAATCCGACTCTCTCAGTTGAGTTGCCTGAATTTGAGGTACTGGCCTCTTATTCTACGCGACCGCTCCCTTTCCAGACCCTTGATCCACACTGTCCTTTGGCAAGAAGACTCTCTGTAACTTTGCCTCAAATGAACGAGATCAACGCATATAATCAGTGCGATGATTTGCGATTAACGCCACCATTCGCGTTCGACGAATACAACAGTCAAGGAATCGACGGATGCGACAACGATTTCTTCAATGAAATATGGCCAGAAATCGCGTCCATGAACTTGGCCCTGGACTGGAACACTTGTGGTCTTTCAACTCTCGACGACGCCAAGGATCCCAATGTCTTGCCATTGTGCTCAGAGAACAATAAGCATTGCGACGATGTGACTGTGACTGGGGGTTTCCAGGGTTGGGCCGGTGACTCGAGTATTAGTTCTGAGAGTACGACAACGCAATCAGAATGTGCCAGCCCAAACCCAGATGCTGGAATTGGCTTCTTCAATGATCAATGGACGGCGGATCCTTCAGGCCAAACAAACATCTCTACGGTATCGGCTCTTCCACAACCGTGTGCAGACTTCCTTTACACGCACGAGGAACAGTCGCAAGATACTCGATATTTGGTCAATGACAATGAGAGCCGCAAAAGGCGTAGATCAATACTGTCGGTTGAGGATGAGGATTCAGGAGACAAGCAGTCCACACACAGACATGTCGAGCAAAAACGCATGCTCGCCTGCCCGTATCGAAAGCTCGACCCCCACCGGCACCGCGACTGCCTCAAGTACACCCTCCATCGAATAAAGGACGTGAAGCAGCACATAGACCGCCGTCACAGCTGCGAAGTTGGGCACAAACCATGTTTGGAGGGCGTCACGGACGAGCAAAGGAGGAAGCTGAACAAGACCTCATCCCGGAATAAGTCCTTGGAACTACAGTGGTTCAACATGTGGGACATACTGTTCCCGGGTAAAAAGCGGCCACGGTCTGCGTTCTCAGGCAACTACATCGAGGAGGTTGTTCATCTCATCAGGGATTGTTGGGATGACAAGAGTTCCACATTGATCGGCAGTGCAATCCGAAAGCATGGAGACATTCCAATCGACAAAGATCTCCTGGACAAGGTCATGGGAACTTTGTTCAAACAGCTCGAGGAAGAAGTTTGTAGCCCCTCGCCTTCCGGTGTCTTGAATTCAAAAATGGGTGACGTTGGGCCGGACATTGCGCAGCGCGCTCCCAAGAGATCAAGGACGCAGTGATCCCAGCAAATCAATCACCACCACAAATCTTACGATATAGTCAGTATAGCGCCCGACTCCGAGGGATCGGAATATCAAAACTACTGGTCACTCCATGAATTTTACTCGCCCAAGAGCGGTACTTGAATGTATACTTTTCCATTTTTGATACCTGTTGCGCAATACTTCTACAGTAAGTATCCTTACTCGTGTCTTTCATAAGTTGGAGTTCAATCTGAGGCACCTTTGTAATTGTGTGACTTGAAAGTTGCTGAATATCCAAGTAATTGGTTCAAGCGGCTAATACGGCTCCAATTTCGCAGCACATACTTCCATTCAAAGAAATGGAATGCAACAATGGTATCTGAATTGATCTCAATTACTTCGGAAGTTCCTCCCAAGGGAAATGCGGGCTAGGTCTAGCGCACTTACCCAGGCAAGTCGTCATCCTGGAACACAAGAACCCAGGTATGCGACCACAAAAAAGGTACAAGCATGCAGCTAGAAACTGTTATTCGATGAATATGAGAGTTGCCCGCAACAACGGCGTTGATAAAAGGTGGCAAAGTTTAGTTCCTGCCTTGAACTTGTCACACAATGTCAGGGTTGGCAACTGTTGTTTGCGGTGGAACAAAGACTGTCTGTTCCTACGTGTCAACCGTGTAGCGATATCACTATTTTTAAGCGAAGGTTCAACACCAGTGCAACATATCGTTGGGATACAAACGGGTTGAGAACTGTGCCGGAATCAGTGTCCATCCCCGTCTGGGTAAAACTCCATGAATTTTCGTTGCGATTTCACCTAAAAAGAGCTAAATAGAGCTTTCCATTTGGTGGTTGATTCCGAATTCTATCGCCTGATTCCAGGATGCCAGTATCAGCGCATAGAAAATGCTGAAAGAATCCCATTTATCGGGTGTTCGTCAACAAAATGAGAAATAGAACTAGCACGATTTGTGGTGGTGAGTCCCATGGCGATTCCCAGGCATAGTGATAGGCTCGCACAAAATACAATAAAGGGTACCGCATCACTGGCATTCGTGCGCATCATTGCGGCATTCGGGACCCAGCGATGATTACGATCAAAAACAGCAACGAATTTTGCAACATGCGTCAGACAGCTTAGTCTCGCCAGCACCAGCAAGAGATGCAGTCACGTTGCAACACCGAGCCACCAACGGGTAATGACTTTGGATTGAAACATCCGGGGATTGCTTCACTAGGGTGGGGGGGGGGGTGAGATGAGTGCGACCTGCCTTGATGTTGACAAAGGTCGTGCCGGGCTGAACTCCAGGGCTTTTGTGAGGGTCACGTCCAGCAGTCCAGCACCCCCCCCCCCCCCCCCCCATCCTGCACACATGCATCTCACTGGCATATCTCGAGCATCCCTGCCAAGAAATAGACGATCGAACGGTCTCGACCATGCGGCGAGACCCGTCTTGCAGCCGTTCTCGTGCCAGGCACTCACAGCTCCCGCCGTCGTCATCCTCCCTCATCAGGCTGAGGAGGTTGTATTCGTGCAACTTAAAACATGAGCATGATTCCGGTCATGATTCCCGATTTGTTAAACCGACCGAGCATTACATGGCTTGGATTGTCGTCCCGAAGTTCAGCGACTTGATCATTTACTCCGCCCATCACTCGTCCGTTCGTCCAGGCGGAGACCGATCATCCGCTCAGTGGTGAGTCTCTTCATTTTCTCCCGCTAATCAACGACTGGCCTGACGGACGAATATTCCGCCTGGAACGATACTGCGCAAGTAGATTATGCATGCATGACGGTACTTATGTATGATGAAGAAGCAGGACCGGGAAAGTTGGGATTGAGAACAGACGCGGGCAAATGCCCTTGACACTCTTCCCAAAGTTCAACCCCTATTTTTCCACCAAGAGGAGTCTTTTCAACACTTTTGTACGGACAGCGAATGGTGTCCCTCGGACATGTGCCACAGCAGCTCACTAAGACTTCATCATGCATCATCAGGCATGACACAAGACATCCGACCAGAGATTGAGCCCAATGACTGGAAGGATTGCCATTGGGGGGAACACAAATCATCAACACCTGCCACTCACACCGAGATCGATCTTCCAGGCTCATCTCTCTGGAAACTGTAGTACGTGGAGGGAGAGTATCGATGGGTTGTCATTCCGAGTGGACAGCCGGTGCGCATCTCACAGACCGGTGGAATTAAAGGCCTCTAATCCTCGGACGTATATTAACCTCTCAGAGGACCCCTGTTCCAAGATTGAAGGGGCAGTGGAAGCACTGCTGTTGAGGAGCCTAAATCGATACTTTGTCCCATTGAGAAGGAACTCAGCAGCAAAGCACTCATCTCTTGGCTCATCGGCAGAGGAACGTTCCTTATGCCGATTCAGTTCAACCTCACGCCACTTTGATCATCGTCGGGTAGTTCAATACCATGGCGTGGTTTAGCGCGAAGCCAAGTCGGGGACGAGAGGGGCTGCTCCATTGTAACACAGCATTACCGTAGGCTACCATAATAGAAGAGATCTTCTGGTACCAGGCTTTGCACAACAAGTTTTGAAGTGTTTGGCGTTTGTTGATCCAAAAACCTCTTGGTTGACGTAAAAACCCTGTCTTAGTGCCCCATAGACATCAGCGATGGAAATCATCATCGCGGGTGCCGGAATGGCCGGCCTGAGCACTGGGATTGGTCTGCGCAGGGCAGGCCACAAAGTGACGGTTAGCAGCCACCCCGAACCCCATGTGAAGTCCTCCCCCCTCTTCTCTGACAAACATGAACGGCGCAAGATTATCGAGCAGTCCTCGATGCACGAGGTGGGAGCAGCCATCACCATCAAGCCCAACGCCTCGCGGGTGCTGCAATCATTGGATTTTTGTCCCGGAACGGTCGGGCATGGTCGCCATACGCAAGACCAGCCTGATCGACGGAACGAACATGGAAGTCTTGGTCCCTAACTACTACAAGGACTGCGAGTACAACTGGGGCATTTCCATGCACGCCGTCCACAGGGTCGACCTCCACACCCAGCTGAGGCAGGTTGCCACGGAGAAGGAGGGCCCCGGGCGTCCCTGCGACGTCCAAGTGCGGTCGAAAGTTGTTGAATATGTGAGTGGAAAGGGCAGAACTTGCGCATAGGGAGAGATTCTGATGCGCATGCACCAGGACGCCGAGAATGGAAAGGTCACGACCGAGAGTGGTGAAGTCCTGCAGGCTGAGCTCATTGTTGCCGCGGATGGAGTGCACTCGACAGCCGTGAAGCACGTCCTGGGCGACGAGGTTGTCCAGGTCGGGGACACGGGCTGGGCGTGCATGCGGTGGCTGGTGCCGACAGAGGATTTGATCTCGGATTCGGAGACCGCACACATGATCCACAACTCGGCCACGAGGTATTTCACAGCGGCCGGAGGAGCTGCTGGTTTGGTGTGGTATCCGTGCCGAAAGTGCGTCTTCTTCGCCCTTTACAACCGATTGTCTAGCACCCTGCTGACTGGTACTTTTCTCACTCCTAGTGACGAGGTGCAGAACTTTCTGTATCTCTCACGTGAATTTGACACATCGCATGTGGGAGAAGGTACTAAAAGCCTCAACTCTCAATGAACAATTGATCCGTCGCTAAAACAGATTTCTAGATTTCCGAGCGATAGTGGAGCCAAGCATGCCGCTCGAACATGCCAAGAAGCACTTTGCCCCGGCTCTGCACCCTGTGATCAAGTGAGTCAAGGAAACACTGACTTACCCGCCACATCCTTATACGTCATGTAGAAAAGGGGGGAAACTGGTTGCGAGGGGTCCAATTCCAAAGTGGCACAAGGAACGACTCGTCCTGGTCGGCGACGCTGCCCATCCCATGCTGACCTGTAAGCGGATACCCAGCTCCAATGAGTGTTTCCAAGAACTATTCATGCGAATTCTACAAACAGTCCAGGGCCAAGGAGGCGGGCAAGCGATCGAGGATGGCGCTGCCCTCGGTATCCTGCTTGACCAGCTCGAGGACAGAGGCGCTATGGAGAGCCGGCTACAGCTGTTCGAGAAGGTCAGGCGCAATAGGGGGTCGGCGCTGCAGATTCTTTCCAACGTCAACCCTCCTGTACCGCAGAGCGTTCGTGACATTGCGGCGGAGTATCTTCCTGGTAAAAGGCTCGACTCTGCCGACGATGTCAACGAGTACATGTTTTCGTTTGATGTGATTGCGGAGTCAAAGGATATGTATCTGAGGACATTTGACATTGGCCGACAATGAAATACGATTGCTCATTTTTGGCACCCCATCCGAGCATGACGTGCAGATACAGAATATTGTGTGGATAGCTTCATTAAAGCTCACAAGGGCCATTCTTTTAATTTTATATTTTATAATTGTATTGCTATTTATAATATTAAGAAGCTAGTAATAAGGTAATTATATTATTATATTATATAATAGTGTTAATATAATTTACTTGCAATAAAAGTTAGTTTTATATTATTATAGTAAATAAAAAGATATTTAAAAGGAAAGTAATAAGTAATTATTATTTTATAAGCATTTTATATATCTTTCATTATTAAAAGTTAAGAGTTAAAGTCTTTAATATACTACGTACTTTTATAGCGCTAATAATATCTTTATTATTAATAACTTTTAAAAGGTATTTATACTTTATATTAATAATAACTTAAACCTTAAAGCAAAGTATAATAAAGATAATAAAGCATTATTTTATTAAAGTATATTATGGTATTAATTAACTTAACTTGCTATATTAATTAATAACTATATAATTTAGTATATTTTATAAGCTAAGATTAAGCTATTATACTTATTAAAACTATTATTATATAGGCTTGCCTTATGTATTAGTATTTTAGCTTTTAATTTAAGAAATTATATAAGTACTTTATGTTTTAATTAAGATATAAGTATATTATTAAGTATTATATATTTATAAAGCGTTAATACTTTAAATAATATAAAATTAAGTCTTTTATTAAGTAAAGCTAATATTTTAAAAATTAAAATTACTATATAAAAGTTAAAATTATTACTTAAAGATTAATGCCTTATATTAATAAAATAGTTACTTTTTATTATAATAAAAGTTAATTTTATAATTTATTTTTATAATAAAGTTAATAATAATATTATTAATATAATTAATGCCTTTAGCTAATATAATGGTTTTTTATAAAAAATTATGCCCTTAAGGGTTTTAAAAATAAGCATTAAGTATACTTATTTAGCTAAAGGTTTTTAAATATTATATATTTTAATAAAGATTATATTAATATTATTTTTATAGCTTCTTTTAATCCTTAATAAGCTTATAATTACGGTATTAAGCCTTATTTTAATAATTCATTAATATTTATAAAGATAAAAGATTAAGATTAAGAAAAACTATAAATATAGTATAGTTTAAAAATACAGGTTTTAAATATAATTAAATAATAAAATATAACTTATTAATAATAATTAATAAGCTTAAAAATAACTTTTAAGTTAATATTTATTTAATTTTATATCTTTGCTAAGTATATAAAAGTATTTTATATATAGCTAATAAATTAATATATAATAAGGAAAATAATTAATAGTTTATTATAAACTGCTATTATTAATACTTTAAATAAAAAGAATAGCAATTTGCAATAAATTATATAAATTCCTCTATCTTTTTATAAAATTATAGCATAAAAACTTATATTTATAAACTTGCTAGCTATAAGTTACTTATTTAGCCGCAATTTTTTTATAATTAAGAATATTAAAATATAATGAAAATTTTTAAAAGAAAGTTTATAATAATATATATATATTTAATATAATAGTTATTATAAAGAGCTAATTATTTATTAATTTCCTTATTTTATTATTTATTTTATAATTAATATAATAATTAACTTAATTAAATATTATAACCTTAAAATATTAAAATATTTAATAAATAATATAAAAATTAAAAGTTTATAATTAATCCTAATTAAAAAGCTTATTATCTTAAGTTTACTTAATAAAATGTTAATATAAGTTAATTATTATAAAAGAAAGCAAAGCATTAATTTGCAATAGCTTAGCATTAATATTAATTAATATTATTAAGCAAGGTATATAATATAAATAATAATATATAATAATTAGTTCTTAGCGGATTAAAGAAATAAAATAGCATTAATTTAATTTAATTTTAATATTTTAAAATAATATATTAAGTAAGTATTAATTTAAGATAATATAATTAATAAATAATAAATTAATTAAAATTAAGATTTAATTATATATAATTAATAACTATAGTTAAAATGCTATTTTAATTAATTTATTAAGGTTAAAATGTTTATTAATATAGTATATAAGAATTACTACTTTTTAACATTATACCTAAATTTTACTTTAAGAAATTTATCTTTTCTTCTTATAATTAAAGCTTAATAATTATATAAAAACTTTAAACTTAAATATTATATTTTATAAAATAAAAGTAATTATAATAGCTTTAATAATATTTAAATATTATATTTAATAATTAAGTTATAAAAAAACTTAAAGATAATTATAAAATATACTTTATTAATTATTATATAAATAACTTTAAAAGTATTAATTATAAATATATTAATTATAATGCTAAAGTCCTTTATAATCTTTAATAAGGAAGAAATAAAATGCTTTACTTATTACTACTTTTCTTTCCATTTAAATTAGCTTTTAATTAAATTAGCTATTAAAATAGCTATAATGCGTTATTTATAATTATATACTTAAATAAAGAAAAACTTAAGCTTTGGAATTTATTATAAATAAGTTTATAACTCCTATATATTATATATAATATTTATTTATTATTATTATAAAGATATTTAGCAATTTAAAGAATTATTTATATAAAGCTATTATATTATTAAGTTTAGCTATTATTACTTAAAAGTTAATTAATAATATCTTAATAAAGTATATATGCTAAGCAATATTATTAATAAGCATATTAATAATTATAATAAGGTAATTTAAATATATAATATAAATAATGCTATTTAAGTTCTTTACTTTAATAACTTAAAATTTATTATTAATTTTATTTACTTTTATTATTATTAAAGTAATTTTAATAAGTAGCAATATTTATAAAGTATTATTTATAATTAAATATAATTTAATTATAAAAAAATAAATAATATAAATAAGGTATTTAGGAAAGGTTATAATAATTAATAATATTAACTTTAAGGAAAGGAAATTATAATTATAAGAGAAAGAAATAATTAAACTATATTTAAAAGGGCGGCATTATAAGAGCAAATTAAAAATTAAATAAATAAGTATATATTAAAAAGCAAAGAATTTAATAAAATAAATCTTAACTTAAGGGTATAAAAAATATAATAATTTAATTATTAACTTATATAAATAAATTAAGTAATAATTATTAAAAACTTATTTTTCTTAATAATAAGTAAATATCTTTTTTAAAATTACTTAAAAGCATAAATGCTTATTATATATTATAAGGCTTAATTATAATAAGTTTATAATAATTAATGAAATAATAATAAATTAATTTATAAAAAAGCTAACTTAAGGGCTTAAAGATTTATAAATAAGTATTAAATATAAAAAAAGTATAATTTAAGTAATTACTTAAAATAAAGATTTAAGAGTTTTTATAAACCTTTATGCTTTTAATTAGCAGCTTTAACTGCAAGTCTTTTAAGATTTATATTAGCCCTTAAGAAAAATTCATTAACTATTATTATTAATAATGTTTTTATATTATATTTATTATTAATTAAACTTACTTTATATATTTTTAATATTAAGAGCAACTTTTTATTATTATTAAATGCTAAACCTTTTTAATATTAATTAAAATATTTCTTTGCTTAAGCATAATTAAGTTTTAGCTTTAAATAAGAAATAATATTAATATTAAATAAAAGAAATATAAAATTTCTTTTAAGGTTATATATTATATCCTTTATAATATTTATTTTATACTTATTAAGTAATATGCAAGGTTAAAAAGTTTTGCTTTTAATTTTAAAGATAAATTTTTAAATATTTAAATAATTGCTATTATAAATTAACCTTAATATAACTTTAAGGAAAAATATATAATACTTATATATAAATTTAAAAATATTAATAAAAGGCAAAGTATTTTAGCTTTTATATTACTTTCATTAATACATTATAAGAATATACTTAAAATATACCTTTAATAATTTTATTATTTTAATTATTAACTTATATATATTAAATAGCCAATCCTTATAAATAATAACTATAATATTTAGTAATTATATATCCTTAAAATAAATATTAATATTAATATAAAAGCTAAAAAGTAACTTTTAAAGGTTTTTAATAAATTATTTAATTTTTATAGCTTAATATTCTTTATTAGCCTTATTAAAAATAAATTTTAAGCTTAATATTTTATTATAACCCTTAAGTTTTATAATTATTATAAAAATATATTTAGCCTTATATTATTAATAAATTATAATATTTAAATAATAATTATTTTTAAGCACTTTTTATATAAGTATAAATATAATTATATTAAAGGCATCTTTAATAATATAAGGAATATTCATCGCTTATTAAGCTTTTTTAATATTTACCTTATTTTATAATATAGCTTACTTATTAAGATTCTTAGCATAAAAAGGTATAATATAATAACTTAAGCTATTCTTAAATATAGATTTAATTAGCAATGCAAAATTTATAGCGAAAAAATGCAAAACCTATATAATTATTTAAAGTAATTTTAAGAAATCATGCTATTAATATTATATATATAAAAATATAATAATATAATTAATAATCTTATTTTAAAATCTTAATTAAATATTTTTAAACTTTATTTATAAAATTATTTACTATTATAAGAATAATATATATTTAAAGAATATTATTATTTTATAAATTAAGTAAAGTATAAAGTATAATAATAAAAAGTATTATTTAAAATTGCTATTAAAATTAATATATTTTACCTTTTTTATAATAACTTTATTAAATTAATTAAGATAAATAATAATAATATCTTTTTATTAAAGCTTTGCTTTTTAATTTTCTTTTAAATCTCTTAGTAATAATATAATATTATTAAATTTTTAAAGATTTTCTTTATATTTCTTTATAAACTTTTAACCTTTTAACCTTATAATTAGTAAATATTAATTATAAAGCTATATAATATTAAAATATTAAGTTAAGAATTCTTTATTTTTATTTAAAAACTTATAAAAAAGATT